AAGCGGATCTGCTGTATGATACCCATGGATCTTTCGCCGCTCGAACAAGAGATGGACAGCCTGACTAAACAGCCACCTGCAGATGACTTCTTCATATCCACCAAAAATTACACTGGCGCCAGCATCGCATTTCTCGTTCTGTACTTTATCTTCTTTTTTTAATGCTCTTGACATATGTACGAGTCTTTCTGGTTATTCAGCGCAACCCTGGAGTTACCCCTTTGGGGCCCAGCGCAGTTCAAGCCCTCGAAGAAGCGAAGAGGACGAAGAAGCAGAAGCATCGTAATAAGGACCTAGAGGACGGCTTCAGGTATGAGCCGCGACCAGACAGAAACTCCGACATACCTGGGCTCGAGGCCTTTTACAGCAAAGATGTTTTCGTTTGCGAAAATGACGGAATGCCTCGCTGGTGTAGCAGGTGCTGCAATTATCGAATCGATCGTGTACACCACTGTAGCGAGCTCGAGAGATGTGTGCGAAAAATGGATCATTTCTGTCCTTGGGTTGGGGGCGTTGTTGGCGAGACATGTGAGTTTACATTTCCTTCCATATTGACTACTTGAGGACGTACCGCTTATGCTAGGTCAACACTAGCATTCAAATTTTTCGTCCAGTTTACATTTTACGCATCGCTTTGCTCGATCGTTGTCTCAACAGCAGCCGCCATTTACCTTAAATCGAGACTGCACGAAGGAGATGGCCTTGATGGCTTTGTTCTTGTCGACTTGATCCTCGCTGCCGTCTTTGCCCTCTTCACCCTCACTATGACGCTCACTTCAGTTCGTTATATATTGATGAACCTCACAGCGGTTGACTATGTCAAGTCAAAAAACATTGTCCATCAGCTAGCTATTCGCGTTCCTCGGGGTACACCTCCCGGTCCAAACTACAATGTCATCACTTACCCTCTGCCCCATCCGGCTGATCATGCAGCAGCCAGAAACAACGAGCTCCTTTCAGCTCGCGACCAACTAGCTACACGGACATTCGCTATAGTGAAGACAGAAAAGGGAGAAAATCCTTGGGATTTGGGGTATTCTCGCAACTGGAAATCGATTATGGGCGACAATATCATAGACTGGCTGCTACCCCTCAAAGACTCGCCGTGTTCTCACTATGAGAATAACGTGAGCTTTTACGAAATGGGGCCGCTTTATCATCAGCTGCGGATTCGATTTGGACTTCCCGAGCTCCCAAAGGATGAGAAAGTCGAAATTTGAAGTGCTCCAAATATCCGTGGATTACAATACAAAATTGCGATTGGGCTGAATGAACTCGTTAATGACATAGACAGAACAGATACCCTGGGATGGATCACTTTCTTGGTTGCTCTTGATTGTTTGCTTAGTTCTTCTGGGAGTGTGGATAAGTTTAGGAACGGTATTATGCATGGCTCTGGTAACGAGCTCTGTGAATCCATCTAGTTACTCAGTCCTTGTTCTATACAGCAAGCATGGTGCTGCTTATGATTGCAGTGTAATATCTTCAATTTAACTTGGTTGAAATGTCTATTGCAGGCGGCATCAAAACCTAGAAAATAGCCTAGGCCTTCATCTTTCCTTGACAATTTCCAAATTTCTTTGTCCAGTACTAATCATTCTTCAACGATACCCTCGCTTCTCTCAAGCTCTGTGACAATTCGAGCACTTCATATGCTGACATATCACACACTTCTCACAGACTGCTATGTTAATGAGTACCTCCTCACTCCTTCCCTCACACTGACAACACTTGAAAATGTATTCCGCTCCGGGAAGCGTCCTTGGAGTCAAAATTGCCATGACATTCTGCCCCTGACTTCCAATGAAGCTTTGGCTCCCGTTGCTTGACCTGTGTGGTAATAGGGTTAGATATTGGAGAGGTCATTAGCGAACAGTGATGTTTGGTTGGCTTACATGTTGTGGTGGCAGTTAATGTGATGGTAGCACACTTAACTCAGGAGTAGAGGTGGATAACAATGTGGCTTGCCTGCAACTTCAACTTGTTTCTATTGCTTTGTCTGAAGTCAAGAATGACTGGAGATCCCGTCAGCTCTTATTCTCAACACAGGACTACTTATAGACACGAAACCCTGAGAGAAAACTCTGTTGTTGTCCAACATACTATGACGGCCTTGATGCCTCTTATCCGTTTCTACCCTCACGGCGTTACACGTCTCCATAAACAGCACTATGGGAGAATAGAGTAACAGGCGGCTCGGTCAGCAGACAAGTTGGCAGTATTCCAGAGCCGGTTAACAAAGGGAAATCTTTTGGTCAGAGGAATCACAGGGAGTAAAAATAATTACCAGTTATGTTAGTAGGTGATGTACTATAAAGCCATCGGAGTTACCGTCTGCTCGCTTATGGTGCTCTTTCCCGAAGTGGTCTTCTCATTTGTAGCTTGTGTCGTTAATAGACTTCCTGGACGGTAGGCTTGAGAACACACGGTTATCTTTCGCCCTCAGTGGCGCTGGGCTCAACTTCTTTGCTGCATCTGTGAGAGGCGGACTAGCCGCCCTGGAACCAGCGCTTACATGACGGAATCGAGTTATTCATGGCTCGGGCGCAGGACCGAGTCAATATTTCATACCATGTCGAGCATGCTATTTGCTGGCTTAAGAGTTCTTGTCTATCCGTACTCTAGACATTACTTCGGGCTTTTTACAGGACTATGGGAGTACTGTACCGCAAACTAGGAGACAACAGGGATGGCAGCATCTGTTAAAACCAGATACCGAGGAATTATGATATTAAGAAGCCACATGAATGGAGTGTGGTGAGATGGATGAAGTAGAGTTGAGAGGTAATCAGCCGGGGAAATGGGCATCTAGCAGAGATCCCTAGAGCCACTAGGTAGGTAACTCGGACAAATGACTACCACGTGTGTTCCATTCTCTGCAAGCATAGCAGCATATCCGCGTTCTGAAACAGACAAATTCATAGCACCTGGACACAATTTGCGTTTGTCTGACTTTGACATTCGGTCCACCAGGCACCAAAAGCAGAAGTTGACTGTAGCGGTGACTCCAGCCTTGTTATCCGCATGCCTGTGCTCATTTTAATTGAACACATTGCGAAAGACCAATAAAGTAAACACTCTAAAGCCCGAAACTTCATTTAGGTCCATATGTCAGGCTGGGATGTTTGAGAACTCTGCTTGGCGGCTGGGGAATTTGCTGTCAAGAGCCCCTCGGAGTTGGCCAATGAATGACTGATTGGTAGCGCCGTTGTGAATGTCGTTGAAGACGGTGAAATCACAAGAAACCATTTGTCCAAATTTCCATAGACACACAGGAACTAGGCCCTCCTATTTCCAAGAACGTTACGGGTAGATTTCCGGCATGTAAATGAAGGGGTGCTGCAACATAGATACTTGAGGTCGGATAATCCTCAATGGCTATGGAGAGATGTTGATCGTGGAGCTATAGTAGCCTTATTGGCCGGAGATTACAATGAAGGTCGATAATGCTTATGGACGGTGTCAGATGCCAAGTTTGCTACGCCGCAGGGACTCAAGGTCAGGGGTTAGCCTGAGGACATCCATAGCCCAGCCCATCGCTATATTCTCTTATTTAGATCAATGCGGTATCGCACAATCGGGCAACTTGTTTCAGAAGAATGGAGTAGCTGAAAAGACAGAATCCCTGGGAGTTAGTCTTGAGAGTCTACTAGAGACCCCGGAAGGAGAGAGATAAAAAGGCTCCACATGCTCAGAGAATGAGGACATCTGGGCCCAGAAAACATCAAATCAAGTAACAGGAGAATGGAGAATGGAATCAAGATATAAAGGCATTAATATCATTAACCGCATAAGGAAGGTTAGGCAGAGTCTAAATTTGGGAAACAAGCAGAAAACTGAGAGTCGAGAGCGGAGCCTCAACGTAGCTTAGAGCAGGTGTTACCTGTGAGTCCCTAAGGACGCATTTGGACTGCCTGCATTAGACGGCTTGCAGTTCACTCGTTGCGCGATCAAGATTAGACCTGCTTAGTAAATTGCAGTTTCTCCTCTTATATTCCATAATAAGTATGGTTAAGCAATGAGTTTTGATTCATTGATACCACTTCTTTGGATAAAGTTTTACGTTCATGGACAAGCCACGGCTTGCTCTGTTAGCTCCTTGGCAAGATTCTCTCCCAAGTAAGCAAGACACCACAAACCTCGCCAAGGAGATAACAACCCCCAGCACACCGTAGGTATCTAGGCAGGTATGTACCAAAGGTTGGGGTATGACGTAATAAATGACCCCACTACATTGACCCACAGCGACCGGCAGGTCCACGAAACCCATCGATGCTTTGACGCGGTATTTGCACATTTGGGACATAACGCGTGGGCACCCACCTGGTACGCCAAGATTTGTTCGAGCTACGGTGGCGTGTGTGCTGGAAATTTTCGGATATAGAAATTGGCCAATCATATCGTAGGATTATGAGCGCTTCGCTTTCCGGGCATTTTTTTGGCTCTTGGCCACACTCTGGACCTTCCCTTTCCACCACACCTACCATTGGGATTCAGAAATCTAGGTATGTAACCACCTATCCACACCCAGGTGCATTGCTTGTATACAATATCCGCTGCTATCATTAATCCACGCTTACTTTATATTATAAATCCTTTTCCGGACTCAAACAATCATTGGTCGATTAACCTCTTGTACACTTCCTGTACGCGGGATTTTTGAAAGTTGTGCTCAGGGATCCGATCTCACTCCTTCATCCTGTAGTACCTGTGGCGCACCTCTTCTTTGCTGCAACATTTCTTTAGCATTAGATGCAGTGTGCGCTAGCACTTTATTGCAAATTAAGCTTGTACGGTGGGCGTAAATGTAGTAGCCCGCAGTGGCTCTGCGCTTCTGCGCAAGTGCATTATGCCCCAAATGTGCAAATACCGCGCCATAGACGCGACTTGACACCCATCCGCGTTGCCCCGTCACCGTGCAATTAAAGAAGCAGAAAAGCAAAGGTCACTTTTTGACTTAATCCAGACGCTAGTTGCTAATGCTATTGAAAACAACAGAAATGCAGCAGCCACTAGCTCCGAATGTTTGGGATGTTCAGCAGACGAGCTGGTCCAACAACGATATGCCACCCCGCGAATGTGCCCGCGAGGACTCAAGTGTCTCCAACCCTAGACGATGCTCTCAATTTACCTTCCGTCACCTGAGCCAGATGGCTTCATGTATCCCCTCTTCGCCTTTACGAGTCGTAGCACATATTGATTTGGATTGTTTTTATGCTCAAGTTGAGATGGTGAGACTCGGTATCGCCGAAGATACACCCTTTGCGGTGCAACAATGGTGAGAAAAGTCCTCGTTGATCCGCATTTGTTTTTTGTCAGGAACGCCGTTGCTTACTTAAGAAAACAGGCAGGGTCTAATTGCTGTCAACTACCCTGCGCGCAGTTATGGGATCGGCCGGCATTGTACCATTACTGAAGCGAAAAAGCTCTGTCCGAAGCTGATCACCCAGCATGTTGCTACCTGGAGAGAAGCAGACGGCAAATGGTTTGTGGCAACAGATATAATGTACAGAGAGGTATTATATGGCTGACTGCCACATCAACGCAGGGCCTATCGTGAAGATCCTCAAGTTGCGACCGATAAGGTATGTCTTGACCCTTATCGGTCCGAGTCGAGGAAGATTCTGGTCCTCATTAAGGAACTACTCCCTCACGGCCTTCAGAGGGTGGAAAAGGCAAGTATCGATGAGGTGTTCCTGGACCTCTCTGCCCATGTTCACGCCATTTTGCTCGAACGCTTCCCTGAACTTCTTAGTCCCCAGCCACATAGGGACTTGTCTGAGCTGCTCCCGCTTCCCCCTATCTCTGATCTGGACTGGCAAGCCGACACACTGGTCGACGCAGGAGATTCTGATAACAAAACGCTCGCAATTCTCGACCCAGATTGGGATGATGTGGCTTTTTATGTGGCATCTGGGATTGTGCGGCATCTTCGTTCGTCTATCAAAGAGAAACTCGGCTACACATGCTCCGCAGGAATTGCAAGGAACAAGCTTCTTAGCAAGCTGGGTTCAAGCTATAAGAAGCCTAACCAGCAAACCGTCATACGGAATCGGGCAGTTGCACATTTTCTGTCTGGGGTGAAGTTCACTAAGATCCGCAACCTTGGTGGCAAATTAGGCGAACAAGTCAGCCGCGCCTTCAATACCGATTCGATACCAGATCTTCTCACTGTTCCTATCGAGCAAATGAAGGTGAAATTGGGAGACGAAACCGCAATCTGGTTATATAACACGCTTCGGGGCGTTGACATGAGCGAGGTGAACCCTAGGATCCAAATCAAGTCGATGTTGTCGGCCAAATCCTTCCGACCTACCCTCACCACTATTGACCAGGCCGTCAGATGGTTGCGCATCTTTGCCGCTGATATATTTTCTCGGCTAGTCGAAGAAGGAGTCTTAGAACACAGACGCCATCCAAAAACTATCAACCTGCACTACCGTCCACTCGGCGGACAGGCCCGTTCACGCTCCTGTCCTATCCCTCAAGGCCGCGCTTTGGATGATGGTACATTATTTGATCTGGCAAAGACCCTCTTGACGCATATCGTTCAAGATGGGAATGTGTGGCCCTGCGCTGGCCTCAGCCTTAGCGTTGGCAGCTTCGAAGATAGCGTTTCAGGTAATATGGGCATAGACGCGTTCTTGCTAAAAGGACAGCAAGCCGAACCACCCAGCCATCGTCTGCGAGCACAATCTGTTGAAGACGTAAAAGATAACTCTTTCTCGAAAACAAAACGACGGCGACTTGATGTCCAAGATATCCGACACTTCTTCACCAAAAAAGTTACGGCTCCTTCACCGACTTCTCAAGGTCATCACCACGAAGAAGATACTAGGAAACAACCTTTCATTCTCCAAAAAGCCATGGGTTCTCCTCTTATCATTGGAGACACGGAAACAGCGCCCAGCAAGGAGGCACCGCATCACCCAATCAATTCTTCGGGCAAGTTCATGGATGCTCTCTCCTGTTCACGGTGCAGCGCCTTTTTGGATAGTCCAGAAGCTTTGCAATGTCACCAGGACTGGCATCTTGCCAAAGACATCCAAGATCAAGAACGTGTCACCCCAGCATTTGTCAAAAAAACAACGCCCTTTCCCGCAAATGTCGGATCCGGAAGCCGGAAACTCCCTGCGGCGTCGAAACGATCGGGAAGATCCAAGAGGATGGAACGCGGGCAACAGAAGCTGAGCTTTGGGTAACTCAAGGAAGCTCATGCATTGTCGAAGTAACCATGCATCAATAAATGCCTGCAGTTCGTATGTACAAAACCACATTCGCCAAAGGAAGCGAGGGCTTTTAACTCCACACTCGTGCCCTTGCGCAAGGCATGTCAGCAGGGAATGGTATCCTGATGGCGGTGGATTTGACATTTCAACTAAGCCAGGAAAATGTAATAGTACAACGTGAGTGTGATTGTTACCACAGTCTAAGCTGAAGCTACAGTCAAACTACGGTCATTATGAGAAAACTAGTGACTTTTGTCGGGCAATTGAGGTCGGCGTCTGGCTTCCGTCCTTCTTGGGTATGGCTTTCATCTTGTTCCCCTAATTTTTGTTTCATTCCGTCACCAACTTCGCTCTCTTGTCAACGTACCTTGACTGAGCTATCCTTGATATATTCCTTGTCGCAAATGGCAGCACCACGCTAACAATCACATCATAGTCGGTCCTAGGTCCAACTGGGCTCAGTGTCCGTTCGGAGACCGTACCCATGGGAGGAGAGCTTCTATCGAGAGCAATGCTATGATCATCCAGAAGGCTAGGTATACCCTCTTTTGTCAAAGAGAGCGGCTCTTCGCATAGATCCTGGGGTGCAGAGTGGTGGATGTGGGGGAGAGTGCTCGGTCTCATCACAACCGCCTTACCGACGATCACAACAACAAGCAGATGAGCAGCCTACCAATGTATGCCAGGGCATCAAGAACGATTCCAGCCTCCAGGGACAGGTTTGCTGGTGGCTTCAAAGGTGCAAAAAGTTCGTTCCAAGACGGCTGCTTAGGCACCGACTCCTAGGTATACTCCATAATGCCAAGCTTGGCTTGTCTTGGGTGCATTGTCTGTCTGTACACACATGGACGGATGGTGCGCTTCTCGACAACGAGGCCCGGGTGACCTCACCAGCAGTCAAGGATTTGCCGCTTTGCATTGGCTTGTCAGGTTCTCAAGTCGGGTTGCTCACATCTCAGTTGTATCAGCAAATGATGATTGGCCAAATGAACATCCTGCGACCCGACACCACTTCCGTTCCTGTGCTCTGCGGTTGGGCTCCAAGCTACATGGTTGGGCATCAACGCAGTGTTTGGCCAACTTTCCCGGCCGAGGTTTTCATGTAGTGCAGCCTGGACGTCGTTGCGATCGTACCTACATACCGCCCGCGCACTTTTCCACAAGGATGTAACGATGAGCAGTTCGGCGAAAATTGAAGTTGCCAAAGGTGTAGCAGACTCTAGGCAACTGAGCGCCGATTTTCCAGTTTTCGCCAGCGACTTGCTTTTCGTGCGGATTGCCCACAACTGGGTACCCCTTGGGCATACACAGCATTTGAGTTTTAGCTCAGTTGGGCTCGCCAGTTTGACACTAACGCCTGGCTGCAGAGTTTGAAGGCTCTTCTCTCAGTGTGCTCTGTTGTGTTTCAACAATGTGTTCAAGGCATCAGGAGGATTGGAAGTGTCGTCTCTCGCATCTCAGTATTCAGGGCCCTCGGCACATGCTTGGTTGTCTACACATCCATCTCGGTACGTGTTCTGGAAGCCTTAGATGCAATGTATGCGCAAAACACTCCCCTCCCTGCGTGTGGGACAAGCAACCTTGCCTGCTTGAGGACCGGGAGGGCTTTGCCGTAGAATCTCCACGAGATGCAGAACGCCGCTCGCAGGGCCGAACTTGGGATAGGTGGTGCCTTCATACCTGTGACAAGCTGTGGGCGCTCAGCCCCGGACCGTTTTGCATCCACTCAGTGCCATCAGGGAGCAGCGGTTGGGCGAGAGCCTTAGGTACCTGGGCGTACCTTGGTTGGAGAGCTGGTACGTATCGTAGGTAAACCCATGGCACTTTCGTAGCTGGGTACCTTAGGTAGCTTCTTCCCATTGGCCGTTAGGCCCCAGCATTCCACCAGCGTAGCGGTCCAGACAGCGGATAAGCCGAGCGAAGGGGACTCTGCTAGCATCTGCGCAGTGCCCGGAGCTGGACAGCCTTGCTGTAGGGTAACAAAGCTCTCCGTACATACCGTGACGGTGCTGAGGTGCTCCAGGCTGGGTGGAAAAGTGGAGGTGTCCAGACGCCCAACTTGGGACCGAGAGCGGCCCCACCCTGTCCGCTGAACACCAAGCCCACCCAACCCGCGCATTTACACTCCCATTTTCTCCTCCACCCCCAGTTCTTTCTGTTTTTTCTTCTCTTTGATTCTCATTGTAATTTCTATGTGCGAAACGTCAAGTTAAGGGCCCTTCAGGCTGGGCAATTTCTTTTGCAACCTCGGATCCAACTCTCAACTCTTAGCTGGCTAGCGAGTCTAAACTCACCCTCCCATCCAGCGCTGAGCCAACTCTCGCCTGTCCTCGAGAAAAACACTTAAGATCAACCCTTCTGCTTGGTTTACAGGTTTTCATCTTCCCCAAGATGGAGCCTGGTCCAAGGCAGAATGAGTATTTCATCCCCCGTGATGGCATCGCACGGGAAGTTATTCAGGCAGACATCTGCCGATGGGTAAGCACTCTGAAACACCGCAAACGCCATCACGATCCGTCGATTAACAGCCTTATCGTTGGGACCTGATGCTCTCTGTCGCCAGGGCTATTACGAGGTAAGTTGCTGCTTTTCGCTATGTCGATCCTCCTGGGTGCTGGCATTGGCGCTAATCTTTGTTCTCTCCTGTCCAGGCGCCGGATGGTCGTGTCATCCAGGGTTACTTTATTACGGCATATCGCAACCTGACATCAGTAAGGCCCCTTACATGATTGCTGGGCCGAGAGATATGTGCTAAATGACCATGTATCTGCAGGCGATGATCGCAGATCTCAAAGAAGAGTCCCGTAAGCATTGGGAGAAGCAAAAGGCGGCCGCTGCCCGAGCTAGTGGGAGCGGCTCCTCTGCCAGAATGCATACAAACGAACCACCCCGAGCATCTGTAAGGAGCAACTCTCCCGGAGGCTCTCGAGAACAGCCCCGGGTGAATCCAGAGTACAACTCGTGGATAGGCGATCAATACGACCAGGTCTACCCCTCGTCCTCTATGGATGTCGAGTACACGACGACTTCGCCAGTCCCTACGGGAACTCCTAGCCATGGCAGCCAATCGTACACGAGCGGCCCTCCTCCGACTTATCCTCAGCCTGCGTACCAGCCGCCACCTGTTCAGTCTTCTCCTGCCGCATATCAGCCGCAGCCTGGTTACGCCTATCCACCTAACACTCCGTCAACGCAATATCCGCCCAATCCTCCTCCGACGCAATTTCCTCCCAACCCTCCTTCTACACAATATACACCCAATCCTCCACCGACACAATACCCACCTAATGCCCCCCCAACGCAGTACCCGCCTAACCCCCCGCCAGCGCAGTATTCACCACCACCGCAGGCTCCAGGGGATAGGTATACCGCCATGGCTCCTCCCCCAATGCCAAACCCTTATCCTCAAGAAAGCGCTCCATATGTCCATGGGTCAAATTATCAAACAGCGCCTGCTTATGCGGCCCCAGCACCAGTCCGGATACCACCCACCATGCCTGTCTCGACTGCGCCGCCATCCAGAACGTATAGTGTGCCGGTGTCAGGTACTCCCGTCTATGGAACCGAGCCGGACCCTTACAATTATCCTGCAAGCGCCCCGGCCTTCCCCGCAGACCCTCTTTACGGTCGTGGTGCGTATTCCGCGGCATCGAGATATTCATCCGAGGCTTCGTCTGATCATTTAGGTTCTTCCGCAGGTGCACCTTCGCGTCCTGCTTACGCCCCCCGCCGGATCCCCAGTACGATGACCGACAGAGCTCACCACTTCCATCTGTTCCTACCCCCAGTAGTGTTGGCACAGTGCCCATAACCAGTAATGGTGTTCCCCCTCCGCGCCGTACAGACCGCGATTCGGAGCCGAGGGACAGAGACTGGGAACGTGATCGCGAGCGCGATCGTGAGCGTGATAGAGAACGAGACTGGGACCGTGATCGGGATCGAGACTGGGATCGAGACTGGGAGCGGGACCGAGAGCGTGATCGCGACCGTGATCGCGAGCGCGACTACCACAGGACTCGGTGGGAAGCCGAACGCGAAGACCGACATGTCGATCGGAACCGTCGTCACCGTTAAGTCAGCAGTCTAACTGCCTGGATCAGCTTGACTGCTTAACTCTCTGGACCTGGACCTTACCCGGAGGTGATCGGCCCTCCGGGCTCTATGCTACTGACTTGGCTTTATTATTTCCTGGCCATGGACTTCATGGCATTTTTGTTAGCCCAAATTTCCCCTATTTATTTTTTTCTCCTTTCCAGCATGCGGATGATAATCGCCCTTGGACGACCAGGATTGAAGTCGTTATGTGCATTGAGTTCTCAGGGCTGCAAGTTGCATCTCTGATTCTTTTTTCTTGGGTTGTGTTGATTTTGGCGGCCGGGTGGGAATTTCGCAACTTCCATTACATGGTTCCCCTTTTGGATTGCTTCCGGCAATTATTCGGGATCCAGGCTGCAGCGGATATCCCGCCCCTTGGACACTCGAAGCATTTCCGGCATATTTGAATGCAGCTTTGGAAGTTGGAGTTCAGTTCCCTTTTGGCATTTGAGTCAATCGTTTATGTGGCATATGATCCCTTTAGCCAGGGGTAAGGAAGCTGTACCGCTCACCCTGCCGTTGTGGCTACCAATGTTTGCTGGCTTCGCTTCGATCAACTATGGGCCCTGCTCCAACCTCTCGCCAGTCAGGTCATGTGTTTATCATGGTGAGTCAACCTTGGTTGAAGTTGTGCAGGATGAAATGCTCTAAAACCAGCAGTTCATTGGTTCACTCTGCCGCTATTGCCAACGGCAAACAATGTGTGATGAAGCTTGCTAACATGCTACAGGGTGAGTTGTACACAGCAGAGAGGGTCACATATTTATATGGCAGGCTGGAGCAGTTGAACATCTGAAATGCATTCTCAGGGCTCCTCTTAACCGCGGATTCTCCTTGGATCCTGATCGGACCGGTTATTGCCTTGGATATTTCCCTGACCTTTCCTGGAGGAGTCTTGCTTTCCCGATGACCGGCACTGGTGTTGACCCGGACAAACATGACTACCGTTTGGAGATTCTTCCCGGATTCGCCATTGGATCATCTCCATGGATCCTATCGGATTGTCTCCTGGATGTCCACCGGGTCCTTGATTTTCCTCCAGACAAATATTTCAGAGTTCCCTGCTGCTCTGGACTCCGTCATTTCTACCGGCATTGGGCCCGTATCGTTCCTGGGTTGGCCATTCTGAGCCAGAAGAGTGATCATTAGCTCCTTGGGCGGCTTTGACTGCTATGTTAGCCTTGACCGAGCAGAACGGGTTGGACTGAATCTGAGCAAAATTACAAACTAATGGTAAGGCTGAACCAACTGCTTTCTTCAGCTTTCCTTCAGCCACCATGGACAACGTTCTGCTCCGGTCAACCTGACTGGTTATTTCGGCATTGCTCATCTCTGAAACAGCTTCAATGTACCCAGAGAAGCTGCCGAGGGGTTTGGAAAAGAGGGAGTGTATCGAAAATTGGACTGGTTGCCATTGGATTACCAGGACAGCTTGCCACGCCCACTTCGCATGCCCCGTCAGACGATTGACCAAAGTCATGCCTCGGACAAAATGGCGTCTTACCTGGCCAAGTGTATTTCTCCGTCATGTTGCGACTCCAGCGGTCACAGAAACGTCACGCTACGATCACAGAAGCGCTCCCAATCATCCAAGAGCCTGCATTTCATCACCAAAGTTTGCGTTCGGTCGACTTCAACTAAAACTTCTAATATTCCTGGGGACAGTCATTGATCTTCTTTACAAGATTCAGCTTTGGATTGCCAGTTACTTGATCATAGTCAGTCCGACTCTTTACCTCGCATATTTCCTTCTCAACTAGGAACCAAGCTGTTTTCTCTTTAGTTTATTCACGTTTGCTGACATGCAGCTGACCTTGTTCCACCGTACCAGGACTCTGATCTGAGTGAGAGATATACCTGGAGCGTTACTCTCGGATGCGATATCCTCATGGCACAGGTTTCTTTTCTTCTGGAGATGAGATGTTTAGTGTTGTATCTGAGTGAAACTGAGCATCCCAAAAGATACAGGAAGAAGATGGGACAAGCTATGCATTTGGATATCCGATCTGCCTGTTGTTCAAAGTATTTCGTTTTGGATTGTGCGACGAGCAAAGGGTGTTAGGGAACTACCAAATAAATAGGATGGGAAGAAGTCGGCTTAGGCATATCAGTGACTGAAGCGGGTGGCATTTGTGTTTTCAGATATCTTCCCAACTAAGTTGATGAATTTTTTATCTTATTCTCGAGACCCTTGGGTAAAATGACAATCTTATACCGACTTCTTTTGTACTTTCAACAATTTACATTGCTGCTACGTACCATTTTGGTCTTTCCTCTGCGTATCATTCTCTCATTTCTGGTCAATCGGATTTGGGTTGGTTGTGTCCTGTACGGAGCAGGGAGTACTCTGATAAGGCACCACTCACGTGTTGATAACTGGAGGGGAACAAGTCCAGGGATCACAACCCCGCACTTATCAATGCATTGTCCTGAGTTAGGCACATACCTAGGCAGGTACCTATGCCGGACTGCCCGTTTGATCAGTATCCTTAGGGACCTACCTTTCCGGGGAGACTTCAATAAAGATATTAAAACAAACTCTCCCACTGAATATCTGAATTTTAAGGTTTAATAATTTTAGACTCGGCAACCGTGCTTTCTTGATGTACACATGAGGTGGGAGGGTGTGAGAGTTTCAGGCTGCAAACAAGACCCGTGTGGCTGGGTATGACCCACACCCCAGCGATCGGTGGCGGGGGCAGGGCAGAGAGGTTTCACCGTGGAGGGGGAGGGGCTTCAGATGAGATCCTCCCTTCCCCAAAGGCGGTGAGAATTGACTACGTAGATCTGCTGGCGTACCCGACCTTTGTCGTGTTCTGCCAACCAGTTCGCTGCCTTCTCACCATGGCTGGATCCCGGATGATGCTGGGAGCATGGGAGCCACATGGCATCTGCCTGGACGGAAATCATGTTGCAGTTGGTAGTTGTCGAAAGGGCTTGAGCCCGCAAGGGCTGTGTGCCGCGCACTGAAAAGACTATGAGGGCCCGCCTAAATGCAATACGGTAAGTTGCCTTAAACTGTGCTTCAAATCAGTGGCTGTTATCCGTCCAGGGTATGTTGAGCATCCTTTAATCAAGTGGTTTCCATAAGAACATGGATTAGATATTTTTTATATATCACCGATCGCCTGTTTCTAAACCTCAAGCCAAAGACTGAGCAATGAGATGGAAATGTGAAGGAATAGGCAAAGCATGCTGGTGCTTAGTACCTTTGTGTCGTGCTGCGGGCCCTGGGACCAAAGGGCTGTACCCGTGATTTGGTCGAGTTCGTGCCCTCCGTTTGCCGCACAACAAAGGAACGAGGAGACCACGTGATACTGCCCCCGATACAGACCGTGGATAAGACTGAGTGAAATCAAGAACTTGAAAACAAGTGAATCATCTACTTGATCTGAATCTGTTTCGTCGTATAGACATTGAGATCCTCACACAGTACATAGGTTATGTCACAAAACTCCCTTGCCTTGGAGTGCAAGGATTGAAGGGAACGCTTTGAGTGGCAGTTGGGCTGGCCGCTCTGACAGCGCCTGAGGCGACACAGCGTCAACCTGCCCGCCCGAACCCACTTCTTAATGCCCCGCCATTTCGGGGGGTCTGCCGGTCTGCTTCGTTGCAACCAGATTTTGGCCCAAATTTTTTCTTTGGACCCGGCCCCCTCGACAACCACCAGCAACAGCACTTCTGAACGGCTGCCGGCCTATTATTTCCTCAATTCTCCCGTTCCGTGAAGCGCCTTGATGCTATAGTTGGCCCGACAGCTCGCGCAAAATGGATGCCACCGCCATTCGAAATTGCATCGCTGCGACGCTCGACGCTGAGGCCGATGTCCGCCGGCGGGCTGAGCTCCAGCTGAAGCAGGTGCGTTAGTCTTGGAGCAGCAGTTGATTTGTTGTGATTTCTATTTGTGGGCAGGTGTTGTCGATGGGAATCGTGTCATAGCATCTGTCGTCACTGTCGCTGCATCTCGTTTTCCTAGCCGCACTAACTTTCTCTCCCCTCCAGGCTGAGGGCCAGCATGGCTTCACAGACTGCCTCCTGGACATTCTCTCGTCTGAGCAGGAGGCCAATCTCCATCTTCCCAGTACGTTTCTTTTTACAATTACTCGCCTTTCCTGCACCACCAAGTGCTTTCTCGCCAGCTTGCGTCTACCCCCTTCCTTTGGTTCTGGCGCCTAACACGGGGGGTCTTTCTCCAGCTGTCATCTACCTCAAGAACCGTGTCAACCGCGCCTGGGAGCGCACCGATTACTATCCGAACGAGACTTTGATATATGAAGATGAAAAGGCGCGTTTCCGAGAACGGTTATTGCCAATCCTTGCCAGCGCACAAAACCGAGTGCGGCACCAACTCGTTCCTATCCTTCAGCGCATCTTGCACTTCGACTTTCCCGAGAAATGGCCTTCGTTTATGGACTATACCCTTCAACTTCTCAACACAAACGATCCTCGGTCTGTTTTGGCTGGTCTGCAGTGCCTGCTGGCCGTCTGTCGTGCCTATCGCTTCAAAGCCAGCAACACGGAGAGCCGGGATCACTTCGATAAAATTATCGAGGCTAGCTTCCCGCGATTGCTGGCGATATGCAATGAACTGGTGAACCAGGAAAGTGACGAGGCTGGAGAGATGCTACACATCGCTCTCAAGTGCTACAAGCATGCCACATGGGTACGTCCTTGTCTGATGATCGCTGTGTTGGCAATGTTTTCAGTAATGCTCACCAATGGACAAACGACAGCTCGAGCTTTGTGCTTATCTCCAGCAGAGTGCCGTTAATCTTGGCTGGTGCTCCGTTTTCCTACAGACTGTGTCGAAGCCTATCCCAGCTTCTGCCATGCAAGGTGATCCTCTGGAACGGGAGCGCCATCACTGGTGGAAGGCCAAGAAGTGGGCTTACTTCAACCTTAACCGCTTGTATATCAGGTATCTCGAATTCTATGGCTTACGACCTAAATGGCTATTCCGAAGCTAACCGTGCGGTAGGCATGGCAATCCCTCTGCTCTTGACAGATCGGTCGAACCCGCTTCACAGTTTGTCAAGGACTTCTCTACTCAGGTTGCCCCTGAGATCCTCAAGCATTACCTGCAAGAGATCGAGAAGTGGGTGTCCAAGACCGTTTGGCTCAGCCGGCCCTGCCTCTCATACACTATTGTGTTCCTCGATGAGTGCATTCGCCCCAAAGAGATGTGGGCACATCTGAAACCGCATCTGACCAACTTGGTTACACACTTCATCTTTCCCGTTCTCTGCCTCAGCGAGGAGGACATTGAGAAGTTTGAGGAAGAGCCTGAGGAATATCTGCATCGGAAGTTGAATTTCTACGAGGAGGTTTCGGCCCCGGATGTTTCAGCTACTAACTTCCTTGTCACTTTGACCAAGGCACGGAGAAAGCAGACCTTCGAACTTCTCAGCTTCATCAACGATGTCGTCAATCAGTATGAGCAAGCACCTCCTGGTCAAAAGAACCATATTGCTAAGGAGGGTGCTCTTCGTATGATTGGCACACTCGCACCTGTTATTCTTGGCAAAAAGTCACCCATCGCCTCACAGGTGGAATATTTCTTAGTCCGCTACGTCTTCCCGGATTTCACCAGTGATCAGGGATTTCTCCGCGCCCGTGCCTGCGATACCATCGAGAAGTTTGAGCAGCTTGATTTCAAGGATGAAAACAACCTACTTACGGTTTACCGTCACATCCTCGACTGCATGGCCGATCCAAAGCTTCCCGTTCGAGTGACAGCAGCCCTGGCTCTTCAGCCTCTAATCCGGCACGACATCATCCGCACCAGCATGCAGACCAGTATCCCAACCATCATGCAACAGCTTCTCAAGCTTGCCAATGAGGCAGATATCGATGCTCTCGCCAATGTCATGGAAGACTTCGTGGAAGTTTTCGCTGCCGAGCTCACTCCGTTTGCTGTTGCATTGAGCGAGCAGCTTCGTGACACTTATCTCCGCATTGTCAGGGAGTTATTGGAGAATAATGAGAGGCGGGATGATCTGGATAATGAATATGGTGACTTCCTTGACGACAAGAGCATTACGGCCCTTGGCGTCCTGCAAACGATTGGTACCCTTATTCTCACTCTGGAGAGCACTCCAGATATCTTACTCCATATCGAGAGTGTCTTGATGCCTGTGATCCAAATCACACTGGAGAACAAGCTCTATGGTAAGTGACCAGCTGCTATCTTGTTTCCATCACCCACATCCTCGGATAATGCTAATGTCTGTCTGAAGACCTCTTTAATGAAGTATTTGAGATCATCGATAGCTGCACATTTTCAGCCAAGATGATTTCGCCAAACATGTGGAGGGCATTTGAGCTCGTTCATGCGACATTCAAGTCTGGGGCTGAGCTCTACCTTGAAGACATGCTGCCTGCTCTGGATAATTTTGTCCAATATGGTGCCCCTCAGATCATTGAGAAGCCTGAATACGTCCAGGCTCTTTACGAGATGGTCACAGACATGTTCGCGGATGGCAAGATTGGCGGTGTCGACAGGATATGCGCTTGTAAACTTGCCGAGGCTATGATGTTGAGCCTGCGCGGCCATATCGACAACTGCGTCCACGGCTTCATTAACGCCGCCATGGGAGTGCTTGCCAACCAGCCGGTCCTCGGCAAGTCCTATAAGGTCCACCTTATGGAGATGGTTATCAACGCCATCTATTATAACCCCATCCTCTCATTGCAGGTCCTCGAATCTCAGGGTTGGACAAACAAGTTCTTCAGCCTGTGGTTCAGCAGCATGTCATCATTTACCCGGGTTCATGACAAGCAGCTCTGTATCCTGGCCATCATTGCTCTCCTGAGCATCAAGCCAGAGCAGGTTCCTCCGAGCATCGCCGTTGGCTGGCCTAGGCTCCTCCAGGGCATCAAAATTCTTTTCGATACTCTTCCGGAGGCCATGCGCAGTAAGTTTGCCTCAATATAGTTCGTTAGTTTAGCTATTAACTTGAACGCAGACCGCGAAGAAGCCCTGAAGGATGATTTCCAGTTTGATAGTGGCACCTACGGGTATGAGGAGAGCGACGATGAATGGGATGATGACGACGCGAACTGGACAGGCGGCGACAACGATGCTGAGCCGGTTACTGAAGCCAAGGATGAGAGTACAGCATACTTGGAGTTCTTAAATGAAGAGGTAAGACCGTCAAAGGGTGCCTATGTCCTTGTCTCGTGAGACTTGGTTGGCACTTACGGTCGTAATCTAAGTTTCGTAAACTTGCTGACATGCATCAAAACCAGGCTCAAAAGCTTAAGGCTGATGAGGCCGAAGAGTCTGACGACGAGTTGGGCGAAGATAGTGTCCTTCTTGAGTCGCCCCTGGACAAGATTGATCCTTACCTTGCTTTCCGCGACGCTTTCAAGAGTAAGGAAGACCCAGTGTTATCCGTCTCGAAACAAGAGCTATCTCCCAACTAACGTTGCTCTCAGGGTTGGAAGCCGAGCAGCCTCAGTTTTGCGCTTCATTGCTGTCTCATCTCTCAGCCCAGGAGCGTGAGGCGCTCGCTGAGGTATGCCGTCGGGCAGACACCCAGGACATGCTTGGCCTACCGAGCCCTTTCCCGATTTCGCGGGCACGTGTGGCTACGAACGGCACAAGCTAGCTGGCCTAATCTATTAAGCAGTTACCTGATCTCTGCAACAGCCGAGGCCCTCCGAGTGCTTCCCTGACCTGCATCTCTTTGGTTTCTGCTTAAGTACCTGGTCGATGCTGTCATATTGATCATCGAACACAGCAGAGAGATGGCTTTACTCCACATCTGTACTTTCATGCAGACCATCCTGGCATGTCTCAGGGATCTTCTGCCTGTATCCTTGATGATCAATAGGTGGGGTAAGCTGGGTGAGGATTGGAGACTGAGGTTCTGACGAGATACGCGTATTTTCAGCTTCCAAGCGTTCGGATGATAGCTCAGTTTCTGAAGCATACATGGGTAGGTGTGAAAAGATGGTGCCATTGCTGGCGTGATAAAGCGTTGGTCATTCAGGGATGGATATGGTCACGTTGTGTTTTATGTTCATTTTCTTTTTCTCCCTTCCTCATGCTTGGCTTTTAGGCCTTATTCCCCAAACAGCTGGTAGATTCACAGAAGACATTTTGTCCTCGCAATAGAGAGGAGTATGATAGCAGTTACCAGTTTCAAATATTGGCCCACGAAACGGGAAGCATACACTGCGATCGCGTATGCCATCACTTGCTCGAGATGTCTACTGTGAATAATTACATATAGGCCCGTACTAACTCACCGCTCCTGGGCCCCTAAATTCTAGTCTTTTTGGCAGGCCTACAGCAAATATTTCAACTTTGCAAACCCGCAAGCACTCTTACTACTTTGCATTCGGATATATTTTTTTACATTTCAATTGCTTGATCTTGAACACCTGAAAAGGAACTGACGTGGACGTCTGTTATTTTGATCGGAGCTTCCGTAGTACATACAGTCCATTACAAACAACCACAATGATCTATCGGGACTCTAGAAGTACATTCAAAAGATGACCTTATTGTTCCACCATTCTATAAGTTTGTCCGGGATCGAAGCATTAAAAGCTTCAATAGTCCATGATTGTTATTGCCATTGTCAAGCTCCCACATTCTCTGAATCCTTCACAGCCCTCCATCAATGGCCAATGACAGTGGGTAATCTCAAACTCTGCTGATAGCGAGCTTTACGTGCGAAATGAAAACACATTTGGACATCTACTTAAGATAGTAGTCTACCAAAGGCCAAAGTTAGACCAAGTTGCCTTATGTGTCTTCTTCTGTTTCTTTATTTAGTCTTTAAGGGGCTTACCTCTGAACAAAACTGGGCTCTGGGGCTGCTTCAATGAAACCACCGCGGAAAATGCCTCATGTACTTTCGGTGTTAAGTTTTCCTAGCTCGATAGGATATAGCATGAGATGGGCATATGGTGCTAAGGAGAGTTTGTTCCATTACGCGGAAATTGCGAGGACAACAGAAGATGCTGTGAACATAGTGTTTCTTGTTGGAAGTGATGCTTTCTTGGCTTTTTCATCGGAGCAGAAGGACTGGTTGTTGCACCGATGCCATGGCTCCTCCAAGGACACAAAATAAAGCGTTGTGGAAAAGAGCTGTCTCGAATTACCTTCATCCTAAGGCAAAAGAAATCGTGCGACAGTTACTTCCCATGGCTCCCGCTTGTCTTCCTGTATCTTAGGCCTCAAATTAGAAGGGGTATGCTCCATGTTTTCTGAGACATATGGCTATACAGATATGCGGAGAGACATGCCAGCATCAACCACCTCGGTGTCGGATGTTTGTTTGCTCTAGACAGCTGTGTGGTTATGGCGGTTCCTGCCGAAAGGGTTGAAGAAAACTGATGAGGTCTAAACGAACACTTACTTCCTGGTCGTGATGCCAGGATTATCTCGTAGCCACCTTGCCTAGTCCGGATCGACTTGTTGTTGGTCGTAGAGTCCATGGAATCGATTCGAGTTCCCCTCCTACTAAACATCAACTGGCTTCCCGTACGACCATCTTGATGACATACGGCCGTGAGGAGTTATGTAGTTCATCCAACATCGACTTGTCGCCAGCCCACGAGGATGTCTGTAGGATCTCGGCTAGCACAAGGGATGATCTTGCGATTTCTGTCAGGCATGTACAGATTGCAAGCCAGGTTCCTCAAACACTACTTGTACATTTGCTCGTATTAGACAGTGACATCTAATCAACTACACAGTAAGCACCAGTCGCCTTCGGAGTCCTAGTTTCGCCGCAAGAAATTACTTCACCGAGGTCACTGAATTAGATAATTACATCGAACATGACAATTCGAAGTAGAATCATGCGGCTTCAAGCTTCGATTGATGTTAATGAAGCCCACCGATCTACTAATCTAGGTAGGCAATGTGTAGTGTAGTTCCAGCATGACGTTTGAGACGTTGTGCCGTTTGCAAACGCGGATCCGAAGCGCATAGGTAAGCGGCGCCAAGATCATCTCAGGACCCTCGGAAGCATCCCACGCTAGCCTCTCAAAGAAGTGGGAAGTAGGGTGGGGCGCTAGGTATTCTTGGCAGCTTATCTCAACGTTATTTGAGAAACGCTGCCATCACGAACCGATCCGACAGTCTTCGGTTCAACCACGGCGGTCATGGGCCCTGTCAATTGCTACAATGGTATATTTGCCACATCGCCGCCATTATCAGCTTATGAACCGAGTTCAGCAGTGCACGGTCAACGTATGCATTTGTAAGTATGCCATGGAATAAAAAACAAGTTGGGCGAACGCCGCACAGTGTTTGAATTGGATGGATATTGCGGGATATTTGGGCAGCCTTGGTAAGTCTTGGCAGTTGCCTCAAGGGACAGGCCTTTTAGCGGTTAAGCCGTATATGGCTATGTACCTTATGTACCTGGGAAGGGATGGTAGGTAAGCAGTATGACACGGTGCAAAAGTCCGGTGTTATGGATGCGGGACTGCCTGACTGAGTGCTCGCCAACGCCGCACTCTTCCGGCCACATATCTCTACGTTTTAAACGATGTGGAGTAAGTACGTTACTTTACGTGACTCGCAGCAAACTGTTTGGCCGTGAATGACTTGGCGGTTGCAGGATCTCTTTCTCGGCGTCGTGGGGGTGGATCCATCCCATTCCCACCTGGGCCGCGGGGCTTGCATCTGCCAAACCGCTGACGGTCGGGTTGGCAAGGTTGGCGAAGAGCAAAGGTGTGTCTGCTCGTTTCGTGCGTCAGAGAACGAGGAGCCCTACCCTGGGTACCTGGAAAACAAACTGGGGAGATAGGTAGAAGTGCAGCGCAAAAAGTAGAACCAGTGATTTGTGTCCAAGTGACGCCATCTTGTCAACTAACGGGAATGATATGAGCAGCTCTCCAGGGGTAGGAAGCGATGCCACAGCCTTTTGGGCCCAAAGCAAGGGCTCTGTGCAAGTTAGCCGCGGACTTTGAAACGGAGGACATCCGTGAAGAGGTCGTCTGGCCGGATGCGTTCCAACCTCCCGGATACCCACAGCAGCGACCAGTCCATGAGTGCTATGGGAGTCGCGTTGGGGTGCAGCGACAACGCAGTACAAACTGTGCAAGAAACATGACAGGCAGTCGCCAGGCACGACCGGTCCTGCCTTGGGCACTCAAGGGGCGAAACATGCAGCATCGAGGCTGTAGGCACAAGCGCGATTTGCTGAATTTAGTACCTATGCACTTGCAATATCGCCGCGCAATTATCTGAGTGCCCCGCCTTCTCCCGTGGGCCGTGTGGAGACAAAGTGCTGGAGCCGGCTGTGGGGAACTTCTATCGAGGATGTCGGCGATTGAAACGCAGCGGTTCCGTTTCTCCAGAGTGGTAGGTCGGCATGCGCTAAACGAGCCCTCGTGCTGCCCTCCACGCCCCCTTTCTCTGGAGCTGGTGGGAGTCCTGGGAGCCTGGGGCCCCCCCGACACTTTAGCTGGCGACCATCCACACTTTCTCGCGCAGGAGGCAAAACCAAGCCCTCTCTTCCTTTCACTTTCCCCATCCGTCAGAGTTTGCCTGGTTCTTCGCTGCTGCAATGCTGTTATAATTACCGCTAACCGGCGAATCCTCTGTTCCCTTCAATCAGTCTCTATCCTCCTTCCTCCCTTTCCCTCCCCTCACCTATCCCGAGACTCCTGGCTGCCCTGCCAAGAGGCGCTCAGAGACGCCTGGTATTCGAGTGTGTAGATCTCGACCTTTTTGGTGCCTTCAAAGTCTGCGACTTTGCTAACAAATCTCGCCTTTCACTGGCCCCAGCCTACACAGGGGGAGCGATCTTCGCTTCATCACCCTCTACGACACCCGTCGACAGTGACGCCGCAGCCAATTCGAGCAAAGTCGTTGTGTGCGTCTGTACGTTCAAAAGACCGAGCCGCCCAAGCCTGTGGCCACCCGTCGTGCCTTGTGCCAGCTTTTTAGTATTACAGCCTCTGTTGCCGACAAAGGCTCGCGATCGCTGATTTGCCTTGGTTTTTTGCTCGGCTAAGGCATTGAGTCAGCGTTGGCTGTTCAGTGCAGTCTGACAGGTCCGGAGGAAGGAAGGTGGTGTGTAAGCGGGAGTGTGCAATCAGAGTCAGAACATCCAGTCATTCATCAACGGCACCTGCCCAGTCATCCGTGACAATACAGGTTCCTTGTGACACCCGTGGCCTGGAAAGAAAAATGGCCGCTGCTGCCGCTGTTCAGATGGCTTCCTTAGGAGGTATCTTCTTTCACCCCCGTCATTTTAAGCCACTTGCTACCCTCCTTTTTTTTTCCTCTTAATTTGTGCCCCTTTTTTTCTCCTTCAAAGCGCGTTTAGCAAGCAAACAAACAAACAAACAGTAAACTCAACCATTTCGTCTTAGATCCCTCCTCGGGCGCCACGGACGCCAACAAGCCCAGCATATCATCGTCCTCGCCCTATCACTATCCCACCGATTTGCCGCATCCGATTCTCGAAGAAGATGATGAGACCGAGAGCGAAGTCGCAAATGAGCCAGTGACTCCCGCGAGCGGTCGCCAGTCGCAGGATTTTCAGGCTCTTTCAGCTCATGATGTGCAAGTCGACGCTGCCCACGACCAACTTGCCGCTGACTCGAGTTCTGCCACTCCCTTTCCCTCTCTACAGTCGGATCTCACCACTACCGCAAAGCCACCTTTTGTCTTGGACACCATAACGACGCCTGCTTCCAACGTCGTGAAAACTCCAACCCCTCAGCAGTCAACTTCCACAGCTGCCGTGCCGACCCCTGACCAAGAAGCGACCACCCCTGCACCTCCTTCGAGACGTCCGACCTTCGGCTCGTCGGGTAATTTTCGACGTACTTTCTCCGCGCTGCTGAAAAGGGTTGGCAACCAACCAGACAAGAGTGCTACCGGTGTGTCGGATGCTGTTCCAGGCTTAAACCTATCCGAGACTGTGCCGCGAAAAGGACACATTCGTCGATGGTCGATGAATAGGAGTTCTGCCACTACTCGTTCCAATTCTCCTCCCTCACCTGACTCCCCGCTTGAAATGGCGATTAAGACCAGGGAACAAGCCTCCACTCCGACTGTCCCCAGCTCTGAGGCTTTCTTCAGCAAGAAGTCCCGAGCTCTGACTGGCTTTTCGTTGCGTTCCCGTCCTATCTTTAACAACAACGCAAACACAGCCCCGCGACCGCAAAATTTTCAGCTCAGGCGGCGTGCAAACAGTTTTGATTATTCCAAAGAAGAACAACCTGTGGTTGAGTCCGCGGACAAGGCAATACCCATGGAGCGGTCCCCTTGGGCACTTCCCGCAGAGACGGGAACCGGTGTCAAAGCTAGGCGCATGAGCTTGAGCTTGCCAGACGATTTCACTGTGGATGTTGTAGAGTTGACATCAGAGTTCGAGTACCAGCACAAGTTGCTGGGTCGGCATGGCAAGCATCTTGGCAAGGGTGCTACTTCCAAGGTAACCCTGATGGTGTCCAAGAACGGCGGTGAATTGTACGCTGTTAAGGAGTTCCGGGGCAAGTCGTCAAGCGAAACAAAGGAGGAATACGAAAAGAAGATCAAATCTGAGTATACGCTGGCCAAGAGCTTACACCATCCTAATATTGTTGACACCATTCGTCTTTGCATTGATCACGGCCGCTGGAACCACGTCATGGAATACTGCGAGGACGGCGACTTGTTTACTCTGGTCAACAAAAAATACCTCAAGGGAGAAGACCGAGAGAAGGACCGTCTTTGCCTTTTTAAGCAGCTGGTCACCGGCATCCATTATCTTCACTCGAACGGCATTGCTCATCGTGATATCAAGCTCGAGAACTTGCTGATCACGAAGGAATGTCGACTAAAAATCACCGACTTTGGCGTCTCCGAAGTCTTCTCCGGCATCCACCCGGGCCTTAGGGAAGCAGGCGGGCAGTGCGGCAAGAACATGGGCGAAGTGCGCCTCTGTGCTCCGGCTATCTGTGGTAGCATACCATACATTTCTCCCGAGGTCCTTGCGAAGAAGGAGTATTATGACCCAAGAGGTCTAGATGTTTGGAGTGCCGCAGTCGTTATGATTCACCTCATTTTCGGCGGGCCTCTGTGGCATAGGGCCGAAGTAAACCCCGAGAATCCCAAGGACACATACTCCAGCCTGGTTCGTGGCTGGGAGAAGTGGAGCAAAAGCCATGCCGACACTCCTGATATGGTCATCACCGAGATGGACTACCCGCATGTGTGGGTATTTGACGAGTTTGTGAAGCCTCCGGCCCTTCGCAGGGTGCTTCTGCAGATGCTCAACCCCGATCCGAAGAGGAGGATCACAATTGCCAATGTTGTCAACAATCGATGGGTCAAGAACATTGAATGCTGCTCTCCGGAAACTTACGATGAGCCAAATGCTGCGACTATGATTGATGCGTCCAAGAAGTCATGCCAGACTCGGGCGAACGGCAAGAAAATCTACTGCCACAACCATCTGCCGCCTAAGGAAGTCGGCATGCATTCACTTGGTCGCATGCCTGGCAGCTAGTCTCGATGCAGGTGAGAATTATAGGTGCACATTGCGCCAACTGCAGAGCAGGGACACGCTTCTGGGAATCTCTTCTATCATCTTGAATTTAATTCCGGCAGACTGCTTTCAAGTACGTGTTTTAATTGGGTTCATTGCAACGAGATACACGGCGTTATAGGAGCTTGGGTGCATCAACATAAGAATATTCCAGCAGGCCAGGCGGTGTATTTTTTTGGTGTGGGTAAAAGGTCTGTCAGGGAGGTACCTAGTGGGTGTTGATCATAGATGTAACTGGCAATGACCCAAGTGGTCTAGCTTCTGTGGCATCTCTTTTTTTTTTTTTCGTCGTCTAAATCTCTAGAGAAGCAATCAAGAATGCAGAGGCGTTGCCATCGTATTTTGTTCACATAGTTGTAGATACAACAGCTGCGCAACTTCAATATTTGGGAACAGAGATTAAAGTCGGGACCACATGATTTCCGTTGCTCTTACCATAAACCCCCCTCTGCTTTAACGACCACAACAACTCCGATAACATGTTTGAATTGGGCTTCGACGTGGTTTGATACAGCCGTGTTACTTATCAAGGCAAGTTGGAGGGCCAGGGGAGGTCAAATTGTTTACCAGCTTGCTTCGACCGAGTTGAGCCGAGTGTCATGCGTTCTGAGGAAGTAGGACACGCGATCACACCAGGCTCGAATTGAACGAAAAACTCAATGACAAATAGCAAATCTATGGGAAGTACAAGACGATCAACAACTACGTGCAAGTTTGACGGTCTTCAGCTACGGCTCACAGGGTAAGTGAGGAGCATATCATACCCAGAGTGTGTATCCGCTTTTTCTGCGCCTTCCTGGCTTTCCTTCCAAAATTGAGGTCTAATATTCAAAATAGTACACGGGTACACCAAGTCTTTGCCTAGACAAGCAATCCTCCAGATCTCCGTGCCTAGATGCGTAGATGGCGCGGCAATGCCCCAGCCGTGTATGTCTCCATGTCCTCTGCAATGTATACAGGCGGCTGTCGTCCTGCAGGTGGCGGAAGGTTGTTTCTGGGAGCAAACGTGTTCGAACAGTAGACTACACAAAAAGGTACACAGGTTGGCCAGTGACATGTTCCGTGGGGCTTAAGGATTGCCTGAAAACAATCGCACGTCTTTGCTTTCTCCGGACCTTGGCCCTTTCCAAATTCTTTGCTATGAACTCAGCACAACGGGACACCGCGGGGGAATGGTTCAGTCTTGGTTCCCACATTGTCACTCCATAGGTTACCCAGCGGATGTGTTGGCAGGTTTGGCGGCGACGGGCGTTTATGGGACCTCGGAACACCCGGCGGATGGCTGCGGTTGCGGACGGATCTCGGAGAACGGGCTCTGCTGTCTTGCGGCAACCGCTTAAGAATTGCCGCCAGACGGAAGGTCAGTGCAATTTGCGGTGGCTTGGTGAACGTGCTCAGACGCCACGCACACGCCCTGCAGAGAATGATTCCAGCATCGACACAGTATATGATCGGCTGAGCTTGGGGGATGGGCTGAGCGGGACTGGGCTGGGCTGGGCTGGGCTGCTGCGTGCAGGGCAACACGCAGCGAAGCGGCTTCTCAAAAACGGAAGACCGCTTCTTTAATCTTTTGCCCTATCTCCAAAATGCTCCTGGATGCAGCAAAGTATCGATTGGTGGCTTCGTTGCGCAAGCGGTGTTGCGGAGCACAGCACACGGCGGCAATGAGGGAACGCATACTGTGGATGCACGAGCCATCCGTTAGGGAGGGGCGAACTATTCGCTGGCAAAGATGAAAGCGGGGACCGGCATTCCTTAACAGAGTGCACTTATATACCTATTGGCCCCGCACGCTCGGCTGGGGGTTTTTGCTCGAGGTAATCAAGGTTGCCGATGGTGATGATGATAATGCTGAGTCCTTACCTGACGCCGGTTCTGAGCAGTCACAGCGAAAATCAACCCCTTAGTTGCTGGATCCAGGCCTGCCTTGTATGCATGCAGCTGCACGATGTCGGTCCAGTGATGTAACACTAAGTGCATTGCGTGGGGGTTGCTCGGTTCTCACGAAAGGCGGAAGAGAAGACTGTCTTTGGCTCCTCCCTCGAACGAGAGCCCAGCGTCCAAAAGTCAAAAACGTCGTTTGGGTATTTGGGCCTACATGCGGTTTACCACCGACAGACAGGTCGAGAATTTGCGTCACCACAGTCCATAACTGCTGTATAAACCACCGACACCATCTGTCATGCTTTGTTTGCCATATCTCTCCCGCATTCTCTGACCAGCAGCGTATCTGCACGTCCAGATGCTTCGTAGATAAGATGTTAGTTATCCGGTGTTGCCCGATTGTGGACAGTCTCTCGTAAAACCATATGAATGTCTTCCAACAGGCTACCTAACAACCTATCTACATGCAACCGATGAACTGTCTGTAGAAAGTCACAAACGTCCCTTTGACCCGCATGCGCCCGTGTCGTGATGTTGTTAAGCCATTAGCAACACCTATGATCTAATTGGGAGCTCCCAATGAATCGGTAGTGTCCTGTCTCCCTAGCTGTTGAATTCTTAAGAAGGTGACTACCTACGTATTTAGAGGTAAGTTCTCCTGCCATTAAATCGATTATTGTCGATAAAATTCGGCCTCTGGGTAGGTTGTTCTGGAAGGAATCGAGCCGATGTAGCATACGGGAGTACAACAGTTGTTGTCGAGCTGTTTGGTCAGAGCTGAATTTCGCAAGATTCTCCGAGAGTCGGGTGAGCGGTAGGCCACTTTAGATCTAGCGGTCTTCAAACGTTATGGAAGGGAAGTTTTCGAGGAAGCGGCAACACAAAGCCTCGTATAAGTTGCCAGCCTGTTAATTTGGCAAGCGTTTATCCATTTCCTTCCTCTCCTCTTTTTCTCCCTCCCTACCTGTCTTGCTGATGTCCCACCTTGACAGCTAATAAAGCACCACAGATTGTTAAACATGCATCTGTTTCAATCGGTATCGCACTATATACAACTAAGAGCAAAATCACAACGTATCTTACGAAGTCTCCCAACAAGAACTTACACCTGGGGTATTATGCCTCGCAAAACATAAAAACATCGACGCTGAATCCCAGAAACGTTCACAATTTCTAGCTTCTATGTCCTGCTGTCCGACTGCCACCAAAGTATTACCTGGTGGTTTTGATCAATTTCATCCCCGTGGTCGGGTCAATATTCGAAACGAAAAAAAAAAAAAAAGATGGGGAAGAAAATGGATATCCATGCGCAAAGAAAGAGCCATAGTTATGTACAATAGCTGGGTATTCTGCATGGCTATTAGCGTATTGCTCCGAAGGGTGCCCCAAAATTCAAGCAGTTTTTGAACTTTAGCGGAACCTCTGATTCCTCGGCAGACTCAGTGCCCCCGTTGTCCTTGTCAACTCCATCAGAGAGCTTCTGCTGCTGTTCATAAGAGTCGGCAGAGCTTTTCAACACTGCAGGAAGCGCTGCCTCATCGTCCTTCGAGACCTCTTCTAGCTTGTCTGCAAGCTTCTGAAAGAAGATCTCGTCATGTGCCGGCATGTTTCTCACCATCAACGGCCCCCCTGAGCGGGCGATCTTCGTCAGGTATGAAGAGGGGCTCAGGCTCATTGTCGTAAGGGTCATAGTCCGAGCCCTGTGAAGCATTCTTAACTAGAGCGGTGCTTTGCGCTGGTTCCGGAGTATCGCTTGCTTCCTCGAAACTGACAGCTGCCCGTTGGACGGTCATATCGTTTGCTCCTTGCGCGGCAGGAGTGCTGTCGCCACCATTAGCTGTTGCGGTTGCTGTTGCAGATGATGTGACTGTGGCCACAGATGAGAGAGAGTGATTCGGTGTGTGGCCAGCGTGCATGGTAAGGCGATCGGATTCTTTGGCTGCGAGAACTTCCAAAGTCTGTGGGTTCGAGGTCCGTGCGGACCTGGGCTGCACTGAAGTTGTTGCTGGTGGATCAGACAACTTCGATACTCCGGAATCAGAATCTCCAACGTGATCGGCAAAGGTGGGCTTTTTAACAGCAGCAGCTTTGATTCTGATCCCCTCCAGCTCAGGATCGATCTCATGCACATCAACAACGGGCATGGGACCAGACTCATTCGCTAGAGTTGTGCTTGGCTTGAGAAAGTCGGGTGTAGAAGTCCTTGGACCCTTCAGTGTTAAGACGCTCATTCCATTAAGTATGGGTTGGTCTTGTCGAATTCCCCCAGCTTGCTGGAACAAAGAACGCGGTGAATAAAGCCCGTTCCGGTTGGAGGGCACATCATTTGCAGAGAGTGGAGGGAGACGCCCTTGGGGAGATTGCGAACTTTTTGTGTTCTCCCACAAGAACTTAACAGCGTCGCCTCGAGCCCCAGTTGGAAGGGTTGTAGGTGAGGACACGGAAGAACCATTACGAACTGACTGTGTGGCACCTCCACTGAGCGAGACAACCTGCTGCCGCAGCCGCTGTATCTCTTGCAACAAAGCAGTTCTCTCTGCCTCCCATGCCTCTCGTTCTTCCTCCATTAGAGCCCGCTCTTCCTTGTAAACCTCTTCTGCTCGTTCGCGATTTGCCTCCAGATATTTCCGTTCGGCCTCCCAAGCCTCTCTCAGACGGCTGTTTTGTTGAATCAAGCGCCTGATGATCTGAGCCTGAGAGCTCTCGCTTGCATTGGAAGGGCCGGATATGCCGAAGCCAGTTGAAATTAGATCCATCGAAGACAGCACAGTCTCTGGTGCAAATCCTGCGCTCCCCAAGGGAAGACCGGCAGTAGAGCGCCCCTGTAGGCCCAACTCATTCGAGCTGTCTCTTGGAGACGCGATGTTGTCACGCGACTGGGGAGAGATACTGGCTGATCGGCACTGTTCGAGACGTTGTCGGCCCGCTTTTGATATTGGGAGAGGCTGGTGGGAAAACGATGGCATTGGTTGATGAGCGGCAGAGAGATAGGGGTAGAGATGACTCCGTTAACGACTCAGTAGATCTATGGGGATGATGAAGGGCAGTGTTGGAGAACAGCGAAGGGGAACGGCGGCCTCGCGAGTGAACCGGACCAAGCACCCAGCGCCTGCTTGGAAGAAGGGACATGTGAACCGCGAACAACGGTGGATGACGATGGGATCAACACCACCGGCCAAGACAAAAGACCAAGCCCGACAGGGCCGAGGCTCTGCTGCTACCTCGTTTGCCGTTGCTATTATGAAGGTCGGTTGAGCTGTCTAAAATGTCGAATTTGGTCCCTGCTGTCACTGACAAGTCGCACGACGCAAAAAGGCGTTTGCAGATACAGATGCAGTTCCAGGATCAGATCGAAGAACGAGGTCGGGCACAAGTTACAACATCCCGCGGCGGGCAGATGAGTTGCACCCAACCCTCCCCGCCCAAGGAGCCTGGGGGACCCACTTTTTGGTACAAACACATAGGTACCGCTCGGGTCCGCATTGCCCGAGCCGTGACCCTGACAACCACAAGCCGCCAACAAGGTTGCACAACAATGGTGTCGACTGTAGGGCTGCTTACGCATAAGAAACAGCCATAGGCTACAGCGTCATCCTCCTATTGCAACAGCAACATGGAACGTGCCCTTTACATCCACTTGGCAGTAGAGAATACATGAAGTGCAGGTGATCAGCAACAGGGTATTATTTGCAGGGCGAAGAGCGCAGCGTCTCGCTCAACACCAGAACAATATCTTGAGCGATACCCAAACCTGAGGGGGTGGGCATTTGCTGATTTTTAAAATCTCTAATAAGAGATTATCCAAATTAGTCATTATCAGTACGGTTAACTGTCTGGGCTGCTAATATATTAATAGTCCCGGGGAGGGGGGGTTGGGTTGAGTCCTGGCCGGCCTCAGCTCATCTTTTTCTCCATCAGCTCGGCCAGTTCGTCGAGCAATTCAACCGTCTCTGCTGGACTCGCAATCCATGCTGTGGTGCCAACACTCCGAGCCCGGAAATCGTTTGCGCCGGCGCTCAAGAACTGGTCCCCCACATGAAGAGTGTTCTCTCCCTTGATCATTCCTCCCGGTAGATCGGTTCCGAACCATCTTTGGCAAACTTTCACTCCCCAACTTTTATCCCCGATGTCGACGAAGACATCTCTACCACCGTTGAAAGCACAGAATGGGACCTTCTTCTTCCTGCCCGCGCTGCTCAGCTCCAAGATTTTCTGCACCACCAACACTGTCTCTTCAAGGGATTCGCGTGGGATTCGAGTCTCGGGCGGGTTGGGCACGATACCCACTGCACGGTCTTTGCGCATCAGGGTTGCCGGTAAGTTGAGTGTTTTGATGCATTCACGTAGCGCTTCTTCAGCAACATCAAGCAGCTCTGAGATATCGCGCTCGTCCCAAGAAGCCATCTCAGGCGTCAGCCAGCGTTCCCGTGGGATGGGCTCCAACAAGTGCGGAGACGACGGGGAAAAGGCAAAGAGATAATTTGCTTCTCCGCCCATGATAATGAGAGACTGTTTTTGGGCTGGCGTGAGCTCCGCATTGTTGGCGAGCGCATCTAGCAAGCCATGCAAACGTGTGTAGTACTTGTCGGCTGTAGTGTATCCCGCAGCAGTAACAATCCCGATCTTGACGTTCTTACGCAGAAGATCTGGTTTCCTAATGTCAGTGAAAAGAGGAAAGGAATTCAAACATAGCAACAGGAACGCTCATGCATACCAATCAGTCTGGGAATCACCGGACTATCTGGCTCCAGGCTCTTCCCATCGTCATACAGAGTCACATCTCCATCAAATGTGGCAAGCTGCAGCGTCCCATAGGTTGTGACCGCCATGATTTGGGCTGAGTTGAGGATTAAACGAACATCGTTGAAGGAGGGAGAAACGAAACGTCGAGATGAGATGTAGCGCTTGTTGTCTTGAAACTTGAATGCAGCTTCTAGGGGAAGACGTGTAAAGAAAGGTCCGATGCTCGGCACTAAGAGCTTGAGCTTGGAAGGAAATGGGTTGGCCGGGTCGTTCTGGTGAGCAACTAGGTCCAGCAAAACCCAATGGTCAGGTACTTTTTCTGGAGCAGGCAGCAGATATTCGGCTGTTTGCTTACTGTGTTCATCAATCATACCCTCGACGTCTCGAAGAATCTCGCTGTACCGCCGGTGGGCTTCTTCCCGAGCTTGTGACAGGCTGCTAAGGCTCTGGCCATCGAAAACACCTTGCGGTTGCGAATACAGGACAAACGGAACTGCCAGCAGACCCTTGATCCATTCTGCAGAGAATTAGAAGCTGTCTCAACTCTCAAGCGGACTACTAGTTAAGACAGGCCGCAGAGGGGTCCAAGCCGGGGATCCAGTAGAAGGGGGATTGGAGTTGAGCTACCTATGAACTGATCTCGACGGTGAGACTTGAGGGCATCTGTCTCTGGGTTAGCTCTGTATCGTCTCGCTGATAATGTAGCGGTAATCTAAGCAAAAGGCAAGAACCAAATACACTGACATTCAACACGATATCTGGTGGTCATGGTGGGGAGTTAGGTCTAGGGCTTGAATGTGAAACCTCTTCTCATTAATCGTGGCTTGGAGGCGCTATTCAGAAGATAAAATACACGGTTTTTCTGACTGAATTCAGGAGATGCGCTCCCCGGTTCTTAAAGCGGCGATAGAACACTCATTTCATGGATCGTAGTCACCGCTTCCCACACCGGGTGCTGTGCCGGGCCTAGCTATCAACCGGCTGATACGCGGTTGGTCAAGGCCCTTTCAGTGTTCCATGGTGGCGCCGCCCAATGGCCGTTGCAGGATGATGTCACAGGGGAACCTAGGCATACAAGAACCAATCAAGAGCGGATCTGTCTGGCAGCGTCCGCGCCAAACCCGCTGGAGCCCGACAACTTGGCACCAGCAAGGTTGCAGATCGGCCGTCTCCGACTGTCTGGGCCACGTCATGGATAAACCCGAAAAGAAGATGAACGGGTAGCTTGACAGGCAACTGGAACCCTAAAAACATGAAATGCTCCAAGTCAACGAAAACATATGCTGCAGCGGAACAACCTTAAGCATATGGAAAAAGAGACTCGATCGTTCTCAACCTAGCACGCTTCGACCCCACAGGACGAATTACCTGTCTTCTTTTCAGGGGGGGAGGGAGTTGCACATCCATCCCATGTGATCGCGTCGAGATTCACAGGTTGCCAAGCATGCAAGCCTTCTGCAATAGGGATCCGTACTCTAGATGCATATGATATACACCGCCAACCAACCATGAGTTTCCACTACAATACATTTATTTGGGTATCAGGTCCAAACGAAAACTAAGTGCTAACAGACAACCCTTGTAGCGATCAGCCGTCCTGTATCATCATACAACCCGCTATGCCTGTTGTCCATTTGCAGGAGCATCCCCTTCCCCGAGTTCCATGTTGTCGGTCCAAGCTGAGTATTCATCATCATCATCGCCCACGGGGCTTGGAATCGTCGCTTTGCTTTCTAAGTTCGACACTTCAGCAGCAATATCAAGAGTTTGATCTGGACCTGCGCCTTGGGAGCCTGCGGCATTAACATCGTTCGAGGAACCGTCGAGGAGTTGATCATTATCCGGTAACGGCATGCCACCGAACGTACTGTGAGAACCGTTTGTGGGAGAGGTTGGCTCGGACTCCGAAGGTGCAGCAACGACGAGCAGGCCTGGATCTATGATGACTTCTCCATGAAATTGGCGTCTCCTAGGAAGAGGAGGGGGTACCGAATGGCTCTCTGCGCTCTGGCCAGCGGATTCGGTCTCTCTGATTACAGATGAAGACGCCTTAGATATCCATTTGGGGACTGGAATCGGCGTCACCGAGATCTTCCGATCCGGCATGGGGAGGGGTGTGCCAGGGGGTGGTAGAGGTTGGCCTCGACCCATTGGCTGACTGAGATCGATAACAGATGCTTGATCGCGCTTTTGTCCAGAATCCGTTGCTGTATCATTAGCTCTGCGTTGGAATGCACTTATTCCCCATCGTTTTGCAGACGCTGCAGCATTTGCAACAGCACTTAGGGCACTTTTCTTATTAATGTCAGGTGCCACTTGCAAATTTGAGCTAGATGATATGGACAAGACTGTTTCGCGGTGGCTGAAAACGCTCCTTCCAAGACTCTTTGCTTGGCCTTGTGTCGGATTCAGGGACGACCACAACGTAGACTGTGAGGCAACAGCATGCTGGTTTTCAGAAGACGACGACGTGTTTTGGTGAAGTTGTGGGTTTCTGTCCAGGTTATTTTCGGCATCGTTGGTTTCTTGAAATGAAGAGGATGAACCTGAACGACTGCTTGACTTTGAAGTGACATAAGGCTTGTATGCGTTTGGATCAGATCCCTGAGCAAGAGACAAAGACTGTGACTTAGCCGTCAGCGTTGCCATGGCTAAAGCAGCTGAACCCCCATTGGGAGGGGACGATGAGGGCCTAAATTGGTCTGCAATAGCTGGAACAGTCCCAACTGTTGGAGTTGACGGCTGGAATGCTGCCGAAAGAAGGGGAGGTGGTACGACACCCTCATTCTTTGCATCATTTTTGACTGATATCGGTAATGTTGTTACAGATGACGACTGAGTGGGCAGGAAGTCTGTTTTGCTGTCTTTGCTCGAAAGCTTTCTCGCAAAGAGCCCAAGGGTTGCTTTCTTTTCAACTAGCGGAGAGTTGCCACTCTTGTCTGGAAGAAACTTTTCGGGTGATATTTGTTCTGTATCGTCTGTCGCATGAGCAGCTTCAAGGCTTTCACCGTCAGTGGCCTCTTTTTCTAACGGGGCACGTGCTTCAGGATTGGAAGGGGATTTAATGGAATCATCATGGAAAATCCCTCCTCTCCATCTTTTATGTTCGGTATTGAAAAACGGTGTGTCGTCCCAGAACGGCAAGACAATGGTCTCTGCAATGACCTCTTTGATTCTGTTCTCTATCTGGCGGAGGATAACGGTGTATGTAATCTGCCGGGAGCTGACAATGGGCTCGATGGTCATCTCCAGTTTCGGCATTTGTTGAAAAGAAAACCAGATGCGGTTGCTTGGCGGAGGCTTGATTTTGAACAATGCGCGCCCTTCGAGTTTTCGAACTACTACAGCGAGGACCAAGTTTACCTCTCGTGGCTTGAAGCGGGAACCTAAATCAATTCGGGCAGTGGCTGCAACTTCGAGCCGGAAATTCCCTGTGTAGCGCACATCAGACTCCATGGTGCATTCTCCCTCGATGGTCAAGTCCTTCAGTCGTGGGTTCGTGAAGTATGGCGCCGACTCTCCAGTATCAATGGACTTAATGGCAATGTTGGATAGAAAAGAGGGTCTTTTGACCCTGGATATCTTTTTTGTCAGCTTCTCCCGGATGAAAATTTCGATGTCCTTAGTTTTATGGATACCGAGGAACACTCTTCCAATCATGGCATTCAACCATCTTGTTTGCAGGTGTTCTTCCGAAGAGTGCAATTTCTGGACCAGTGATATAATATGCTTGACGTCGAATTGGATAGGCGTTGGGAAAACCCTGTTCTCAGCAGCAAATGTCTGCTCTTGATTCCGAAGAAGAGCGAAGTAAAAATCTTCCTTCGCGGAACAATTCTCGGAGAACAGAAAGAAGGGCTTGGAGGGTTGACTGTCAAGGCCGAGATTTAGTCCGTCTTGACGTCGCGTTAGACAGATAGCGTTGCGTTTGATCCAGAGCTCTCCTTCTGGAATTACTTCCTCTCCCGAGTAGATGCTAACGTCATGATGCGCCAGTGAAATTACGTGTCGCACTTCTAACTGTTCATCATCATCGAAAAGCATCAAATGACCATGCCTGTCGTCAAAGTTAGGAATCGTGGATCACGGAGAAACGAAGAAGTATGCCCTACCTAAGGACAACATAAAAGACATTTCCAGCTTTCTTAGGCCGTTGACTAGCTCCATTCTTTCCATCTAGTGGACTTGGAACAGGTTTTCGGTCGAAAAGGCTCCGGTACATGGTCTGATAAACACTGGGGCTAGGAGCAACAACCGTCGTCGAGCCGACGGGAGTCGAACGTTCAATGGGTTTTGCGTTGATTCCCATAGGTGTATACTCGCGACAAACCGCAAAGTAGCCAGCAGCAACATTCGAATCGTCAGGAGACGCACGAAACTTAGCCACATCTTTCTGCACCATCTTGAGCGGTTCGAGATCGTCTCCAGATTGAATTAAATCATCCCCGTTATGCACGCAACTGTCCGCATCGCGGCGATATGGAAGTGTAAGGTACGCATGAGCAAAGATGATGATCAAAACCAGAGGGATGAACGTGAGACCTCCGAAGAGGTAGGCCAGGAGAAAAGTTGTCCAGTCCATTGTTTCTACCGCGCTTGCAGTGCGACGAGAGCAGAGTCGACTCTGCTACTTATCTGGCCAAAGAATTAATTGCGAGCGCATGGGTCAAACTAATGGCAAGCGATCGGGCCTGCAATTCAAGAACCACACTAAAGCTGAGGGCATCAGGCTCGAGTACAAGAGAACCAACTGAGCTGGTCTGTTCGCGATGACAACTGTCGATATGAACTCGGTGCGAACGACGGCAGAGAGTGCTCCGGGGATATTGCGTCAGGTGCCTCGCTTTGCATGGGCGTCCCACCATTATCTATGGGCTGAACAGGAGGAGCCCCACTGCCTGTTGGAGCTTTAGCCTGGACCGTTGCAGGGGAGCAGCAGGAGCCAGGTCACAGAGGCGCACACAAGCGACAGACAGGATGAGGAGCTTCAACTCTCTTGTGAAACTTTTCAACTTTTGACGGAATCTTGATGGCCTGTTCAAAATGGAAGAGCCAAAACACCTCCATTATGGACCCGAAGTAACGCTTCATCAGCGCGCAGAAGATTGTCAAAATTTACAAACTTACCAATGGCCACCTGCCTGCTGAATACAAAGTGCTTTATCGTCTGCCACTCGATTAAGGCTCTAGACAATTGATCTCCAATATTGACTTACACTGTCTTAGGTGTGAGTAGCGTTTCTTTCGGGATGTATAAACGCACATATCACTTGCAAAAGTACCTGGATCCTACAACCAATCGAGGCCCACGATCTGTTGTGATTAGATTGCGTGCTAGAAATCTGCTATGTAGGGGGTTCACAGTTGGCAAAATCAAGGGCAGACCTGAGGTGCTTATGTGTAGCTGAAATGTCGAGACCTTCATCAACAGGTACCTATTGCGAGACAGCCTTCCAATATGAGGCACTCGATCTTGTCCGGCCCGCGCGTCACATTTGCACCATGCCGGATGAGCTCGATCTCCTGAGCCGCCTTCGGTCATGCCATTGGTATTTTGAGTCCTATGAGCATTCCTGCACCCCAGACCAAATCCATGCAGGAGATCCCTCCATGCCAAACGCAATGAACCCCATGCAGAGAAAAGCAAGCAAGCCATATCTAATCCCACCAAATCCAGCACCCCACCATGACCAGGCTTAGATGGTGGTCTCGTAGGCGACGGGAGCGAGCGTCACGGGCTTGTTGTCGGCAATCGAGACTGTGTGGGCCTCGCGAGGCATTGCAGGTTGCCTCTTCAGCTGGACCGGAACGCCCTCAGCCTTCGCCTTCTTTTTCAGCTCAGCATTCTCCTTCACGCGACGGAGGAAGTCCTCCCGTGACCGCGACGGCTTGACGTGCTCGATCCGAACGTTGATGCGCTTCTCGATGTAGCGGTGCTTGACCCTCTTGTAAACGATCACACCGACAGCCGACTTAGTGACGTTGTAGACGACACCGGTCTTGCCATGGTAAAATTTGTGGGGCATGCTGTTTTGTGATCAGAGTCAGCCCCGAGAACATTGGTTGGACGACAAATTTTGTTGATGAAAATGTTGAAGGAATCGACACCGCTGCCATATGTAGAACGGTTTCGTTGTTCTTTCCTGGGTTCAAGCAGGCATCATGAAATTGCTTCTTACCCCTTCTGAACAGCACCGTTGACCTTGATGTCAACAATGTCGCCGACCCTATCTCTTAGTTAGTAACTGAACCGTGCACTCGCGATTTTGTCAAAGGTATTGGCGTACCTGTACGTCCTGAGATAGGTCGACAGAGGGATTTGGCCATGCTTCCGGAAACCCCGGGAGAAGGCGTATCTCGTGCCAGAACGGAGACCTGCGGCGTGACCCATCTTGCCTGTTTGGTGGGTGTGTCGGCGAGGATCGAGATGTCGATGTTGGTGTTGCTGCGGGCGGTAAAATTGGGGTTTTTTCTTGTGTGGAAGCAAATCCAAGCCAGGATTTCGGATAGGGTGACTAAGCAGGGTGTGGGTGCTTGGGCCAACGCCTTATCGTTAGGGCTGGCATTCACGATACGCACGGACCACCACAAATCCTCTCTACCCTCCCAATTTTCAAGCAACTTCAAAGCCGCAGAAACTTTTGAGAATTTCAGTTTGGTCGACCAACCTTCGATAGCCTCACCGACAAGATGGCGCCGCGCAAGTATTCGAAGACCTATAAGGTCCCGCGTCGTCCTTACGAGGCCGCTCGCCTGTGCGTTTGACCTTCGCTTTCTCTTCTTCAATTGCAGCCTCTGCTTGACGGTGTTCAAATTCACCTAGTCAACGCATGCTTGCAGCATCACCGGCCACTGAGCAAGAGCTTGTCTCTGCTTACGTCGATTGTGATCATGGGCTGACTTCTCGGATATCAGTGACTCCGAGCTGAAGCTCGTTGGCGAGTATGGTCTCCGGAACAAGCGTGAGGTCTGGCGTGTCCTCCTCACACTCTCCAAGATTCGTCGCGCAGCCCGGTAAGCAAAGCCTTTCAAGGAGTGCCCGTTTTCTCAGAATCCTGACATTTGTTCCAACTTGTAGTATTCTCCTCACTCTCGACGAGAAGGACCCTAAACGCCTCTTCGAAGGCAATGCTCTTATTCGCCGCCTTGTGCGCATCGGCGTGCTCGACGAGTCTCGCATGAAGCTGGATTACGTCCTGGCCCTTAAGGCTGAGGACTTTTTAGAGCGCCGCCTTCAGACTCTTGTCTACAAGCTTGGCCTCGCCAAGTCCATCCATCACGCTCGCGTCCTGATCCGCCAGCGCCACATTCGCGTCGGCAAGCAGATCGTGAACGTGCCGTCCTTCATGGTCCGCCTCGACTCTCAGAAACACATTGATTTCGCTCTGACTTCTCCGTTCGGCGGTGGTCGCCCTGGCCGTGTCCGGAGAAAGAAGGCCAAGGCCGCCGAGGGCGGCGAGGGTGGTGAGGAGGAGGAGGAGGAGTAAATCCAAAGTGTTTTCGATACCAGGGAATGATTGGGATTGCACCAAACGGACTACAAAAATTGGTTCGGCCGGGACTTTGGGACTCTACATCAATGCTCGTGCGACATCTATAGTCAGGGGAGCGAATGCATGGTCATTTACGTGGTGTATGATCGAGTCCGCAGGTCACCAATCGCCTAAACGCCTTACTTGCTCCTTATAACAAAGGGAAACCAATTATCCCTTACAATGTTGCATGAAGTGCAAATTGATTAGCGGCTGCATTTGTCCTCTGCCAAGTGACCGAATTATTACCCACACCTAAAAAAATGACAAACATAAATGGGGGGTATCATCCTGAACATCGCCCTTAACTCTCTTCTGTTGCTCGCTTGTCCCATGCTTCGGCTTCTTCGAGAGCCCTCTTCCCAACATCACCCGTGCAATAGCTATTCTTGACAAATGAATGACAACAAGCGTACCCCCATTTGAAATCGGACCACCAACTTCCCCAAACAGAAGTATGATTGTTGATTAAAACATCCTCAGGGTACTTGGACTTAGCCTCTCTTTTGGGTGCGCCTTTAATCAAACCGGCCTCGTCGTACTCGACGAAGGTCTCGGACTCGGTGATGGCTGTTCGCAAGGCCTCGGGGAGAATAGGTTGCTCCCCATACTGACTGGCCAGCATCTCTGCACGTTTCCTTCGTTTTGCTTCTCGTTCCTCGCTCTCCTTTTTCCGGAGAAGCGCGCCGGCAGTGGGGTTGGCTTGTAGGTGTAGTGTGGTATCACCTGTTCGCTCTTGAACTTCCCATGCATATCGTTGTGCTTTCTCAAACTCAGCAGCCTCGCCTGATGCCCGGAGGAAGCTCTCTTCGGCAAACAACTTTGCGGACCTGTCACCCACAGCGCCGCCGTCAACGAGCGCGCGCTTTTTCGGGTTATACTTGGCGGAATCCGGATCCAAATTTAGCAGATATTTGGCTGTGTCTTCCCGGATTCTCATTGACTGCTTTATGGTTTTATCCCTCCCCATCTCAGACTCGTCAGCGTACTTGAAGCCTTTCTCATACCCGCTTTCGTCGCCGTCTTTCTTGTCACCGTTTTCTGCTTGCAACTTCCGCCGCGCCTCTTCAATCAAATTGTACTCTTCTACCACCTCTTGATATTGCTTGGGGTCGTACGCCGCCCAGATGTCCCGCTTTGCCTCGTATCCTTGCTTGACCTCCTCTCGCACAATACGATCGGCCTGAATATCTTTGCCTGTGTATTTCGCTCCAATTTTTCGCGGTCGCTCGAGGCAATCCTTTTTCTTGTGACCCATGGCACCACAGTTCTCACATGCGCCTTTAACCCATTTTGTCCGTGCAGGTCCAACTTTCTTGCCGCCCTTGTCGAGAATTGTTTTTTGTTCTTCTTGGGCAGCGCGCGCGCGCTGATGTTGGAGCGAATCGTCATGGTCTTCAAGGCCGCTAACGTAAAATGGCTGCTTACTGATGTACGAGGGGATGTATATGTTGTCTTCTTTGCGCGCGGCGCCTGCCCCAGTTTGATTGGAGCCGGTAGCTGATGTTGAAGGTGGCATCGTGAACTGGCTAAACTGCTAAGTTCCAGGAGATGGGTACGTGAATGGATCAAAAGTTTCTGGATGATGGCGGACTCGTGAATCATAAAACACCCGTTAGCTACAACCCTAACCCTGAGCACACAAGCAACGTAACGTGTACTTATGTACGGTACAGCCGCGTTTCCCTACATAACCAGAAGGGTCAGTTACCCAAGACGTTCAAATTTCAACCAAAGGGTTATTTGGCCAGCACATCCGCGATAATGTTCTACTCTGTAGTTGACAAATAGGAAAACCAGAGAACAGGTAACGCTCATAAAGCCGTAAGATTTCTTGTTTTTTGGAATGCAAGCTACCTAAGGTACCTAGTTCTCTTCACTACTAGGCGTTGCTGTGGGCCAAGCTCTACTGTGTACCGTGGATGGGTGACAGGACAGATTTTCACGTGATTTGGTGTTTCGTTCGTTCCCCACTGGGGCGCGGTCTTTAGCAGTACCGGTACGCCAACGCGTTTATACAGGCGAGGCCGTAGCTGAGGACTTTCCAGTTCAGGTTTCCCGAGACGTCAGAAAGCACTTTTATGGCTTTCTACAGCGCCGAGTTTGTCTGAATTTCAATACTCTTGATATTATAACCATCTCTGCTAGAGAAAGCTTCTAGTTGCTGTCACCATGGATGTTTTTCGCGTCCGGATCAACTGCATTGACTGCTATCAAGCAACACCCACACAGTATGACCCGCCACTGAGAAAAGACTGGCATCTTCTCGATGCCTCACAGAAACCTAAAGTTCCTGTCATCCGTGTGTTTGGGTCAACTGAAACAGGGCAAAAGGTGTGTGCTCATGTCCACGGGCTCTTCCCGTACCTCTACGTCGAATATGACGGTCCGCTAGATGCACTCACCGGTAAGTTCCTCCCTATCAGCTCTGGTGTCAGCAATACTTAACCAAATCTCAGTATCTGAATATATCTACAAGTTTCATTTATCAATCGACCGTGCGCTAGCAATCCATTTCAGGCGTCTTGGAGACCGAAAGTCAGAAAGCTTTGTCGCACGTATTACGCTTGTGAAAGGGGTGCCTTTCTACGGTTTCCATGTCGGTTACCGTTTTTATTTGAAAATCTACATGCTCAACCCCCTAGTTATGAGCAGGCTGGTACGCTGTTAGACATTCTCCCTTTTATTTGGTACATCAGCTCATTCTCCCAGGTCGACTTCCTTCATCGCGGCCTCATCATGGGGCGCAAATTCCAACCTTACGAGGCCCATCTCCAATACCTTTTACAAGTTATGGTTGATTACAATCTTTATGGTTGTGATTACCTCGAGGCGGCAAAGGTCACATTCCGAGCTCCTGTTCCAGTACCTGTCGAATCCGGTGAGACTAGCCGTCTCTGGGATAGCACTACAATACCACCAGAACTCGTTTTGGATCGGCCTGAACTTCCTCGGATTAGTCATTGTTCGATCGAGGTCGATGTGTGTGCCCAAGATATCCTAAACCGCTACAAAGTCCAAGAACGCCGCCTGCATCACGATTTCATCGAACGTGAGCGACCTTTTCGTCCGGATATGAAACTTGTGCACAGCATGGCCGAGTTGTGGAAAGATGAGGAACAGCGTCGGAGGAAGAAAATGGGAAAGTTGGATCAAAGCGCCAGTCCATTTCCACCAGAGGCTTTTGTTTCGATGTCAGCAGGGCCTCGCCATTCCGATTGTGAAGGTTGGATCCAGGAAACACAGTATCGGGAGGCAGTTCAAGAGATGATAGCACGTGATCCAGCCCTGAAGGAGGACGGAGAGCCGTTCTCATTTTCGAATTATGTTACGCGTGACCCTGAGGAAGAGAGGATCCAAACTGTGTTTCAGTCTGTTGAAGATTTTTTCCCAGAAAAGTCGCTGTCTGCGTTGGGTCTTGAGCATAGCCTATTTCGAGAGAGTTCGAACCTAGCTGATAACATACAAGTTGACGAGAAGGGTATCCTCGAACTCGAAATCGGAGAGGAGGAACGAGAACTTGTTGAACAGGAGGTTCTACTTGAGAACCAACGCGAGACCGGAGCAGTCCCAGAAGTGGGATTTGTGGATCAAAAAACCTGTTATTCAAGGTCAATCGCGACCTCGGACAGCAAAGAGATAAACCAGACTGAAACACGGCATTCCTCAGAGCACCACGCTCGAAATCTTGTTGAGACCTTGAAGAGAGAGATCCCAAAACTTAACACCGGCTTTGGCATCAGTGGAATGTGCTCAAGAAAGCGTCCATCGGGATCCACCTCTCAGCTTGTTATGCAGGCAAAGTTGAGAGAGCTGATATCCAACAGAGATCAGAAAGGCAGAATGAAAGAAACCTGTCAGCCTAAGTTAAAACGGCCAGCCCCCGAGGAGCTCAATGGGCTAGTTAAGAAACTACGGTTTGAGGAAGGCTATCAGACTGAGAAATATCTTGGAAAACCTGTCCCCAATGGTCAATCACTGCAAACAGTCGAGATGAAGAATGCCAAACCATTCATACCCAACCCACAAAGGCCATCACAAAAGCGACAACAAGTTGCCAAAGCGAAACGATTCAGAAATCAAACCCTCAGCTTTCCGGTCGTCAAGAATCCCTACGATCCCACCACACTATCAAGGCTCAGCCAGCGCAGCGACTTGCAAAAAACACACGAAACGGGGATTGGCAAATCCGTGCTCCATAGTCCTCAGCTTTCGAGAGCGTCGCTGTTGCTGAGCTCACAAGACTCAACGAAGAGTCCCACCCAGTTTCTCAAGCCCAAGCCTCTCTACTGGCAGGGCTCCCGTACAATGTACCTCTTCAGTCTTCCACCGCCTTCAGCATCAGAGGTCGCCACAACCATGACGATGTATGGACTTCCAGATGTACTGTATTTGGAAGCCCACTACAGCAACGATAAGGACGTGCCACCTCGTGAACGGGAACACGCTGGAAGAGATTACCGGTTGGATGGAAATAGCATCCTGTATCTTCCTGATTTTGATCCATCTGGTCAGTCCTCGGCCAGAAAGGGGCTGAAGCCTGAATCTGGGCCCAACCTTGCAAAGATTGCCTTGACCTACCAAAAACGACAGCGCGACTGCAGCTTACGAAGTTGGGAGATAGCGGACCTTCCTCCGAGCTTTGCGGAAGTGAAAGATTGGCTGGATGAGCAGCATGCGAAAATAAATGCTACAACCCGTCAAGCCGAGCTCGCGCGCAAAATGTACCCCGGAGGAAGTAAGACAAATAAGTCTGAGATTTCTCAAATTACAGGGCCAACCCCCAAACGATTCAAGTATTCACAAAATCAGGTGTCGAAAAGCGTCCAGCGTGAAACGCAATACATGAGCACCATGAGTCTGGAAATCCACGTCAATACCAGAGAGCATTTGCTCCCTGATCCCGAGGAAGACGAGGTGCAGTGCATATTCTGGTGCCTCAAATCAGATGAACAGTGTTTCCCCGGTGGGAGACCCGCGGACGGCATTCTTGCTGGCATCATTGTTCTTTCTGAAAACCGCGATTTGGTGCAACAAATCCGCAGCCAAACCTCAGTGGACGTCCTTGAAGAACCCACCGAGCTTGATCTCCTTACCAGAATGGTCGCGATCGTGCGGACACTTGACCCTGACATTCTAACTGGATACGAGGTTCATGGAAGTTCATGGGGGTATTTGATGGAAAGGGCAATGCACAAGTATCAATATGACCTCTGCACAGAGCTCAGTCGGGTCAAATCCCAGTCCTCCAAGGTGTTCAGGAGAGAACAGGATAATTGGGGCTTCAAAACGACTTCAACAATCCACGTGACTGGCAGACATACCATCAACATATGGAGGGCAATGAGGGCAGAGCTGAATCTTCTTCAATACGACCGACCGAACGTTGCGTGGCATCTTTTGCATGTTCGCCTTCCGCACTACAAGCCGTTTACTTTGACGAAATGGTATCGAAGCGGACGGTCAAGAGACTTCTGCAAATTCCTCCGGTATTATCTCAAGATTACGCGCATGAACCTTGACATCCTCGATGCCAGCGAGCTCATCCCCCGGACATGCGAGCAGGCAAGGTTGCTCGGTGTGGACTTTTTCTCCGTTTTCTCACGAGGTTCCCAATTCAAAGTCGAATCCATCATGTTCCGCATTGCTAAACCGGAGAACTTCGTCATAATCTCGCCTAGCAAAAAACAGGTGGGCAGCCAAAATGCCCTGGAATGTTTGCCATTGGTCATGGAACCGCAGAGTGGTTTCTACTCTAGTCCCCTCCTGGTTCTCGACTTTCAAAGCCTGTACCCAAGTGTAATGATTGCATATAATTACTGTTACTCGACATTCCTTGGCCGGATAGTCAGCTGGCGTGGGACAAACAAGATGGGGTTCACCGAGTACAAGCGAGGACCAGGCCTTTTACGGCTGTTGAAAGACCATATCACCATTGGTAGGAGAGTCTGGTTTGAGGCCACAGATGTGGACGCGGCACGGTTTTGCGGAGAAGTTGCTGACGATTACTGTCATGTTTAGCTCCTAACAACATGCTTTACGCGAAACCTAACATTCGACGGTCCCTTTTGGCCAAGATGCTCACTGAGATTCTTGAGACCCGAGTCATGGTTAAAAGTGGCATGAAGCAAGACAAGGATGACAAAGCCTTGCAAAAGCTCCTCAACAATCGGCAGCTTGCGCTGAAACTTCTCGCTAATGTCACGTATGGTTATGCGTCTGCTTCATTCTCCGGTAATGGCTGCTTCTCACATCCTCCTAAAGACCTTTTGGACGCTAACATCATATACAAGGTCGCTGCCCGTGTGCGGAACTCGCGGACTCAATTGTGTTGACAGGCAGAGAAACCTTGGAACGGGCCATTGCCTACATCCACTCGGTCGAGCGCTGGGGAGCCGAAGTCGTCTACGGTGACACCGACAGTCTTTTCGTTCATCTCAAAGGACGAAGACGTGAGCAGGCCTTCCAGATCGGTGCTGAGATAGCCAAGGATATCACCAACATGAACCCAAGGCCGGTAAAATTGAAATTTGAGAAGGTGTACCATCCATGCATCTTAGTTGCGAAGAAGCGCTACGTGGGTTACAAGTATGACAGTCCAGACCAAACTGTCCCAGAGTTCGACGCAAAAGGAATCGAGACAGTGCGCCGTGATGGATTCCCGGCTCAGCAAAAAATCGTGGAGAAGGCACTCAAAATCTTGTTTGAAACAGCAGATCTGAGCCGAGTCAAGAGCGTATGTTTACCTCCTTCATCTTGGGATGATGGTCTTCCCAGCTGATGTTCCATGGTTTAGTTTTTCCAAGCGCAGTGCTCCAAAATCATGCGTTCTGCTGTTTCCGTTTCCGACTTCTGCTTCGCAAGAGAAGTAAAGCTTGGGACTTACAGCACAAGAGGGCCAGGCCCACCTGGAGCTGTCATCAGCACGAGGCGCATGCTTGAAGATGCTCGCGCAGAACCGCAGTACGGCGAACGAATACCATATGTGGTCATCTCCGGACCGCCAGGATCACGTCTCATAGATCGATGTGTCACACCAGAAGAGCTGTTGAGCAACCCCCATGCGACCCTGGATGCTGATTACTACATCGCCCAACTGATACCGCCGTTGGAACGGATTTTCGGTCTCGTCGGCGCCAACGTCCGTTCCTGGTACGACGAAATGCCAAAATTCCAACTCGCTCGACGTTTTGAAACATTGGCAGCAAATCCGGCAGCTCCCGGTCGTCCAGAGGTCGCTGGAAATCATGATAACAACGACAATGGAAACAAGATGATCGAATGGTTTATGCCCTCTACCATATGCATTTCCTGCAATGTCAAGATGACGAAATCGCCCGCCGTACTGGATGTCGATCAGGATGTTGACAGGAGCGTAGTTAATGAGGGAGAGGAACCGCTGCCCCTTTGCAATCGCTGTGCGTCGGATCCTCCATCGACGATGGCTGTGCTCCAGACACGACTCAACGCCGAACAGCGGAAGTATGCAGACGTGGTGCGGGTGTGCCAAAGTTGTGCGGGGTTGTCTCCCTTAGAGGTGGACGAAGACGGGGTTCCATGCGAAAACAAGGGCTGTCCTGTGTTTTACAAGCGGGTGAAGCAGCGCGCGAGGCTCGGGGCAGAGAAGACGATAATAGAGCAGGTTGTCAGGAGGTTGGGGGCAAAGGCTGGACATTGCAGGAAAAACAGGGGTTGCGAGCTGGATTGGTAGACCATATGTGATAAAATGGAACAGAGTTCGTTGGTTGTCATTGTGCACCTACCTTAAGTATTACTACCTGAGGTATGATCCAAGAGAGTTCCAGTCTATCTACGCAGTCTTCCCGGCCCTAGCTTTTTTCAATTGGGGTCGTGGGCACGGCCCAGTATTCCGGTAGGGTAGAACGTGGCCGAAAAATAGAATCATCATTTTTCAATTGGGGCACGGACCTAATGTGGCATTGAGAGCAGTCGGTCGGATGTATCTTGGATGTAGAGGAAATACCCGGTACGTAATGCGTAGGCCAGCCCGAGGACGACGGTAGCAGGCAGATGTTTGAGCGGCTCCGGTTTTACGTTCCAGGTTGCTGTCCCGCTGTCCGGAGACACCGGAATTTGGGTGATTTGAGCGCTGGGAGGGTCGTCATCGGTGCGTGATACCTGCTCAGGTACCAAGTACCTAGCTAGAGGGCAGGACCCATGAGCGCCTCTTGAAACTCCACCCATCAGCATCAATGCGTCCACCAGGTACGGATCCTACGCTGGCCAGGGACCGAAGAAACGCTTTTATATCAGGTATAGGTATTTAACGAGGTACCTGTCAATTCACTGCCCTTAGCAAAAGGAGTCTGCGACTGTAGAGCCCTGCCCAGCAGCTCCATCCCTACCCCGTTATCGATATATATATACGTAAGTATCTTGTAATAATGGAGAATCGAGGTCTTGGCATTTATTTTTTTTTTGCCTGAGGCATCAGAAACCATGGGACGAGGGTCCACCAACAGGACAGCGTTCACGGGTGGGTGTCGGGTGGAGGCAGCGGACAAATCACTGGCGGAATGTCCACGCGCTGTTTGATGAGGCTTCCAGGTTTGCGGGCTCCTTTCCCAGGTCTCGTCTCGTGGATTGTCGTCCGCCCCTCGCCCTCCCAGACCCGACCGCGCTGTCCGGGCTGGATCGATCTGCCAATCCTTCCGTCGTCCGCGCTGTCGTCGCCCCCGATCTCGACTGTTTCCTTGTGTCTCTACTTCGTTGCAGCAGACTGCGCTCGCTCGCTCGCTCGCTCCGCTCCGGAACGGAACGCAACGCTGAAGGCAGCTTGCGCGCTGTTGCCCTGTTTTTGTTTCGACGCTGTGTTTTTGGGTCGTGCGATTTGCTGGTCGCGTCAGGGAACCAAGCGCAACATCTGGGCGTCAGCTCTCACTCCATCCAGTCCCTCCCTCCCGCTGCCGTCGCTCCAGCCAGGTTATCCAGGCTGTCGCCGGCAACACTGTCAATAATACTCGACTTACCTTACCTACACCTACATACTTACCTGCCTGCCTAGGTACCCACGCATCGCCCAGAAGGTGTCTTGGTCGCGTCTCCAGCTCCCGAACCAAGTCGCAGCACTTCTTCCCGGCTAGCTCAACGCCGTGTCTTCGCTCTTTTCTCGTCTTCGTCGTCTTTCGTTTGACTCTCAACGCAAAATACAATAACAATAATACGCTTTCCTGCTTTCGCCTTAATAGTCGTCTTTTCTGGCTAACTACCACTGTTGTTCTCTTCACATCTCCTCGCCTATCGCCTACCGGTGGCCTTTCGTTCAGCTCACTACCGTTTCCTTTCTTTTTCTTCCAGCATCCCGCCGGCATTTTCCTCTTAGCGTCCAAGTTCCGAGTTTTGTTGGACGGCTGTTGCGAACACACCAGCCCACCAACCCACCAACCTACCGACCTACCCTCCCCGCCGATTACCTGCTCAGACATTGACAGACTGATTGATGTTGAAGCCTGCGTGGAAAAGCATCGCTGCCTTGTGCATTACCATCAACAGCAGTTCATTTACGTCCGCGCAGTGGTAAACGGCCCCCGCTGCGGTTAGTGTCCACGTCAGCCTGTCTCGCCTGCTTCGCACATGATGGCGACCCCATTTGTGTCCGATAAGCCGGACGCAGCATCGGCAAATGGCGACGGGTCCGATCCCTTTACGACAAGTACCCCGGGTCCGTCACACTTGCGCCACTCGGCCTTCGATACCGAACTCTTCGCTCTCGCTCCAGGCGCCTCTGTGGAACAGGTCAAGCGTGCCCTTGAGGCTCACTTGCGCGACACGGAGCGTCGCATGGAAGAGGCCGGGAAGCTGGGCACTGCTCTGGTTCAGCAGCAAAAGCAACTCACCGAAAAGCTTCGAGAGCTCGAGCAGCTGCAGTCCGAGGATGAGCTCACCCCACAGCTGCGCCAGCGGCTTGTCGAGATCGAGAAGGACTACAACGAGGTTGCCAGGGAGAGTGCTCGTGCCCTGCTTCCCAAGCAACGTGTGCCGAGCAATGAGTCTCAGGGCTCGCCCTTTTCGCCGGAGGGTAAAGTGAGCAGGGTAGGCGTTCCTCCCGCCATAGCCCTTTTTGAAATCAGAAAGCTGATGGCATCTCCAGCGCTCCGTGAGTCCCGCTAAGTTCGAGTCACTCGCCGCTCCATCCCCAACCAAGTTCATCTCGAATCGTAAAATCCGGAATCAGCATTCCAGCCGCATTCACGATATCGAATTCGCCGCCGAAATCAGTACCCACTTGATCGCCCAAGTCCGAGAGTTGCAAGCTACGCTCGCCGCAAGGGAGGAGGAGCTCAAGGAAGCCAAGGCGGAAAAGGCCAGGCTCGAGATCGAAGCCGAGGCCTTCCAACAGCGGCTGAAGAGTTTGGATGAGAGCGAGAGCCGGTACAAGGATGAGAATTGGAACCTCGAGACGCAGATCCACGATTTGCTTGCCGCACAGAAGGCGGCTGCTGAGCGCGAGAAGAAGCTCATCCAGTCCCTCAACCTCCTCCAGGCTGAGAAGAACGCCACCCAGCGGGAGTTGGAAGAGCTCAAGGACAACCTGGCTAAGCAAGATGAAAAGCACTCAGCTCAAATCAAGAATCTCGAGATCGAGCTCGGGACCAGTCGTCGTACTGCTGCCATGTTCGAGACGGAGCGCGCCTCCCTGCAGAAGAAGCTTGACGATCTCACGAGCCAGAACCAGGAGTTGGCCAGGGCGTTTGCTGCCCTTCAGCGAGACCGCGCGCAGGAGCGTGAAGCCAATCAGGGTGCCGGTGAAGAGGACTTGCATCCAGCTCCAGATCACAACACACCGGAGCATTCGCCCCCGCCCTCGCCGATGAAACCTACTCCCCGCCACTCGGCGCTCGAGTCGGAAACGCTCAAGACGTCCTTGGCTCACGCCCAACGCACCATCCAGACTCTCCGCACCAACATCCACCGCGAGAAGACCGAGAAGCTTGAGCTCAAACGCATGCTTCAGGAGGCCCGAGATGAGATCGAGAAATTGAGGAACGACCCCAACCCGCACCAGCCCCCGAAGAAGGCTCGCAAGTTCGAACCGCGCGAGCTCAAGAAATCTTCGTTTAGGCTGAACCAGCTTGGTGTCGCGCGATCGAGCAGGACCGAAGTCGTCGAGGATGACGATTGGGAAGACCAATCGGAATCCCCTTCTCCTCACACGCTTTCCCGTCGTGGCTCTTTTTTCCGCTTTGGGACGCCGACCGCTCCCCGAAAGGTAAGGCTTGATCAATTCGATACGGCGCCCGAAACGAGCGACGCAGCGTTCGAGACTGCCCATGAACGAGCAACTGAAACGGAAGACTTCCAGACCGGTGCCGAGGAGCTCTCCGACGACAACGATGCCACCGAGACAGAAGCTGGCCAAGCTAGGGGTGCTGATTCCATCAAGCGACCTCCTCCTCTCCCGCCGCACGAGTCGAGCAACCATTACTCTTTCCGCAGCACGGTGTCAACGTCAAGCGAGGACGATGAGGATGAGTACCCGTCTAGCCCTGAGCTGAAAACCCCAACGACTGGACCAAGGATGCGGATGCGCTCAAGCCGTACCTCTTTGACGCGTGCCCGACAATTCAGCGAAGACTCGAACCAGAGCTTTTCGGCCAGCCCTCCAGCCCACGGCTCTTCCGTCACCCCCGGCGGCCAGAGCTTGTTTGCTGAATTAAACAGCGTCGACAACAGCGACGAAGATTCATGCGGAGGTGCTGCTACTCCCAGCAGGAGGAGCATCCGGTCCTCCGTGCCCGCCACTCCCCGAAGCGTTGGCCACGGTCGTGTTTCTCCAACGCCCGAAGTGCCTACTCTTCCCAGGGTTATCATGGTGGACAGTTCTACCATGACTGATCCGGTTGATATTCGACCAGTATCCGCAGACGCGCAGGCACTTAGAGAGTCGGACGACAGCGAGGCACTAATCTCATCGCCGCCAAGCATTGTCTGCCCTGACTCTGACCGTCCGATCTCCAGAGCTTCAGTTGCTGGTTCTCGTCCCGTTGGGGCTCCAACAACGTGGCTGGGTGATGATTTAAAAGCTGGCGACCCTGAGCGTCCCCATTCCTCCGCCTCCTACAGCGATGCCAGCGCCCAGCACGACTGGCACTTCCCATCTTCGTCGTTGTCCTCATCCCTGGTTGGTGCTGTTCCTCCACCAGCCCTGAGTATTTCCTCGATACAGACCGAGTGTATCGAGCCCCAGCCGGAACACGAGGTTGCACCGAGCCCTCTACTGCTCGCCGTCTCCTCCATTATGTCGGCGGAAATCGTACCTGTGATGGAGCAAGAGGAGCGTCCAGTCCTCTCCATTATACCTACGATTTTCGAGCAAGTCGAGCCGGCGGCCGAACCAGAGCCTGTGGTGCCCAAGCCACCAACCCTCAGCATCCCCGCCCTCGTTACCCAAGACATTTGTCCTATTGCTCCATCTCCTCCTGCTTTGTCCTTCTCGGAGGTACACACTGAGCAAATCGAACCTGATGCTGAGCCTGACTCAACCACCGACTCAGCTATTGCTCTCTCGATATCTAGTATCCGATCCGAGCAGGTCGAGCCGGTTCTTGAACCTGAGCCGGTGTCTGTTTCACCCGTATCCCTGTCCTTGTCGGCTATTTGCTTCGAGCACGTCGAGCCGATTGAGTCTCTTGCGGCCCACTCCGAACCACCCTTGGAGCACCAGGTTCAAGTTGCTTCTGCATCTGTTCCTTTGACGTTTTCTCCCCTCATTTCGGAGCTTGTCGAGCCTCAAGAAGATGTCCCAACGTCCCCTATCAAGCTGTCGCTCTCAGCCGTTAAGACGGAAGATGTCGAGCCTCAGATGGAGACTCCAGCGACTCCGGTCAGATTGTCTTTCTCAACTATCCAAGCAGAGGAGGTTGAACCCACTCAAGAACCAGAGGCGGCTGTGCCTTCATTAGCGTTCGCTTCTATTCACTCAGTGGACGTCTCTCCTCGTGAAACTCCCGCTCCTCAGCTTGGCGTATCGCCCATCCAGACTTGGAGCGTTGAGCCCATTGAAGAGCCGGGCGTCTCCCCACCCGTGCTGACGATCTCGGCCATCGAAGCCCAGGAAATTCAGCCTGCGCAGTTGGAGGAGTCTGGACACACTCCTGAACTAACATTCTCCGAGATTCAGATACTTCACACCGAACCCAGGAGTCCTAAGCGGAACGCGTTCATCATCCCCCGTGATACCGAAGGCGATACAGTCCTTCCGCAGCCAGTGCCTTGGTCCCCAGAGCCTGAATCTATGGCTCGCCAGATTCGAAGCATTCCGACTGCGGATCAGGGAGCACAGACAACGCTCACGTCCGAGGCTATCGATCAGTTGCTCAGGGCCAAGATGCCACCCTCTGAGGCAGCTGAATTCGAGGGAGCCAATTCCGTCGGCATGCAGAATACCCCGTCCACTGTGAAAGTCCACCGACCACCTCAAGGAGTCATCGAAACACCCCTTGCCTACAAGGGCAAACAGCCTGATTACAATTACCTTACTGAAGTGCTCGAGCCCCAATTCACACGGCGTCCTGGAAGTTCAGCTAGTAGAACTACCTCTTTTGATGACGTGCCGCCACTCCCGTCAAATCACAGAGAAGTCATCGAAGCAGTACGAAGCGGTTCGTCGCATGGCGGTCAAGGCACCATTGGAAGTATGGGCCCTCCTCCGTATCCCGCATCCCTCAAACCACAGAGTCAGCCACTCCGGCCTCGGACTCCAACCAACTCCAGACGGCCGGTTTCCCCAGTTTTATATGCTTCTGTCTCTGGTCGCGGAACTCCTACTCCTCGTCCTGCTCCCAAATATGGAGCAGCAGATGTGCACTCCCTGTCGAAGGCCACAACTCGCAGCCGCAAATCCTCCATTTCGTCTTTCACCTCTGAAGTTGATACGCGGTTTAACATGCACCACGATGCTGGTTTCGAGAGCCTAGGATCCGGTACTGATCCTCGAATGATCCAGGCAATTACACAAACCATGATTGGCGAGTATCTATGGAAGTACACACGTAAGAAGACTGGACGCGGAGAGATGTCGGAGAACAGACATCGGAGGTACTTCTGGGTTCATCCATACACCCGCACGCTGTATTGGAGCACTCGGGACCCTTCGACCGCCGGGCGTTCTGAGCTGAGGGCCAAAAGCGTCCAGATTGAGGCTGTCCGTGTCGTCAATGATGACAATCCGTTCCCTCCCGGTCTCCATCAGAAGAGCCTGATCATCGTGTCCCCTGGCCGGAGCATCAAGTTCACTTGCACGACGGGACAACGGCACGAAACTTGGTTCAACGCTTTGTCATATCTGTTGCTCCGAACGGCAAACGAGGGCCAGTCGGACGCGGAGGAGATTGCCGGCAATATTACGAGAGAGGACGTCGACGAGTTCAATCCAGCTTATCCAAGACGATATCCGCGTGCAGTTCCATCGGTCTCATCGTATAGCTCGCGAACTGTTCGTGAGCCACCGAATGCGGATATATCGCTGAGCGTCCCTACTTTGACTCAGTCACGTCCCAAGGCGCCGGCTCCCGGGCGGTCGTCATTTGCCACGTTGGGCCGCATCAGTGGGTATTGGAAGGACAGCAAGCTTTCTGGAACATTTGGCAGCATCAGGAGCCGAAGTGTTCCCGGGCGGGACCCCGTCCACGGTATCTTTGATGCTCCGGAAGCACACGACAGTGCCGAGGATGTCAGGCAAATGATTGAACGACAGGACCGGGAGGCCGACCGTATCGAAAATGTACGGGCTTGCTGTGATGGTAAGTGTCTATCAAGTGTCAGCAGTACGCTGGACTTCACTAAGGCTAACAAACAAATAGGAAAACATGACGTCGGCACACTAAGCAACAGTGCAAAGAAAGGTCGCAACTCTGTCGCCGGCTTCCGCACTCCTACTCCTGGCCCTTCTGCCACCCCAACGCCTGCTGGGACCATCAGATCCTGAGTGTGACTCAACCAAGCAGAGAATGATGTTCGATTTCCGATTTCCTTAGCATCTTAATTGGCAATGGATGCCACTGTGTCCTTGGCTGCTACGAAGCCCCTTTTTTGTATTGAGTTTCCAGTTTGTGATGGTTATAGTGGACCATACTCACGCCTTTCTCTTTCCCGCTTTTTTTATGATGTCGATGATTGTCTGTCTACCTTCCAAAATACCATTCTCACCTTTTGCTTTCTCCCAAAACCCCCCTACAACGAAGTTACAGAATTTGCACAGCTCTAATAAACATGAGACCACCATCAGGAATTGCGTGCCGGAGGCACGCCTAACGATGTCTCATACAGGATTTAACCTTCACCCAGCTCCGTTCGTTCACTTGTCTGTTTACTATGGGTCATTTACTCTTTTTCTCTCCCTTCTGGGTGGTACGTTCTCTTGGGGTTATTAGTGATGATGGCGGCGTTGTGGAAAGCATCATGCAGAGAGTCTTGTTTAACTTCCAACGAGCAGATGCTCTTTGAAGTAGTGCGGAGGGCTCGCACTCAGTCTGGAATGATACCAGGCTCAGCTGTGGACGAAGGCCAGGTGTCGTTGTTCAAGAATGCGATGTCGTTTGGTGGTGCATGTTTGTAAATATCTACCATCATAGGTGCCGTACAACAAGGGCAGCATCTTGTGACCTGGGTGGCACAGTGTCTTCGCAGCAGGTATTATGAAACCCACAGAACCCAGATTGTGATTGTCCTGGTAAGCACATAAAACAACTATCACAGCATATAACTATCACCAAGTAGCTGGAGACATACATTGTGTCGAATTTGATCTGAACAAGTGTTGTGACGATTGATCCCGATGGAGGGACTCAAAGAAGACAATGATCATCGCAAACCCCCCAGAGCCAGAAACCAAGTACTCTCCAACTTTCGTAGCTTGACCGTCCTATATCCCCAAACAAACACAATGGTAGAAGTATGCGTTGACCCCAGACTTGTGGCACTGTGCACGCATATGAGTTCTGAGGGCCCTAGCTTCATCCCTCGACCCCAGCCACTGATTGCGCCGTACAAACATAGAGCATATAGCCTTGACAGAAGTTAGCATGTACCGATCGAAGAAAACATCGCAGCAGTTGTGATCGGTCAGCTTCGATATCTCCAAGTGCTGCTTCAGCACAGAGAAGCCCGATCTTCTCGTTAGGATCTTCATGCTAGTCCCCAAAGGGGACTTTAATGTCCTTCAAAGTCGGATAAACAAACCAAGCCTGTTTCATTCCTTTCCTTTTACATATCGTCTTCGACGACCCGGAAGCCACGCCCCGTCTTTTCTCTGGCCCCGAAGAAAAGCTGGATCGCTTGAGCAACAGGGCTCTCTGGAAGGTTGCCGCCAGTATCACTCCTCCACTTGCACGAGCTCTCTTAATACTCGATTCGGCCACCAGGCTTCAAACAGTGATAGGCCGCGCGGTAAAACGGTTCCAGACGCGGGTGCAACCGGTCAAAAAACGAACATGAACGAAACCAAAAGTGTTATCCAGCCATGTCCAATTTTGATTGGCGTCGTCAATCTTAAACTCGACATTTTGGGGAACCCATGAAGGCTGAATCGGAGTAATATCGGTGTACAGACGATTACCCAAAACGACCAGACTCATGTAACGGCTCTAACGGAGTTAATGATGAGTCCCAAAGAGAACCAAAGCTATTTGAGCCAGTTTCATGTGCTCATTGTGTTTGTCGTCGTTGGGGAATCAAGATTCAGCACCACCCAAGTCGCGGTGATAGGTTCTGCCAAAAAGTTTGCGGTACTCCCAGAGGCTCTCAGCCAGAGATGTGGTACTGCTCCCACCACTGCTCGTGCTCTACACCGACTTATCATCGTCGTCGATAGCCTTCCGCACAGACACTTAGGTTAGAGTTGGGTCAACAGGAGAATCGAGGGCAAACTCGACGAGGACATACAGATTGCTAATGAGAACCTGGGAGAATTTTTGTCAATTGTTCTGACTCGGCCAACTTGAACTCGAAACAGTCGTTGGATTATCTGACAAGCTGCGATCGGGCAAGGGAAAAGGTTAATTTCTGTGTCTGATCACCTGGTGAAGCAACAGAACGGAGATGAGGTAGAATACGAAGTTCATGACTATCTAACTATTTATCTTGGTGATGAGTTGGGCGGATGGCATCCGGTTGTCCCGCCAAGCATGTACCTATGTACCCAAACAAAACTGTTAATCTCGGTCTAAGCCATCCTTGTATGTACTTACCTTAGGTAGGAAAGGCAAGTGAAGTAACAGAAGAACTAACTTATATTCTGCACAATGCACGTGCCCTTTGCCTACCACGACTGGATTCTCAGCTGGACTGGGTTTCGGAGTCACGCTGTTGTCAGTCACTATCAGCTAAAGGTATATTTATTGAAAGACAAGTACATTAGGTAGCTATAATACAATGATGAAAATATAGAAATGCAGTAAATGTACATTGTCACGGCCAATAGAATGTATCAAGCGGAAAAAGAAACAAGGGGTTCTGACGAAGAGTTGTCAGAGCTTAAGCGTCAGCAGTAAAAGATCGTCATAGCTGAGAAGCTCTGACGGAAGATTGAAAGGTTTTCGGTAGAAGAGACACGGAAGGATTCTGAGTATATAAGGTAGATAGGTTCCTCGCAGCAGGAGGGGAAGAAAAGAACCACTCAGTCAGCAATACAAACAGTTGCCTAAACCAACTGCTGACCGCAGTATTTCTGAATATGTGTGACACAACCTGTCTCTCAGATCCATAAGCCTTGAACCAAGCTCGAACCCATCTCACGAATGTGATGAATCCACAACCTCCTGAGATAGGTTTGAATGTAGTGGCCAGGTTGTGGAACCCTGAGGGACTGGGGTCCTCACACAGTAGTGTATGGGGATCACTGCGGTCACTAGTTGTTGGTTGACAACTGTTTCTATTGCTGACTTAAGGAGCCCTCATTATGGCTCCGGGGGATGGTCGATCCTATAAACATGTCTATAATCGAATTCGTTGGGGTGCCTGTGTCATAGTGTTGAAGTCATTGCCAAGCATCTTCATCACCGTCATCACCCAGTGACGTCGGTGATAATGATTCCATCTTTCTGATTGGTCACTGTTCTAGGCCCGTTCTTACCTGTCTATTGGCCGTTTCCTTCGTTATGCCAAGTGGGCTCCATACCGTACCGCTGCGGGGCAGCTGCTGATCCACACTTCCACTTCTAACCGTAACATACAACCTGGTCACTACTTTCAACCCCAATTTAGGAGGTTGTGGAATCGTCACACTATACGATAGGTTATACATAGCTATTAATCATATAAGACTTATGCCCAGTTGCATAGATACACTTTGTCACGACAAACAGGGGATCAATAATGACGCGGCTCGCTCAGGTCCGAACGGCCAATAGGAAACGGGATCAAGCGTCACTGACAACAGGTCACCAGAGCCGAGATTCACTGATAAAGAAAGACCTTTGGTAGAAACAAGGACAGTTCATGAGTAGATAAGGGAGATAGATTGCTTGTGGGAGAAGGGGACGAAAATCTCCCTAGTCGGCCATGCAAACAGTTGTACGAAACCAACTGGTGACCACAGCTACCCTGAATCTGTGTGGGAACTCCTGTCTCTCAGATCCAAAGCCTTGATCCGAACCCGAACCCATCTCAGGAAGGCTAGGTGGATCGTCATGCTTGCTACACATGCAAGATGTGCCGAGACTTATTATATTAGCTCCTTGGCAGGAATGATTACCTAGAGTGTCTAAGAATGCTGTAAAAATCTCGCTAAGAAGCTAACAAAATAACCCTGGCACCCCGTGCATGAACGACCCTAGCGGCTGATTAGCTCCGTGTACTGTACGTACTTTTGCACCTTGAAATCCAAACACCGAACAACCCGCCAGCCACGTCTGCTTTTGGAGTTGAATACAAACCGTTTCAGAGTATCTTTAGGCAATACAACACACCTGACAAACCATCAAGCGATGCAGCATGCTCAATATGGCTTCGCCCAACAATCCGAGTAGGGCCCAGCGGTCCAAGGCCCTCCACGTTGCAGCAGAGTTGCAGGACTTCTCAAACCAGGATTTTACCATTATCGGCCTCAGCGAACCCATATTTTCTGCCTTATCGTCTCATCATTCCAGTTCCAAAGGCGTTAACAGCGCAACTCCGCGAACCTCAGACATCTCCAACGTCTCGGATTCGCCTACCCCGAGCTCTTTGGAAGCCGACTTATCTCATTACAAAGAGCTCTTCTCTAAGCTACGCTTTTCCTACGTCGAACAGGTCACCAAAGAAAAGTTCATCCGTGCCATTGTAGGCGATCCGCCCTTGATTGTCAGTTCTCAGGAGAACGCCACCTTGGAGGAAATTAATGCATCTGCAAAATCAATGCTGCAGGAGCTCAAGACCGAAGTCAGCTCAATCCTCTTGTCTCTCGAGGAACGCAGTCAAGATCTTGCAACACGATATGAGCGGGTAAAGGCTGAAACAGCGCTTCTAGTCGAGCTGTTAGATAAAATCCCAGCGCTGGAAAACAGGATCGCAGAGTTGCAACCGATTCGCAGAAGTCAAGGTGATAATGACCACTCCGGAAATCCAGACATGAATCTCCCCCTTGGGAAAACATTGGCTCTTGTGGATAACAAACGTCGGGAGCTGGGACGGTTGGATCGGCAACTGGAGCTTCTTGGACCGCAAGTGCTGAGGAAGAGCATGGAGCAAGAACGGCTGCAGAGTGATGTTCTTGGGTTGGAGAATCGGAAATCAAATAGCATCTATGCAGCCAAAGAGGCAAAGAAGAACAAGGAAGATGTTCGCGGTGGGGATGACCTCGAGTCCAATGGCAGGTGGCACCAAGCATCGGTAGCTGTCCTGAGCCAACTTTTAACCTTAGAGGAGTGAATCCAACATCGAACGTAGGACTCATTTACCTAGGTATATATGTCTATCTGTAGCAACATCATGAAGAAAAGCCGTTGGCAATGAAGTTTGCAAAATGACGACAGTAATGTAGTGCATGATTAGAATATTGACCTTGAATCACTCCATCTCTCCCTTTCCAAAATCCAAGTAACACTTCATAATAGCTGGAACAATTTTAGTGATAGATTAACTAGGTATGGACCTATGTGCATGTAGTATCTGGTACAGATCCGTAACCCATAGCATAGGTGATGCGGTGGCAGGCTGGACGAGCAAACTGAAAGACATGTGGAAACGAGCGAACTGTATTAGCTGAAAAGAAGGCCAGAAATGCGGTCTTGTTGCGCCTAGAAGTGCGGGCCAGCGGCCGCCCCTCAACAGCGCGGTAGGAGCCAATGGGGAAGCCGCTGGGCATAAGGAAGCGACAAATAAGAGGACCCTGAGTGGGTTAGGAAGGTGGACCAATCAGAACATGTAGCGCAGTTATCGCAGTTATGCGGTGGAGAACTGCGATAACTGCGAGAAACCATCACCCGCGGGTCAAGGATGGTCAACAGCAACAAGGCAGAAATACCAACAGCTTAAGTACAAATATGTATATAGCATCGAATATCCCCGAGAGCTACGATGAGGATTCCTCAGTTAGCAATCAAGCCGTTGAATACCAACAACTGGTGATCACAGTAAGCAATTTATTCTACTGTGTGAGGACCCTAGTCTCTCATATTCTACAGCCTGACCACTACGTTCCTTTCAAACCCATCTCAGGAGGTTGTGGAATCGTCACGTATAGCACCATACCACAGTAAGGTATTGAGGGATCCGCAAGACATCTTCCTATAATGGGACATGGCTTACAGAAAAGTATCGCACTAATAAATAAACTAGAGGAGAATTGTACAAGATATGCTGTGGTTTGTTTTGATAGCTCCTTGGCAAGATTCCTCACCCAATAGCGCCTGAGAACGCTGTGAACCTCCCCAAGGAGCTGACAAAGCAAGGCCGGAGCCCTTGTACTCCCTAGGTGGGGCAGTGGAGTCGAGAAAGTCGGTTTCGTGTGCTTTCCTAAATATACGGGCATCAGTGCACGACGTCCTCTCGCGGCACAACCAAAATTAGACAGCTGCATATTCTGTTATGCAGCTGTGTGCTGTTGGACACTGACAACTGGAGCTTAAGAAATTCCAACATTTGAGATTGAAATCTGTTTATTGGCGTTTTGCATACACTCTGCGAAGGTGGAAACCTTCATCACATGTTACGTGAATAGTGTGGCTACAAAGTTATGCTTATTGGTGCACGTCTCTCTCACCATGGACTGATGGCAGAAAACTGCGACCTGGTCAGTTGCCAAGTGGTCTTCCGGAAGCATCCCGGAGAGAAAGCTAAGTATAAGCTTTCAGTGTGAACCGGATCGATCATTCAAGGAGAGGCTACGAAGCAGCCGCCACCCCACTTCTCTGGGTAGATATAGTGAAGTATCCAGCATGATTTAGAGCACCTCCTCTTCAGCAGACCGCAGCTTGTCTTGCCAGCGGCTCGCTTCCCAGTAGTTTCATCTTGCTCTCAAGCTTGATCTTACTACATGGCAGATTCTCAAACCCCCAATCCAGAAGCATCTTCGGCTTCTGGTCTGCTCCCAGCTTCCCACTGGCTTCAAGTATGTTGTATCTTCCATTTAGCAAGCCATTCAAAGTAGACTTCTTTTATGTACATGCGTGCTAAACAGCAAAATTGATTTAGGTTCACGAAGCCGACAAAGCCAAAGATGATGAAAGTGATACTTCTTCTTTGTACAGTGAAGCCAACTCAAGCACTGCTTCTGTGGCAAGCAGTATCCTTCGATTCCGAACCCTTCATGGACGCACCTACCACTCAGAGATTGGTATAGCACAATCATGGACTCCAAATGACAGCAGACACACAGAATATATGGATTACCAGTAAGTGTTCTTAAAGACAGATAGCGGTGTTTCCCCTATTAACGCACGAACTAGCCATGCTGTTGTTGACATGATGTTGGGTGGTAAACTCCATTTGACACCCCTTGATTTTAACAAAGTAAAAAAGGTTCTCGATGTTGGAACAGGCACAGGTGCCTGGGCCATGTAAGTCGCATCCTTGTTGTCTATTGTTTGCTTGTATATTGACTGGAATACACAGTGACTTTGCGGACGCCCACCCCGATGTCGAAGTCATCGGCACTGATATTACGCCCATCCAGCCCACATTTGTCCCTCCCAACCTGAGATTTGAGATCGACGATGCAAATCTTGATTGGACTTTCCGCGATAACACATTCGACTACATTCACATCCGGTTCCTCGTTGGCTGTATCGCCGATTGGTACAAACTTTTCCGCGAGGCTTTTCGTACCCTCAAACCCGGTGGCTGGTTAGAAACCCATGAACCAACCCTCCGGTGGGTAGGGGATCGTCCAATCGATCCTAAAAGTGCAACTGGCCAGTTCCACCAAATTTTCTGGGAGGCAGGGAAGAAGTTTGGACGTACATTCCGTGTTTTCGAAGAAGAAATCCAGAAGAAGGCAATGGAGGCAGCAGGGTTCGTCAACATCATGGTCACAGATATTCGATGCCCAATCGGTTCCTGGCCCGAAGATCCAGAAAAGAAGGAACTGGGCACTGTCACTCAGGTTGCATTCCTAGGAGACTTGGACGGTACGTGCCACATTTCTCATTTCGCATGCATATCATGCTGATCATCTCTCTAGGATATCTTCTCTACCTCTGTAGTGAAGTGTTGGGTTGGACTGCCGAGGAAACACATGTGTATTGTGCTCGTGTTCGTCGGGAACTCTTGGAACCAGGACTGAATCCCTGTTTCATCCGACGAATTGTGTCTGGTAGGAAGCCAGAAGCAGCATGAAATGTTTTGGACTTACTCCTTGGTCCATTATACAGCCTGCGGTCTCTTTACAGCCATGTACTTTGGCTCTTTGATGGTCTGTTAGGTTTGCGGCATTGGGCCTTGGACATGTTTGTTAGGGTCTTTACTCTTTGGATCCAAAGACCCTATGGTTTCATCACTTTCTGATCACTAAAGTGTGTATGCTGTTTACATCTGCATTTTGGGATGCGGTGGCTGTTAAAACAGAAGAGGTATGCCTCAAGATAAGACATCACTCTTTAGCGAACTCGGAAATGCTTACCATCCTCACCAACATTAAGTACCTTGTCTGTTCCCTGTCATGACAACAGAGATATCAGACAACAAAAACAGGGGCAACACAAAGGGCTGATATGGTGCACAGACATGTGAGCTGGAATAGCCAAGAGGAATGCATAGATGAATTTCACCGGAGAAGAGCAGTGAAACAGTCAAGTGGAAGAAGCCTGGGTATAAGTAGGATAGATAGATTCCTCAATAGTCACCTGATTGAAGAATTCCCAAGTCGGTGATACAGTTGCGCATACCCAGCTGGTGACCACAGTGCCCCTGAAGCTGTGTGGAAACTGTTGTCTCCGACATTCATAAGCTTTGAATCAAGCCCAAACCCATCACAGGAAGGCCAGGTGGATGACCACATTTCCTGACTTCACCTTTCAAGCCTTAAAGCACTTAATTGTTCTTATATAATACGCAAGGTCTATACAATTAACGAAGTTTAACAACTATAACCCTTTAAAGGGCATTCCTTATAAGCCAGTAGTGAGTTAGATATTCCGTATTAGTGTAAGATGTCTACTACGTAGTTGCCCTTGTCACGGCCAACAAGGGCTCTATCTGGAAAAGTGGGTCCCGTGCAGCCAATTGATCGGAGTAAAAACGAGCGGTGACCCATCAAACCCAGATATCTACCCCCAACAACCAAGTATTGAGGTGTTCCTCATTGCCAAGAGGCATTGATCTTCAACACCTAAGGATGTTGACCCTCAACAGTCTGTGCACTTGAGCAGGAAGGAACAAGCCACAAGGGTGTATGAGGTGTATATGGATTTCAGGTAAAGCCATCTGGCCGAAGAAGCTCTCCAGTCAGCATTGAAAACAGTTGTTTGTTTGACTGTTGATCACAGTGATCATTCTGACTGTGTGAGAACTCCTGTCTCTCAGGTCTAGCGGCCTGGCGCCTCTCGAACCCATCTCAGGAGGCCTGTCTGGATCGTCATAGTTGTAAAGTAAGCGAAGGACTTAGGTATTAAAAGGGTAATAATCTATATACTTAGCAATCTTACTCTAGCTACACAGATTCAAGAGCGCTGTGGTCATCAGTTGGGTATGCAAAACTGTTTACAATGCTGACTGGACAGTTCTTCACAAGTGATCATTAAGGAATCTATCCACCTCGTATACCCAGGATTCTCCTTGTTTCTTTCTACCAAAGGCTTTTCAGTCCTTGGTCACTGACTCTTGGTAACGGCCTTGCGTCAAAAGCCCGAGTAGGCCGCCTTTTATTGGTCCCTTTGTGCCTGATGCTCCCTATTGGTCGTGACAAGGTTAGCTGTTCGAAGCAAGTATATAGGAATCCCTATCGGTACCTTGCCCACTCAAAACTGACTCATCTTCCTATCGTATTCGCCGCTATATAAATATGTAGGTTGAAGCGACATGCACGAGCCTAGCACATAACAGGTTGTTAGGCAGATAGTGTAGACCCTAGTCGGTACCTGTGACGATTCCACAACCTCCTGAGATGGGTTTGAAGGTAGTGGGCCAGGTATGAAATCTGAGACAGGAGTTTTCATAGAACAAGAGCACTGTAGTCGCCAGTTGTAAATGCGCAACTGTTTTTAATTGCTGACTGAAGAGTTCCTCGCCAAATGGTCATTAGGGATTCTATCTGCTCTATACTCAGAATCCTTTCATTGTCAAGTGTGTCACTACTTGGCTGCCGATCTCTGCTAAGATTCCTTCCTCCCACCGTTTTGGTGTTCTTGGCTGCCAAGCCTTGATGAACCATTGCCCTGCGTTTCATTCATCCTTTGTATTCAGCTGCGCACCGTGTATCGCACTGCACGTGATCGAATGCTCTATATCATGTAAGCAAATCAATTTTCTCCCGTAGCCTTCCGGGCCACTAACCACAGAAGCTGCCAAGTGCGTCTTAGAAAGCCCAGCGAGTGTTGTAAGTCTAGGGAAATCCGCCAACGCTGTGACCTAAATTCTCAAGACACCACAGCCAGAAAACCCAGCAAGGGGGTTTAGGGTCCGACTTCAGTTGCTTGGCATTATAATGGCTAGAGTGAAATAGTTGTAAGACCTTCAGTCCAGCTCGGCAACCTCAGATTGCTTTCCTTTGGCTTGTCAACGGCGCAGAGTGTATCAAGGTATTGCGTACCGTGCATCACCGACTTTTGCCATGGTTACTGCCAAGTGTTTTGCTGGTTTCCATTGCTGTTGCGGTCTGGCTGGGTACCGCCCAGCCCCACTTAGGGAGTCTCGCCTGGGCATAGATTGCCCAGGTCTCTTGTCACGGTTCACGGGTACTCAGCTCTGGTGTCAGCGGCAGACAGGGAGCGTTAAGAAGGGAAGCACAAAGATTACCGTAATGTGGCCCGGTATGGGCAACCACACTTGAGCCTATTGGAGCGAGCACTTGGTGAAAGATTGAATTATTCCGAGCGTTGTACATAGACTACAGGTACCTTACCGTACTTGATACCATCAAGTGCCTTGGTACTCGTGGGTCCAAGCACTCCTCAAGTGCCTTATCTGTGGATAGCGATTGTTCCAGCCATTGACCAAGGAAACGTTCACTTGGCCCTGCCACACTGTCTGTAACAGGAAATCTGGGTGCAATCCATGCCGGCATGTTGCGATGAGGTGCACCGCAGACCCAGATTTAAACGTCCAATGTTTAAGTCGCTTGGCAGATGCATGGTACGGAGGGGTGTGTCCCATGACTTGGATCGCCTGCTACGTTAGATCCCTTGTTTATCTTGGCCCCATCTTGGCAGATGAGATGGTTCTGTCAAGCCCCAGGATAAAGTTGGATCCAAAACATCCGACCAACCCCACGTGGTGCGAGACAAGAAGCAGTTGGAGGATATCTATCCCTGTAGTATCCCTGACACGTGCCTTGACTGTTCCTTGTTTCTCCCTTCTCAGCAGGAGTGAAGGCCTGGAACGCAATCTGGGCATCCATCTCAGCTTCCTCCGCATATAAGGGAGGAGGATTGAGGTTCACCAACATACCTGTCTACCTACCTACGTAGGTATTCATCTTCCTGGCACCTACTTTGACTTCGGTCGGCGTGTATCTTCGGCGAATGCCTCCCGTCCCATGCGCACCTTAGCCTGAGCTGCACCTTGCTGCTTCTCTACCCGCTTTGGACCCTTCGATTCCTCGTTTACCTCTGGGATTGAGCTGAGACCTGTTATACTTGGTTTGCTTGCATATCTCGACTTTGCGCGCCTTCATCCTAAAGCCCTAGGTACCTAACAATTTTCTCTAACTCTTACTCGACCGTGACTTATTGTTACGCCCCAGTGTTCTCTGCATCAAGCATCAGTCCATTCTCGCCCAATGACTTCAAGGATGAGCAATCCCGTTGCGAAGGGCAAACGGAGTTGGTCATCTTTTTGGGGCAAAAAGCCCGACAATGAAGAAACCAGTCCTCGAAAATGGACTATGGGTATCTTGGAGGACAAAGAGACAATCGAGGTTCCTGGTAAAGAAGCCTTAAAAGTATGATTCGGGTGCCGCAATAGCTAACTGGTAACGTAGGTTCGGTACTCTTACTAGCAGCCGATTATAATCAGCCCTTGGGTCTGCGCAACACACCAGCAAGAACATCTCACTCCTCCATTCCCACAGGAATACCACATCAACTGCCAGAAGACACAATTGAACCACCCAAAAAGAGAACACCCGATGGAAAGATTATTCTTGATCCTCAGCCAGAGGACTCGGCCAATGATCCGCTCAACTGGCCTGCGTGGAGGCGAGACTTGGCATTAGTCTCATTGGGCTTGTTCTGCATGGTTGGCGGTGGTACAACTCCGATCCTTGCGGCTGGCTTCACTGATGTTGCCCAAGAGTATGGTGTTGATGTTGAGAGCGTCTCCCTAACGACAGGTCTTTATATGCTTGGTATGGGCCTTGGATCCGTCATCTTTTCGCCTACAGCCATCTTGTGGGGAAAACGTCCGGTCTACCTGTTTGGCGCTGTTGTATTCATGGCAACATCAGTATGGTGTGCAGCATCACCAAATTTTGCATCTTTGATAGTGGCCAGAATTCTTCAAGGTGTGGCTGTCAGCCCAGTGGAATGTCTTCCATCAGCCACTATCGCAGAAATTTTTTTCCTCCATGAACGGGCCTTCCGAATTGGCATTTACACCCTTCTGCTACTTGGAGGAAAGAATCTCATTCCTCTTGTCAGCGCTGTCATTATCCAACGCATGGGCTGGCGTTGGGTATTTTGGTTAGTGAAAGAACTCATTGTATGCCAAATCCTAGCGGACATTGCTAACCATGAATTGCACGTTTAGGATTGTTACTATCGTCGTGGGTTTCTGCAGTCTATTGCTCTTCCTCTTTGTCCCGGAGACCTTTTGGGACAGGGCTCCGGTCCCTCGAAAGTCTCGAAAAAGGTCAAGACCTGGGCTTCCACATCGACTGTCATCGAGGCACAATGTTCCACAGGTCGTAACTCCTGCGGTTGAGCCGGTGCCGTCAACGGTTGCTGAAGGCATCGCACAGACATCCGACTCTGCTTCTCGGCCCCACCGCGTCGGATTTGCTGCTGACATCGAGGAGCATGTGATACCCAAGGTTGAGAGTTCGACTGACACAACCCTCGTGGAAAAAGCAGATGAAACTCGCCATTCACCATGTTCTCAGAACCATGAAAACGAGCAGTTGGTTGATCCTACCCAACAATCAAATCAACCTTCTAGATTGCGACCACATGCCCCTCGTTCTTATCCTTCTTACGGATCGCAAGTCAATGAACCTTCAGCGGCTGCCGCACATCATGCCCACGCAAGCTTGACACGAGACACAGATAGCGAATCCCAGTCCCTTCGGAGCGCTGGACCATTACCATACACAGCCGCCCTCCGTGAACAACCACCTCGCTCCTTCATCCAATCCCTTAAGCCCTTCAACGGACGTTTGAATAAAGACAAGTGGCATAAGGTTGTGGTTCGGCCACTAATCTTGTTTACATACCCCGCTGTTCTCTGGTCGGCAGTGGTCTATTCTTGTTCTGTGGGCTGGCTCATTGTCATTTCAGAGTCTGTTGCCATTATTTACCGAGAAGACATTTACCATTTCAATGCTCTTCAGACTGGTCTTGTGTATATCAGCCCCTTTGTTGGCGGCGTCCTCGGATCAGCTGTTGCTGGGAGGGTCTCTGATATGATCGTCAAGGCAATGGCACGCCGGAACGGCGGGTTGTATGAGCCCGAGTTCAGACTAGTCATGGCCATTCCCATCGCCCTGACAACTGTTATTGGTTTGATGGGCTTTGGTTGGTCCGCACAGGCCCATAACCACTGGATGGTCCCGACCGCTTTCTTCGGGATCGTCTCTTTTGGATGCACACTTGGATCCACGACAAGCATTACATTTTGCGTCGACAGTTACAGGCAGTATGCCGGCGAAGCACTGGTGACATTGAACTTCAGCAAGAATGTATTTCACGGGCTTGTATTCAGCTTATTTGTTACCGACTGGCTGTCCGATGATGGTCCCAAGACGGTATTTATTTGGATTGGCATCATTCAACTTATTCTCCTTTTTTTCACCATCCCCATGTACATTCTTGGAAAGCGCGCTCGCATGTGGACAGTGCGCAAGAACTTCATGGAGAGGTTCTAAGATTGGGGCCCCAAGGTACTTAGTCACGGGACAAAACCAAGTAACAATAAGCTGACACAGCACACGCTTGTAGGCTCCTGCAGCACCTAGGTTCAGTTTTGGGGAGTAGGGGAAGAAGTTAAGAGACCTTGTTGGCCTTTGTTTGGTTGGTAATTGCCAAAATCCTTGCTTACCTACAATATCACTACTGAACATGACTAATTACACAACAAAATGTCTATATTCGCCAACTTCGGAAGCTCAAGTGTTCAGTTTCAAGTTAGTAGTTTGGGAGCAATAGGCTTGCGATCGCGGTACACACAGAACGTGGCACCTTGAGCGCTCCCATGCCCAGGATGCATCGGTTTCCTCCCCTCCCCCGACCTCTTCAAATGGATTACGTGGTGCTATGGTGCTAGGAAAAGACGGAAGTTACGTAAAATACATGGCGAAGTCTCTTTTATTAGGTCAATGAAAAACAGCCGTGGTTCGTCTTGAGGCTGTTTGAGAAGTTCATTCGTTGACATTCATACCTCGGCCCCTGGAGAGGTAGGTACCTAACCCCACGGTGGCCGCCAATATTAGCCCCTCAACCCCGCAACCCCTCTTGATCTTTTGCCCCACAACGTATGGAGAACGGAAGGCCTTTGCAAACAAGTTACTCATTTAACGAGACTTTCTACAAAGCAAAGCACAGCATTGCAAGCAAAATGTCGGCTCGCATACCACCTCTTATTCAGCCTTATCTCTCACTTCCACCGGAATCATCACTTGTCTTGCTGACTTCAGTTCTTGGTGCTAGTGCGAATTGGCTCGTTCTTCGCTATTTGCAGGAGCTCCTTAAACCAGCATCAGCCTTGCAAAACAACCATGAACATGTGTCAATTTTCCTCGTTAGTTTTCTCCGAGACTTTTCGTTTTGGAAAGACGGCTCCTCCCGCTTAGGCCTTGACCTCGAAGCAGCTGCGCAACGAGGACTGTTTAAGTATTTGGATGGGCTTCAAGTCCTTGTTTGTTCCAATGAGGACAGACGATACAACCCTATTGTCCCAGAGACAACTTCAGGATGGAGACAGCCACTGCAAAGTCAATCTCTTGTGGCGATCGCAAACAGGATTAAGGAAGGTTTGATGCATTTGAAGAGAGCTCCCCTAACAGGGTTCGATAAAGGCCACAGTCTTGAGCCTAAGAAGGTCGTACTAGTCCTAGATGGGCTGGATTTGTTACTAGCTACTCTCGAAAGCCCAAAGCAGGATGGCGAGGAGACCCTGATAGCTTTCAGAGACATGCTAATAGATATGAGAGAGGTGAGTTCAACGGGGTCAGGTACCAGCTAACAGTTGAATCTCGCTGATCATCGTGGCTTTAAGCATACACATGCTATGATCATTACCCTGGAGACTGATGACCCACTGATCAAAGAGCAGCAGTCGGTATTAGAACAACGGCATGCTTGGTTCGCCATCGGTCTTGCTCATGACGCCGATATGCTGCTTAGTCTTCGACTCCTCGATACTGGAGTCGCCAAGGACGTTAGTGGCGTGATCAGGATAACCTGCCCAGGGGATGGTATTGATCACAAGGATGAGGAGTTCTTGTATCATGTGGGGGGTGATGGTGGTGTTAGAGTATTCGAAAGAGGACAGCAGTAGGCGAAATGTCCCAAGCTATTATTTACTCGCTCTCCCAATCTTGGGGCTGTAGGGAGGCCGCATCTAGCTTTGTCCCAGCTTCCCGGTCATGTCCTGTCGGCTCCTTTGCAGGAGAATATCACAGCTTATCAATAAACTGATAAGGCCCCAACCATGATTGCCACTCATGCCTTTTGCTCGATGTGTATGTGTACACCGCTGACCTTTTCCACGAAATCTCATGCCATTTTGCTGGAGCCATGCAGGGAGAACAGGCCGGTTCGTAAAAGTGTCCACTTCCTGTAAACCGCCCGCCGAAAAATACCCATACCATCATCCGTACCCCCAACCGCAAAGAGAACTTTTACGATGAAGTAGAAACCGCAGGACCCCGGGCGCCCTTGGGAACACCAGTCCGGAAACCATTCTTGAACCGCCGCGGGACGGTGCTGAGGTAACGCATCCGACCAGTGCCCGTAACCTTTCTGCGCTTCGCCTTCTCGGACCAGTTGTCTATTTTGCCCCCGTGTCAGTAGTGTTTTGCTTGTAGAATGTACTGCTTGGTATCGTAAAATGTCAGGGTTTCTGCAACATACACTTGCGGGTCTTAGCAGCAGGGTAGCCGCACGAAGCGCAGACCTTCTTCTGGTTATGGAGAGACCGGCGGCTAGTTGGGAAATTTTGTCAACTTGAGGTTCGGTGAAGGTGCCTTGCTCGACTCTTTTCTGATGCAACGACACGAGGGCTGTCCCATATGGGCTTTCGAAAAACTCACCCGCAGCGTCGGCAGAGACCGTGGGTCTTGTTGTGGCTGATGCTGTTATTAGCAACAAATCCAAAAGCGAGAACAGACTGTACCGACTCACCGCTTGCCAAAGCTCGAGGTGCCCTTCGCTATGGATATGTGTTAGTCTATATCAGCCGCACCAGTATATTTCAAGCGTCGCAAGTCGTCCAAAATCATGTCAATTCCTCGAGAAGGACAGTGACTCTTGGGTAATCCGTAAAAAGCAAGTCGCTGGGAAAGGTCGACACTCCCGACCTCGACTTAAGGGGCGGACTCACTCATTTTGGCGGTATCTCTATCGGAAAGGGATCCGTAAGTAAGTCATCATCAACTATCAAAACCTATTGATAGCAAAGCTTACCTGCGTCGTAGTCGACCGAAGGGAGCGTATTGATGTGGTGTAGGTTCTCTCGGTTCTCACGTCCCGAAATTTTCGGAGTGTGCGTCAAGGCGTTCCCTTAGGGCTCCAAAAATGCCAGCCACTTTCTTAGAGCATCAGCCTCAATGTGGCTGTGCAAGCAAGGCTAATGGCCAACGATTAAAACCGCACACTCCCTAACGGCTACCAGCAGATGGTTTGTTTTTTTGTTCAGCTCCACACAGGCAAATTCCAGCCCTCGCGACCATAGGTAAAAATGTGAATTTGACAGACTCCCATCGGCGCAAAATGTCTACGTGGAGCTACATGTTTAACAACACCCTTGCAGTTTTTCAAACCCTCAAACTTACAGTGAAATCAACTGAAAGATGAGAAGGACTGTGGTTATGCATTTAAAAGATAAAACTAGAAAATTGAAATCAATATAAAAGTTTTAGTGATCAAAAGAATTGCAAACGCACATACAATGTCTGCCTGCCTACGGGATATAGAGGTACTTAACATAATTCCAGGTTTTTATTCTGGGAAATTGTAATTTACACCAAAAATACTGCAACCGTTTTGTAACAGGTTAGTGCTTTTAGGTAACCCAGGGCCCGATCTGACGTCTTCAAGAACACAATGTTCATGGCTTAATCGCTTAATGGCGTTTCAGCTGGAACATGATAACATGGTCATGTGAATCACCCTTTGATGGATCAGGTAGTACCTAAGATCAGGCCGATGGAGGCCCAGCTGCTTGTGATAGCAGCTGAGCGCCGAGTGCTTTCTGGCTTCGAACTCTTCATTTCGGAGTGTATAATGCAGCCTGCTAAGTTCAAGTACAGATATCTAGATACCATTTTTGGTTAGGTAAAGCACCAAGATTGGAACTTGAAACCTGAGTCAATGATTGTACAATGTGAACATTTGGTGTAGAGCTGCCATTGAGGATACGTATTGTTTGAAAGTACACCCAAAGCTACCATCTACCTACCGGCAGGTACATACATACCCGACATTCCATCCCTTACGAAAGAAGCTCATTTGCAGTCGAACCCTAATCGGGGTGCAATTTAAGACGTGTGGGATAGTACTCTTGCTACATGCTCAAGAGCACTTAAGGCTGTTTGTAGAAACAAAACTGAGTTTGCCTTCCCCTTTTTGGCTTGGCAATCATTCCATCTGGGACTGACGCAACGAGACAATTAAAGAGAGTTAATCCTTCCCTATGTTCTCTATCTTAAACCAGTACTACCTTTGGACTCGTGATTTGTTTTGTCCTTACACCATTCCTCCTTGTCTTCACAGAACGAGTTGTTCCTGACAGCTCACGGTGAGCCATCAGTGATTTTGAGCTTGTTGAATTCCGCTAAGGTTCTCTCATAGTTTTCCTTGGCGGCCTGCGCATCTGCCAACTTCTTCTTCTCCGCAGTCAGCACCACATCGCTCACCTTCTCGAACCCTTCGCGACTCATCAGCTCCTGCTGTTTCGCGATAGTGATGTTAGTCTTCTGGAGTTTTGTGTGGATCTTCTTGATTTCAGCATCGATATCCTTGATCTGTGTGCTGACTTGAAGCAAGACGGCAATGTCTGCAGACACCACGTAGACTGCACAGCCACGGGGCAATGCAGTTTCGTCTACATCGGGGCCCAGGACGGTAACCTCCGAGATTCCCTTTCCGGACAATGTTTTGATAGCTTGGAGCTGAGCGCTGACCTTTTCAAAGCCAGCTGCTGTTGACACCTTAATGAAAGCCCGACCATCAACTCGGATGCTGTAGTCAGCAGCCAGCGAACGGATTCCAGCAGCACACTTGAGTCCAAGTTCATAATCCTCTGCATCAGACGCAAACTCCAGTTCATCCTCTGGCTCAGGATACGGTGCCAACATAATAGATGGAGGTGCATCCTCAGCCTTGCGTGGCAAGCGTTGCCATAATTCCTCGGTGATGAAGGGCATGAATGGATGCAAGAGCCGCAAAGCAACATCAAGTGTCCGATAAAGAGTTTGTTGCACACTTTGCTGCTGCTCAGGAGTCCCGTCACTCAGGATGCCCTTGCTGTTTTCAATGAAGACATCACACAGTTCGTCATAGAAAAACTGGTAGGCCAACTTCGTGCTGGTGGAAAATTGCCGGGCTTCAAGAGCTTCGTTGATTCCCCTGACCGCACAATTCATGCGGAACAAAATCCAGCGCTCTGGCACTGACAAAACCGAAGTGTCAAGTTTGGAGACGGGCACGAAATTCTCTGGCAACTTGCTGAGGACGTACTTGCTGGCTTGCCAGATCTTGTTGCAGAATCGACGATACGCGTGCATAACTTTAATATCGAAGTTGATGTCGCCGCCGCCAGTGGTATATGAAAGCAGTGTGAACCTAAGAGCGTCTGCTCCACACTCTGGAATTCCTCCAGGGAAGGCCGTTTTTTGGTATTTGGTGGCGCGTTCAATTTCGTCTTCCTTGAGGTTACCAGTCAGAAGCTTGGCATGGAGGGCCTCCAGCTCAATCCCACTAATGATGTCCAATGGGTCGATGACATTGCCGAGAGATTTGCTCATCTTTCTGCCCTCAGAGTCTCGGATGAGGCTGTGGCAGTAGACCTCCGTGAAAGGAACTTGGCCGGTAAGCTTGAGACTCAACATGATCATGCGGCTGACCCAGAAGAAAAGAATATCCCAACCCGTTTCCAGCATGCTAGTTGGGAAAAAGTTCTTGAAATCGCTGCTGTCAGTATTTGGCCAGCCGAGAATGGCCATTGGCCACAAACCGGAGCTAAACCAGGTATCCAAGCAATCAGGATCCTGTTCCAAGTGGAACTTCCTCCCAGCGTACTTTGCCTGCGCCTTGGCTTGGGCTTCTTCTGCAGTCCTGCCCACGACCCACTCAGACTTATCTGTCTCGCGGGGGTCTTCTCCTTCGAAGATGACGCGGTAGGCTGGAATACGATGACCCCACCTAAGAGATAATGTCAGCGATAGGAATAAGTGATGATATCCGGTAACCTTACCAAAGTTGTCGAGAAATGCACCAATCGTTGATGTTGGACAGCCATCTGTCATAAGATTTCCTGGCGCTCTCGGGGGATATTTTAATCCTGCCTTCTTCAACGACTTTGAGCGCTGCATCTGCCATTTCCTTCATGCGGACCCACCACTGGGGTGTCATATATGGCTCGATGACATCCTTGGTCTTCTCGCACAAAGGAATGGTCATTGCATGTGGCTCCTTTTTGACAAACAGACCGAGCTTGGTGAGCTCCTCGACAACTGTATACCGTGCGTCAAACCTCTTTTGTCCTTGGAACATTGGGCCCGCATTCTCATTGAGTGTGCCATCCTCATTCAAGATATTGATGAATTCGAGATTGTGTCGCTCGCCTAGCTTGTAGTCGTTGAAGTCATGGGCGGGTGTGAGCTTCACAGCACCAGTACCAAACGCAGGGTCAACATAACTATCTTCAACAATGGGCAGCAGGCTGAAAAGTTGTTAGTACCTTGTGCATGGTGTTGTTGGAGAGTAGACTGACCGGTTGGTAAACGGGTGACGTGCGAACTTGCCGACCAGGTGGGCATAACGAGGATCTCCAGGACTGACAGCGATACCAGTGTCGCCCAGCATAGTCTCAGGACGCGTTGTTGCAACCTCAATGGTGAGGTCCGTACCATCAATGGGGTACTTGAAGTACGTCAGAACACCGAACTCGATCTTGCGGTCATACCCTGGCACAGAGAGCATTGTCCGACCGCCAATCTCTTTGTTTTCCACCTCCAAGGAGCTGAGTGCAGTCTGCAGGTGAGTGCACCAGTTCACCAAACGGTTAGACCTGTAGATATAGCCCTCGTCATGCAGGCGGCAAAAGGTTTCCATGGTTGCAGCAGTTAATTTCTCGTCCATGGTGAAGGCTTCACGGCTCCAATCCATGGATCCTCCCATGAGTCTCTGGGCGTTGTTTATCCGTTGGTGGTATTCGCCCTTCCACTCCCAAACAAGTTTCGTAAATTCCTCACGACCGATCTCGAGACGTGTTTTCTTCTGCTTCTTCCAAAGCATTTTCTCGACAACAGACTGAGTTGAGATACCAGCATGGTCGCAACCAGGGATCCATAATGCTGAATAGCCTCTTTGTGCTGATTAGCAGGCAGTGCCAAAGCAGGAAGCATAAGATATCAGGAAAAAAAAGGAAGAATCACATACTTCATACGATACCAGCGAATCAATGTATCCTGGAGGGAATTGGCCAGGGCATGACCGCAGTGAAGCGCACCAGTCACATTAGGGGGTGGCAGAGGGATAACAAATTTCTTGCCTTCCTCCACAGGCATGCGAGGCTGGAAAAAGCCGCTTTTCTCCCACCAGGAGTACCAGGCGGACTCGACAGCGCTGGGATTGTACGCCTGGAAGTAAGGGTGATCAAAGGGCTGGATAATCTTTTTCTCACCCGGCGGCGTTTCATCCTTGTAGGGTGGAAGAGAGGGCGTCTGAGCTTTGGCAGCTTTCGGAGCCTGCTGCTGCTGCTGCTGTTGTTGTTGCTTGAGCTTCGCTTGCTTGGCCGCGAACTTGGCAGCCTTATCGGCTTTGGCCTTCTCCTTTTGTTCTGATCCAAGTATTAGGGAGCTTGAAGACTGTATAGTGGTGGAATCGAAGCAGATTTCTTACCGTTCTTCTTGGCTGCGGAAACGCCCGTGGTGGGCGCTGCCGCAGGGACAGGAGCAGGCACGTCGGAAGCCATCGTTGGATGTTGAATGGTGTAAAGTCGAGGCGACGGCAGGTTGAGGGCCAAGGGAAAGTTGCGCAGCGATTCCCGTCTCAGACTTGCCAGTCGCCGCAATGGACTCAGCATCCAGGAGTGTCAGAGGGGTGAACAGTTCAAGGAGGGGCAGGAAGCTGAGAGTCCTTTAAGAGACCGTGTCCCGGCATGTAACAATTTCAGTCAAAGGAGGGGTCGATGCATGAGTCAATCAAAATTGACTGGCCGGTATGATCGGTCCAAGGCCGAAGCCCCCACCTTGGCCAATTGTGCTGTTGTGTGAACAGTGGAGGTTCCGTTGTGGCCCCGCTCTTAAGCAGGCGTAAGATGACCCTAACCCTGATTAATGATGTGTACGTCAGTTATCCGAAGTTCAACCGCTCAACGTTTTGACCACAATAGTGATTGCGGAGATTGCATGTGACCTTTTGAAGAGGCAAGAGTCCACTGGAAGTACTTGGCAGATGGCCGCCGACTCACCAAAGCACTTGAACCGGTGGCCCAGAATCCGGACGACACTTTAACCCAGGCTCTCCATTTTCACAACTGCTCGGATGGTGGCTTCGCAAGTCCTTGAACTGACTTCCCTAGCGTGCCCAAATCCTGCCTTCACCACTCCACTTGCAGCAACGTCTTTCTGTTAAACAAGCTCTCGTCATCAACTGTGATCTGTTGAGTGGTCAGAGTCGCCGTGTCCACAGTCTCCTCGTCATAGGACGCCAGCTGGCTTGCATGTTTCCCAATACCTTTTGACAACCTTGTCGAACTGCCCCTCACGAGAAACTGATTTCTATGCCTGCCTCCCCACCTCCGTGCCCCGGCATTTTTTGAGCTTCAATTATGATCCTTACCCAGAAGATTCGTGTTTCTCGAATAATACACTTGCCCACATTATAGAGGCTCAGCCGAACGCATTCGCACACTGTGTGGTCACAGCATCACCATGCGGCCACCGCGGGTTATCATCATCGTTCTCTTCCTCTCAGCATCTGTGTTTCTTATTGTCCGCTCGGTTCGCTCCATTCGCGGGTCGAACACATCAGGTGTGCCGCTGACTGCACACCAGCCATCTTTCAAAGCTCTCTTCTCATTCTCAATCCCGTTTTCGCTTTTCCCACCAAGTGCAGCAATCACCCTTACCGATGACAATAGTACCTTCTTTCCTGCTCGGCCCGCTGCCTTTGGTCCGCCGCTCCCAAGAAATGGCCTGAGCGGGCAGTTGTGGGTAGGAAGCGGCTTTTCCGATGATAGTTTGCAAGATGGAGAAGGAGAAGGGGAGTTAGGTTGCAGTGATATCCCTGGCTGGGAAGATGGACGGTCAAAGGTGCCTATCCAGGAGGCCACAATAGGAACAGTTAATCCGGACTCGAATCCCGATGATCACTTATCTAAGAACCCCGATCATCTCGAAGACAGATATATGCTAGCCGGCAAAGAATATTCACCAAATCAAAAGCCACACGAATCAGGAAAGATCAATGACGGAACTGATGAGTACCTCAATGACGAAGGTCGACGCCAAAGTAACTCGTTGTACAACGCACCAGTAACGACTCATGCCGATATTCAGTCCATTCAAGAGGCAGCCGAGATCACAGGAAAGATCGTCCTTCTTAGCCGAGGGGGTTGTGGTTTTCTTGAGAAAGTGAAGTGGGCACAGCGTCGTGGGGCTATCGCTCTCATCGTCGGTGATAACCGGAAAGGAGGACCTTTAATCCAGATGTCGGCAAGAGGAAATACAGACAATGTGACTATCCCATCGGTATTCACTTCCCGCATGACTGCCCGTCTCTTGTCATCCTTGACTCAACCTGGAAGCCCCATGAACGATAAGGGCATGCTCAACTCGATCAGCAATTCCGATGCTCACACGAAATCCAAAAAGGATAAGCCGATGAGAGCCAAGTTTATGACTGCTGATGGACTTCTGGCAGTCCCACTTGCGTTGAGCTCCAGTCAGGGGATGGCAAGACCTAAGATCCACCACAACGGATACAGTGGATGGATACCGAGTAGGGGTTTGAAGAGAGAAACACAAAGCGCCATGGCTGACAAAAGTCGCCCTCCTAGCAGCGGTCGCCTTGACTGGGTCCTGGTTGATGATTCAACTGGAGAGACAAGCGGCATTCACGAGAAGAGGCTCAGTAAAACTACAGACAGCGACAAAAATCAAATCGCCGTGTCGGAGTCTCATTCAACACTCGTTGACGGGTTGGATGATCGAAGGAAGGGTTTACATCGTGGCATTATTGAGGACTCCGGGGCCAGAAATTGGATGCTTAAGCAGCCCTCAAAAAGTCCACGCACTGATCTTGGATCCAGCGATATAGACGTTTCAGCACGGTTGCCGACCAACCCCAGCACACATCAAACCACGAAGCAAATATCTGGGTTTCCTGAACTCAATACGCTTGAATCCCGCAAGTTAGGGTCCACTGAATCACATTACAGGCTGGTCTCTGAAATTGACCGAGCCAGCTCTGAGAATAGTGGCATCCTCTCTATAAAAACCTAACGGTTGGACATGCATCGTTGGGCGACCACTCCATTAGATTCGACCGAGGACCTTGTTCGTGAAGGTGTTTGGGTAACCATCACACCAACAGGCAGCGCAAGTCCATTTTTTGATACCCTTTTGGTTTAGTGATTAGTCCGCTGATTACATTAACCATTGTGTACGCCCTTCTTATCATTCGTGTCAAAATAAGAATGAGGAGATGGAGAGCGCCAAAGTCGTTAGTTGATCGCCTGCCAGTTCGAACATATCATGCGGTTCCTTTATCACCTGGTCGATCTCCTCGCATTCCCTCTCAAGCAAACTTGTCGCCAACAACACCTTTACTTCAAGCTTCAGAGTGTTCATCTTGCACCACCGTTCCTGAACCAATCAACTTGTCAAGGGCAAGTGATCACCTACATGCATCAAACCAAGAGCCGCGAGGGAAACAGTCCGGAGGAAAGCGCAGTCAATGGAAGAAATATATGGGCCTGCAGGTTGAATGCGTCATTTGCCTTGAGGAGTACATAGATGGCATCAGCAAAGTGATGAGTCTGCCTTGCGGCCATGAATTTCATGCAGAGTGCATGTAAGTGCCACAACTATCCATCCGAACGTTAGTGAAAAATCTTGCTCACATCGTATAGAACACCATGGTTGACAACTCGGCGGCGTACATGCCCAATATGCAAAAGCGACGTTGTCAGATCGCTCGCACGAGGTCCCTCCTCAAGTCCGCACTATGAACCATTTCATGAAGACAGAGTTGATAGCAGTGGCGATGACTCCGATCAGTCGCCAAGTAGGCTCCCATTCCATGATCAGAGAGAGGATTTAGAACGAGGGCCCTCTTGGAGTGCAGAGCAGCACACGAGTTTGGATGACACGTGGTTTAGGACACTTTTAGGCCGTCTGAGAGGGCGCCACCTGTTTGCAGTGGGACGAGCAAACTCTCAGAGCCGCAACCGTTAGGTTTTGCATCCACAGCTGGCTATCCATGGGGCAATCATGTGTCAAATGATCACTATGCGAGGTGTAATTGTCATGTTTTTTGCTTGTCTGCCCAAGTGTGCTGCTCTCCAGTTTGGTAGACTTGGGTGTTATGCTATAGCATTTCGCATTTGTCATAGATACTCTGATGCTCTGTTCCACCTGTGTCTGGTTAGTAGTTCCCAGCGTTATGTCTCTCCCCTACTCTATCTATAAGCTCATCAACCTTTCTAGACGAGGTACTTTTTGTTCCAGAACACAACTGTGCCCAAAGCACCTCACCTAAGCACAGCAATGTTATTATTCTGAGGCATCATTGCTGTTTGGAAAACAATGACTTGCATGTCTATAGGATAGATATGACTGCCTGCCAACATATACCTCTATCTCAAAGGTTGTGTGTGGCAAAGAATTTGGTTCTCAGAAACCCCAATAAGCCAAGCGCAATCAAATGAGCCGAGCTATTCAAGGTCTCACCAACATTCAAATCAACCATTGTAAAAGCGTTGAGCACACTAAGTAGGTAAGTGGCTCAAGTCTGGCCTCGATTTCCTTTGCCTGATCCGGTGGCTGTGGTGGCCTGGTGTCTACTAAACTTTTGACTGTCCGTAGCTGGTGAAGTCGATCAGAGAGGACCATCTTTGGCTATTGTATTTGGATGATGTCTTGGCAACTTCCCAACTTATTTCGTGAACCACTATGGCGGAGAGAGCACCACGCTGTATATCCTACTTTGCACCATTTGTATAAAAGTTATTCTTCCAAATTTAGCATTTGATGACTTCATAAAAACATCAGATGGGTTTGGATGATGACTTGTATACCTATTTGACTTGCACAAAGGCAGCTCAAACCTAGTCTAATATTGTGTAATCCTTTGTCGGCACCTGAGTGGTTTAGTTTTGATGGGCATGGGACCCCCACAGTTCGCTGGATCCCCAACGTACTGTATGCTCAGGAAGGTACTCCGCTCGTACTTTCAGAACTATCTGTACTCCATGCATGCCAGGACAGTGCTTGACATCAAAGCATTGACATCCTTAAGTGGCACTGAGGTGTCAAACCTTTGCAAACCTTCAGAATTCACATCGTTTCCGACAATTGTTAGCCTTCCAACTTGATATTTCGGATCAGAAAGGTTGCAACTACCAAAAGAGGTTATACCTGAGCTTTTTGATGCTGAAGCGGATATCTCTCGGGATACCGAAGCACGTAGGCTTGTTCAAATGTTTGTGTCTCGTTCAAGGCTGGGCTCACTGACATCTATTGACATAGATACTTTTGCTCAAGCAAAACACGGCTTTCACTTGTGCAGAAGATAAAGAGATACTGCAAATACTAGTCCCTCCTTGGTCTGGCTCTCCATGCTGCGATACCTAGCTCCAGCAAAAGTCGGCTTATTGGCTCTTGTTGAGCTTTACGTTGAGGGTGCTGTGTCCAATGATGCCACAATTCCAGTAGTCGAGTTCCTGGCATCACACTTGCTTGATTTCTCCCTCATTAATCGGCCACAGTATCCTGAGCATCAGTGGCAGCATGCCAATGCTCTCATCAGGATTAATGTTTCAGTCCATCATTTTGAGAAACTCCTTTCCTCCTTTGCCGCGGCTGACCGACTTCCCGGTCGCCGCTTGTGGGACAGGTTCTTGGAAAAACTTTGGGGAATCGACTCTCTCCACGCTCTACATGAGTTTTTTGAACGATCTTCGGTCTTAGTGGCCAAAAGCAGGGCTGAGTTTCGCCGGCTGGCCGAAGACAAAGAGCAGCACCATACCGGCATTCTCCTTGCTCCCAATTCTCCTCTGGGGGCATTCGTGAGGAAAGCGTCCTTGGAGTTTTCCAAGCTCCAATTTGAACAATCACTCGAGCTGTGGAAAGCTTTTGTTGACTATCGCCAACCAACGGCCGCTTACTGGAAGTTTCGGAACTCCCGCTTCAGCCGACACAGTTTCGATTCTGTGTTGCTTGCTAGCGAACGCGAATGGGGCCCACAGACCTTAGAATTGGCTGCTGCTGCTTACGGGAGCATACAGCGAGGAGATCTTCGCGATGGTGCCTTGCTAGTCAGCACAGATGATATTGAAAACTTGATAGAGTATCAGATTGCACATGGACAGAGTGAGTGATGTTCTATCCCTCGGAAAGGGTTGATGCTAATTCATACAAGAGTCCGGGGACCGAGTTCCGCGCGAGATTAAAAAAAGATACCAGGATTTGATGACTAAAAGTCGGGTTATACCCAGCCTGTCACATTATCTCAAGTAAGAATATGAGAACTCGCTTTTGTGGGAGTGAGCTAACGTGTCCTAGTTTCTCTGACTCATGGCGATCAGGGGAGTTCCCTACTTCCTTCGAATACCTGCACCGTTACTTCGACTACACCATACAGAACCGAGACCGACTATTCTATCAATACGCTTTGCTAAGTCTAGCAATTGTTCAATCGGATTTTGGCTGCAACAGAGAGGCTGTTGCAACTATGCTGGAAGCTGTCTCGGCAGCTCGAGAAGACCGGGATACCGCGTGCCTGAATTTTGCCTTAAACTGGCTTTACCACTTCAGCAAAACCCACCCAGAGCTTTCCAAAGAGCTCGAAGACAGTAACATGCTTGGCACTGCAAAGGAGTCACTAGCATATCTCCGTACCAAGGCAAAGGAGACAGGCATGTGGGTATTGTGGAGTTCAGCTTTATTGAGCGAGGCAAAACTTTGTCTGTCAAACGGAGAAAGCATTTCGAATGCTTTAGAGAACATGGCGCGAAGTTCCCATGTTATCATTGAGCGAAACATGAAGCCCATGATGGGTGCACAAATATCTCTCACTACGACTCTCTGGGACAGGCTTGGCTTGGCTTCTATGTCGGCCATGATGTGCGAGGTCTTCCTTCGTTGCCATGCCACCAGTTCTCTCTTTGATGATCAGTTAAGAATTACATGCCGCTTAAGCGGGCTACTCTCCAGCAAGGGCATGTATGAAGAAGCCTTCGAGAGGCTGGAGAGTCTTGGGAGCAACTCGCTCCGTTCGGCAAAGATAAGACAATATTGGCGTCTTTACCACGGCGTCCTCAACCTGCGTCGAGTTCTTCACCAAAACCGTCTCGACGCCGCCAGTGCTCTGGTCTCTCAGCTTCTACAAGTCAGTCCAGAAGAGACAGATCCTGCCATTATCTCCATCATCCATATGATGCATATCGAGACGTTGACCCGTTGTTGCGATTTTGACCAGGCACTTGGTAAGGTTGAGCGACTACTTTCCGAGTTTCGACAGAGCAATAAAGATATATCCCTTCGGCTTCGGTTGCTTCTGGCCAAGGCGCATCTGTTTGATTGTATTGGACGACCCGAGAAAGGCTTCACGATTGCTATACGTGCTGCGAGCATAGCATGGAGGGCCCGTCTGACTTCATTGCTTTGGCAAGCGATTGGCGCCATTGCAAACATTCTCAACGCCCTTGGCGAGTTTATGGCGTCAGAGAAGCTGCTCATCGCCATTCTCCCTCGCTGTCTGGAGACTGAAACAACGTTTATAGCGGGCACCCTATACAATATTTTGGCAGATGCAAGGTTGGGCAGAACAAGAGAGATCAACCTTTCAAGGACTGCAGTTGACCATGCCATGAAGTATCTGATGGTTCATGATGCTCTGGATTCAGCCTACAAATGTTTTTCAGTCGTGGAAGACGTGGTGAAACAGGATGAAATCCTAGCAAAGAAAGCAACCGTCTCCAGATTGAGTTTAATTACACACTGACCTGACCTGCACAACCGCTTATCCGGACAATGAAGGGCTTGGATGTCAGCGGGGTAAGGTGCGATTAGCAACGGCAAGCAGTTGGAGTTTATAGGGATGAGAGAACGAACATAACGATGGTAACTTCGACTTACTTGCAGCCTTGACAATGCCGATGCTGTGAGGACGTTCAATATGCAGCTGGACAATGGAACCTATTGTATCGCCCTACCATCCACTTCGATAGCATGCTGATAGTACGATTACAGTTTAATCAAAAATGACCAACTGCCCTATGAATCGAGAGGCACGGACATGGCAATAAAGTCCCACAAAGCCGACCCATAAAAAACTTGTTCGGTAATGCTGCCCGAGTCTTTCTATTCTGTTATTTAAACATATACACTGGTTTTCTTGATCCGCATCCCCCTGTTAGTTGCGTTGCATGGGACGATCACCTTACGTCGCCTTATCCTTATTGTGGTAGTTGACCTTCTCGTTCCAACTATACGTTGCGTTAGCTAATCAACAGACCATGTTCCTTAATGCCAGGGACAAGAGCTAGAATCCCGAAAAACATATAAGAATCGGGAAGAGGGGGGAGGGGGTCGATCAGGGTTGGCCACATACAACAGAGTCTTTGAATGAGTTAGCAAGAGTTGTAAGCATATGGGTAAAGATTCAAGGGCACTTACCTTGTCGCCATCACCCCAAGGGAAGTTCCGGGTGCGGATGTTCTGATATGGGTATTCAACGCGCTCCTCAAGAGGAGGAAGATGCGACCAATGCTCCCAGTGCTCGTTCCAAAGGTTGTAGGCGTTAATACCCGCCAGAATCATGGCAGGAGGGACGGCACTGTTACGACGCAGTCGGTCAGCGGCATTCTGTACTGCAGACCTAGGAACTCTCCTTGGGCTATTGGTTGTGGACAGTGAAATTAATGATGCCACGAAAACAACGCATCCAGTTGGACCAAACGGAGGATGGAGAATGTCCGAGAGCCAAAGCAACGTACTAGAGTGAAATTTTGCGCCACAATTCTGCCCTCCTATTAGCATCTTTGTTTCAAGAATCGACTGACTCAGGAAGCTTCAAGATACTCACCAGCGGTGGCCTTGGCGTGCTCCTTGACATGGCGGCGCTCCCGAACGAAGCTGTTCTCTGTCTCGGTGCTGGCCAGGCGACGCTGGGCCTGGGCCCGCAGCTGCGCAGAGAAGCGCGGCGCAGCGCGAAGTAGCTGGCGCTGCGGGAACATTTTGATGTTGGTGCTTTGAGACTACTTCGGGATGTTGGGGCGTGTCAATGGAGGACGAAGCAGGAGTCCAAGGTGAGAAACCGGGAGGGCTGATATGAAGCAATGACCCGCTTTTTGTCTGGAGCTCCAAGACCTCTGGGGTGAGGTCAGATTCCGATCAGCTCATTTTCGGTTAGACCTCGGGTTTGTGTCACTTACGTGCCTTTCTCCTACCCACTTATAGATTACGGATAATCGAATATTGCATGCGGAGTCCGACATCCCTCAAACTGCTCCCCTCACTGCCCCGCAGAGAACCCCCCTTTGCATTAAGTCACGTGATCCCGCGCACCGGCATACGCGCATCCGGCGACCTACCAGCTCTATCGCACAGGAGCCTGAGACAAGTCCATCCTCAACAGGATTGAATCACCACTTTACGGCGCTGCGCTTAAATGCTAGGTTTTCCTTCACCTGAAACTTTGTATTTTACCTACCTATCGGTTGTTAGCTCTGTTAGCGGCCCGCCATTTGCCCGTGATTGCGGGTGTCTCAGTCTTCCCAACTATTATACCAACCTGACGGCTGTCGTGCTTTCCCTGTCTGCCCTCCCGTTCCCCAATTGTTTGCATTTCATTGCCTTACACAATACCCAACCAGACTGAGAATCTCACAAGGTTAATTGTGTATCTGTGATATCCGGACGTTTTGGCCGACCTTTCAACGAGGCCAGGCATTCAGCCTCAAAGTGTTTCCAGATGCCTCTCCGAATTACAACGTGGAATGGTAAGACGTGATCCTCCATCTACGCGTCCTCTAACTTTGAGTTTATCTGACACCTCCGTACAAGTCAACGGAATAAGGAATCCCTTCAAGTATCAGCCATGGAGAGAAAAGCGTACCTTTGAGGTGAGAGCCCAGCGCATGTGTAACCTATGGGTCCTAATAGGTTTTAGGCCATGTTTGATACGTTAGAAGCAGACATTGTTGTTTTACAAGAGACAAAAATTCAGCGCAAGGACTTGAGGGACGACATGGTTCTGGTTCCAGGCTGGGATGTATTTTTTACCTTTCCTAGACACAAGAAAGGTTCGTGTCTGGAACCGGTATCACTACATCGCGCAACATAGCTAATAACCTCCTCAGGTTACTCCGGTGTGGCAATTTATACACGGTCTTCCAAATGTTGTCCTATCCGCGCGGAAGAAGGCATCACCGGGGTTCTCTGTCCTCCAAATTCTTCCACTAAGTTCAGAGATTTGCCTGCAGATCAACAAATCGGTGGCTACCCAAGAGCCGATCAACTGCTCGGCTCAATCGATGAACTGTCTCTCGATTCCGAAGGACGCTGCGTGATTCTGGAGTTTCCTGCGTTTGTCCTTATTGGCGTTTACAGCCCTGCGAGCAGAGACGAAACCAGAACTGAGTTTCGTCAGGCTTATATCAATGCCATTGATGCCAGAACACGCAACTTGGTTGCAGCAGGAAAGCAGGTTGTCATTTGCGGGGATCTCAACATTATCCGTTCAGATCTTGATACTGCTGGTCTGCCAGAGCGGCTGCGAAGGGAGGGCATTACCCTTGACGAATTTATGTCGGTTCCGTCACGCCGTGTTCTCAACCAACTGGTGTTCGGAGGTCATGTCATTGGGGAAAGAGATCGCGGACGAGAAGAGCCGGTTTTGTGGGACCTGTGCAGAGAGCACCATCCATCTCGTACAGGGATGTATACATGTTGGGAAACCAAAAAAAATGCCCGTCCCGGCAACTTTGGGAGTCGGATCGATTATATCTTGTGCAGCTCTGGGTTAAAGAGCTGGTTTATCGATGCCAATATTCAAGAAAGCCTTCTCGGATCCGACCATTGTCCTGTTTATGCGACCATTGGCGACCTGGTCTGTTTCAACAATTCCTCACTCCACATTGAGGATATCATGAACCCTGCAGGTGTCTTCGAGAATGGCCAACGCCTTCGAGAGTGGTCATCCAAAGACCTCCTCCCTATGTCGGCGAAACTTATTCCTGAATTTCGTTGTCGACAAAATATCAAGGACATGTTCTCGAGAAAAGCTTCCCTGGCGGCGGCGAGTCCTATATCAAAGAAAGGACATACCACCGATTATACCAGCTCTAGAATAAGTCATAACAATTCAGCAAGTATTCCCAAACCCAAATTCTATTTGCTCTGACTAACTCACATCTAGCTGGATCAGACCGACAAGACGCCCCCAAACAATGCTGCATTTGGAGATGCGTCAGTTCCGATGAAACGATCAGGCACGCTATCTGAACGACCCAATCCAACACATAAGAAAACGAAAACATCCACAGCGAAAAGTATTTCAAGGACAAGTTTGAACTCATCGCAACGTAGTCTACTCGGATTTCTTGTCCCAAAAATTGCCGATGCAAACGCCAACTTAAATCCTCCAGCTCCAAATGTTGGCACTCAACACTTACCTTCAGACATTCTTGACAAGAGCACTTGTGACTTGGAAGCCGAAGAAGCTCCCGTGGAACCAACGGATTCTCATCTTTCACTAGGGGAAAGTCCTGACCGCTTCTCGGAGAGGTTCGTTGATCCTGTTCAGGCTAAGGAACTATGGTCGAAGATACTCGGCAAAAGCACGGTACCCAAATGTGAGCATGGTGAAGATTGTCAAATGTTGATCACAAAAAAGCCAGGACTCAACTATGGTATGTCCTTTCTCCAAATACCCGCCCAGTATGTGCTTACACATACTACCATTGTTATCAGAAAGGCACTTATCTTCAACAACCTTATCCTATTTGATACTAATTTCCAATTAGGCCGAGCGTTCTTTATCTGTGCTCGTCCGTTGGGACCATTTGGGGTCAAAGAACATGGCACAGAATATCGATGTCGTACCTTTATATGGAGTAGTTGTCGAAGCAGCCAGAGAAAGTATGACTAGTGACATTCCTTTATCCGCTGTTGTTTGGGCAGCAGAACACCATCATCATATCATTCATCCCGAAATCCAATTTCATCAAGAGCAAATGAACTAAAGCACTCAGTATGAACACTGCCTATCTTCAATTTTGTTCTCTTCTAACAATCTGCCATAGAAGTAATAATACTCTTAATGACCTGATTCGCAATCTATGCTCCATTGCCATCAGCAACTGGGAGCGACCTCTCGCATAAGTTGTACCCACGTTTCGTCAAAGATTAGCTAGCTGGCATGTCATATCAAACCTCGGAAAGTACTGCAACTGTCAACGTTTTATCAACTCTCTTGTTCTCAGCGAGAATTCAAGCTAAGGTACTTCCTCGCACCATTTAGCTCACAGATCTTTTGTTCACTATCGAGGAATGAGAAAATGATGTGAAAATAATTTCACCGGCGCAAATCACCTTCGCGTTCTTTAGTCAAGTCATCAGCGCATCTAGCCCATGTTTTCTGCTCAAGAGTGAAGAAGCTTCATTCAATTTCAAGTACCTAATGCAAGCTCTTCAGGATACTAAACAGATGTCTCAAAATTGAGCAACCCGAAGGGTAGCATGCTTAGGCCAGCATGGGTTCAGGTACCGTATCTCTAACTCTATCTACAATGCAACAAGGCCCTTGGGGCTGATATATCTGAATGCCAAAAAGGGAAGACCGTTGCAGGTATCCCACCAGTTGTCAGTAATTTCTGTCAGTGTTGATAGCTTTCTTCAGCCCTGTGTGAATAGGAACGTATTTCGAGACTGACTCCAAGTGATGTCCCAACCATTCAGCTCTGATGCTCGAAGATGATTGTGCCCTTTGACGTATTGATCACAGACTAGATATAATCAGCTTGGCAGCCATTGTAACCGGATTGTGAATCGAATGGCGACTTGCTAAGAAGTGCTGCATATGATGGCGCCGAGCGGCCTCGAAACGGTAGGCAGGATATCTCAGCTTATGCAGCCGTTCTTCTTCATCAGCGAGTGCCTTGAAATGTGCCTTGATTTCAGGTTTCTCCTCATGCCACATACGTGACACAACCTGAGCTGTGGTCATCTATATTAGATATTCGACTCCAGTATGGCAACATCAGTCAGGGAACTTACAGATTGCGGAAGCAGTCATGTCGGGATGCTTCGCATGCATCCGGGCAGACATCCACTGACGGTAAATGATGAACTGGTTACGAGGGCGGCGAATGTGAATCTTCGCGATCTTGCCAATCCGGCTTGACTTCTTCATATCGGCAGTAATCGTGGTGAGAGGAGAGGGAGCGTCTGAAAAGATAACTTTTAGATCACAAAATTTTATATCGATTTCACTACTACTTACCATCAGAGGAGGAAATGACCATGAAGCCATTTTCATCCAAGGTGAGTGCGTGCTGAACACCGGTAACCAGGTACCGATCGGAACCATTGCACCGAACGATGGCAGCTTTTTTGCCCTCATTCATGGTCCTTCTCAACATTAGCAATCGCATGCTGATAAAAATATATAGGAGAAGCTTGTGGAAACACACATGTACTGCTTTTTGGCAGCCTGAAGCAACTTCGTGGTCTCTGAAACATCCGCAGTGGCATTGCAATGGACAATCATTTCGTTGCCAGTGAAAGTGAAAGAGATTCGAGTACTGTTATCTGCAACCTTGATGTGGGATTCAATCGGAGAAGTTGCCATCATATTGTCGATGAGGAGGATGTGAATGGAACGAAGTGAGTGTGGGTGAAAATGGAGATTTGAGTTAAAATCTGCGACGAAACGGTGCGACTTAAATGCTCAGCCTCAGAGTAAGGAAAATAAAGACAACTTTGCAAGATTGAGTCTAACGTATGAAGGAGGAAAAATGGGAACTGTTGCGAGGGGTGGAGTGGAGTGTTTCTTTCTGGTGTGCAATTCATTATTATTATTATGTTAATTCTGCAAAAGTTGTGGGTTTTCTGGAAAGGAAGGTGCGAGGGATGATCAAGCGGCGCGATTACAAAAAAAGAGCTGGATGTTTCGAAAGTCGATAAATAATACATCTGGCGAATGTTTACTGTGAGGGGCTGCAGACCTGAAAAATCATAACCCAATTATCGCCCTATAATAATATCAACGGCATGGAGAGGAAACATTAACACTTTTCTCACTCGAGCCATAATAGAAGCATCTGTAGCAACCTCACATCAATTCTTGCTCAATAACAATACCCCAAACTCGGACTTTGAAGGCACCTAGTAAGAGTTAGTCCCGATCACTCCGGTATACGTCGGTACTTTTCCTCAACTATTCGAACCGAATCCTACCACTTTATCTGTAGATCGTGAATTGATCCTTTGCCAGATACCTTGAGCTGATCTCTCTTCAGGTCACTTATTTTTTTGGATCGGGATTCAATCATCCAAGTGGCAAAGGCTCACTCTTAATATCTTCTACTCCTTGACAGTGAGTCGACAGAAGATGGCCAAGTCAATGCAGTATTTGTTCGAAAAGGCCGAATTGGAATGCCATGGTTTGGGCCAGGTTAGCTTCCTGTTGCCACAACAGCTTGTTTGCTTCAATGCTAACACATATATCAATATAGATTGTGCTTCGTATACAAGCGCGCTATATACGATCTGCCATAGCACCGGAAATTGAGGCCTTCGAGAATTCGTTCGACGAAATCATTCAGACAGCGGAGCTTTTCCTGACCGCCACGGAGAAGATATCTGAGTCTTCAGATATCGTCTTAATTGATCATGAAACGGTGATTAAGACTTTCTGTCAATTTTTGGTTTCGTCGAACTATATCCTGGATTTTCTGAGATTTCAGCAACGCAAGACCGGTATTCCAGCGGGAGGTGATGTCTCCCTACATAAGCAAGTTAAGGCGGCCCAGGCAGTGGTTCAAACACTGTTAACTGCACTTGTTGTTCATATAAAGGCGGACTCATATCCAGGAAAGGAGATGGGAATGGTCTATGATGAAGATACCAAGTACCTTTGGGGTGCAATTCTCCACAAGAACAAGGACGCCGATCCTAGTGAAGTACCAACTCTGTCTACAGATGAGGCTGACATCAACGAAATCAAGAAATACTGGCATATTGAGCACTTCTACCACCCAATAAGACACGTGCCAGGAACCACTTGGCACAAGTTTTTCGGAGGAATTAGGCTGCCACGCCTCACTGCAGGAAACCCATCTTTGTTCCTGAAGAAAGGAGCAAAATCTTTTTTTGTGGTCAACTTCCCAGAGACCGTCACCTGGCTTGCCCAGGAACTTGGTTCAGAGTACGAGATGTATCGTGCCCTTTTCGATCGGGTAAGTTTCAATATCTGAAAGAAAGTTCTGATATTCTCACTTCGCTAACTGGGTTAGGCTACGGGAGAGGCTGGTCAATACAGTCCTGCTAGGTTCAAGAATGTGAGTATAGCTGATCATGTGTCCTGGACCTCTCCCTTTATGCGACCAATCTAACTGGCTATAAAGCTGCGTGTTAACAAAATTCAACAACGGTTCTCTTCCCTCTTTAGAGGCTGGAAAACGATTGGGGACGAGAGGATCGTCCTCTTCGAAGAGTTGGATGGAGTAAGCTACGATACTAATACTCAATAAAAGAATCATCTAACTGCTGACATATGAGGGAAAACAGCTTACCTGGCCGGAACACGAAGGCCTCGGGTTTTCGAAATTCGAGTTTATGAGTGTTGAAATGAACGACCCAGATCTTACTGGCGTCGCATTGACGACACATGAGATGCCTGAGATCCCTAATCTTCTGCACGCCTACCCGTACATTTATTATTTCAAGCCTGCGTGTCAGAAGACTAATCAATAACCGTAATGAAGGTCAGGGAACGGACAAATGGATTAGTATAGCAATAGTGGATAGCCCTGGCCTGAAGTTAGCTTTCATCAACATTGGTGCCCATGGGTTTAAGTAAGAGAGGGGTGGTTTGTTCTTCAAACTTGGAAATAAGGTGATTCAAGCTATCCAGAGTTGATGGCTAGCAACGCAGCCCAGAACTAATTTCTGTCCGGAACGACTAATCGCAGAGCCATCTACTTGAGATAGTGAGATATTTACACCACAACGTTGTGGCAAAGATTGGCTTCGTTTTTTGTTAGGTTTGACCATCTAGTAAGGTTGCTGCTTTCAGTTGTAAACTCACAACCAATTTCAGCCGATCAAAGACCTGTGATGGCTTATAACCCCGGATTCCACTCCTACCTTTTCTTCTTTTCCTCCTTCCCGCTCCCCGAAATCACAGTTGCTCAAGCACACTTAGCAATTCAGGAATAGTGGCCCAGCCTTAAGTTGCGTGATATTGTTTACCTTTTCTTTTAAACTTTCATCGAACCATTGGAAATGTGCAAAATTGACGATTAAAACCATCCAATATGGCTGGGGTAAAGGTCAGCTCAAACAACTCCCTCCAAAAGTCAACGGATTCATTGGATACCGAGACCGAGGTGAGACCACCGCACTTCACAACTGAGCTGTCATCGAACCAAATAACGAGTTGTAGCATATTATTCGTCTCTCTTCGCTTAATTGACGCAAAAAGAACACTCACCAATTATTACGGTGCTATGGAAAGAAAATCCCTTCCATAAGGAGTAGGATTTCATGTGTGCAATGTACTCGGTGATTCGAGAGCATTTGTCAAACAACAACGTCTTCTACAGGACTAGATCCAGATGGTATTGAGCATTTGGGAATCATAGTCTGAGAAAGTTATCTTGCAACACTCGGCTGGGAACTGGTAAGGCTTGAGGATGGCACGCACAAGATTCAGCGCATTGCAGCTCGGAGCATACAAAACTCTGTTCAACCGATGAATGGGCTTGGTCTGTTCATGATGTGTTTGAACGACGGCCTTCCAATGATCTACCTAGTGCCGATCATCAGCAAGCTCTCAGGGCTCACCAACAATGTCATATGCGTGAATACACAACAAAGATATGCCAAAGAGTCACCCAATATGCTCGATGGTGAAAGCTGGATCACAATTGGAAACGTCCACATTGATTCATGTCCCTTTCAGTCAATATGCCAGCTCCAAAGGCGTCGCCACCAGCAATGCTTCAGATATGTCTGTGCATGAAACTTTCACCCTTGACAGTGGAAGGGAAGTTCGGTTTGGGGATATGTCGGAAAAAGTTCTGTAATCAGATCCAGCTTCATTCTTCGATCATCCAGCTGTGGTTGTGCCTGAATCTCGCCTTTTCACCGCCCCCAACACAGGTACGATTACCACGATTATTCAGTGGTCAACTCCTTGATAGCAGTACATGACACTAAAAGACTAACATATAGTGGGGCGTTTTTTGAGGACTGTCAGGACCCATTTGAGCGAACTGGTATCTTATTAGTTGAACAAGCGGCGAAAACGTACCATAACGCACTTGATACTTTACTTGAGTTCTTTAGAGAAAATGGTTGAGGATTAATTTCTCCCATTTTCTGTTGCAGGGATAACTGCTACCAGTCATGCTGATACCGAAGGCAATAGAAAGGATTTGCCTCTGTGGTATTCCTAAGGAATATGTAGAAGATAATCCATGGAATCCCAACATAGGGCAATGGATCAGAGGTCAATCACACCCCTCCTATCGCAGTTATTGTAGTGGGATGGAGGCAGGGTCAGAGATGGCTCTCTATCAGCTGGTGCAACCACAGGGCTGCTTTCAAGAAGCAAGGAATAAGATCTGTCCACAAGGATGTTGTATGTGACCCTGGCTTGCAATGGAAGCTACCCTTGCCGCGTAACTGTGCGCACAGTGTCTATACCTAATTTGATTGTCAAGCGTCGCAGAACGAGAAACATTTACCCGTAGTCCGAGTTCATCAAGACCGTAATGGCTTTCATGGGGCACTAACTAGCTTTATCAAGCAAGAGGTAAACCTTTCACTACCCAATACTACTCGTTGCCCTTGTACTAACAAAGCAGGGTGACCTGCACTTATCCATCTGGCTGACCGCTGAACAGACAGAATTGATAAATGGTAGAGATTAATTTGAGGGGAAACATCTTGATGGTGCTAATGTTGACGGTGTTTTGTGAACCTTTGTTCCAAAATGATTGATTTTCCTACTCCTCCTGGTATGATATCTTGCGCATCTCTCCAAGTCTGTGACGGGCAGCCGCAAGAGCGTTCTCCAGCTTAAGTATTTCGACCTGTAGAGGAACGAAGATAGGTAGTCAGTAAACACGCCAAAGACATGCACATGATAAATGTCTGCCACTCACCTGCTGCTCCATCTCGCGAACCTTGAATTCGTGTGCGCTCAGTTTCGAGTAATCAATCTTCTCCTCCTCTGCATTACGATCCTTGATCATATCCTGCACCTGACGAACCAATGCACGGCAAGCAGCACCGACAGCCTTGCTGGCCTGTTCCAGATCCTCCTGACTTTTGCTCATGAAACCAGCCTTTACGCGACTGGCGGCGACAAGTTGAGCAGTTGAGGCAGCTACATCATTAGATGCCACAATCAGCTGTTCAAGGCTGTTGCGGTTCGACAGTACTCCATCGGCGGTCTCAATGAGTGTATTTGTTGAGGACGCAACGGCCTTTGCCGCGGAGATAAGACCTTCTGTCCATCTATTGTTTTTCTTGTAGAATGCTGTCCGAGATGATGAGCCGCGACCGGCTTGTACGATTTCTTGTTGTGTAATGGTGGCAGCTTTGATGAGTCTTGCAATGGCTGTGGTGATCGCCATAGCGGCGTCAAGAATAGAATCGTGAACACGGAGTTCATATGTCGTGTAATTTTCACGGGGCTTGTTCTTGAGCTTCGTAAGACGAGCGACAGCGGCCTCAATAGCATCAGCAGCCTTGCTGAGCTCCTGATCAACAATCTCGCCCAGGTCACCCTTATTTGCAAGTTTGCCAAAGCCAGGAGCAAATGTTTCTACAAGATTGCTGAGCTTCTGAAGATTTAAGTTCACGTCGTGGTTACAATTAATCACAACATCCGTCTTCTGTAATGGGTCCATTCCATCCAGACGGAAGCTCAGCAAGCTGCGGAAAAATTTGACTGTCGCGAGGGCAGACTGGCGAGCGCCACTGATCAAAGCGTCGCTCTTCTTCTCATCAGTGGCGAGGCGGACAAGACCTTTAGTGTTGCTGCAAACATCCGCGATGGCACCAGCAAAGACGTTGACATTCTTGATCAGGTCCGCATGGGTGCTATTTGGTCCGTCGGCGATAAAACCATTGAAGGATGTGGCAAACTCAGTCGCACTGGCTGACGCCTTTTCGATCTGAGAGAGAACGTATGAAGGCGACGCGTTCTGATTGCCAGCTTGCATGGTGGAATCAAGTTCGTAAATCGCATCGTCAACACGCTGTACACCTGCTTGGAGGACGGAGTCGATGATCTCATTGATCTTGTCCAGCTGTGCGAGAATCAAAGCGTCGATCTGGCTGTCGATCGCTTGATCAGTGGTGTTCTGATTATTCTTGAGTTCATTCAGCTCCAACAAAGTTTGGTCCATGCCGGCCTTGTACACTTCAAGTTCCTCTTCTTTCTCCCGGAGGAGAGCCTCCAGCTCCGAGTTGCCTTCTCTAAGCTTAGCCTGGGCTTCCTCGAGGGCACGTGTTTTGGCGCGGAGCGCTTCTTCGAGATCAGCAACCTCACGGTTGTACTTAGCAAGCATGCTAGAGAGCTCTGCTCCCTTGCTCCTCTCCAGGTTGTCAGCACGATCAAGGGCCATCCGGAGCTCTCGTTTCAACTTTTCAACCTCATCTTTGTTGGCCCCCTGGAGTCTGTCCTTCTCATGTAGTGCACGATCTCTCTCCCTGATCATATCGGCCAGCTCAAGGTTCTTGGTCTTGATCTCGCGCTCCAGCTTTTCACGCTTTTCAATTGCCTCCTGTGCAGAAGCTGCTTTGAGCTGAACAGCTTTGAACTTCTGGAGCAAGTCGAGATGCTCGTGGCGAAGCTGCGAGTATAATTTCGCCAAAGCTTCATACTTGGTTCGCCAGGTATTGACTTGCTCCTGCAGAGCTCGGATCTGATCGTCTTTGTTCGCAAGTTGCTGCCCATAGTTGGTCTGTAGTTGTTGAAGCTCGCCTTCTAAAGCTTTGACTCGTTGATCATACTGCTGGAGCATCAGTTGGTCCCGTTCATATTGGGCACGAGCTTTCAGGTTTTCCTGTTCAAGTTCTGCAATCCTCCCCTGAGTCTGCCACTGGGCCTGCTGAGCCAACAGGGCTTCTTGCTCCCGTTGCTGTTGCTCGAGCAAGCGCCGCTGTTGCTCCTCAAACTCCAACTGAGCCCGACGTTGCGCCTCCTGCTGCGCGAGAAGCGCTGCCTGCTGTTGGGCTTCAAGGGCGCGTTGCTGTTCCTCAAATTCCCGATTCTGCCGGTCAATTTCGTTCTTCCAGAACTCGGAAATTTCGTCTGGCTCTTCAGCTTTTGGTGCCGGAGGAGGTGTTGGCTGCTTCTCTGGTTCTGGCTTAGGTCGCGCTGGAAGGGCTGGGGCAGTGTCTTCCTCCGCGAGCAAGTTCGGAGGATCGGGTGGAAGCTTCGGGATGGTGATGAGGCTTGTGAGATATCGAAGATTTGAACACTCGTAGTAGAACTTGACAAGACGATAATGCTGGGCATCATATCTCTGTCGGAGCGGCTCTAAGGCCTCATTATCTCCTGTCGCTGAAGAGGGTCAGCAAAAAAAAACCTTCATACAAAAAGGGAACAGGGACCTACATGAATGCATTGCCCGAAGCATGCTGGTAATAAATTTATAAATGCCGTAGCTTTCTGCAACAAGAGGTACAAGAGCAGATATTCTGCATTCATTGTTTCCGATGTGGCGAAAATGGGAAAAGATCAGCTTCTGAAACTGGTCAATCTTGTCTTGAAGGGTCATCAAGTCGGTGATGGTTTCGTAGCCTTCATTTGGGTCGTGAATGGCTTTTAAGCTGATGTACTCCTCGTACTCGAACGTGCCGTTAAATTCTGGGTGTTGCTTATGGAACGACAGTTTTGCCAGCAGGAAATGCACGTATTCCCTGATCAAGGGGCCATAGCCACGGACACCCTCTCCCATCATCCCGCGGCTCAGACTGTCAATCCATCCTCGGTTTGCCATTGCCTCTCTCAGTGTCACCGGATGGCCCTCCTGAAGAACCTTGTGAATTGTAATTAAGGCCTTAAATGTCTGGACCTCGTCGGCAAGAATGGGCTGGACCTTGAGCCCAGCCCAGAAGGACAAAGAAGATTTGTGGTCCCATGTGTACACGATGCAACTCCGCACATGTTTGCGCTTTGGGGCAGTCTCTTCTGGGCTGGTGGCCTTCTTGATGTTGATGGCCAGTTCCGCTTCGGCCCTGTGAAGTTTGTCAGCAGGTGCTGCTTTAGCTGTGATGAGGAGCAATTGCTGGCGAAAGAAGCGTGAGATAGAACGAACTTTGCATGATCAAGGCTGCGCGTCGTAGCCATGATGGGCAGTATCTCCAGTGTGACCGCGGTATTTCAGGATTTCGTGATAGGGCACGGTTAAGAGAGTCCAATGCTGCTGCTACGGATGAGCAATAGCAAAGGTCATGGATAAGCTGGAAACACCCTGCTGGTGGTGCCAAGTTCACTAGAGCAGACTGAACAAGGCGGCACAGTAGTTGCCAAAGGCAAGCAGCTGTTGACACCACTGGGACGAGGGATTGTTGTAAGAGAACGGCCAACCAAGTCACCTCTTGGAAGTGTGCAAGTCCCTGAAGTTTGTGAGATATCCTCGCTGTCGCCAGCGTCATCCTGGGGGCAGTGAAGAGATGAGCCAACCAGGCTTCGCGTTCCATCGGGCCAGGAGATTGGTTCGGACCCCATAAATGGTGGAGCCTAGCCTTCTGGAGCGAAATAAGGTGGGGCCATGGAGATGGAACCCACCAGGCATAACATGGTTGGTATTACAAGGTCCGACAAATACGGATAAGAGTCCAAGTACTTTAGTGTTTGTATAATACGCAGCGCACGTAATCATACTCTGTACTTACATACAAGGCACCATCTGTAATCAACAAGGCTCGTGCTGCACAGCGTTATCGTCACGGGGTCAGGGCAGGCTGTCATTGATCAGCTGGGCTTTGTTCAACCAACACTTCCTACCTTCATCTTCGGCCAGGATCATCGTTTTCTCACACTTACAAAGTGATTACCGTCGAAGATATTTTAATCCTCAGCTGACCCAGCGCGTATCTAAACTTCCACCTCTTCATTAAGGGCTTACATAGGCGCCTCCTCCCTTCTTTGTCCAAGCAGCCGAACCCCACCCCTTTTCTCTGAACGACGGAGATAGCAGATTCGCCATGAACATCATCTACTCAACTGTCAATAGCCTGCGCGACAGGTACACACCTGCCAGCCACACCTCCACATTTCGGAAGACTGGCGAAATCACACCCGAGGAGTTCCTTGCGGCAGGAGATTACCTGGTTTATAAGTTCCCTTCTTGGTCCTGGGCAGATGCCGAGACACCGAGCAAACGTGTCAGCTATCTCCCCCCCGGCAAACAGTACTTGGTGACGCGCCATGTACCCTGCCATCGTCGTTTGAATGAAGATTTTGCAGGCGATGCAGGACATGAAGAAGCTGTGGTGGAAGGTGGCAAAAACGCAGACGATGATGGCTGGCTGCGAACCGGCGGCCTGACAAGCTCACAGCCGCTCAAGGTCAAGGAGGTAAGGACAGTGGACGATGCGGGAAATGTCGGCGACAGAGAAATTGTTGAGGAGGAAGATGATATTCCCGATATGGAAGATGAGGACGACAATGAGGCAATCATTAAAGATGCCGATGGAGACGGCAAGAGCAGGTGAGGAATCCGCCCAACACCTCCACCACTGTTCTATCCTCTGGGCTGACCAAATGCGATTTGAAGCGGACGGCGAACCTACAACCTCTACATCGTGTACTCACCGTGGTACAAGACACCGCGGATGTACATGTCTGGATATCTTCCGAATGGGCAACCGCTGCCACCGCATCTCATGATGGACGATATCGTGGGAGATTATAAGGACAAGACAGTCACATTGGAGGACTTCCCTTTCTTTGCCAACAGTGTCAAGATGGCCAGCATACACCCGTGCAGGCACGCATCCGTTATGAAGACGCTTCTTGATCGAGCTGACGCTGCTCTCAAGCTCCGGAGAGAGCGCCAAAAAGCCGGACTTCCCTCCGACAGCGCTCAGGGTTTAGAGAACCAGATCGAGAGCCTTGATATCAGCAATCGAGATGCAGCCGGCGACAACAGCGACGATTGGGAGGAAGTGCAGCACGATGTTGCAGATCAAGACGTGGCTATTCGCGTGGATCAGTACCTGGTTGTGTTTTTGAAGGTTAGTATACTCATAGCCCCTTTCCTTGCTGCAAAGGTCGCTTGGCGCTAACAGTATTCTCCAGTTTATGGCCAGTGTTACCCCTGGCATTGAACATGACTTTACGATGGGAGTGTAGTGGCAATCCTGAACGTTTCTGAAGTTACATTTGGATCCGAGGGCAATAAGATGCTGCTTGGATCCATCTGGCGGCGGGTTCACGTTCGGAGCGATATGAGTGCAGAGAGGTGTCCTGTATGCCTGCATAAGCACAACACGATGATAATGAAGTCGACCAATGGCTTATTGGTAATTTAGTGAACTAGTTAATCTTCGTCTTCCTCTTCATCACTAACCTCCTCTCCCGCTTCTCTTGCTTCTTGCCTCTTACGTTTCTCTCGCTCTCTCTTCTTCTCTAACAGTTTTTGCAACCTTTTGGCTGCATTGAAAACTCCATTTGTGCCAGCACCACACGCAGCGCAACTGGGGTCCTTCCGGTACCTCCTTAACGCACACTCCTCGCAAAAGTAATGTCCGCATCGTGTCACAATAGGTGATTGATAAGGACCCTTGCATATGAAGCAAGCAAAGGGTATGCTCTCCAGCAGTCTTGCTTCTTCCTCATCCTCGTCTCTTCCATCTTCATTGGCTGTACCTCCCGTTTTACGATCTACGCTAGCCACAATCGTACCCCCGAGAACCTTTTTACCCTTGGTCACGTTCTCCCATTCCTTATCAAGCTGCCACCCGTAGGCATAGTCTTCGCGGGCGTGGAGAAACTTGCATGTGTCACCGAATCCGCAAAATCCTGTTTGCTTGTAGTCCTTGCAAACATCTGGTGCCATGTCTGTGATGGTGATGGTGCGTATGTTTGTTGGAGCCTTGACTGGCCCAACTGTCCGCTGAGGCCCAGAGGTCTTGGTCTCCTCAGGATGTTGCTGCCGCTTGTTTTGCATTGCTCTCGTAGAACCGAGGAGATTCTTTGCAGAAAGAATTGGATCTGTGTCCTCGTCATACCAATTGCTATGCTTGGTGGCATCGCGTTTGGTTGTGTCGAGAGAAACCTCACGGTCGGCCTCGTAAACGGTGGTGGGGAAATCGTCGCGCTCGGTCACTGCATGGTCCTTGGAAGATGCAACTATCACTCCAGTGTTGCGTTTTCTTCTCTTGACCCGCTGACCTGTTTCATCTTCGGAAGACGAAAAATCCGAGTCATCGCTGTCGCTGGGGGGTGGAGGTGTCGACTTTCGCTTTCGTAGGTTTGCTTTGTTCTTATCACCGCGCTTCTTGAAAAAGGTAACGGGTGCAACTGGTGCAGTTGCACGAACATCGGCCTTTTGTTCTGAATCAGCCATATTATTGCCAGGAGAGTTCGATACTGAAAGAGCGCCTCGACTGTCGATGGTTGCTGCGAGGATGAAGTTGACACCAAAGGCATGTGATGAGGCTCGTTTGGCACACGAGACAACTGCAAGGATCAACTTCGTCAGCGCATACTGCAGCCTGTGTGGCCTGTGGAGTGCCTAACCTGATCCGACAGTTCTTGGCGGCTTTCGCCCTGCCTTGGATGCGTACCCGTACTTACAGTACACTACGTATAATTCACCATTTGCTTGATTGGTGGCACGAGACTGAAAACAGGGGCCCTGGTCAGTCTTAGATATTACCTCGCAGTTTTCTCGTATGGGAAGAATCGACGAGCTTGGATAGAAAACTAGCATGAAGATTAGCCAATAAATTGATTGTCTTTAATTGAGACCAATGTTTACTTTGAAAGCGGTTACTTTCTGGTAGAGTTGTGATGTGGTTGGCGCACCCTGCATCTTGGAAGACGTGTGCTGACAAACGAACCAAGCGTATTATAGGTACCTGTAATTTCAATTTCGACATTTTAGCCTAGAACCTCATGCCAAGTTGGGTGTACTCTTCTCTTCTTGATTGAATACCTTTGTTTCTATTACTCTTCAGGACATGTACATAGATGAAAAGTATCTGTGGGTAATATTGCTACTGCAAGCCTTCAACAACATCATAAGGCTGCTCCTTCAAAAAGCCCTTCCCGAACTTCGCTGTGATCTCTTCCCCATCTTGAATGTCCCTGAGCGCTACAAGCATCATCCGCCACCGACCGGAGATCTTCATGGGCCTGAACGTGGCGGACGGTTTAACACTTTCGTGGCGTACTTTGCGTACCCAGTTGCCCATAAACCGGGGATAGATCTCAGCGACGGCCTGGTGATTCAAATCTGGCCGGCAGAGTTCCATGGTCCACTGCGCTGCTTGGGTCCCCACAGGCATCAGTTCTCCAACAAGTTCGCCCAGAATGTCGTTAGCTCGATGAGGTCCCACAGAACGTATGCCTGGGGCCTTTGACTTATCATCTGAGATGCGCGGGATTCGGGGGATTTTGTACCCTATACAGCGGCAAGTCTTGCTCGCTGTACAAAGCTCGCACGGTTGATCGTTAGGAAAAACAATCGTCGGATCAACCGGCCAAGTTGCAGGCCAACTAGGTGGTTTCGGCCAACGATGCCACCTCTGTTCATTATAATGATTGGACCGGATAAGGCGGAATGGAACGAGAAAGGGAGATATTTGTTCGATCGAGAGCCAAGCTGTAGCTGTCGTCTCGAACACAAATTCTGGGAGCTCAAGGCAGTCCCATATCGCCCTTTGAAGTGTGCTTCCCACAGCGCACATCCTGCGGACAAGTTCTGTATCTAAGCTGGCATGGAACCGTGAAACCTGATCCTTGAACAGAGCAAGTTCAAAGCAGTCGGTGTTCGAAGGCATGAGGGAAAGAAGGCCATCATAGTGTCCGCATATAGTCCTCCAGCATTTACCCTCGCGAACAAAATCATGCAACACGTGTCTCTTGGTATCATCCCATCGCAACCGACATAATAAACCATCAATAATCGCTGGAGAGGAGCATTCAGAGGCTCCTGCTGTAGTGAGCCGGTCGACAATCTCTGACAGCTTCAGTTTGAAGAGTCGCGAGAGAAATGTATGTAGCTCTGGGTATTCTTGCGCAGTCTCCTCAACAGACTTGATCAGGTTTAGCCCTCCCTGGATGACCGGTGTAGAAGTGCAATATCGCCTCCACTCTCGTATGAGATAAGAAAGTCGATCAAATGCCAGCTTGTTAGATATTCTGTCTGGGGTGAGACTTGCGTTCGTAGAAGACACGCGATCTCTGATTAACATAGAGAGATGTTCAAAGGGACCCCTCAAGGCCGTGCATTCGACTCGTGTGAATAAATCAGCTTTTGGCTTCTTTGTAACCTGAAAGACCGACTCTTCCGATCCCCGTTTCGAACCAACAACCCTATTGTTATTTTGAATCGGAGTTATTTGTCCAGTCGTCAGTTCTGGCTCAGATGAACCATGGCTGTTAAAAAGGCAAACTCGTTCAAGTGGCACTTCTGTCTCCTCATGCTGAGGACCAGTCGATGTAGAGATTGAATACAATTGGGTGATTAGAGACCTAGATTCAACTGGTCGAGCATGCACGCCCATAAGTGATGGCTGATGTGGGAGAAGTACGGACGGATGGGATTCGCCAGGGACGGGCTGTGTATCTGACAATTCAGTGGGCTTGGAATCGCCTGGGTATCCTGAACTCTGGCTCACGTTATCCTTAGGGTTGATATCTGATTGAACATTATCCTTGGGGGCTGGAAGTGGGGAAAATGGTGGTAACTCGGGAGTTGTAGATGCTACACAACCGTTTGGAAGTGCGGGAGAGTGATGGTCTCCTAGAACACGCCCTGTGGTAGCATACTCAGAGTTGGTCGGAGGTGCTTGCAATGAATCTTCAATAATAATGGCTGAAGTCCGACAGTCGGTCTTCCCGCCGCCAGATGGTTGTCCATGTTCAGGCGGTGGAGTTGCTGATTGCAGGAGAGGTGACGGTGGCGGTACTGCTTTGGAAGAAACATTCTCTGAGCCCGAGATGATCTCATGAGATTCAATTTCCACAGCTGGACATGGTGCCTTTGCCAGTTCCATGTTTTCACTTGTTGGCACTTGATCGTAAATGCGGAAATCATCAGCGGAGATGGCAAACTTGTCAGGACAGTGTCTGTCACAAAATCGGTAATCCGGGGGCATGTCTGGTGAGGAGCTGTATTCGAGGTTAATCGCCAGGGCGTAGTTAGAACCGAGGTTCAGCACTTGATGATATGTACCGGGCTCCGTAACCATGGCTTGGCCTGGAATACAATAGTCCAATGTGTACTCGATTCCCCATTCATCTAACTTGGCCGGAGGAATGTGGCGGCTAAGATGCCTGACGGCTTGTGAACAACGGCGCATTTCTGGATACTCTACTGCCATTCTTTCCTCAAGTTTTCTGGAGAAAGTGGGCTTCACGAAGCACCAAAACTTGTGCTGGCCAGACCTTAGGAGATTCTCGGACCGAACATGGGCGTCTTCCCTATGCATGGTGGTGATAGTTTTGCCGGCCAGGTTGAAGTAGACATACTGAGTATTTATACCCTCGAGCTTGGTTCGGCCTCTACGTCGTAGCTTTTCCCCTGGTGAGAGCTCAATATCGTCAAATAGCGGGTTCCCAATGATGTATGGCTGGTTCCCCTTGGGCGGGTCTGCTGCCGATGAATTCCAAAGATCTTTTTGCTCGGCCAACGTCCAAACTGTCTTGGCACTTGAGGGGAGAGGAAAATTTGGGGGATATACTTTGTACCGTTTTCCGGTGTCAACCTTTACGAGGCCGCACTTATCAATTTTGTAACGGAATGAAGTTGCATGGTCCCTGGACGGACGGGCGATTCGTTGGACGTTCAACGGGGGCAGGTTCCGGACCTGCAGCTTGAAATAGCCTCGATTTTGCACTAGTAAGTGGCTGGAGTACAGCTCGAAGAGCTCTTCATTCAGAACATGGATATCTTGATATGTGCAGTCGAAAAGAGGAGCAGTGTCCGGAGAGTAGATGGGTGGAAAGTAGGCAGATCCGTCCTTGAGTCGGATGCAATGGGGCATTGGTGATAGAAATATTGAAAATCCACATTCCTGGGCCACAAAAGGAGATGTTCGGTTGTATTGAATGTTGTGATTTAGCTTTGCTGTTTGGCCGGTAACCAAAGCTTCTGAAGGAAGACCGCTGCTGGCCTCATTCGGGCCAGCGGCTGTTGGTGTTGTCTCATTCTCGACCTGGCCGTCCAATGGAGAAAGTTGCTGAGCTGCGGCAGTATGGGCCACGAATGGAGTTACAACACGGCATACAGCTTGAGGAGGAGGAGGAGAAGGAGGAGAAAGATGACACGAGCTGGCTGTCAACCGGCTGATGTCCGTTAGGCTGGCAGACACTTGACCGAGACGTCCTAAAAGGTGTTGTAGCAAGTCCCGTCCTGCTTTTGTCCTGGGTGGCTGTACTTTGCGATCGGAAACGACGCCATGCTCAAGGTACCCTCTCAAGATATCGCTTATCCGGCTCACCTCGTTGCCGACCGACTCAACCTGGAGCTGCAAGCGGTCCATGTTGCGGGTGACGGGATGGTGTTTCTCAAAGGCAGCATTGATTGGAAATTTGTAGTTGCTGCTGTTGACCGTAGGCCCCTGCTGCAGTATGTCGAGAGCTGTCTGCGTTCAATAGTGCAACAGAGGCATAGTTAAAAGTTGCCCAAGAAGTGGTTGGCTGCTATGATCCTCCAAGGAGACCTGTGATCTTGTGACAGACAACATATCTGCTTGGCGTGTTACCCCGGCCTGCGGGTGTTGTGGAGCACTGACGTTTGGGCGATGTTAACATGCATCATGATGTAATGATACGGTACTTGGGTGAATTGCGGGGGTTATGGACAAATACACTTGCTACGCTGCTTGTAAATCGCACATTTGTGTGTCGAATTGAACGAAGCAAGCATCTCGCGCGAGAGGCACCGTATGAGTTTCTAAGTACCTAAATCGGGCGGAGGTTGACTGATACAACAATGCCCTGGAAACTGGTTTATGGATACCCGGAGTTCCCAAAACTGGAACCAGGCGCCTCAAGGGTTGTCCTGTACCGCGAGCGATGTCATGTTCGGGACCTTCGTGGTAAGCAGCGGGAATGATCGTCTGCGGGATCGAACAGCTGCCCCGCTTTCGCACTGACGCGCTAGGTTAGGTCGCGACGCGCACACAGAAGTCGCTGTCCTTCAGCATTTGGGTCGGGCTCCACTAGGCTGAAGCAACGTCCCTAGCTGTATTGGAGCGCCGAGTACTTGGGTCACAAGCCGCAATCTCAGAGCCGTACCTTCACAGCCTTATGTACCAGCTGGTACCTTTCGCCTCTTCGCAGCCAGCACGTAAATGTCTATGGATAGAATTCGTGGTGGCGAGTCGAGCACAATGCTGACTGACGATGTTGTCGCTGAAATATTGGCGAGGGAAGCGAGGGAAGCCTCCATCAGATATTCTACCATGGGGTTAGAGGCCTTCAGAACCGCAAAGTAGGCGATTCCGAGTTTTCTACGGAAGCTAAATTTGTTAACACTGCTATTCTAGACCCCAACACAAGGCAAAGCCGAATACACGATTCTTAGGACGCATAATTAAGGAAACGGAATCTCACAATGCCGCCCTTTCGGCCAGAGAGGCTGCTGAAGCCCAAGCCCGTCTCGATGTCCTCACTCAGCAAGAAGGAAGAAAGCGGCGAAGACTCGATCTTTCTGATGCAGACATCAGGAGACGGCAATTAGGGAACATATCCTCTATTCTTCAAGGTCGCAGGCAGGATAGTGAGACCAGAAGGTTAGGCAGAGAGAAGCGCGAAGAATGCAGTCGGGAACGAAGTCATTGTGATGACCGGGATCATCGGAAGAAGCGAGACAAACAAACAGAAAGGGACAAGGATGATAAGCATCATCCTCAAGGAACAACGGAGCATAGGAATAGTGGCAGGAGGAGCTCCCATCGCAGCTATCAAGAGAGGTCACGCTCTCCATCACATCGGGAGTCCAGTTATCGCCATCGTTCTCCTATCAGCAGCGAGTCTGGGTATAAGCGATCACGATACTCGAACTCTTTCCAGGAAAAATCAACGAAAGATAGAGAAAGTGAAGAGAAGATTTGTCATCGCCAAGTCGATAACAAGCCCACGCCCCCAGCAAAGAGCCCTGAATTATCCCACCCAGATGATTCGGATCCTTTGGAAGATTTCATAGGTCCTGCACCGCCGCCGAAGTCTCTGGTTCGGACACGGGGCAGAGGTGCCATCAAGGGTCCTGCAGCACTGGATGGCCGATTTGCGGACGACTATGATCCCACCTCGGATGTTCAGCCAGAGGTCCATGAAACCGACAGCTGGGACGAAGCAGTAGAAGTATACCGTGATCGACAAAAGTGGAGGCAATTGGGTGCAGAGCGGCTTCGTGCCGCTGGTTTCACTGAAGAACAAATAAGGAAGTGGGAGAAGGGTGGAGAAAAAGACATTGATGATGTGAAATGGAGCAAACCAGGCGAAGAGCGAGAGTGGTAAGTGCTTTTCCCCTTTGCCACCGTTCCTTCGCACATCTTATTGCTCTGGTGCTAATGGTTTCGATCAGGGATAGGGGCAAGGAAAAGGTATACCTTTAGGTTCCTCTACGCCTGTGGAATCTTTCTTGCCCAAAGATGTGAATACCACCTAATAGGCAACAGTCTTTCTGGACCTACAGGTATCTGACCATGTATAAGTACTGAGACTACGACTAGGGTTTCGGCAATGCATTTCTCGAAATGTCAGTTGGTGCAGAGGATATCACGATTTAATGAAGATGTTTATAGCTCCCTGTGCTTATCTGGGCAAATGATGCGAGTCGTATGATTTTTAATGGTACAGGCAACAGTTATGTACATGAAGCTTTGCATACCAATCGTGATCCATTCTTCCATAAGGCCAATGATGAAAAGGAGAGGGTCTACAGCCAGTCCACTGTATGATGGGCACAGCCTTGGTCATGCAATCTGCGTGCTTCTGTGCCTCGCCATGTTTGTTTCATCACCTTACCAGACCAACATTGGCTTCACCTGATTGCTCTCAAGGTCTGTGCCTCTATCATTAACTCCCCCATGAAATTTTCTGTCCCTTCTTGGTCTTAAGCTCCCCCTCCTTACTATTCGACACCTCTACCACACTATCCGCCTCACTTTCATCGTTTGTGGCCCATATCCTCTCGATACAAAGCTCAAATGGGCCTTCTATTCTGTCAGTCAACCCAACGCCAATAGATTTGACCTTCTGTCGCATGATCTCCGTTTGCGGCTCGACGACGCGCCCATAGTTTGTCCGTACAAAATCATTCCATTTGATCAACACTGTTTCCCACTCGCCAGGTTTCTTGACGAATAACCGGTGTTGGTGGAGGTCAGTTGGAACAACAGACTCGGTCTGAACGTTGACGAAGTAGCTCCTGCCATCCGACTTGACGCGTAGGGCCAGGTAGACATAAGGATCGATATTCCACAGGCTACGTCCAAAGATTGTTGGTGGCCTGTCGCGTGTCCTGAAGGCCGCATAGCCGGTCCGCTTTATGTCTGGCCTATTCTTAGGTAGTTGTGTGGAGATGGTTCCATGGAATCTCGCATAACCAGGAGAGTGGGGAGAAGGAGGTTGTGCTCCCGACGTCGGCGACGGCGATGTTACCCAGTCGAGGTTTGCGTTCGAATAACCGCCGATCTCAACGTCTGACATGACCTTGCAATCTTGGACACCTGCTGGGCTGCGGAAGTCGTGGAGGAGATAAGGACCCTGGGGACCTTTAATTCCTTCGAGCTTGAAGGCTGTGAACAAAAGGCTCTGTTAGCATCTCTACCCGCGGACACCCTGAAGATCGGCCGGGCATGTATACCTATGTTTGAGAGCCTCTTGAGCTCATCGACGCTGCGGCCAATGAAGCCCTTAAACAGAAGCGGCCTTGTCGCTTGCATTTCGGAGAAGACGAGGGCAGTTGACTGAGCCTAGACTGCGCAGCTGCTGGTCGTTGGGCGGTTGCGATAGTAAAGGGCAGAAGCGCCAGATTATCTTATGTCTATGTACACATTATTGATGGCATTGGCCTGGTCAGTTGTGGTGTTGTGGGATCTGCAGCCTGTCATACAGCGGCACCAGCGTGGCTTCGCTGGATAATCTTGCGACGGATTTTCCAGACGTCATCAAACAATCAGCGGTTGGACAAAGTTAGCTGCCCCACAGCGCTCGGCAATGGACTGGTGGGGCCGTAGAGCCTCAATCGATGCTCGAGACATACATTTTCCTATCGCTGCATCCTCAAGATGCAGAACCTGGGTTTTTGTATTTGGATGAGAGAGCCAGCAATGGATGCAGCGTTCGAACAGCTATCTTGCAAACTATGTTCAGATGGAACCATCAAGGTAAAATCACCCGGGACACTTTGCATTGACATAGGCACCTCTCCAAAACAATGCTCAGATGTCAAAGTACAGCTGTACCTGTACCTATTAGCATGCCTCTTGATGCAAGGCAGAGCTGTCTGTTATTAAACATTCATGAACTTGTGAACTTGAGCAGTTCAGCCATAGAGCACCATTATCATTCACTAAACATACTAGGTACGATCAAGCAGATGCATGTCGTCGTGGGGTTTAGAGATACGGGATGTTAAGTACCTGCCTAAGTATATATCTCCAAAGTACTGTATTATATAGAGCATATCTCAGGATTCAATTAATTGGGTCCATTGTGCGCACAGACGATATCGAATCAGCCGGTGGCCGATCTTCAGCGTCAGTATTTGTATAGAGATGTGGTGAGCTCTGGTCTAGATATATGCATATCGTACGGTATATCCTTGGCCAAAATATTCCGATCCTTGATGTCCTCTGTGCAGGTTTTGCTAATTAGGTATCCTGATGCTCCAGCACTGCCTGATGTACTGGCTACAGCCAAAACTCACTCAGTGATCCCAACCATTCAAGATGTGATAAATGATGTAAATGCGATAGTTGTAGTATGTCACGCTGCTATTAAATCATAGAGATACCTCTTGACTTTCAGCCTGCTTCGAGGTAAAGAAACCTGTGCTCAATATGTTCACAAAACTATTTCAATGTCTCATGTACTTGTCCATCCTGCACAACCGGGGTGCACAGGGACCAAGGAGTGCTAGATCATAAGATTAGTTATCATAAGTGCGTGCTCAGGACAATATCATTGCCAGCTAATGGAATACAGGGAACCTAAGGTCCCGAAGTTAACAATCACCTTAGAATATCAAGTAAAGCGGAAAGAGTTAACACCAGCACAACGTCAACCACAGAACACTGAATGGTATCGTGGGATTCGCTCAAAGACATCATTGATCAAAATCTTGGTTCATAATATAGTTAGCATTTATGCTTGGAACAATGCATTGATCCGCAATCACTACTTTCACAAAGGGATGTTTCTATAACAAAGCTACTACTTTCAAACACAGGTTTCGCCTTTGGGTCCGTTCAGCCGCTACTAGGGACAAGCAAGGCTTGGTTATGGAAAAACTCCAGAAATCTTGTAGCACGTGGCAAATAAACAACCTGTCTCCAAAATATGCATTCTGTTGCGCCAGTCTCTATTTTGTTGCTTTCTCGAACATGTCTAGTTTTATAGCAGATAGATGAATTTGAGGACGTCCAGTGTTATTTCAAACCACCCAGGGCTCTCAACCATTGCTAGTCTCACGGACTCTGTGTGCTCGCCAGGGTTCCTAAAATCTGACTCTCAACACCTGACAACCTTCCTCTAGCCTTCCTCCTCTCCCAGCTGCAACCCCGAACATGAGCTCCGCTGCGCTCTGGTCTTACCGGCACTTCGCGATCCGCCAGCTCACACAGTCACTTCTCCAACCTCCTTTACTTGCAAATTGATCAGCCTGTGCTTGGAATGGTAACTCCATCATATCCCCAACCATATAATCTTTTTAAACTTTTTTCCGCCTTTCCCACACTTTCCTATTATACACGGTCATCAACCACATCTTGTCTTACTGTGACTTCACCTGACAGAAGTGTCCAAGTGAGTAAATCTCCCAAGGCCACAATTCCCCCTCTCACATCCTTGTCTTCCTTTCCCCTGAGCAAGCCATCATCTTGTTCCCCGAGTCAAGCCCTGCATGCTCGTCATAATCCCCATCCCTTGATTTCACAGTTCCCAAAGGAGTCCTGCAACTGAAGATTGTTTTTGGAGACCGAATTGATCGCTTTTTTGGAGGAATATGTCAGAGCCTGAGGCATCAGGACATTAGGCATCTCGAGTCTTCTCCGGGCACCTGCTCCTTCCTCCTCGAAGAAGGGCACACTGTTCTTCTCTCCCCTTCTTCTTCTACCACCGTTCTACCTCCAGCTCTTCTCTTCCATTCTCTCTCCCTCTCTCACTGCTCTCATCTTTACCGTCTCTCTTGAACCTCGACCGAGACCAACTTCCTCGTGGCATTCAGCTTTAGGACATTCCTCGTTGTGGTGTCAAGATCCGAAGCAAATCCTGTTTGTGTCCCCTCTCCCATTTCCAGTCCTGTTTCCTCAAATCGGGGTTGACTTTTCCAGAAAGTCGGACGCGAGCTAGCGCTTGTCCCACTCCTCGCATCCGTATCCATTTCACGGTCGCGTCCTCGCGTCACGATCACTCTGCACCTCTACATTTCCTTTCCTTTCCTTTTCCCGAGCGTCATTAGTAGAGCGCACAAGAGCAGAGCTCACACACGAACAACAGAAGATAGCCAGCCCGCATTCTTCCGGCCCAATCATCATTACAAGAGCATTCTCCTTTTTTCGAGTATCTTCTTGACCAGACTCGGAACGATTGACTATCCCTTCTAGCAACGATGTCGGGAATGATCCGGGCCTTCAAGAACGGCGACGCCTCGTTCAATAACCGCCGTGTTCGCTCTCTGAGCGGTGGATCTTCCAACGGCTCGTCTTCTGCCTCTGAGGAAGGTAAGTCGGACCTCAACGCTTGCGTCGTTTGCCTGCTCAAAGCCATCTCCACATTCAGAATAGATGAAATTGTCAACTCATCGTCTTGGTTATCCGGCTTGGAATCATAATTGCTAATAACTTGTAGGTGGCGCTCGTCTGTCTCAGGCTAGCAACTCTCCTGCCCAGAACAGGGTCCGGTAAGTCTCTTCGATCCGCCTCTATTTCACTGGTGTACTGTTGAATAACACGATGAAGTTTTTCATCCATCACCCAGGAGTTTGGCCGTTTCACCCTCTCGTGCACTGCCTCTTCTGGCGGCTCTGTCAAGGAGACGACCGAGTAAGTGTGATATGTCGCTGATGAATCATCTGGCTCGGCACTCATTCGCACTTCTGTGCAGGTCCTCTTCTCCTTTCCAGGTCGGAAAGCCTAGCGATGTCTTCATGGGCTCGCCCACCAAGCCTGCTCGCAAGGTCGATGCTGATGAGGCTCACGACCCCTTCATCAAAGCTCAGGCTGCCCTCGTCATGATGGGGGCCTCGCGGGATCATCACCTAGTGAAGGCAGTGGCGACTGACAACGGTAACACCGCGGTATCCTCTGGCATGGATGGCAATGGTCCTATCCGCAACACTCCCAGCCGCAACACTCCCAACCGGAGCGCTTCGCGCCACCAGATTGGCGGGGTTGATGTCCAGGGCATCTATCCTCCCAGTGCTTGCGTCTTTGTTGCCAAGTAAGTATCGTGAGTTTTCCACGATGTGTGTGGCGTGCATCTAATTATCATTGTTTTTAGTCTTCCTGAATCCAAGGACGATCGCACCCTCGAAGTCGGCATTGTTCGCGAGTTCAGCAAGTACGGCACTGTCTTTGTTAAGATTCGTCGCGATGCCAACCGCATGCCGTTCGCCTTTTGCCAGTACACAGTAAGTGTCGCTTCGCGTCATGCAGATAATCCTAGACATCGCTAATAAAATAAATAGAAGGATGAGGATGCCCAGCTCGCCATGAGGGAGGGCAAGGGCGCTCTTATCTGTGGTCGTCCGTGCCGTACTGAGATGGTCAAGGCCAACCGTAAGTTGAACTTTATAAATCCTTCGTTCTTCCAGACGCAGAACGCTCATAGTGTAATCTCCTGCAGGCACTTTCCTCGTGTACAGCCGCAAGGGCAACAGCATTACTACCGAGGAAGCTAGAGCGATCATGGAGCCTTATGGCGAGCTCAGCGAGTGCAAGATGCTCAGCGCCCAGATCCAAGAGGCCCTGAAGCTTCCGGGATGCGCGATCTTGGTCGAGTTTGCAAACTTTGACCCAAAGCGGGATCTCAACATGGTAAGACATTCAAACCTATCTGTCATGTTACCGGTGCTGACTCTTTCCGCAGGCGGTTCGCGAGAACGACGAATACTGCATTGACGCCTTCGACCTGAAGAAGAAGAACATTGTTTCGCGCGCTGATGCGGATGAAGAATTCCTTCGCAAGTATGACGTCGATCGTCGTTCCATCTTCATTGGCCGTTTGCCCTTCGATGTCGACAAGGAAGAGATCATTGAGCTCTTCTCTGCAGTTGGTGAAATTCTCAACGTTGACCTCATCAAGCGCAAGCAAGATGGTTTGTTGCTCTTCACAGACAACCAACAAACGTCAGGCTGACAGAGCCCTCGCAGGCATCATTTCGACCGTCTTTGCCTTTGTTGAGTTCGCTCGTGCGGATACTCCGGATATTGCCATTGCCAAGTTTGTAAGTTGCACAGTTGCAAGAGATCGACTGACTCAGATCATGCTGACTTCTTGGTGCTAGAATGGCAAGATGATGCGTGGCTTCCCTATCAACGTCGAGAGGAAGGTCTTCAAGCACGCAGGTACTCCGCGCCGTGTCAAGTCGCAGGCGTTCACCAAGGTGTCTGTTACCCCAAAGACTCCTAAGTCAGCCACCCTCCCCAAGTCTCCTCTTGCGGAGATTAGTGACAACACCAACTTCAACACCCCCCTCCCTGCTTCGCAGACTCGCGCTTTCGAGGAGCCCGTTGTTGCTACCACCACGCCGTTGGTGTACCATGCGGCCAGCCCCATTGCCCTTGGTGCCGATGGCAAGTCCCTTATCGGTCTCGGCGGCATTCCTGCCTCAACTCCTGCTATGGCAGTTCCACTCAACCCCTACTCATTCGTGGGTGGCTACTGGCCGAACATTACTACCTTCCAGGATCCCATCACGGGCGTCACCTATTACACTCAGACGCCGTCTGTTGTCCAGCAGGAGGCAGCCACTCCGCAGCAGGTCCCTGACACTCCAACTCGAAGCCGTGAGCATCGCGAGCGCCGCTACGCCTAAGTTCCCGTGGGCTATCGGCTCGTTTCCGCACCTCCATCATCAACTGTCAGAGTTAGTCATCATGATTATTTGATTTGACGGTTTCTGCTTTCGTTCTTGTTTCCTCGGGTTCTCCTTATCATGACGGTCAAGACTCACCATTGGCACACCTTGGTTTGGTATGCTTCTTCTCATTTTTAGAGGCATGACCAAATTAATGCAGCGATGGCGGTCTGATTCTGTCGTTGTTTTCAGAATGGCCATCGTTCTTCGCAACCTGTTTGGTTGGTCGCTGTCAAATACAGACCCGCAACAGATGATGCGAAGAGGGATTAGGTCCAACGCCTCGTGTGGAGTTCAGTGGTCTCATCTTTGCTTTCCCGCGTTCAGATGGCCAACAGACAGTTCTCCCCAAACTCATTGATTTGAGGTGTTGTTTTTTCTCCCCGAGGATATGTCGGCTTATGGGTTTCACATTTTTTTTTTTTTACTTTTATCTTTGATCAATGTCATGGCACAATTGGACGCCAGGAAGAAAGTGTCCCATCACGGAAATCCTCTCTATTGTTTCCAGGATCTGGAACTAGGTGGCCTCACTAATTTGTGGATAACACGCGGGCGGATGGAGTCGTGGAACGAGGTTGTATCTAGCAGCTTTCGGGTGGCTTCGCTTTGCTCCAGAAGATGTTATCTCAGCCGGGAGAGGCATGAGGATTGAATTGAAATGGGATCTTGTTAGCTAAACTTGACATAGCAGATGCTTGTGAGTGCGACTGGTTCGTTAAGGGCTGGTTTGCGTCGGGACGGAAGTGAAGAAGCAAACACCCGTAATTACAACTTCCAAAATCGACCAACATGCGCCCTTTTGTGGAATGGCTTTCAGTTTTCGTGAAACTTGCACTGTTTTTTTTTTAAAAAAAAAGTCAAATGTTGGCAGCTTGGCGTGCTTGGCGTATGCAGTGGGGCATTTAGATGGTTTGGGGAGTACTTAGTTGGTTAGAGGGAGGAACGAAAACAGAACAAACTTTTCGCTGTAGGTAAACCGTAGGGCGCGCTCCTAGGGTTTGCGTTGGGTCGAGGGAGGGTGTGTTAGGGTTAATGTTAGCGTTAGGGGACGGGAGCCAACTAAGCTGAGTTCCACGCAAACCCTCCGTTCGGAACGAGGAACGAAGTGACGAGCGAAGTGACGAGCGAACTTTACGATGAGAGATGCCAGCGTGGGATTTCTGTTGGGCACAAGCTTTGCAGCCACTCCCTACCAACAAGCTCAGCGCTGTGGGGGATTCTTGGCTTCCCGATGCAAGCAGCATCGCCCCAAGCACTTGGATTCGTAGAAGCTTGGCATCAACAAATCGTCGTTGCTTTTGGCTTGAAGATGGACTGGCGAGTGGATTTTTTTGTGTTTGACAGCAGCCGCTGGCAATCCACACCCCCACGCTCCCACGGCTGTGGGCGCGCCTGGGCCAGGCTTTAGCGGCTGGGGACTGGTCGGCTGAGCAAAGTCTATTGGCTTGCAATGCAAAATTCGCTGCTGGAAAGTCATCCGGAGGGCGAACAGGGGCTTGTGATAAAGTACAAAAAGGTAGCTAGCTCCCACATCCAGCAGAGAGGGCATTTCGGAAGGATGCTGAAGGTTTAAGTTGACAGTTTTATCACATAGCCAGACACACGGACAGCTGAGACAGTTCGCTGAACGACTTAGCTAGAGTGTCCTGTCTGACAGAATCTCGAGTTCTTCATCAGCAATAAGGCCTGCATTATACCCACAACACTATATCAACCGTTACCATGGGGCAGCCATCATTTCCGGCGTCTAACGCCCTTATTTACTCAACTTATGGCGCTTTCCTGTTAGATCAACCCGCCCACAGCCCGTATAGCGATCTGTCCAGCCGGCAGCTAACCGTTGATACAGCATTGTGGGCACGGGTGTGGCCTGGAGGTTCAGGAACCAGTCTAAGGGCGAGTTCTTAGCTGGCAACCGGACTCAGACGGGTTAGGCATTCACCCAACAAGTCGGGGATGACGGCGAAGAAGGCGACGACAACTGCTCCTTGTTATGTTGACTGAGTTGACTGAGCAATGGACCAGACTGCCCTCTCTGCCTGACCCCAACCCCCCTTAACGACAAACGTGGATGACTGCTAACTGGTTGGTTATTAGCTCTGCCGCTCGCCCTGAACTTCATTGCCTCTGGTGAGTGAAACTACAAATACGGACGTCCCCATCATCCAGGGCGGACATGCAAGATCAGGGCGGTGGCGACGATGATCAGCAAGGCAACAAACTTCAGCTTCCGCATCATTGGATGAGACGAATTGCTCCCAAATGTGCGGCGTTTGACGGCGAGATCGAGTAGCAAGAAAGAGTTCCCACTTCCCATTGTGGGCTGACAAACAGGTTCGTACCCCGACCTCATCGACACTCCACCCCTTCGCTTCCCATGCCTACTGCGTGATCTAGCTTTCTGCTTTCTACAGTGGCAGCGCCAAAGTACGTTGTTGGCAGAGGGTCGCGAGGGGCGAGGTTGCGGCTCACTACGGGCGCGGAGTTGAAACAGGTTCTTTGGTTCCAACCTCCCTTAACCGTCGTCATCGTCCGCGCGAACTTGGGGGCGGACAACTGGCGGGTTAGCCCGGCTGGGAGGAGAACCAAAGTCTTGTGGATACGAAGCTGAGATTGTACCGTCGGACTCGATCAAGTTAATGCTTGCGTGAGAAACGTGCTGCCGCTCCGATCTGCTCCCCACTCCCCTTGGAACCTTGGCGCTCAATTTGCCATACTAACCTCCGCAGCTCTCGGGTCCGGTATCCTCTTCGCCTATCCACAGCTTGGGACTCTGGCTGGCGTTCAAGGAGTGGTTGTCTATGCCTTAGCCTCTGGCCTGCCGCTGCTGGCGTTCGCAACACTGGGCCCCATAATCCGACGCAAATGTCCTCAGGGATTTGTGCTCACCGAGTGGACCAGACAGCGTTATGGAACAATCACTGCCTTATATCTCAGCTTCATGACGCTTGTCACTCTTTTCCTGTACATGGTCTCTGAGTTGTCGGCTATTGGTCAAGTTGTCAATCTGCTCACCGGCCTTGATGGACTGCCTGTCTTGATTGTCGAGTGTCTGGTTACCACTATCTACACCTGTACGTGATGAGGTTACTCACTCACATGCCTCAACTCTACCACTGACAGAGACGTTACCAGCTCTTGGAGGGTTCAAGATCTCCTTCTTCACCGACAACATCCAGGGAGCTATGGTGCTCGGTCTCATCATCATCGCCACCATCACCATCGGCGTTGAGACCAAAATCGACACAGGCTTGATCGAGTCATCCGGGCTTACCAAAGGGAACCTCCTTGGCTGGCAACTCCTGTACATCCTGCCAGTTGCCATCTTGACGAACGACTTCTTCCTGGTTAGTGCCACGACTCCATCATAAGACTCGTAACGGGACTATATTTAACTGACGACGCTTACACTTCACCAGTCTCAATTCTGGCTCCGTACCTTTGCTTCCAAAACCGACCGTGACCTCTGGCTCGGCATCTCCGCCGCGGTCGTCGCTATCATTATCATTGTCACCCTCGTTGGCTCGACCGGCCTGATTGCCGCCTGGTCTGGCGTCTGGCCCGGCCCCCCGGACAACCCGGTTGACGGCTCAGTCGCATTCTTCGCCCTGCTCCAACAGCTGCCCAGCTGGGTTGTCGGCATCGTACTTGTCATGTCCGTCACGCTCAGCACGGCTGCATTCGACTCCTTCCAGTCGGCCATGGTTACCTCCGCGTCGACCGACCTTTTCCGCAATAAGCTCAGCATCTGGTGGATTCGAGCTGGTGTGGTGCTCACCATGATACCCGTTGTGGTGATCGCTATTCGAGCGCCGTCTATCCTGCAAATTTACCTCATCTCGGATCTGGTCTCTGCCGCAACCATTCCTGTGCTTATCCTTGGCCTCTCGGATGCCTGCTACTGGTGGCGTGGCTTTGAGGTGGTTGTTGGTGGGCTTGGAGGTCTCTTTACCGTATTCCTGTTCGGAACGGTCTACTACGGCGATGTCAAGTCCGGTGCAGAGCTGATGCTGCTCCAACAGGGTCTGTTTACCGGTGACTGGGGCTGCTTCGGCGCCTTTGTCGCAGCGCCGATCGGAGGGCTTCTTTGGGGGTTCGGCGCGTTGGCTTTGAGGCTGGGTATCCAGTACACTAGGGCAAAGCTTCAGGGGAAGAGGTTCGATTCTCTGGATCGCCCGGTGTCTCTTGATGAGGAGGGTCATGGCTGGGAAACGGAAAGCTCATCTGATAATCCTGGGATTGCTGAGACCACGGGCAAGTTCTTCTAAGAGCTGGGTTCTCCAAGCTAGGAATCTCAAGTTACGATGGAACCGTTACGCATTGAACTTTGCAGCAGTTCATGGCGGGGTAACGTTCTTCATTGAAAGCCTAACGAACCAGTCCAAGCTCCCTTTGGAAGGGGTCTAGATAGGAATTAACCTAGCAATACACTTCAAGGTACACAATATATTCGTTTCCAAGTCCCTTTTGGTGAGACCTTAGAAGTACTATGTATCGACGTTTCCAGAATGCCTCGGCATTTTGTACAATCCACTCGCTATCGAGCACCTTTAGCCGTTGCATAGGTCGAGCATCAATTCCTAGGTAATCCTCTCTTTCTCCCTTGGCTTCCTCAATTGCACTACCTAGACAGGGCCTGGGAAAAAGCAGATACACATACCTTTCGGGTCTCAGCCATTCCAGCTTCAACAAGTCCATACGGAACCTCACGAACACTAGCACGATAGAAACGATGTCGACATCAGGGCAAGAGACGATAGAGACTTGAAAGCAGCAGCATCAGTGGGGCACCAAAGGTCGAGCCCCTGGGCACACAAATGTGGGATATGCGGTGGCGGTTGCGGTTGTCCAGAGATCAAGCGCGCTACCAGAGAAAAGACTTACCGGAACTGTTGTACCTACGGCTTTCTTCGGATCAGGTCCATTCACAGTTTAATCGAACAGCCAGGAAGGCTGGGGGGCAAGGATCTGCCCATCTTTCGGGTTCTGCTGCATAGGGCCGTTGATTCATAGGGAGGTAAGAACGGATGCTCAGCATGCTTCCTATCAGGAGGTGTTCAAGGTTTGGAATTTGGGTCCTTCTTCTGGGACTATTGGGGTGAATTTTCGGATCAAGGCTTCGCCTGGGGAACTTCTTATTACCTGCTTACCCCGAGCCCCGACAGGCTCCAACACCTGCGCAAGGTGTTTCTTCCGGTCCTTCTCCCCCTTCATACGGTTGCCTGACCGTTGCAGCAGAATGAGCGTTAGCACTCGCTACACAGTGTGAAAAACCCAATGCAGTCACAGAAGCCGTGTCGTGCCCGAGGAACTGCCCATGTCCGATGTTTTCATGACTTCATAGTTGTACACGCTTATTATACACCCTCACCCCGAGGCGTTATTTCCCTCTTCTCTATGGTGAAGGATTCTTCATGAGTTCCTTCAAGATCTCTTTCTCTGCATCCCACTCCTCCAATGTCGTGGCCGAAATCGTGCCCACCAGCCGCCACTCACTCTCGGCCCAAGTCCTCGGATCAACCACACACGCCATGGCCACATGCTCCACAACATCAATCTCCTTCTCACTCCCCGGAATGACCTTCCCCTGCGCATCATACTGCACGCGGCGCTGCCGACTCGAAATGCTGACGACTGCTTGCCTTACGATCGGCGCATTCTTCTCCCGCCCCAACGCCGTGATGCGGTGCGACTTGACAGAGGGATAAAATAGCTTCTTGGTGTAATCCAAAAGTTGCCAGCCGTAGCGGCGGGTCTTGGGACGGGTGTCAATGCTGGCGAGAAGGGAGGTACCGAGCGAGCGGGAGCAGATCTTGTTAATGGTGTCGCGGTCGCCAGACGCAAGGGCCTCGGCCATGGCGCGGTGCATGGCTTTTGCGGTGGGGATCAGGACGGAGCGTTTCGGCTTGTAGATGGCGCGCTTAAAGAAAGAGGGCTTGGAGGTATACTTGACGGCGGCATTGGTCAGGATTTCTTGGCCTTTGATCAGGAGCCAGTACCAGAGGAGCTTGACTTTTTGGCTGAAGGGCTTGGGGAATTGGGAAAGGGGCGGGAGGACGAAGGTGCCTGTTCAAAAAGTCTCAGTTATATGTGTCCCAATGGCTCCTCGATTTCTCCCCTCCTAAGGAGGGAGAAGCTCGCGATAGACATACCAGGCAGCACCATTGATGTGATCTCTGCCGCGAGATTTGTGCCCTTCCCCAACTTCCTCTGCATCTCTACCGCGGGCGACCGCTGAGAATTCATATCAGTACCATGGGCGGTGCGGTGTGTCGCAACACCCTTCCAGCGGCATTGTTGCCCAGCAGGGGATGTCCATTTTGCCGTCCCCAGAGTTATCCTCGCCGAACCCGTTGTCCTAGTCGAGAGTAACCCCCTGGCCGTAAGGCCAAACCGAGCTGGCGACACCATTGTGTGTAGTCTTTGTGTCAGTATTAAAGTAGAGTATCAACTTCTTGTCCCGTGATGGTCTCTATATACTATATACTCGGGGGTTGGCGCAGCCGCGGGTCGTTCAATGCTGCTGGTACGGATCCGTTCTCGCTCGTAAGTAAGGGTCGTAAGGCCAGGTCAAACCCCTCTGGCGCTGTCCTCAGCCCGTCCAGTCTTGTCGTTCAGTGCCCCGCGTCAACAGCCGCCGTCAAGCGAACATGTGCGACTGGCCGACTGCAGCGGGTGTGGTGTTGGTGCTGGTCAATGCTGCTCAGTGCTGCTCCGGCCTCTCGCGTCAAAGCTTCAAAATTTCCACGCACCACTCACGCAGTCTATCTTACTCGGCTGGAGCGCAAGGAAAATCGGCGGGGATTGACCCCCACAGAGGTTGTGGAGCACCGAGTACGTACCGACCCACGTTTTATTAAACCAATCAGAGCTCGTAGATAGCATCACTGGATCCCTCATCAAGGTAGGATCGCTATCAAGGCCCTGCAAGGGCCTGCTACGACCCTTGTCCGACTAAGGGCAGCGACAGGCTGGGCTAGAGAGCTGTCCGGGAAGCTAAACCGTCGTGGCATTCGCACCCGCACCGCACCGCTTATTTCAACCGGCCCGACATCTCATAACTTACCTTTTTCCCCCTCCCACTCAACAACTCGCAAACAATTCCAATGCTCCATGGGGGAGGAGGAGAAGGCTCAGCAACTTGATGTACCACCGCGCGAAGCCCACCGCGCAGCAGCCGCCGCGGGCGGATGACGCACCCGGATACGGCCCTGGAGCCGGTCGCGTCAGCGGCAACCTTGCGGACCAGCTATCACAACATCAACAGCAACATCTCCAACAGCCCATCCATCCCTCATCCCGTCCGCGGATCAACCCCGCGACAGCGACCACAACAAGCGCAAACACTCCCAAAAACCCCACCGACCATGGTGCCCCCCTAAGCCGCACCACAACCAACACCAGCACCGGCAACAAAGCTGATCTCCCCACCGAACCCCTCCAATCAACCCTCCTCCAGCCCCGAGTAGCCGTCGCCCTAGGCGTCTCCCAGAAATGGTATCCCCTCCTTTTTCTATGCCGACTGGCCTCCATCGCGCCGGTCATCCTGTTCGGGTTACCCACAGTTCTACGGTTGTTAGCGACCCTACATCTGATGTACCTGGACCGAGTGCTTGACGGAGGCGGGGCGTTGACGAAACTTACTACTCGGAAGGGAGGGGCAGACAATGGAGGAGGGTTTGCGCAAGGGTATAAAATGATGGGGACGGGGTTCGATCCGGAGTTTGAGGCACGGTTGAGGTTGACGGAGATGGTGTTGGCTATAATATGGGTTCGTATTATTGGGAGAGTCTACGGGTTAGAGAGAAGAAGAGCTGATTTGGGATGACAGTGCTTCGCCTCAGGCTACCTATCCTTCTTCTTCACTGACTGTCTAATGTCGCGCTGGCTGCTAAACTACACGCCGCAAGCTACTATCGTCCGGCTTTTGACCGTCGATGCACTCAATGGCTACGTGACGTACTGGGTTCTGCACCTCACAGGAGGGTTTGAAGACCCCCGCTTGGTTCTACCAGCCTGGATTGTTATATCAAGCGTAAGAGTTAACTCTAATACAGTCCTCCATTACTCGGACGAAACATTGACTGTCTATTTCAGACCCTCACAGTCCTCTATCACATCACCCAACGCAAGATCAACATCCGCAAGGAGACGTCCATGTCCATCAGCGTCTTTTCCATCGCTAGCTTTGTCAGCATGGTAACGCTGCTTATCCAGCTACACTCAAACCGATCCGACTATCCGGACATCCCCTTGCTCAACTTTGCCAGGAGGTTGTTCCACGCGACTGGCCGACTCGCCCTGCGCATCATGGAATACGGGGATGTAACAAAGGGGCTTTGAAAGATCCTTGGCGGGCTGATCACCTATCGCGCTTGATTCATCTGGGACACGTGGCATGTTTTCATTCTTTGGTGCATTTCGCAGGGGAGCAGAGGAGTTCGGGTTACAGCTCATGTTTGGAATACACACGGAATACACAGTACACATCTTCCTGAGAAGGTCACAATATACCAATAAAGTACATAGAACTGCTGCCAACAGAATCCCATTGCCTAGACCATCGAGCCCGCCCATTCGCAACGAATGACATGCGGGCCGTGGCTGTCCTATCAACTATGTAGTGCTGAACGGAACGACTAGACTTGAACGGATCAAGCATCAACGCATCATAAGTATATCCCTTCCAAAGCACTATCTCCATAGGGGAAGAGGAAAACCGCTCCATCAACTTCTCGGGTATCATGTTTGGGTGCCGCTGGACTCCTCAGCTGGACGCTGTTGCTCGACACTCAGAGGAGACTCGATTGCGCTCAGGTATCGACGTACAAGGTTCACCCGCTGATGGGGTGGAGCCCCGCCCCGGAAGCTTCGTTTAGATGCCCGGGTCGCTGAGCCGCGACACGACAGACATGCCCGGCTTAGAAGCCGTGGACCTGCGACAGTTATGAGTGACTGGGTTATTAGTAGAGCAAAGCAGGCGGTCGTACCTTGATGGTCTTCTCATCGAGACCAAGACCGGTCTCGGGGTTGATGAGGAACTCTCTAATCTTGGCACGGTGATCGCCCTGAAGCTGGATCACCTCGCCCATGCCCTTGGACTCGGTGTCACTGATGATGGTGCCATTGCAAGCTGCCAGTTGTTAGCCAAAAGGTCTTCAAACTCTGCTGGCTGGCGATGAAAGCACATACCGAATTCCTTCTTGATGACCTTGAGAATCTTCTTGTGGTCAAACTTGCTGGGAATTCCTTGCACGGTAGTCAAGGTTTTGCGGCCATTACGCTCTGCAGTTTGTTAGTTTTGTTGTCAGGGTGTTGCGTGACCCACTGGGCGGTCGGCGACAGTGGCAGATGGCGGCTTACGTTGGATGCGGATATGGATGTACTCCTGGGTTTGAGTAGTCTGTCCCGAGTCCTCGTCGGCTTCGGCGAAGGGGTCTTCAATGATTGTCTCGTCAGTGACAAAGGTCTATTGAAATAGGGGGAACCCAACGATGGCCCTTGTTTGTCTCGATAGTCCGCGCGCGACTCGGTCCCACTAATACTTGCAATGGTCAAGAGGCGGCCGCGTCACACCGCAACCGCGCGATCGCGGCTGCTGCGCGATGCCAACAAAACAAACGCACCATCGAGCTGGGCGGATTAAGTTATCATCGGTGGAATCTGTTACATACCGCGGCTCTTGAGATTCTGGATCTCGATTGGGCCGGACATAAACTCGGAGTTTTAGGGGTGACCTTAGGAGATGGTTTGTTTAGAGGAGTTGAGAAGGGTAGCGACCGACAACTGGTGTCTCGCTGAATGCAGTTGTTGAATGTGGTGACGTGGGGTCTCGAAGATGTCCCAGGAAAAGCTGTGGCTTTTGTAAGGGTGTGTGATTGCTGACAAGTGATGCTGCTGCTGCTGCGGATGGCAAAGTCGTTGAAAGGGAGAAGAGGGCGGAATGCAGGTGAGGGGAAGAGATGATGGTTATGTGGGGCCGTTACGGTCAGGCCACAAGGCATCAACTGGTGGCCAGTCAAACATTTCCTTGTGCTCGGTGGCACTGTGGCGGGGTCATGCGCGTTGGAATTTGGCTGCCGTCTTGCGTAATGACACTGTGCCCGAGTACGGAGCCGTACCTGCACTCACTTTCCCAGATTTCCTGCGTTTCCATGGTTGAAAGTACGAGCTACGGAATATCTGGATCGACGGCTCTGCTTTGTAATTAGAAGAATATTGTAAACTGGGCCGTCTCCACTTCTACTGATTTTGCAGATCGTGATATTCATGAAGGTATTTTCATGACATTCCCCCCTGTGATGTATAAGTTACATACAGTCGACCTGTTACTTACACCACCCGGCAGCGCTGGTGTCAGCAAGGACCTAGCATCCCATGGTGACTGCCAACAGCTCAATCAGCCACACTTCCTCCCGGTTCGAGAAACATCGGAGCGATGAAGTTCGAACCAGAGGAATTGGCGGCTAATGCCAACCCAGTCGTCATCCAGGCCATTCAAGAGGGCCAGGAACAAGCAGAATGGCGCCCTCTCTTTCGCCACCCATGTCACTTCGGCCCCGACATCTTCGGCGGGGTCATGTCCAACCTGATCCATAACCCCAACATCAACTCATCATGGCTCTTCCGCGCCGATATTCTCCATGATGCCCCTGATCCGCAAGCAAACAGTACTCTGCCAATCCCCATTCCTTCATTTCGTGGCTTTGAACTGCGGCGGTGCATTCTTCGCAGACTCATCCCCCGAAACACGAGGAGAGACAAGCCCCTCGACCAAACCTGTCTGATATTCGAGGCTGCGTCGAGTCACTCGAAAGATGACTCACAAACTCTTGTTGTCTATCTGCCCCATGTCTCGGCACCTTCAGATATGCCGTTTTATCACCCAGTAGTGCGGGGGATAGCATTCCTGCATGAGTGGAATCCGGCAAAGTACTGCGGGTTTATCTCCATCTCCTATCTCTACTTTTCAGATTATGACAATTCCGAGCTTAAGCTCTCCAGGACGGCCTTTCGCTTGCTGGAAGTCATCCACAAGCACGGCAAAGGCCGGTTGGCCGGCTATCAGAAGCGAGTACTACATGATCAGGTTGTGCCCCAGGCCCGGGCGCAGGACACCTACCACAGGCTGAAGCTGCAGTATGCGCGTGGCCTTATAGACGGGTGGGCCGAAAGCACCGATCCGGAGAAGCATGTGTTTGAGGATCTGTCAATCGCGGCATTCTTGATCGAGCTGTGGGCTGATATGTATGGCAAAGACCTCTTCCCGGGTTTTGTCGACATCGGATGTGGGAATGGGCTTTTGGTCTACATCCTAAACAAAGAAGGCTACGCAGGATGGGGTTTCGATGCGCGTTCACGCAAGTCGTGGGCGAATTACAACACCAAGTTGCAAACCCCGTTTGGCGAGCAGGATACTTTACAGCAAAAAGTCATGCTCCCACCTCCAGTCAGCCGAGAGGGTTTGACTGACATATCTGATGACTTGTTGGACGAGAGCCTTATTCATGACGGGCGTTTCCCGAAAGACACATTTATAATCTCAAATCACGCAGATGAACTGACTCCTTGGACTCCGATCGTTGCTGCCATCTCTCAGTGTCCCTTCATGGCCATTCCTTGCTGCAGTCATAATCTGACAGGAGACAGATTCCGCGCGCCTGCTCCTAAAGAGAAAGGCAAGGCAGAGTCAGCGTACTCGTCTTTGGTTGCTTGGGTTGCGGGTATTGCGAAAGATTGTGGTTGGGAAGTAGAACAAGAAGTTCTTCGGATCCCAAGCACACGTAATATCGCACTCATTGGACGCAGACAGTCGAAGCAAGACACACCTGTTGACTTCAATGCTGTTGTCAACAAGTATGGAGGGGCTGCGGGGTATTGGAACAACGTAGCCAAGCTTATCGCAGCAGCACGTACAACCGACGAACCAGACGAGCATGAACACAGTAATGGCGCTTAAGTGCCGCTGTTCAGTTCCAAATCTAGACACTTAATCCAAATCTGGGACTGGTAGATGATCTACCAGCTTCAAGTTCAGACCCAGCTTCTGCAAGGCCTCAGTGGCTAACTTATCCCTCAGTTCCTCCGTCTCCTTTTCCGTAGTAAGCACGAAATCGTGCTTCAACAGCCAGATGCCCTCCATAACACCGTACCTCTCGGCCGTCTCCTTGTCAACCTTCTCCAGGTCAACAATCAGACTTTTCTTGACACCAAATACAGCATCAGATGTCTCGTACGGGTCACCCCGGATATACAACGCTCTGCGAAAACGTCAGCTTCACGCCCATTGACACTCATCCATATGGTATGATCGCACTTACGTGATCAAATGATCCCATCCCTCCTTCTTAAACATAAAATGCACATGCGCCGGTCGCCAACAATGCCGCTTCAACTTCTCCAACAACTTCCCCACCGGTCCATCATTAGGAATGGGATAGCTGACCGGCTTGATCCCCTTGAACCAGAACCTACCCTCCTCATCGCTAACCATCACACACCTTTCGCTGGGGGAATCCCGGCCCGCATGCTGCACGTCGTAGTGCCCCGAGCTGTCTGTCTCCCATATGTCGATGGTCACGCCGGGGATTGGGTTACCCTTAGTGTCTTTGACGGTGCAGAGCGCTAGCATGGGCTCGCCCTCGGGGTCGGAGGTCATAGAGGAGCCGTTCTCGAGGAGTGGCGCGTCGTGCGTGTGGAAGGGGCCGAGCACGGAACCCTCCGTGCTGCCGACGGGCTTGGGGTGGTTGATACTGTCTACTAGGAGGGACAGGCCTAGGACGTCGGAGAGGAGGATGAATTCCTAGTTCCCATCAGCATAATTCAGGCCCGTTTGCAACACAACGGAAAACCCACATTCCTCACATCACTGCAGATCTTGCCACAGGCAATAAGGAACTCGATCGCTTTCATCCATTCCTCTGTGCTCAGCCGGGTTTCCCGCGCAAAATCGTGCAGGTGTGTCACCAGCCGCGCCATCACATATGTGAGACGTGCATCGCCGCTTTGCGAGTTGATGCGTATTGTGTTGGGCGTAATGTTATCGATTGTGAGGTCCAGCAGCGGCGGGACGTTAACCGCGCCACTGGAAGAGGTTGGTTCTGCCATGGTGTTGTTTGTAGATGTTGAGGACTGGAGTTCGTCTCTGTTCAGGTGAAATTGCCTGATTGTAGCTTGACTGAAGTATGTGGCAAGATGTGTTTCACACTCGACTCTGTGACTTAAGAACGAGTTCCAAACCTAAGGCGACGCCGTATCTGGAAAAATAACAGTAACACAGGATGTTTAAGTCCCTGCTGAGTAACCGGATGTTTTAAACCTATGAACTTGGAGATCGGGACAGGAAAATAGCACCCGGCCCGACCAATCCTCCATTCCCTTTCCCCCACATACACCAGCTCAGTACCAAGCTAAGATTCTTTCCATGCGCAAGCTGCGAGATCCAGCTCGATATTCGCACCGTAGCCAGCCATCTGACACAATGCTATGGTAAGCTGCTAGAAGCTCCAGGCCAGGGTTCCGACACCGCGGGACACGGGACGCGGGAACCAGATCAGCGATTCAGAGGGGGGCATCGGCAGTGCCACAGCGCCGCTGATGTGGGGTTCAAGATCTGGGTAAGAGCTCGGCTCGGGATGTGTGGGCGGGTGAGGAGCTGCAGTAGAGTGCGGAGAAGAACCGCTAGCGGGGACCCCCAATAGCGTATGCGCTGCTGGAAATGGATGCCGGAGTTGAGGGACCACGTTATTCCTCAGCAGGGGAGGGGAAGATGAATGGGGGTTTCTGTTTTAAAGATCAGCAAAGCTACGATGCTAAGCTTGAGTGCTATGATGAAGAGCAGCATGTCGTTACCAGGACTTCGCTCTAAGTCACCATAAACTTGAAGGTCCAGCGCAGGCTTGGAGATAATGTTGCTTTTTCTTTCTATCGATGTTGTTTATCACTTGAAAATGACGTTTGGATCATTATGACGATTTGAGCCCAGGGCTTTTGCCCTTGGGGATCAGAATTTTATTCAAGGCTTAGCGCCTTCCTTGCAACTAAGACCAACCCTTCCTTCCAAGTGGAACGACTGAAAGGGCTCCATAATGCCCGGTTATAAAGTTGAATTCGTTCATCAACATGCGTCAACCCGCAGATTACTTGACTCGAGAAGAGCCGCCAAGCCTACACATTACGCAGCCCTGGTCGCTAGGTTTGATGACCGCTAACGGCCGAGAACAGGTCTAAGACAGCCAGACAGACTACGCGGGTCGAAAGACAACACTTGGACACATTACAAGATATATATATCAAAAATCGCGGTCTGTCCAGCTCTACTGATCCTCCGGAGGCTCCGGCGCCTCAGGCAATGCCGTAGGCGGCCTTCTCCCCGCATTCGCATCAGAATGCATCTCCCTGGACTCCCTGGACTCTCTGGACTCCCTAAATTCTCTTGACGATCTCCTCCCAGCATCAGAATGGAACAGCTCCCTGAAGCTAAACTCTCTGGAGGATCTTCCGTTAAACTCCCGACTCGACCGCCCCAAACTCGGCGTTGACGCCCTCGAAACCGACGGTGTATTAGTATTCAAACTCAGCGCACTATTTCCCCCACTCGTCATCGTCAACGTTGCCAACGACGCACCCGCATTTGGCGCAGCCCCATCCCCGTCGCTGATATGATCGATGATAAACGTCAGCCCACTCAACCTCTGAGCGAGCGTGCTATCCGGCCTTTGCGCCGCCGGATCTCCAAAGTCCCTTGACGACCATGATGCGCGGTAAGGGCGAGCGCCCCGAGGGAGTGAGCCGACGCTGTAGCGGGAGTGCACGCTGCTTGTACGACTGTGGCGGCCGGAGCGGGCGCCGGTAGGAAGGTCGTTATCGGGGTCGAGGTGGTCTCCTTCTTCTGTGTTTGAGCAGGCATCGTCGGTGCGGTTTATGACCAATTTTGAAGGGCTGGGGGGAGCGTCCTCGTCTTCGTCCTCAATTTTGGGGTTGCGGCGAACCATGTTGACTGAGAAGCGCGGGGTTGGTGGGGGAGTGGGTTCCTTGGGGTTGAGGCACTTTACTCCGGGGCGTTTCCAGGGTTCGGAGCTGTCCTGGGCCTTCTCCTCGATGTCGTAGAAGTAGCGTGCGCGGGTCGGCTCGAGCCAGTCGGGGTCCATTTCTTCGCGGTTGCGCATGAGAGAGAGCCAGGTTGAGAGGCAGCTGAGGACTATTAGGATCAGTAAGGTGACGACTGTTAAGGCCTGGATGATGATGATTGCTAAGCCGAGACGAGCAGCGGCTTTGCGGTCGAGGTTGTTCCCGGGTAAGAAGCGGATGGAGATGGCAGTCGTGATGATCTTGTTGAGTCCGAGGACCCAGACGGCCATGACGTTGTTTCGTGTGCTTTCGAAGGGTCTCAAGAAGACGCCGGTGGCGAAGGCCAGACAGTCGATGACCAGAAGACCGTAGATCTGCGCGTGAGGGTTTTGCCAGCCTCCTCCCAGGAAGGCTGCGCGACAGAATTGGTAGGCAATATGGAGGACCAAATACCACCACCGGCTGCGACGATATCTTGCCGTGATCCAGCCGAAGCGTTTGATCAAGGTTTGGTCCGTGTGGACCGTCAGGCGCTCAGGTTTGCTATCGATGTGCTGGACTCGGAAAAAGGGGATGCTGAAGAGTTGGCGAACCTCCAGAGCGTGCTGCTTGATCGTGCTCTCTCTGATGCAAAAGACCCAAGGGAGCACCTGGAGAACACAGGCGTAGTAAAAGACGACCTTGTCCTTGCCCACAACAATCTTCCCTCCCCTCACGCGAAGCAAGCACACAAAAGCAACTGGCAAACTCAAAACACACACCATAACAATAAACATGACCGCCGCAACCGCAACCGCTCCCGTCGAGATCCTCATCGTAAACTGGTACATCGCCAGCGTCAACACCACAAAGAACGCAGCCACCAGCGTCCTCATCAACGCATGACCCAGATACCCCAGCCAATGACTCCTAAAGTACGCCAACCGATCCTCCTTAATCTTCTTTGCCTTTCCCAGTCCTTCCAGAAAGACCTTGAGGCCACCAATTGCCATAATCACCGCACCGACAGCCACCAAAAACCAGATTAAGCTCAGTATGAACACGTCTGCGACAGGAACACGATGCTCTGCCAGCGTCGCGGCGAACCCCATCCTCGTCGCAGGTAACGGCACGCCGGGGACGATGTGCCCTGCAGAATAGGTGTAATTGTAGACGTAGGGTTCGACCTCCTCCTCTTCGGTGACCGTTCCGGCCTCTCCCCTAGCCAAAATTCTCACCACCTGCCCCCCGCCTAGCCTCACAACCTCGGCTGCGGCATCCCCTATTCTGATTTTATCCCCCGTCACACCAGCAAAATTGCTGATAGTTTTTACTAAGGAAGGGATGCTAATTACCCCAGAAGACCAAGAAAAATTGGCCCACCAGGCTGTTAGGGAAGCAGGCCATTCCACCGAGAGGGCGCCGGAAAGAAAGATTGATTGGAACGTCTCCCACACTACGAACGACGGTAATGAATGGGCGTGATGCATACGCATGTGCGGAATACTGACCCCGTATGCAGCGGAGAAGAATGAGGAGAGAATTGCCGCGACAGTGAAGGCGGCGAGGATAGGGGCAATGATTTCGGGGTGGGAGAAGGACCGGCCGTTAGTGATAGTCGCTCTGTAACAGCTGAGCTCGGACTTCGTTTTCTTCGTGTAAACTCGGAGAGTTAAGGAGCCTTCGAAATTGGGATAGGTGAGGTCGCTGGAGGGGAGGTCGCCGATGGTTTGGGAGCTGACAGGGAGGAGGGCGGCGGCGGCTATGGGGAGTTTGGGGTTGAGGGGGCAGAGACTGTGGTTGTGTGAGTACGTAGTTGGGGTTGAGCAAGGGATGAGGTGGTTGCTTACCTTGTGACGTTGTAGCTACATGGGTCGATGGTGAGGTTGATGCGGTTTGTGCCATCTGGGAGAGTTAGTTCGATGTTGAAGTGTAGGTTAAGAAGAAGACATACAAGCTTCTAGGGAGAATTGTACTGCAACTTTGTCAGCATATATCACAATTAATCAAACTTACAACCCACTAATCCTACTCACATAACACAGAGGTATTCTTTTCTACCCCAGGTGACCCCTCGAAGCCGAAAGACAAAGTCTTGTTGACCGAGTCATAGGAAGCCCCAAACCTCTCGACACTGAGGACATTTTCATCGGCACATTCACCCCATTGCCCAGTGTACAATGCTGGTGTTGGAGAAGGAGCGGGCTTGCTGGTGTAGTAACAGTTACCGACTGATAAAAGAAATGGCAGAAGAAGAAACGCTGACGGCCGTGATCGTGGCCATGCCGCTCTGGTCATGACGGTGTTTTGCAGTATCTGAGGCGATGGACGAGTTGAACGAGTACTTCGGTCTTAGGGGGGGCAAAGGGACGGCCGCTTTAATTAGGAAAGAACCGAAAGTTATCTTGTCTCGATCTGTTAGAGAAACAAAGTCGCGCAGTATTCGTGGAGGGGTATCTGGTTTTTGCTACTGGACTTGGGTAATCGAAGGTCGTCGGCGTGTCAATTCCCTTGGACGAGGATAGTCCAGTCGCTGTCCGCTTTTCTATATCTCGAACCGATTCTCAATCAAAGGGCAAACCGTTCTGTTGTTGCTACATAACAATCGTACCCCTTCAGTCAGATCAGTCCAATGGACCGACTGATTACCGCCCAGAGTAGAAAAAAAATGCAAAACCAGAAACTCGGCGGCCCTCGAGTGAGTGGCCTCCAAGCCTCAAGGACATGGAAAGCTCAGCGAGCCCGACATCCCGGAAAGTAAACGCACCACCGGCCCATGAACACCCCCACCAGTTCATTTCTCGCCAGAGGACAGATCCGCACACTCGGTTCGTGGGTCCTCATCTCTCCCGTCTCGTGTAGTGGTCTCCATTGTGGAGAGCCTGTCCAGGATGCTTGATTACCCAGTTTGGTAGGTAGGTCGATGACTTGGTGATGGGCAAGGGAGAGCGAAGAAGCTTCTTGGAGAATGTTCAACAACCTAATTTAGACACCTTTAATGGTGAAACAATCAGAACAAAGAATCGAGTCAGTCAGTGTTTGTCTTCATCATTATCCATTGCTGAGGCAAACTGGATAAGAGTAGCGAAGATTCTTTTCATTGCCCTTAACCCAGTAAAAGAGAGAGAGAGACAGAGACGAAAATGGTGGTTCCTGGAGCTTGCTGAGCATAGCAGACCAAACGAGCGGAGCGCATCGATCTGATTGGCCAGGACTAACCCCACCCCTGTTGCCAAGTCATTAGGGACGGACGCAGCGGCCCGTCGAGGAAAAGCTTGGGGTCCATGGTTTCTTGCGTCTCTTTTGTCGATGTGACGACGTTTGAGTCGACTGCGACTGTTGTTGGTCTTCGATCCTACGTACGGTTTTTTTTTTGAAAGAATATCTAGCGGATCGAATTTTGAACGAAAAATCTTCCGCATTACGCTCTTGAATCCCATCTTTGGTCTCCCTTCGCCGCCCAAAAACATCGTCACTCCCTTGCAAATGAGGCTCAACAGCCCCTGATGTAGGACAAGGGTCCATTGCCCCGCTGCCCTGCCCAGAGGCTGCTGTCCTGGATCATCGCCCATCGATGTGGCATTGCGTCCGACATTCTCGACCCACGTCAATGTGTTTTGAGCGCTATCAGCGTCCAAAAGCACAATAGCAGTTGCATTTTTCTGTCACCGCCAGATCAGAATGCGGCTTTTTCGTATTGAGTAGTGTGTAAAATACCTCTTGAGTCCTACAGATTCTCACATCTCTAAGGACTTCGAAGAGCCACCGCCGGAGGGCTTAGAGTCCTTCACTGTGTCAGTAGTTGTGCATGGAAGCACAATTACAAAGTCCCACCACACCACCAGCACATGCGGCCTCCAATACTCCGGAGTCTGGCTTCTCACTTCTGGGGACCGGCCCACCAGATCGTGGGGTCAATAAAAGAACTGAGAATGCCAAGCCGGCTTTCATAGGAAGCATCATTAATCAGACATGAACAATATCCTTTTTCCAGGAGAGAAAAGACCGAGCTTGCCGGCGAGCATGGAAACAAAAAAGAGGGGGAAAGAAGGCTATTTGCATCAGAGCGTTTTGAGTCCATAGTCTCCCAGGGTGTTTCAAGAGGAGGGGGGTGGGTTTGGAAGCTAACCTTACATCATGAACCAACTTGTATACACCAACCACTGATACATTCTCATATCTGACCACGCACTCACTCATTCCTTTACCTAACTTTTGGATAATCTTGAAGCAGCCCGCTTCGTTAAAGAGGGAAAAGAAAAAACAAAAAAACAAACAAATCCGTAGGGAACCAGCAAAGCAACCGAAAGACTTCTTTTTCAACTCTTCTCAAATCTGCGGTTTAGTATAACGAACAAACCCCGGATTGTGCTGACACCTGGTTCTTGACACATGCAATGCTTATGCACACCATGCCTGTCTTCAAGAAAAAAAAAAGAAACCAAGATCCATCCCTAACCATCCCATTCCTGCAGCCCATCAAGCAAAAAAGCGAATCATTCCATTCATTCCATCATCAATGTAACCATCATCTTCCATGATCCATCGCTCCAACCAAAGTCCAGGTTTTTGAATCGAACGACTTCGTGTAATAAATCCTCAAAACCTCTCCCTCATCCCACCATCTCATCCTCCTCCTCAATCGGCGCAGGCGTTGCCCTCTCCCGCCGTCTCTTCGGCCTCCTAAACCGATTACTACTCACCTGACTGGCCGAATCGTCCGGCGCGAGCTCACTAATCCCATCGTCCCAGCCCCATTCACTATCCGCCGGTCCGCCGCCGACACTATCAGAATCATCCCCCCACGACGGGCGGTCATAGATCCCCGAGCTGCCCGACAGCGGGAGGACATCGATGCCCGCGGGCCTGCCACGGCGTTGTTGTAAGCTCATTTGCAGCGCGGCGCCCCGACGACGCAACAGGTCTCGCACGACCATGGCTTTTTCGTGGAGCTTCTCGAAGGCGTCTTCGAGCGCTTCCATGCCGTTGAAGATCTCGCGCTCGACTTCGGCGAGGGCGGCGACCTCGGCTTCTTCGTCGTTGGTGACTGCTGCTCTGGACGGGTAGGTCGACGACGCGTTGGAGATGAAACTTGCGGGGGTGGTGCCACGTGAGAACATCCCCGGCGGTGGGCCAAACGCCGGCGTGGTTGTTCTTGAGAGAGGGGGACGTCCGGCCCCGGGACTCATGAGCCTCGTGCCCGGGTGCATCCCGCTTGCTGGCGTCGCCATCCGGGAGATAGCTGACTCGCCAAGGTTAATACCATCGTCTTCTGCGCCTGACCACAAGAACCCGTCGAACCGGCCTGAGGTGAGGATCTCCCATTCCGAAATGGAGATATCCGAGATGGTATACAGCAGATCATGCACGCCAGCATTTTTAACAAGATACACCGCCGTCTCAGCATCCCGCGGCGGAACCGGCAGTCGATATAGCCTCTGCAAAGCCAACCCCGTCCTAACAATAAACTCATTCCGGGCTTTTCTCACTGGCGTCGGCGCGCGCACAGGAGACTGGAGCTCCTTAGACCCCGAGAGCAGCGCATTAAAATACGGTCGGTCTTCCTGGTCGAGATTGGTCAGAATCGCAAACGCGAGCGTCTCATCATCCACTTCCGACGGCGGTGGCGCGACCGTCTTCTCGCAGTTGCTCATCCACTTGTCGACGGCGGCGCGGACGCGCTTCGTCTGCCGGATGTAATGCTCTCTAAACTCCTCCGCGATATCGGGGTCCATCTTGATAGGCGACGACGGCCGCGGCGGAGCGTCAGCAAGTTCCTCGACCGCCTTGGACCCGAGAACGCTGAAATCGAACGGCGGCCAAGGAGGGAGCTCAACCCTCCCGCTCACCTGCTCGAGAACCTCTCCCCACGTCAACCCCCGATGCGGCTCGCCAGAGTGCTCGCACAGAATGCACGGGCATCCTTCCGCCGGCAGATCCCTCGAAAACACATTCTCCAATCTCTCCAGCAACCTCCTCGCAATGCTCTTGTGCCCCGTCGCGACCGCAATCGATCCATGACACTGCAGCACAGTCTGGTACTTGTTAAGTAGATCGAAGAAAGGGGCAAACAGTATCTCAGCTCCTTGCAGCGGAGGGATCGTCGGTCGAGTACCGTTTGGCCTTGGCAACACAGCCAGGAATTGTCTCGGAACCGGCTGCGGTAGGCCTCCATTCTGCAGTAGGTAATCTACCCTCGGGAGATCCTGCGGATTCCACGACGGCGGCGGGGGCGGCGGTGGCGGAGGGGGCGGGGCAGGCGCCGGCGTGAACGTGGATGCCGCCGAAGCAGTTGGCACATCAGAAGGCGCATAGTGCACATCCGATGTGTTGTAGTGATCCATTTCCCCAGGAAGAACCGACCCTCCCGGCGGGGGAGGGGGTGACACGGGCTGGGTCGACGACACTGTCGAATGCTCCAGCGCACTCTCATCTGCAGCAACCCCCTCCATCTCGGCCGATGGTCTCCTCGTAGTAGACGGACTTCTCCTCGTAGCAGTGGCAGTTGACCGTGCCTCGATGGTACTCGTGTCCGTAATGTCCGATCTGACTGGCTTCCCCTCTTCTCCATCCTTCAATCCCCTCCCCAAAGGCGCAGGCCTCAACACAAACGTCGCCTGACTCGAACTCCTTGACACCTTTGACGATGCTCCCCTTGCCTCATGCTTCGACAACCCTCTTGAAATCCACGAGCTCGCTGCCGAAGCCGGTCTTTGCTCCTGCCCCTCCACACCTCCTGTCGGCGAAACAGAATTCTCCTCTCCATTCTGCTGCTGCTGCTGCTGCTGCCCCAAAAAATCATCCGTATCCGGTGGACTCGGCGGCCTACTCTCCCCCCTCAATTCCTGCCTCATCGGCGAGACCCTCCTCGCGGCGGGATGACACCCAACCGATTTCGACCGGCGCATATCGCTGCCCCCTCCAAGATCAGTGGTATCCGGTGTAAGAGGATCCGTCCTCCTATTGTTTGGCGTGCTGCCAACACCAATAAGAACATTGTCTCCCAGGCTATAGAGATATTCTTTGCTATGGTTCTTACTGAAGCTTGGATACGGCACGTTCGGGGTACCAGCACGCTCGGAGCGCGCGAGCTCGGGGACGAGGTCGGTTAGGGATTTGGAAGCCGTGGAAGGGGAGTCTGTGTCGGAGCGTTCGAGGGAATCTTTGTGTCGGTGGCGGCGGGAGGTTCCGGAGGGGGAACGACCTTCGCTGTCGGTTGGGCGGAGCTTGGATGAGGATTTGGAGGAGCGATGGGAGTGATGGCGGTGGATCGAGCAGGAGTCTCGGTCTCTGTCTCTTTCATGGTTGCGGGAGCGGGAGCGGGAGCGGTCGTCGCGATCTCGATCTCGATCTTTGTCGCGGTCTCGTTTCTCTTTGTCCCTGCCCCTGCCCCTGTCCCTGTCCCTGTCCCTGTCACGATCCCTATCCCTCTCACGATCGCGATCCTTATGCCTCTCTCGATCTCTCTCTCTGTCTCTCTCTCTGTCCCTGTCCTTATCCCTTTCTCTATCTCTCTCACCATCTCTTTCGCGGTCACGATCCTTCCTCTCGCTCTTTCTCTCACGATGTCTCTTCTCCCTCTCCCTCTCTCTCTCCTTGTCCCTATCCCTCTCACGGTCGCGATCTCGGTCACGATCTCTATCCCGGATACGGTCCTCGACGACCACCGGGTCGACAACAACACCTTCGCGTTCCCTAGAGGATGGCATAGTTGCGAATCGTAAATAAATAGATAGGTTAAACCATATCAAGGGCGGTGCTTGCCCATCCTGGTAATCTGCTGACCGGGCAGAAGGGGTGTAGGGTGTCGAGTAGGCTGGCAGCGGTACCTTGCGATACGCGGCACTCGAGCGAGATGCGGCACACCTGCAGGGCGGCTGCGCTGCGGGGCTTGCTGTCTAAATGTGTTGTGGTTGAGAAAGGCCTCTTTTGCCTGTGATCAACGGCCGGTAAGCAGATTCGTACCGTGTGGTATGTTAGGTAGAAGATGGAAAGGCGGGGTTATCCCCAGCCGAAGCGAAACCTCCGGATATCTTAGGAGCGACTTGAATAAGAAGCCAGACCCCAACTTGCTGGTTACAGTTTGCAACTGGAGAATGAGGTGCAGCGTTTCCTCTGGGGAGAAAGTGGACTCAATCCTCCAGCGGGCAGGTTGAAGAATGTTCGATCCGCTGCAGTGCTGTTGGCTTGCCTGACCGGCCGTACCGCTCCAATCTAGAGAACTGAAGGCATGGCTGAAGCCCAGCCCACCAACTGTTGGATCCTCCCCGTCATCCATTGGGCAGCGGTGACAAGGACGGGTTGGGCTGAGAGTACATGCCCAATGCGATTCGAGCATTTGACGCTCCACCGTCCAAACACAGTCTCGGGTACTGTGCATCCGATCCTTTACGTGGGGGCTCTTGGCTGGAGGGGCAGCGGCTTTTATGATGGCAGATCATGAACTGTACAGTGTGAAGAAAGACTGGAAGTTGAAGTTTGTGCAATGGGATTTGAAATCTGGGGTCTCCAATATTCACGATGAAACATGGAAGTAAAATCGCGAAAACAGTATGGATAGCCTTTATTTTATTTATTTATTTATTTATTTATTTATTTATTTATTTATTTATTTATTATTTTTTTTACCGATGGCGCTCATGAGATCATCACTATCTTCTGCCAACTTTCCGAATCTTTGCTCATGTCCTTGTCCTTTTCCCTGGCCTGCCAGAACAACCTGCAGCCATCGTGACCGTGACCCTTCCCCACTGACCAAATCTTCCACTCAGGTTCAGTCCTTTACTTTTTTACCCTTACCCCGCGCAACAGCACAAGGCGACTCGTCCGAGAACCAGTTAACCTGAGCGCTTCCACATCTGTGTGAGAGTTTTTCGTTGCCAACTCCAACATCTCCCGACCTCGGCGCTTCCAATTCCCGATTCCCTCAATACGTGGGCAGCAAGCGAACGGGTAGCTGCGCAGTACGGCTTGTTACTTTGGGCAAGCAAGTACATACAGTAGCCCTATCAGCGGCACTCCGAGTCCTAATTATAGCACCAACCACGCGGGAACAAGACAACAGTGAGTCAGTCAATCAATCAAATAATCAATCGGCGACCTCACATCGAATATCGGAACAAAATCCAAAACTTTCCATTTGGTATCGCCACCAGCTAACAAAAAAGTCTATCTTTTGATGGTGATCTTAGTAATCACAGTTTAAAGTTGTTATGCCCGTTCCATGATGCTTCCATCCGTCATAAATATATACATATATATACTTCGTACCAATCAAATCAAGCCTTTTTTTTTCCTTTGACATAGAACAATGTAACAACCAAACCCCATCGCTGTCAGTCTCACTTAGACCCTATCCAACAGGCCCTGGCTCTCCAGCAGCAGAATGATCTGGTGCACAATCGACCGCACCGACTGCTTCGAGCAGTCGACAACGAGGTCCGGCTTGGCAGGGGTCTCATACGGATCGTCGACACCGGTGAAGCCCTTGATCTCGCCAGCGCGCGCCCGCTTGTAGATGCCGCGCTTGTCCGTCTTCTCGCAGTACTCGAGAGGGGTGGCGACGTGGATGAGGTAAAAGTCGCCGTACTTCTCAACCAGCTCGCGGGCGTGTTGCCGAGCCTGCTCGAAGGGAGCGATAGGAGCAGCGATAACAGCGGCGCCGGCACGGGTCAGCTCCGAGGCGACGAAGGCAATGCGGCCAATGTTCTTGTCGCGGTCCTCGCGGCTGAAGCCCAGCTCAGACGAGAGCTCGTGGCGGACGGTCTCGCCCAGCAGCAGGGAAACGGAGCGACCGCCCTGCTGGTTCAGCGTGACCTGGAGCGCCCGCGCAATCTGGTCCTTGCCGCTGTTCATGTAGCCAGTCAGGAAGACCGTGAAGCCCTGCTTCGACCTTGGAGGATGCGACTCGCGCAGCACCTTAACGACCTCGGGATACGAGAACCACTCGGGGATCTCACGGCCGCTGCGCAGACGAGCGCGCAGCTCAGTACCGGAGATGTTGAGGGTGCGCACACCCTTGGGGATCTGGTCGACCGGGGCGTACTCGTCGCTGTCAGGCAGGTACGTCATCATTTGGAAGGGCACAACCTCGATGCCGAGCTCATCGCGGTACTTCTCGACGGCGTGCTGGGCGTCATACGGGCCGTAGAAGTCGACACCCTTGCTGTTCTTGCCGGGACCGGCGTGGTCGCGGCCGACGATGAAGTGGGTAGCGCCGTGGTTCTTGCGGATGATGGCGTGCCAAATGGCCTCACGGGGGCCGCCCATGCGCATGGCCAGGGGCAGCAGGCCGAGGACGGCCATGCCATTGGGATACCTAGGGAGGAGAGCCTTGTACACGCGGACACGAGTGAAGTGATCGATGTCGCCGGGTTTCGTCAGACCGACGACGGGATGGATGAGGACGTTGGCATGGTGCGACCGGGCAGCGCGGACCGTCAGCTCACGGTGGGCACGGTGCATCGGGTTACGGGTCTGGAAGGCGACAACCCGGGTCCAGCCAAGCTTGTCGAAGTGAGCGCGAAGCTCCGCGGGGGTGTCTGTTCCGTCAGCATCCCCTGTTCCAAAACTGCAGTTCGGCCGTGCCGATGGGCTTACATCTGAGCTCGACAAAGTCATAGTGCTGGGGCTTGTTGACGGCTTCGAGCTTGCCGCCAACATAAAATTCCTTGGCCGTGTTGAAGAGGTACTGGATCGCGGGGTGCTCCGGGTCACCACCAAAGACCTCCTTGGCCTCGAGCTCCCTGAGCACGTGTCAGAATTCCTCTCCCAATTCTACAACCATTGAGCCACCGAATGACGCGACGCTTGGCGTGAGCGCGTGCTCCGGGGGGAGGGAAAGGGGGGGAAGGGGGGGAAGGGGGGGGAGAGGAATGAAACAGAGGGGCGACTGGCTTACTTGTCAGGCTTGTAGACGTCCTCGACAGTGATGATGGCCAGGTTCTGGTCATCACGGAAGTCCCGCAGCGTTATCCTGGCACCGGGCTTGATGGAAAGTTCATCAATGGTCTCCTGTGACACATCGAGTGTAATGGGCATGCTGAAGAGGGAGCCATCGGCGAGGCGGTTGTCTTTGACGACCCTGGAAGCATTGGTCTCAGTATCATGCGTCCCTAGACTCTCAATGGCCGCAGACATACCCATTGTAGTCCTTCTCGTTCATAAAACCTGCATTTCAAGCCCATTGGTCAGCCAATGCTGCGACTTACACACACCGAGCGCGGGCTGAGGCAGAGGGGATGGCGGGGTTGATGCAAGCCCCACCATCCATCCCACTTGGACCCTGGCTTCAAGAACATAACACAAAGCTGTGTGAGTGGGGGAGACGTTTTTGTTGACGAACCTTCCAGCGGCGAGAAACCGCCATTAAGCAGCAACTCGAGATCGCAAAGCTGGCGCTCGGTCAGGACGAGGGCAGGGAGCGTTTCAGCTTCAGCAGCGAGCTCGGCATGGCGAGGAAGATCGCGCGCAAGCAGATCCTTGAGCACGCCGCCATGAGGAGTGTTGGCCATCTTGATTATCTGGGAATTGGAGCTCTTGAGACGAAAGGCAAGCGTCGCGAATCCAGCAGTTGGGACCGTCTGGGTATCAAAAAGAAGAAAGAAGGAGTAACTGGAAAAGAAGAGGAGAGTGAGAGTGTCGAAACTTTTTCAGAAAGAACTGAGAACTGGCAGCTCTCGGAACGGAAAGACAGCAGGGCCCTGATATAAATTGATTCAGATTTGCCGCGCTGCCGCTTGTCTCCGCGGGGACCCCCTTTCCAGGCTCCCCGTTACGACGACGGGCTTGCGCAACAAGGGCCGAGTATGAGATGGCAATGGACGAACCGCTGACACATGGCTGGCCGAGCCCCGGTAACGGCGTTCATCCTGTCATGACAGAGGCCGGGGAGGGCGGAGAGGACCTTGAGGGTGGGCATGTTGTTGCCTTGCAGGTACAGTACCTATGAGGAAAGACCGTCCATGGAGGGGTAAATTTTTTTGTTTGTTTGTTTTTTTTTTTACTAAGAACGCAATGCTCTCTCTTTCATCCCTTCCTGAAAAGTAGGTACAGAGCAGCTATCCAGAGAGGTTGCGAAAGAGAGAGAGGGGCAGGGCTTATACCGTCACCGGATGCTATCCCACATCCCCGGACTCAGATGCGGTCTTCAACTCGTCAATCTCCCCGTCTCTCACTCTCGCCGTTGAATATTAACTGTAACTTTTACTACCATCTCGCCGGACCGGCGCTCAACCGGAGGGCGAATCGTCGTCTTTCATTCCAGGTCTCGATTACAACATCGACCGGTAATCCCATAAACCCCATGGCCCCAGCACAGGGACCTCGCCGGGAGCGTCGCCTTCCCGTCACACTCTCCTTGTGTCGAGAAGATTTTAGCTCGGATGACGTGCTCAAGCAAGGGGCGCTTAAAGCCCCACTTTCCGATTCGAAACGTGGGGTCTCTGTAACCCAGTCCCTTGTCACTTGCGGTGGGATGTGACACGCAAGCAAACGCCAGCAAAAAAAAATAAAAAAATAATGATAAAAACCGTCTTTTCCGCATAGAGAAGATTCGTCAGTAAAAACGGGCCAGTTCGTTCGGTTCATGATGCTGGTTGAAGATCGAGATTCCGTCAGCTCAATCGCGGATGGGAACATCTCAGAGGACGATACAATTGCTTGGCAGTATCTTGGCGCTCTTTTTTCTGCGGTTGATCGAGATCAGGGTTAGGGTTTTGATATAATCATCAGATCTTGGGACCGCAACGACTCAAAGCACACCGCACCATATCTCGTCCGCACTGACCGAAGTCTTGTCATGCCATGTCGTTAAGGGGATGTGCATTTTCTTGCTGACTTCCATGATTCCGGACGCTGTACAACTTCAACGAAACAGGGGTCTTCGTCACAACCACTTCATGTGAAAACGATCAAGGAATGCATCAAGTCATAACTAACCAAAACAGCATCTGCTCTATCCTCCTCTCAAACTCTCAAACTCTCATCAACTGAGCAAACATGATGATGAGATACACAAAGGAAAACACACATCTCTCATTCTCCGACATGTTGTTGTTCCTTCTTCCCATCATGAACCCTAACCCTTCCACCTCCTCATCCTACTAGTACATCAAACCATCCCCTCCCTCCCTTCACATCCTTCCTCAAGGGCTACGCCCTTCACCCACCCCGCCAGCCAACTCCGTAAAGTTGTGGTGGTGATCCAGCGGTCTACCACCGTCGTTAAATGGGTTCTGCGGCTGCGGCGCGCTTGTTGGGGCAGGCGCTCCGGGCTGATCAGTGCTCACGCCGGGCCAGAAGGATGTTGCTGTGTTGGTGCGGTGATGGTGTGAAGAAGCTGTTCATAAGGATCGGTTAGTTCGGGTATCTAGGGAAGAGTGATTAGTTGAAATAGGGGGGGGGGGTGCTTACCGCTGTAGTGGCTTATATCCGCGCTCGTGGTAGTCTCAGTCTCCTGCGCAGGAGGGGGGAGAAATTCTGTCGTTGTCGTTACCGGCTCAACGCTCGTGGTTGTGATTATGGTCGTGCTTGGAGTCGTCGCCGGCGTGGTGCCCGGTGTCTCTGGGCTAGTCACCGGACTTGGACTCAGGCTCGGAGTCGGCGTGGGTGTGGTCTCAGGGCTGGTCGTCAACGAGCTGGGACTCATCGTAACGGTCGAGAGGCTTGCCCAGCCCGTGCTCTGGATGCTTGTGCCTGGAGAGCTGATTGGGCTTGGGCTAAGCGACGGCGTTGTGGTTGTCACAGTCTGGGGGGTTGAGCTGGGGGAAGAGATTGGGCTGGGGGTTGTAGTGCCCTCTGGGGTTGTGCTGGGGCCGGAGCTGGGAGTGGGACTTGAGATGATCTCGGGGATCGTGATTAGAGCTGTGCTTGGGGTTGGTGAGCTTGGAGTAGGCGAGCTCGGAGTCGGGCTCGTCACAATCACGGGTGTCGTAGTGAGCGAGCTGGGGCTCAGAGTCGAAGGGCTCACTGGCGTAGTCCCCGGCAGAGCAGTACTCCACGAGATCCTCGAGGTGATCACGGTCCTGAGCGTCGTGCCATTGCACGAATGGCTCCACGTGAGGCTTGACGTAACAGGAGTAGCCCTCGACGCACCCGGCGACGTGCCCCAGATGGCGCTGGTCGCGTTATGGCATGGCGTGGTGTACGGAGCCCGCGATGTAGTCCGAGAAGCGCCGTGAGAGCAAGATGTTGGCGAAGTTGCGGGATTGGTGCCGTTGTTGACCGGCACTGAGGTCGATGGCGCCGGCGTAGATTGGCCGTGGCTGCAAGGAGAACTGGCGGTGCCAGTGGCGGTGCAGCCTGGATTTGGCGGTGACGGGCTATTCGACAGTACAGTTGAAGGAGTGGGCGATGATGAGAGCCCGGTAGAGGCTACGGCTGTCCCTGTGCTTCCCAGAGGCACGGTTGTGTTCGGGAGTGGCCAGAGAGGTGTCGTGGCTGGTGTGGTCGATGGTGTGATCTGGACTGTGGTGCCAACGCCGCTTCCAGAGGGACCAACATTCCCGGACGTAGCGTTTGGGAGAGGGTAAGGAATGGAGGTCGACAATGAAACTGGCGGCAGCAAAACTCCGGTTGACAAGCTAGGCGTTGGTGTGAGAACACCTGTGTTGCCGCTTCCAGTGGGCAAGACCCTTCTGGTGCTGTTCGTCAACGGGTATGGCACCGTTGCGGTCGTGGATGGAGATGGGCTCAAAGTCCCCGTGACCCCTGTGCTCAGAGGAACAGAGGTAGGATTTGGGTTGATGCCAGTGCCGGCAGGAGAAGTGCCGTTCGGCAGAGGGAAGGGCACACTAGGGGTCAAAGACCCAGTGATAACTGGCGTGCAAGGGGTTGAGGTGACTCCTTGCGAGGTCGGCGAGCAATAGTTTGAAGTTGTCGACACGCTGACAGTCACCAGAGTTGTCGGTGATGTATGCAGCCATCCCGTTGAGAGGCTTACGCTGCTTGCATTGGACACTGGGAATGGAGGGGAACTGGTTACTGGACTCGTGCCTGTCCATGATCCCGATCCAGAAGGTCCAAACGGTCCGTTAGTCGCATTTCCCGCAGGGAATCGAGGAGACGTAGGTGTCAGAGAGCTGATGGTAGGGATGCTCGTCCAAGTAGTGTCCGGCAGAGAGGTCAAGCTGACTGGGCCGGTGCTCACACCTGTACCTGTTGGACCTACCCGAGTGGTCGAGTTGGAGATGTAGTACGGGGCGCTCGACGTGCTTGGTGACGGACTCGGGAAGCCAGATATGCCCGTGCCAGGCCCGATCGATGTCCATGTAGGAGTAGTAGTAGTAGTCGCTGTTGAGGGGGATGGAGATGGAGTGTTGCTTGGGGTGCTCGTCAATGACTGGACTGGCGTGGTACCAACCAGACCTGAGCTGCCAGGAATGATGGCCGTGCCGTTCGGGAGAGGGAATGGGATAGATGATGGAGTTTCGATGATCGAAGGAGTTGATACTGAAGGCGTCGACACTGAGATGTCCGGGATTGTGATAACGGTAGGGGTCGAAACAGAAGGAGCTGGGACTGTAATAACTGTAGGAGTCGAGACATCAGGGATCGGCACTGTGATAACTGTGGGAGTAGAGACCGAAGGCGCCGGGACAGTAATCACTGTCGGGGCCGAAACAGATGGAGTCGGCACTGTGATAACCGTAGGGGTCGAGATATCAGGTGTCGGGATGGTGATGACAGTAGGAGTCGAGATATCAGGGGTCGGGACTGTGATGACAGTAGGAGTCGAGATATCAGGGGTCGGGACAGTGATGACAGTAGGAGTCGAGACAGAAGGAGTCGGCACTGTGATGACAGTAGGCGTCGAGACATTAGGCGTTGGGATGGTGATAACAGTGGGCGTTGAGATCTCAGGGGTTGGGATTGTGATAACAGTTGGCGTCGAGACCTCAGGGGTTGGAATTGTGATAACAGTGGGGGTCGAGATGTCAGGAGTTGGGACTGTGATGACTGTAGGTGTCGAGACAGAAGGGGTTGGGATTGTAATAACGGTAGGAGTCTCGACGGGCGTTCCAGACGGTGTGGGTATCGAGATGATAGGGGTCTCTGGCACTGTAGGCGTGGAAGGAATTGTCGGTGTCGGAATGTCTGGAATTTCTGGAATGGTTGGCGTTGGGGGTATTGGAATAGTCGTTGGCAACAGGCCGCTTGATGGCCTTGTTGTCGGCTCCTCACCCGGTACGGTTCTAGGACTGTCTGAACTCGATGGGGATGGCCTGCTTACGGACGACGAAGTAGGACCCGTGATGGCAGCAACAGTCGAGGTCGCAGAGTATGGGGTTGAAATCGAAGAGACCCCTGATGGCGAGCTCGGCGTGGCAGAGTTCGCTGGGGTTGACTCTTGAGTTGACGTGGATGTTAACGAATGCGGATCTGTCCTGGTCGAAGTCGCCGGTGATGTCGCTGATGTTGGACTGGACACGATGGGAGTCGACACAATGGGTGTTGGGACAGTAGCTGGAAGACTAGGGGTCGGAGTAGCTGAAGATAGCTCAGTCAGTGAGACAGGTAAAGATGCCTTGGAATGCTGCTGTCATACCACTACTCGTTGAAGTCTGCAATTCAGGAGTCGAAGTAGACTGTGTGAGCGGCGGTGGCTCATATCCGTAGGGAGGAATCGACCAGTCCTGGCCATCATCTCTGGGAGCAAGCTTCTGATCCTGAAGTCGAGAGAGGTCCTCTTGTGCCGCAGAAGCAGTGTGGGTGATGCTCCGTCGTTGACCGGCCCAAAAACCTAGCCGGTATCCATGAGCGCCGGGCACGCAGCCCAAGAAGGCAATTGCCGGCGTAAGAAAGCCGATAGCCCCTGAAGCTCTCATCTTGAGAGACTTCTGAGCCTATACGGATAAGCTGAAGAACTAGTTGAGGTATCAGAACAGAAAGATCTGAGTTAATTCGAATGAGAAGAGAGTGTATACGGCAAAAAAAGAGCGAACAGGACCACCTGACGACCTCTCAGCCTTATTACCGGGAAGGTTGGATCCTGAGTTTAGACTGATGGACAGCCTGAAAGGACCTAAGTGCCGTTGGTGAGCAAAGAGAGGGCTTGAGAGTGATATAGAAACGGCACTTGTCCTTCTCCTCAAGATTATGACTTGACTTTGGTGGATCATGGGTAACCAAAACACAACGTCTCATCCGCCACATTGCAAACGAGGAGATTCCGTGCTTTGTGCAAGGGTAAAGGCTGCCTCACCATTCCACATGTCTGGCGTAGATGAAGTCAGGTTCCTCGGCCTGTAAGCAATTTACACCCGTAGTCATTTAACACCCCCATGGCCGAGGACTTCTCTAGTTCCAGACATGAGTACTATTGCTGTTTATTTTGTAGGACCACACGTGTGAGGGAACCAAGTTGTGCCTTGGATATCAGAGTTTCAGATTCTTACAATTTCGTCAAGTTGAAAATCAGGGGCTGTAGCCAGTACAGTATCCAGATCCACATCAAACATCTGGGGTTGGAAGCTGGAACCGAGATTCTTGATCAATACACTAGCAGTTAAGGCCAGATCTGTGTTTGATTGCCCATTAAAGCGTCCTAGTAATCTGTTTGCAAGAGACATCGCACGAGGAGAATTGTGTATCAAATTCACACAAGCCCATGAGAAGCAGCGATTGCATGCTCTTTGTTGTCAATAAGACTTCTCTAAATTATGGTGGTTTGGTATTCGGTCTTCATAATCTATCCCAGCTCTGAACATTCGAAAGTGATCGGCTCCAAGACATGGCGTTTCAACGAACAGCCGTTGGCAAGAGAAGTTCTACGAAAAATTGGACTTTAGTGTTCCGACTGGATGTTAAAGGCCAGTGTTTATTTGAAGCTCCAGGGGGGTCATTCGGTTCTGCACCTGACAACTGGGTTGGTGTCGCCTTGATCGGTTTTAGTGTGACAGTTGTACAACTACCCCCAGTAGGTCCTTGCAGGTTGTGAAATGACCAGACATCGGCTCTGCGGCCGTCTGGATGACGTTCTAGCCGATATGTGAAGCATGAGCGGCCTAATGAGGTTGCGCGAGTTTGTCTAGACACACTGGACTATGGGTATCACGACCCAAGATCTTTGTTGATATCTCAGTCTTATGAAGGATAAGTGGGGACTCGTCGGTGAGGCCGAAAGAAAGTTTGAGGAACCAGTTCCAGAGCATTTCATCCAAATGGAAAGATGAGCAGAGAACAACCCCAGGAACATTCCGCTGATGAGGGTAGATCACCAGTGACGCGGTTACCCCAAGTCGAACATGCCTTTAGCAGGTCAGTGTGCTTAGTAACTCAAACACCATAGAGTTTGATGAACTCGCTGTAGGGTACTGCTTATGCAAAATGCTCAAAGTCGTACAGATGCAGATAACCCTAGCTAGGTAGGGGACTATCGGATCTTGAATCTCGGTGAAGAGAACTCAAAAACACACAACGTGGCTGATAAAGAAGAGAATACCTTGAACCGCAAAAAAAAGGCATGCTATTCAAACTGGTATGTTAAGTCATAAAACTTCAAATCTGCACCATGACCTGGAAACCTAGAAGCTATATCCATTCATTCCGAAATGCACGCGATCTTGTACAACCTAGACCGTTAGACTCGGACTCGTGGGAACATGAACTGCTATGACTGCACCGGAGAATCATTCGGAGTAGCTTTGCATAAGACACGGCATATACACTGCTGTTTTGCTTTCGTGTTCCCGTCCTTCCCTGCCATGCTGTTACCACGGGATCCAGACCTTTTTTTTCTTGCATGTTCCTGCATCAAGTCTAACGAAAACCAATCTTGCTACTACTCCCGATCGGTAGTACACGCGTTCCTGCGTCATCGACAGGACAGTCTCCTTTCTTGCTCTTTTGTGCTTGTGTCACTTGGCCCCCTGAGCTCCTAGTAACCTTGACGCAATATTCTCAATCGGAGAGGTTTCTTGAGCTTCGATGTCGGCTGCCCACAGAGCTGCACCAACTTTGCTGAGGTTAGGGACCAACCATCACTGCTGTTTTGTAAATGGTAGATTGACCGAAACTTACCTGTGTTGGTAAAGGAAAATAATATAGAAGCGAGAGGGACCTCCTCAAGGACAGTGGCAACTATACCGAATCTAAGATCGCACGTAGTGTTAGCAACTTCTGACGGACAGTTTCACTGTGTTGTGTCCAGGGGTGATATGTGAGTAAGACAAGACAAGAGGTCTCCCAAAAACAGTCAAGATCTTTGATTTGGTATTGTGTTGCACTCTCCCTGGGAAAGGAAGAGCCAAGCGGCTCCCTCGGAACTAGCACTTACGCGGTGTAAGGACCGTCGTGGTCCTTTAGCCATTTTTCTCGCTTGGAGATCGACCATCCTTTCAGTTGGAAATACTTAATCTAGGGTCAGTAGGATCTCTTGGGACTGAAATACTTGGACAATGTACCCTCTCGTGAACATGGGCAGCCCGGGCACGTCCTTTTCTGTCATTAGTCCTTGTGATCTCAGCTTCAAATATCACAGAGCTACGTACCTCTCAGGAACAAGAATGCAACTGTGCCAATAACTATATCATCGGCAGTTAGATTTTGTTTGCAATGGAGCAAGGTGCTAGTATTTGGGAAACTTACCGGGGACAATATTTAGGGGAAGATACATAAGATAGCGGATTAGATCATTGATACCAAACGAAGTGAAGGGCTTCCTGAGCATCTTCCCAAGCCGTTCGATCACGTCTCCATGAGTCTTCACTTCTCTGCCCTGTGCAACCAGATAGCCGGCATTCCTGGACAGCAATGTTCCATCGAATGTGTCGAAGATGGCGTCACGCAGCAGGTAATTCCTGGCCAAGAGGTTGACAATAGTCGAGCTCTCACTTACCACAAGGAAGGCAGTAGTGAAGACAGCGAACGGGCCATTGACGAACGCCATTAGTGTGAGTTGCGGAATGTAGGTAACGGCAAACATAGATCCCAGAACTCCGGAATAGAGAGTCAAGTAGGGGATGAGCTTCGAACGCAAAGGCTTCCATAGTTCCGTGTGAGTGAGGAAGTAAAGCATGCCCTAAGGGTAAAAACAGTCTGTCAGTTTTGTCTGCTTGGGAGTAAACCCTATGAGATTCGGAAGCTGACCTTGAAGGGATACAAATATGACCTGCTTTTTGTGGCATTATGAGCGAGGGCTAAAGTTTGCTCGATGTCCTCTTTTCTTAGCCGTGCTTGTTAATGCCCGTATCCCTAAACCAGTGTGCAACATCTAAAAACTCACAGGACTTGCTGAGCTCTCGCGGAAATATGACTGGACATTGGGAGTCGCACCGAACAAAAAGGAGTGTTCAATCCAAGAAACGTTGGAGCCAGAGTTGGCTTATTGGGTATCGCTGGAGCAAGGGAAAATTTGAGAGCAGTGCTGATCTGGAGGGTGATGTCATAAGGTGATCTTTAAGTTGGGCTAGAGAGGGGCAAAGCTCAGTGGACGGGGCAACATCAAGTAAGGTGAAGCCAACCAAGGACAAAGGAGCTTTCCAAGGTGGATGAAAAGGATCCAAGACCACTGAGGACAACAGTGCAATCGGACAACAGATATCAGCAGACACTTGACCATGTAGCATTATTAATAGTTCTTTTCCCCTGTTCATTACCGAACTTCTCATCCGAACATTCTCCTTTCTGTCCAAGTCTCAGTACAACCCCGGTACACCTCCCAATTCTAATTCCGTTGTTCTTCCGGACCAGCCTGAAGGAGCTGAATAACCATGCCCTGAACAAATAGACCTATACATCCATCATACCAGTAGACTCCAGACCATGCCCCACGGGTTAATCGCACCCGTACGAATCTGGTCTTTCCAATTACATAACTGTGAAGTGAAAGTTTCTAATGCTGCGCATGAGCGCGGAATTACAACAAACTTTCAGGCTAATGCAGGGCTAAAACAATGAGCTCGTGAGACCAAACTTCGTTTATGCGTAGAACGCCTCGAAGAGGTAAATGACGCCAAAGAAGAGGAAAGCGATGGCACCGCCGACAGTGACTGGGGCATACATTAGCAAGACCACAATATCGGCACAAGGACGTTGTAAATTATCGAACTTACCAACTTTGAGGCTGACTTTGCCGGCGATGGCACGCCCCCCAATGACGGCAACGCCTGTGCAGCAAGCATGACCCATGATCGCGCCGAGCGTCACCCACCAGTAATCCTGGCCCGCTGCCATAGCAATGGTCGCAATCTGGCTGCGGTCACCCCACTCTCCAAGGAAGGTCATCACGAATGTCTGCACCCAGGCAGGGCTCAACAGGAATGAAAGGAGGTTGTTAAGTCCAGAAAGAAAGTTGGCGAGAACACTAGGACGAGGAGACGAGCTCCGACCTTCGGGCGAGCTGGACGGGCTCCGTGCCGGGGCAGGGAACCGAGACTTCGACCGCGACTTACGGTTGCCCAAACCCATTTCCAGAGCATAAGGTGAGACATCCGACTTCTTCCTAGCAAGGTTTTCCTTCTCTTCCAGCTCCATCTCAACCTCTTGCATCTCGGCGGACACGCCCTCGTCAGGGCTCATCGCCAGTCCCTCGCGGAGTAGGCGGGCGCCAAAGACCAAGAACAAACCAGCAGCAAGGAAATTAGTGAGCCGCTTTGAGATCAGGGTGGGCACAGCATGTCCCAAGACAGCTGAAAGGACGGTCATGGTGACGAGAGCGCCTAATGCGCCAGAGAAGACCACCAAACGGTCGTGCTTCATGGCCATCAGAGCAGCAACAAGGAATGTCTTGTCGCCGACTTCCGAGAAGATGATCATCGTAAGGGACAGGATGAAGGAATGGAAAGGTCGGATGAGACCTTCGTTTTCGCCATTATCAAGGAGTGGACTTCCAGACTTTACAGTATCCGAGACTGCGAGATGATCGATATCTGCAACAGATTCGGGGACAGGGAGGGATTTATCGTGAGTCTTTTCTGGAAGATCGGCTGGTTTCTGCGATCAAAGTCAGTGCCAATTCCCCAAGTCAATCTTAGAACAATCCACGAACCTCAAGCCCCAGTACATCTTCAACTGTCCTCTCTGACGATTTATCAGTGGTTTTGCTTCCCTTTCCTCCAGCTATCTTTTCATGATCTGAATGCTCCAAAGGAGGAGCCTCTTTGGGAGTTTGTGGTTTGTTCTCGACGATCTCGCCCTGCTGTTCTCTCAATATTTTTTCCCTGGACTTCTCCGTGACACCGCCTTCAAGTCCAGTAGTCCCCTTTTTCGGGCCAGCGTGGGCCTTATCAACCATTACACCATCGTGAATATCAGGTATCTTCTTTCCATCCACAATGGTGGGATCGGCAGGTCGCGAGGGTAAGGGGGGAAGTTCGTCGGCTTTAGAACTCGGAACATTGAGTTCAACAAATGGACCGGCATGCGGCCTCCCGTCTTTTCCATCGATTGGGGCATCTTTGGTGCCCAATCCCCGGCCAGACGCTAGGATGTCGGTAGTCGAGACAGTGTCCTTGCTTAGCGGCGCATCACTAACAGCAGCCGTGATAGCAAGGGAGGGAAGGAGCAAAAAAATGACAGAGGATTGGGAGGTTTTGAGCTTCATCGTTGTCTGAATTCGAGATGGGAATCGGCGGCAGAAGAACAGTTGGGGAAGCTCGAGAAATACGTTGCGATCCTCGTGGCAACGGTCGTGGCAACGCGCGACAGGTCCTGGGAATCGATTGGGGGAAAACTGGCGAAAGACTGGCGAAAAGTGGAAGGAGTTGAGCCGCTCGTTACTTGTAAGCTCCCGGATCAAACGATGTGGTAAACTAACAAACCACAAAGTAAAACAAAATAATGAACCGAAGGAGCGTCGGAAACAAAAAAGCTGACGTGAAGTCCAAAGGACGGGACAGAAAAGAAGGAGGAGGTCCAGGGTCTGTTTGAGCTCCCTCCGAAGTCCAGACTCGACCCAGCAACAAGGGGTTCTGGCGGATGACCAAGACCAGCTTGGCGCGATGCGTGGAAAGGTCCTTGCACCGCCACAGGACCCACCAGTATGTCATGGCCCCTAACTTTGACTTTATGTTCGAAGTCCAAGCCAGCCTTGTCGAAGTTGGGACGTCCTGTATTATCGTGCCTGGGAAACCTCTTGGCCTGAAAGTGCTTTTAGAGTTTCTCAAATTCTAACAACGATTTGCGCACACGTCCACTAAAGCATAAACACCGCGGTGTAGTCTGTCTCTTCAGCGCCTCTACAGTACACGTGCCACCAAAGCACAGCTTATAGGCAGCTCATCCCTGTTCGATCTTACATACAGCAAGTAATCCAGTTGCCAGAGCTCCATGATTAAAGTAGGCATATCAAGAACTCCACATGAAGTGGCTTGCATTGTGATGCATTTATCTATCTGAATCGTGAGAATCCATGAGGTGGTAAAAGAAGAATGCTGTACGGCCACGTAGGTGAAGCAGGTTATGATTGTGCAATCATCTGTAATCGTACGTATTGGGCAGAACTTGGATGACCTGAGGCAGCACCGCAGTGCAAAGATCGGGTGGGTCTGCCCCACAGAGAGTGATAGCCCCAGTCACGTGAAAAGCTGATCTGGTAGGCATTTTCGTCATCAGGGCGCAGATAAATTTTGGAGCACCCCCGTCTGGAAAGTTTCAACCCTAACCCCAACCCTTCCCTCCTTCGCGCGGTCTTGTCGTCCTCATCGCTGCTCTCATTGAGGGCTTCTCACACACCGTTTTTGAAAGTCATTTACCAATTCATATCAAGTAGTGAATCAATGTCTGGTCGTGGTCGAGGGCGCCCTCCTTCACGGTCGGCGGATCCTGCGCCAGCCCCAGTCCCCGGCCGCCGCTCAACGCGCCAACAGCAACAACACGCAGCGCAACCACAACAGGAAGTTGGCGATCTTCAACAACACTCGCAGCCTGAGCTCCTTCTGCATGAAAAACAACAGGAGCAGCCACAGAGTCAAACTGAGCCATCTATGTCTGAAATGAAGTTCAACAATAATATCGACCCCGCCATCACTGGCCCCTCCAGTGAATCGGCCATGCCCCCTCCTCCTGCCCCTGGTTTTAAGAGTTCGCAAGGACAAAGCGGTTTTGGGATCCCGCGTCGGGGTACACGCCGCGATCTCAGCGCTCCCAGCATGGTCAGTGTTAACAGCATCGCCAACACTGACTCCTTTTCTCAAGCAGAGCTTCCAAGTAAGTTTTCTACCACTTTCAATCAGACGGTCTATATGAGTTTTGACACACTGCTTTAGGTACTGCACCTCAAAAGGACCATCTGTTCAGTCATCCGGCACGTACTGCTTCCGTGTTGTCTTCTCAGTCTTCCCAGCTAGGAGACGCATCCCGGCAAAGGACAGCCCGAGTGAGGCTCATGCAGCGTATGAGGCATCGCCTGCGTGGTGCTTGTGATGACTTTTTCAATTTCTTAAGCACGGCACCCATTGAAGATGACCTCTGGCTTGACGAGAAGGAAGCTTTTAAGGCTCCTCTTGAGTCTTATCTCCGGCATTTTCTGTCGGACGTCGAGAGCCCTTCGGTTGATCCCTCTTATGTGCTCAACGCTCTGGGTCTTGACAAGTCTTCTCCGGAGGGAAGAGTTGTCTACATGGAGATGCTCATGGCAAACTTGACTTTGCTTTTCGATGACCTGCAGCCTCAGCCCCAGAGCTTGATGGCGGTCTTACAGAAGCTCGAACAGAACTTTCCGGGTGCATATGTTCCTGATGACCCAGAGTTTCATGATGCACGGACGAATGAGCAGCTTGCGAATCAGACCCTCCTAATTCGGACACAGCAGTGCATATACAAGCTGCAGCGGCGGTGCGGCGAGAATGCTGCTCCATTCAACCCTCTTCAGGTGGTCGCAGAGCAATGGTGTGATGGGGACTTCTCTCTCGAAGCAGTCAAGGCGTTTGTGAGAGATAGAAACAAGGATGCTTTCCAGCTGAAGCCCTTGACAGTGGCGGACTCTGAAGATACTAAAGAACGGAATACGGCCCGCTTTGCCTCTATTTGCCGTTTGCTACCGGATACTGAGGTCCAAGGCTCGCTTCTCGATCTCAAGGAACTTCAAGGGACATACTCCGTCGAAGAGTTCATTGGACATTCGATTGAGTTCATCAAGACCATCTACGACAAGATCAATATATCTATCTCCCAAGCTACGTCTTTGATTCCTGCTCCTGCCGAAGTCGACTCACGGGCTGGTTCTCAGATTCATCACCATCTTGAAACTGAGTCGATAACTGGGTTCCATCGCCAAGAGTCCCAAGCGTAAGTGAGCTCTACTAAAAATTACTATTTGCTTCTCCTGACAAAAACTTACTTCCAGGACGCCTTCTGTACCGTATGATATGGATCTTTTGCGGAGGATGAAGCAACTAGAGCAACGGCCAGAGTCTACCCCTTATCCTGATAGTCACCAGCTTCCTCCAACCCCATATCAGCCACCCCCAAGGCTTCCGTACGCCCCAGGATTCAGCAGCCCATCGTCTTACTCTGGTCCCCAACATACCTCTAGCTTCCAGCCGAATGGGTCGCTGTACACTGAGTCGGCCGCACAAGCTACTGGCCGTAAGAGGCGTGCCCAGCATGACGCGCCCGCTGAAGGTGCTGCTGGAGCGGTCGCCCCCCCAGCAAAGAAGCCTCGTGGCAAGAGGAAAAAGAACGATGCTCAAGCAAGCGCTGGAGAAGAGGCCGTAATGGCTCCTGCCACTCAATCGCAGTACCCGCCTGTGCCAGACGCTACAGATCAGGACACCGTCTTGGACATTGTCCAACAACGAACAAGAGAAATGTCGGCTGCAGCCCGAAAGGCTAAGAAGCCACAGGAGCGCAAGGCTTGGGTCCGGAGCGACGTTAGGGCACTCATCAAAGCCATTGAAATCTACTCGTGCAAGTGGGCTCTTATTGAGAAGAAGATCAAGGATGGCACGATCCACTTCGAGCGCCCCCGCGATCAGCAGGCTTTGCGTGATAAGGCACGGCTTTTGAAGCAAGATTACTTGAAGTAAGTTAACATTTTGCACTCCCATACAATGTCGTCCATGCTGCGGTTGCTGACTTTGTCTTTCAGGGCTGATATGGTTTTGCCACCGGGATTTGACCTTGTGGTACTCGGAAAGAAGGAGAAAGAAAATGTCATTGCGGTTGGAAAGAATCCTGAGCGCAAGGAGTCTGATGTCGATGAAAACGGCAAGCCAATCAATACAGAATACAGAGGAGACCCTGGCGAGCTGCTGTTAGCAAATCAGGAGGAACAAGAACAGATCGAAGCCCCGGCACTTCCGCCGCCACCACCTGGTGAGGTGCCTGCGGGCTCTTCAGCGCAATATCCCCCTGTTGAGCCCCAACCCCAGCCCCAGCCTCAGCCCCAACCCCAGCCTCAGCCTCAGCCTCAGCAGCAAGCTCCTTTGGCCCAGATGGATGCTCCGGTTGCTTAAAAATCTGTCTTGTAATATGACTGTTTAACGGCACCGGGAGGATGGCGGCGCGGGCTGAACTGTCATGTACTTGGGCGGGCATTGTTGATCAGATACAGTTTCCTAGGCTGACCACAAAATGAACCCCTACAACCTTGGGAAGGTTTACCCAATTGTCTTTTCTGTTATTGCTTAATGTACAATTACGGGTCGTCTTGCTTCGATAAAAACCTTACAAGTTACTTAGATCTAGGCCTCAGCCAACACGAAACAATGAAGTTAACCCTAACCCTCTTCTCGTGATCATTCAGGTGACCCAGCAAAACCCACCCGATCATTGGTCCCTCCTCTGCCATTCCTGACGCTTGTGAGGTCCGTGCACGCAGCAAGTCGATGATCCCTGCTGCTGTGGGGCAACCCCCTATGGCATCCGGTGTGTTGTGTGAATTGGCAACGTCGCGAGTTGCATTCCACACTGGCTCAAGCCTTCTGAGCCCGACGCTCTCGAGCTTTACACCTGAACACAACACCGTCCTGCCCATCATGAGCTACGGGAAGAAGGACGAGGACGCCGATACGGGTCTGGTCAAGATCGACCGGACCCAGGTTTTCCAGGAAGGTAAGCAACCTGCTGTTAGGATGGACATGGCCGTGGCCTTGTACACACAAGCGGGAACAGCAAGCTGATTGCAAGCCGATGTTGCCCTTTGACAGCTCGACTGTTCAACAACTCGCCAATCCAGCCGCGAAGATGCCGCATTCTCTTGACCAAGATCGCCCTGCTTCTCTATACCGGTGAGAAGTTTCCGACCACCGAGGCCACAACGCTCTTCTTCGGCATCTCGAAGCTTTTCCAGAACAAAGATGCCAGCTTGCGGCAGATGGTCCATTTGGTCATCAAAGAACTGGCTAACTCGGCCGAGGATATCATCATGGTCACCAGTACGATCATGAAGGATACGGGAGGAAGCACAGACTCCATCTACCGACCAAATGCTATCCGCGCGCTCTGTCGCATAATTGATGTAGGGAGCGCTCGTTGTAACTGACCCCTGGCAGTTTCATGTGGAGCTAACGTCGACTCTGCCAGGCCACCACCGTCCAATCCATCGAGCGCGTCATGAAGACAGCCATTGTCGACAAGAACCCCTCTGTTTCGTCGGCAGCCCTCGTGTCCTCTTACCACCTTCTCCCTGTCGCCCGGGATGTCGTCAAGCGTTGGCAGAGCGAGACCCAGGAGGCCGCGGCCAGCACCAAGTCGTCTGGCGGCTTCTCCCTGGGCTTCGGCTCTTCGTCGAGCAGCCTGCCCGTCAACAACTCAACCATGACCCAGTATCATGCGATCGGTTTGCTTTACCAGATGCGTATGCACGACAGGATGGCTCTCGTCAAGATGGTCCAGCAGTTCGGAGCGGCCGGTGCTGTGAAGAACCCCGCCGCTATCGTCGTGTTGGTTCGCCTTGCCGCCCAACTGGCCGAGGAGGATCCTCAGCTCAGGAAGCCTATGATGCAGCTGCTGGATGGCTGGCTCAGGCACAAGAGCGAAATGGTCAACTTTGAGGCGGCCAAGGCTATTGCCAGCATGCCAGATGTGACAGATGTCGAGCTCTCGCAGGCGGTCCATGTTCTCCAGCTCTTCCTCAGCTCCCCTCGTGCCGTTACCAAGTTCGCCGCGCTTCGTATTCTCCACACTATTGCTTCGTTCAGGCCACATGTTGTCAACGTGTGTAACCCCGATATTGAGCTCCTCATCTCGAACAGCAACCGCTCCATTGCTACTTTCGCCATTACCACTTTGCTCAAGACCGGCAATGAGGCCAGCGTAGACCGGCTGATGAAGCAGATCACCGGCTTCATGTCCGAAATTACTGACGAGTTTAAAATCACCATCGTTGAGGCCATTCGGACCCTCTGCCTCAAGTTCCCCAGCAAGCAGGCCGGTATGCTCCAGTTCCTGAGCGGCATCTTGCGCGACGAGGGTGGCTACGATTTCAAGCGCGCTGTGGTTGAGAGCATGTTCGACTTGATTAAATTTGTTCCCGAGTCTAAGGAGGAGGCCCTTGCCCATCTTTGTGAGTTCATCGAGGATTGCGAGTTTACTAAGCTGGCTGTCCGCATTCTCCACCTCCTTGGCGTCGAGGGCCCCAAGACGTCCCAGCCGACCAAGTACATCCGGTATATCTACAACCGGGTTGTTCTGGAGAATGCCATTGTTCGTGCCGCTGCTGTTACGGCTCTGGCCAAGTTTGGCGTTGGTCAGAAGGATCCAGATGTTAAGCGGAGTGTGGAGGTTCTGCTCACTCGGTGCTTGGACGACGTTGATGACGAAGTGAGAGACCGAGCCGCTCTGAATCTACGGCTTATGCAGGAGGAGGACGATATAGCCAATCGGTTTGTCAAGAACGGTATGTCTCTGCCCACAATTGCCTAGGAAACCTCCCGAGTTTGATCTAACAGAGTGTACAGATAGCATGTTTGCTCTTCCTTACTTCGAGCAACAACTTGTTATGTATGTCACATCAGATGACAAGTCTACCTTCGAAACTCCCTTCGACATCTCCAAGATTCCGATTGTCACGCGTGAGCAGGCGGACGCCGAGGACAGGACCAAGAAGCTTACCGCCACCACTCCTTCTCTCAAGCCGCCGAAGACTGGTCCTACCAAGATGGCACCGTCAGCTGCCGAGGCAGCTGCTTCGGCGACAGCTGTGGCGCAGAAGTACGCCCAGGAGCTGGCAGAAATCCCGGAGATCAGGGAGTTTGGCAACGTGCTCAAGTCGTCTCCTGTTATTGAGCTTACGGAGGCCGAAACCGAGTACGTTGTCAGCGTGGTTAAGCACATCTTCAAGGAGCATATTGTGCTCCAGTATGATATTAAGAACACTCTGCCATCGACGATACTAGAAAACGTGTCAGTTCTGGCAACTCCCTCGGACGATGAAGGGCTGGAGGACGCTTTCGTCGTGCAGGCTGAAAAGCTTGAGACGGATGTTCCCGGCAAGGTGTATGTAGCGTTCCGGAAGGTCAATGGGGAAGGTTCTATGCCCGTCACGACCTTCTCCAACGTGCTCAAGTTCACGAGCAAAGAAATTGATCCCACAACGAACGAGCCGGAGGAGACAGGCTACGAGGATGAGTACGAGGTGTCCGACTTTGACCTGTCGGGCAGCGATTACGTCATCCCGACCTTCGCCAGCAACTTCGCTCATGTCTGGGAGCAAGTGGGCGCCCAGGGCGAGGAGGCTGAGGAGACCTTGCAGCTTAGCGGCATGAAGAGCATAGCCGGTATGTTAACATTGCTGAAATTATTTGGAGGTGAGCCTGTACTAACAGTGACACTCAGAGGCTACGGAGCAATTAGCCAAGGCACTATCCCTCCAGCCGGTGGAGGGCACGGATGTCCCTATCAACCAGTCAACACACACCCTCAAGTTGCTGGGCAAGACGGTCAACGGCGGCAAGGTGGCGGCCAACGTGCGGATGGCCTACTCGTCCAAGACAGGAGTTACCACCAAGATTACGGTCAGGAGCGAGGAAGAAGGTGTCGCCGCTTTGGTGGTGGGATCTGTTGCGTAATGATGATTGGATGGACCCATGGCGTTAATTATTTACTACTATCAGTTTCTTCATGCTTCCACTTCCTCTTATGCGAATGTTCATCCTAAGAGGGCGCATACCGGACCGGTACCAAAGCTGCATAGGGTTTACATTTGAAAGGGGGTTGTTTCAATCAGTGGCAGCTTGAGCTGCTGCGACGTAGGTATGTCCGTATCGATAGACTCCTGATGGTTGGGAGCTGGCAGGTGAATTTGAGGGCCCAATTAATGCTCTGCACGGATAAACAATGCACTGTGTATTAGCCCATACAGAGCCTGGCGGTTCTGCAGAGGGTGAACATCATGATCCTTATAGAGAGGGGCTGTCAATTTGCCAAGCCTTTTCTGCTTTTGACAGCCGCGAGATGCATATCCCTACGGAGCTGGAGGGAACACTCCGCCGCCAGCCACGCTAATACCTTGATACCGCCAAGCCCGAAACATGCCGGGACCAACATAAACCGATAAAAGCGCTTTGCAAGATGTCTGCCACATCATCAGAGCTCTAGTAGCAGTTCCAACTGCTCGGACGGGTGCCGGATGCGGGGATCCACTGACCCATAATGGATTACAGTTCTGATCGAAGCCATCTCAAAGGGGGATCTTTGGCCAATGATGTCCCGCATTCCGCATTCATCTGTCATTTGCATACGAACGTTCAGTGCCCCACTGTCTGACCAAGGCCCTCTCCAACAAACATTTTGAACACAACATATCGTCGCGCATATACTCATCTGAGAAAACCACATATTCTCCTAAACAATGTGAAGTTTTTCCAAATAAAAAGTCAAGAAATCAAAGAGACAACGGCTTAGAGCTCATTCCCAATATTAGATATTGTATTAGTCCTCGCTAAGACACGGCGTTGACTGGCAGTTTGCAAGACTCTGAGGGAGGGCCTGGATTAAGTGCCAAAACTTTTTATTCTTGGCTCTTCTTAGCAGAGCTGTTCTGTCGGCGAACAAGCAAGCTGTGTAGGCGCCCACTACCGATACGGTACTTATGCAATAAAAAGTGCCTTGAAAAGTGGTGGGGAAAGCCTTGGTCAGATAGTGGGGCACTGAACGTTCGTATGCAAACCACAGCCTCAGATGAACAAAGGGGTCCAGGTGACTGCTGCGCTTGGATGGTGTAGAGGATGCCATCCAAATGACCCGTATCAAAATTGTGGAGGAAAACTTGGCTTTGACCTATTATTGCCCAGAGCATAAATAAGAGGCCGCTGCAGCAAAGCCATTCAACGCGATTCGTCGCGTCCAGTAGGGTGTCCCTGCGATTCAGCGCGGCTTCAGCGGATCCGGCACATCGCGCTGCCGGATGAAAAAAAGTAGTCGAGACCCCAAAGAAAGCTTGGTTCTTTTTTGATCCACACCCTATCTTCTCCAACTTTCTTCAAGCTTTCGCCCCCGGTTTTCCTCGTCCAGTGGGTTCCATTGGTCGACTTGGGACTTTTTGCTCATTGGCAATTCGTTGCATAGCTCAAAGTACCCAGACCGACCAGCACATCCATCACTCTCGTCTGGGGACGGTCCCGCCTCTGTTCGCTCCTCCGCCGTATCTTCCGAGCCCCTCTCATCCACACTGACCTCTCTCTCTTCACTGCTGCCGCTCCGGGCTGGCTTTTCTCGCTCGACTCTTGCACTGCGCGCCGGTTATTTTCTTAAGCAGACAACTGTGAGCGGGAAGAAAGCAAACCGTTGCAAGATGGTGTACGTCCGCCAGGAGTATTTGCCGAACTTACGGCAGTACAAGTACTCGGGCGTCGACCACTCGCTGCTGTCGCGCTACATCCTCAAGCCTTTCTACACCAATGTCGTCATCAAGCTGTTCCCGATGAGCATGGCCCCGAACCTGATTACGCTGACGGGCTTCATGTTTGTCGTAGCCAACTTTCTGACCCTGCTCTGGTATAACCCCGGCTTGGACCAGGACTGTCCCGCTTGGGTCTACTACAGCTGGGCTTTGGGTCTGCTTCTGTACCAGACCTTTGACGCGGTTGATGGTACACAAGCGTGAGTGTTTCGTCCTTATGTTGTATTCAACTTGAAGCTTGAGAGCAGCGCGGCTAACACTCTCTCCAGCCGTCGCACTCGCCAATCCGGACCCCTTGGCGAGCTCTTCGACCACGGAGTCGACGCCCTCAACACGGCGCTCGAGGTCATAATCTTCGCAGCCGCGACCAACATGGGCCAGAGCTGGAAGACCGTCGCCAGCCTCGGCGCCAGCCTCTTCACCTTCTACATCCAGACCTGGGAAGAATACCATACCAAAACCCTGACCCTGGGCATCATCAACGGCCCTGTTGAGGGTATCCTCGCCGTTGTCGGCATCTACGCCCTGACCGGTTACCTCGGCGGCGCCTCCTTTTGGCAGCGCCCCATGCTCCCCACCCTCGGCATCCCCCAGGCCCTCCCCGGCAGCATCATCATTCCCTCCCGACTCTACAACCTCTCCTTCACGGACTGGTACATGGTACAGGGCGCGGTTGTCCTCGTCTTCAATACCGTGCAAGCGGCGCACAACGTCATCCGCGCGCGCCGTGCTCGCGGCGATCGCTCGCGGCATGCGCTCCTGGGTCTCATCCCCTTCTGGGCCACGTGGGCATTTATCGTCGCTTACCTTGCTCTCCAGCCTACGATTCTGTACAATCACCTCGTGCCGTTTGCCGTCTTTGCCGGCCTTATCAATGCCTATTCCGTTGGGCAGATGATCACGGCGCACTTGGCCAAGCTGCCCTTTCCGTACTGGAACGTCATGGTCGTGCCACTGGCGTGCGCGGTAATTGATTCCATGGGGCCGGTGCTGCAGAAACATAGCCCTATTCCGGGCCTGGGCTGGCCCTCGGCGCTTGGGGATGGGGTTTATCAGGTCGCGGCGATGTTTTGCATGCTGGGGATTGCGATTGGTGTCTATGGCAGTTTCGTGGTAGATGTTATCGTTACTATCTGCGACTACCTGGATATTTGGTGCCTGACGATCAAGCATCCTTACGTCGAGGTCAGTCAAGCGAACGGCAATGCAGTTAAGGCTAATGGCCATGCCGTTAAGGCAAACGGCCATGCTGTCAAGGCTAACGGCAATGCTGGCAAGGGGAAGAAGGCGAACGGCAATGCGGTTAAGGCCAATGGCGTGAAGAAGTATCAGTGACCGGGTGTTGCTGTGTAGAAACCAGCAAAGCATGTGGTTCCTGAAATGCCGCAGCAGCTTTGGTTGCTGGCCGCTGTCAGGCCGGGAGATTTGGGAGGGAGGACAAGGGGTACAATCGTCGTCATGTTCTGGCGACAGTGTCCCCCGATGGGAGTCTATTCGGAGGTCGGTGAGAGATGGAGAAGACCAGAGATGCTGGTCACCGCTACCGCATGGTAATGCTACAAGAAATCGGCGGCGACAAACAAACTTTGACGTCATGACATATGGATGGACCAAATGGCGAGGATATCTGGTGATAAATGATGGTTTACGGAACACACACACACACACACACACACGAGTGGTATATAGAACTGGGCCGGTGCTAGGGTAACCAAGAGGGCGTTCAGGGTCTCCTATAATGGTCTTTCCTTTCTAAAAAAAATCTTCCCATTTACCAACTTACCTACCTTATGTTGTTCCTCTCTCGGGTCCGATTAGATACCCAGTCCGTCTTTATAAGGTGATAGGGGTGTACATATGGATGGCGGTATAATTATGGGTTATTAGATTTAGAATCAGAAGAATTGCGACGTGTTTGCAGTGGTTCCTTCGGTCAAAAACATTCTCATTTTGAACTAACGATACATGTCCTCAACGAAATTCGGGGACCAAATCATCACATGCTTTCATTGTCGCAAACAGAGCAACGACAGAAACATTGAATCCTTGTACAGATCCTCCCCGTTTTTAACGCAACGAGGATGCTTGCACACGCAAGTGAAATCCAGAATACCTCCAAAGTTTGAAGCAGTTCTTAGCTGCAGTCTGCCTTTCCAACTTCTCCAGCGACAGCTCCAGCGACAGAAAACTTGCCGGTCCAAGCGTCCTGTCCCTCAGAATAACCAAAAAAAGAGAGCCAACGCCACCAAAATCTAGTCCCGTTCCAGCCCGTCGACAATTTTTCATCCGTCATCCAAAATGAGGGGTCACCGGACACCATCCAGCAACCATCAGCCGTGGCACACGCCACACCAAAACCTGTGAGGAAGGACATCCGTCCAGCCAAATCCTATCATCGATCTCCATGGGCGCTGTCACAACCCATCTTGCCCCCATAACTGCATAAGAGAACTAACCCGCCATAGCCAAACCAAGATCATCCATCCCCAACCCTTCATAGCAACTCATCGCTCCCACTCGCCACACTCTGCTGAATGGCCTCCACAATCGCCCTCTCCTCAAACACGGGCCCCTGCCCATCACACTTCGCCTGCGGCCTCAGAATCTCACTCACCTTTGCCAGATCCACCAACCCCTTCTTAAACAGCTCATGATTGATGATAAACTCCCACGTCGCGCCCGCAGCCAGCAACCTCTCACCGTTCTCGCTCAGCACAATCCGATGACTAGGCGTCTTGTTCGCATGGCTCTGAAGCACGTTAGAATAGAAATCTGTCGGGGAGTACTGCATAGGTCCCGTGGTGGTCGGGGCGGCGTTGGAGTTCGGCGAGCCTGCGCTCGCGGCCACCATGGAGGTGGTGGCTTTGAGGATCTCGTTCTCGGTGCTGATCTTTTGCAGGTCGCGCTTGAGGCGCTCGTTTTCGGAGAGGGCTTCTTGCTGGGCTTGTTCGAGCTGTTGGACGCGGTTTTCGAGGTCTTTGACGTGGCGTTCTTTGCGCTCGCGGAAGGCTCGTTGGCTAGGCGGGGATTAGCATGGTGTGTTTAAGGTAAGCAACAGAGAGCGAAAGGACGTCGATGGGTATTGGGCCAGTGGAAAGTATGATGGGATTAGGAGAGCATTGATGATGAGGAGGGTCCACATGGAGATGGGAAGGTAGCAGCAACAAGATGGACTTGGCAGGGCTACTCACGCTGCACGGTTCTGCGCTTTCCGCCGGGACTGTGCCGGGGTAAGATCCTCATCCGAGGAGCCCTGCTTTCGGCTCGAGGCCTGCTGCTCATCTATCTCCTTCTTAGGAACGGCAGCCAGGATGCCGGAGGTGGGTCCGGCAGGGTGGTGGACGGCACCGTTGACGCCGTTGACGTTGCCAACCGGATGCACGACACCCGCCGCTCCAACGGCGGCGGCGGGATGCTGGCCAGGCGGTGTTGGGGGTCCTGGAAAGGGCTGGGTGGGATTGAAGGGGGCATAACCCGCATTAAAATTGGGTAATTGTTGTTCCTGAGGTGGCAGGCCGTGGGCGGTGAACTGGTCATAGACTTCCTGAGTAATGATTGTGTAAGCCTCTGAGCAATGCGCGCTAGGGAACTGCTGGCAGCAAACCACGGCGGCCAAGCGGCGGAGCGGACAGGGTCGTTACTGGGCAAAACGATGATAATGAATTTCGCCCGCAGAAGCGACCACAACAGTGCAGGGACCAGGAGTGCCGGGCTGCAGGGGCCTGGGTTTGTTCCTGGAAATCAACATAACCAGAATCGCGACCTACCGGCGACGACGTGGTAGTGAACTCGTCCGAGGCGACGGAGGCTACCGAGTTGGTGGGTGCCGGCGTGAGAGGAGGGATGCCAGCGTGCGCCCCCATAAACTGGTATGGCGGAGCGCCAGGGAAGTATGCGGCATTCGTGTAGTCCATGACGCTCGGTCTGATCGAACTGAACAAACGCCTGCGCAGTGGTACTGTAAATTGTAGTTTGCAAAGGCTAGAGCAGGTTTGGTGATTACGGAGTATGAAGATGAGTCAAGACGGGACGCTTTCTTCCTGTCCGCTTTTCTTTCTATCTTGGAGTACGGGGTACGGATTGGACGAATTGATGGGCGCACGTATTGTGGTAGGGCGCAGGTTCGGACGGGACCAGGTCTGGCCAGGTCTTGAGACTTGGGATGTGGGAATATCTTTCGAAGAGACAGCGGCTGGTCGACCCAGCAGGAACAAGGGGGTGGCCGGCTCTTTAGGCTGCCACAAGTCGATTTGAGGAATAAATGGCAATTGGCAACTGGCGACCGGGAAGGTTCTCGTCCAGTTATCCAGTACGCATCAGGGCCGGGGCAGAGGACGCCAACATTCTTCTGCGGGATTACTGTAATCCGTACACGGAGCTGTGCCCGTGGGCGGTCCTGGAGCGCACACAGCGACCCGTAGCGTACGTAAACTACCGCTAAATCCTTATATATATATTTTACGGAGGAATAGGTAGGTATCGCAAATGAAACTCTGGTTACGCTGTCACGCAAGGGCTGGGCAGTGGAGATCACATCCAGCCCAGTTTTTTTGCTTGTTCAACGTCGGCGCTTGGCGCTAAACCCCATCGAGCAGCCCGCGGGGCAGACACCGACGATCTCTCGATCTCGAGCCTGTTACTCGTTTTTTTAAAACCTTGCAAATTGCTGGTCGACTTCCCAACGATTCTTGTGTCCGACGACAGCGATAGTTTAATCGGCAGGCAGGCTAGATACAGCGACATAGGTATCTATATGAATAATATATAAATGTCAGACTGGTCCCATACAGGCCTAGATCGTTTCGAGCCTCCTTGTGCCCTGCTTCCCCGCAGTTCCGGATCCCCATGGTTCAGTCCTGTGGTTCACCCTCTGGGCCATGTTACGTCCGCCGCGCGCAGAACAGATGAGCAGGCGGGACACGGAAGCTCCCAGCGCCAACAGACGAGGCTGAGAAACTGCGCAAAGATGCGCAGCAGCGGCGGTTAAGCTGGCAGCAACCGCTGTGATTGGGCCGTCCAAAGACAAACAAAACCAGCGGGTTCTTTGGTAGCTCGACGGCTCCGATTCTCCCGCATGTGTTCTGTATGCGGAACATGCTGCTGACTGCCAATAGCTGAGAAGCGAGCAGAGAAACGATGGGTATGCTGCGGTGGTCTGGTGGTCTGCATGTGTATCGCATGCGCGCCATTTCGATGCCGCGAGTCTGTGATTCCCGTGAGAGTCAATCCATCTTGCTTTGCGATACGAAAAGAGATCCTTCCTACATACGAGATCGTCAGCAAGATGCTCGATCTAGGCCAAGCACTGTTACCGTCAGCATGATTTTCAGCAGCACACAACAGAAGCCTCCTGCTCAGTGTTTGCAACACAAGCCCCCCTTTGAGCCTCTCCCCGTGCTCCTGGATCAACCTCTGTCCGAGCTTTCTCTGTTGCCGAGGGTTCAGCGGAAGCAACCGTGTTCCAGAAACAGACGGCGATCCACATGCACCTACGGATCTGTATTTCAATGAGCCAGGTTTATCCTCGCTGACTCAATGCCGAACTCTTCGTTGTATCAGCTTTACCTGGTGTGTTGCTCCTCCGCTGATTCTTGTGAAGCAAAGTCTGTTTCGTGTTGAAGGCCCTTCCAGCTCTGGTTTTCTGTCTTTACCCGAGACCTTCAACATGGTCTTATCATGACTTTCCTGTGTATAATTGGAGGTTCGCAGCATAAGGCCATGCATCATGCATGTTGATTCAGCATCTTCGCTGTCAGTAACAAGGTAGGGTCTTCCCGTTTCTTGAGTGAGTTCCCCGACTTTCATTGGCCTAGTAGCAACTGCTGTCGAGACTGTGCAGCAGACATCGTAACTCCGGCCAGAGCTTTGGATATTGAGAGCGGCCTGTGATGCAAGCTTGTCGTTCCTATTTCAGCACTTCTGAAAATCTGAGGTTGGCCAACTTTTCAGTTAAGTCTTCTCGGAACACTTAGAAAGACCCCTGAGTTCAGACTCCCTTCTGGGTCACTGAAGCTGCAGTACAAATATTCTCTCTGGCCAGTGACCTCTTATTTTCGGACTCTGTTGTTGTCTTACAACACCTGTTGAATAATTTCTCTCTTCCTGTATTAAGTCAACCATGTTCTTCCCTTCAACATGTTGTCCTGTTGTCTCTCTCTGTAATATATCTCCGTGTATGGCCACTCTCTCCTGTCATGTATCTAGCTATGTATGTCTGTGCTTATCTTTGGTCTAATCAAGGGTGTATGGATGGCCTAGAAGCAGGTAAAAGGGATATGATTCCTTGCTGAGGTCAATGGCGTCAAGGTATGACGCTTCTCCAAAATGTCGAGCTATTATTGTTGAGCCTGGGCCTTCAGGTTGTAGGACACTAGCTAATAAACTGTGATTTAATACAACCGAGCAACTATCCTGAAAATGGCTGAAGATCGTCGGCATCATGTATTCATGGGACTTCAGTATAAAGAAAATACTCCCGATGTTTTGTACTCAACAACATTGTCCAGGCTGCTAATGCCCATCATGCAATCCAGGAGTCAGCCCTGGTACTCTGATGAATAGGAGAATCCAAGTTCTGTTAAGTCGTGTACTGTTTTGCTAAGGATACAATGGCTGAGTTTAAGCTGGGTGCAGACTTCGGCTATTAATTTCTTATGGTCCATTGTTTTTGTTGTTCCAAAAAGAGGATGACGGGGAGAGACAGGAAAGCGCGAAGTTACCCCCAAATGTCATTGGCCTTCTCTGTCTTTCCAGTGAATCTAAGGAAGGAGCAAGTCACGGCCCCCCAACCACTCGAAAAGATGAGTGAATGGAATATCTGTTATTCCTAAGAGCTGCCAGAAATTGGCTACTGTGCGAGAGTGAGAGTTAGCGAGATATCGGCCTTGAACCCTCAAAGAAACCCTACCCTCTGCACTTCACACGAGTCTTTAAACTCATAACCCGTTCTTCCGTCCACTGAAATTGGAGAACTCGACAACTTCAAGCAGACCATGGGTTACCCCCTGGGCACAGCTAGAACAGTTCCATTGGAACACTGATCAAACGTGCCGAACGAGGACCTGTTGGATCCGTCCTGGAGAAGAAGAAGTGATTTGAATGTGAGAAAATGTCTGGCATCCAGTTAGGCAATCGGACGACTCTGTCATCAGACGGTAAGTGCTCTACAAACTTTCTTTCTCGTCCGCCTTCGATCTTGGCCCAAGCCTTGATTTCCTTTTCTCGGGCACCCATCCCTTCTTCCCAACTTGGAGAGTCGGTCTTTGGCTTCCGTCTTTTTGGAGTCAACATCCCTAACTTGTCTCTCTCCTACAACTCCTTCTAAACCATTGATGTCCAGGAGTCTTTCGCGCTTGCATCTTATCTTTCTGTCACCTGCGCCTCCTCCACTCGTGTCTTTTTCCTGCAGCCACATTTCCTCGAGTCCTATATGGCGACTTTTGTTTTCTTCAGCTAACGTGCGGACAGTCTCGTCTTCCGGCCAGGAACCTCGCAAGCAACCGACTTATACAACGGTCGGTTCGATCTACAACCCGGATGCCGCAACTCCTATTCAACCCCCCACCCGCCGTGCCAGGACCAGGCGCAATCCCTTTTCTGGTAGAGACAACAGCCTGGTTAACTTCTTGGACCTTGTCGATTCGGTCCTTGCCACGGGGTCTGCCTCAAGCAACAACAACTGGCCGAGTCAGTCCTCATCGTCCTCGACTGCATTCAACTATACACCGCTCCAACAAAACGACGCCAGGGCAGTTAGCCCAGTCAGAGATCGGGGAAATTCCACATCTATCAGCGTGGATATGCCTATCCCAAACCTTCGTTCGGGAGGCCTTCCGTCTCCGACAGGGTTCAACGACACTCTCAGTCCCGAAGACGCTCTAGCAGCTCGGATCAATGTCAAAGGACTGACAAACTTGGCATCGTATCCTAATCCCATGCAGAAGGCTGCTCAAAAGGCTCTAGCGAGGGCCCGGCTTGCAAACCTCAATCGATCGGATAGTTCTTCGACATCCTCGCTTGGCCAGTCAGACTTAATCAATGATCGTTTCCTTGGGATCCAGAACTCGACAAGTGTCGCAACGGGACTGCCCCGGCCCTTAACCGCAGGACCGCCAGGTCAGCGACCATTTAAGTCAACAACACTTGACGCAGCTTCTAGGTGTCTTCGCGTCGATGACCAAATGTCTCCACTGGCAAGCATTTTTCGACCTAGGTCATCGCTTGGTGTTCTCAACAATCCCGGTCCTTCTCGTCCTGTCTTTGAGGATGGCAATGGGTTGACAGGAGGTGACAGGTTCGGTTCAATTGTCAATGATGAGAGGCAGCACCATGCTGTATCATACCCCTCAGCTGACCAATCAACGATTCGCTCACTGTCTCTTAGAAGCCCTTCTGAGATGCCTGGTGCTCCCTCGAATGATCTTCGGAACAAGATTCAGGATACTCTTCCTCCCGAGAGAGCCAAGGTATACTTCGGTAACAGCTTGCCCCCTAGCTACAACGGACGGTACAAGCCCATTCCGGACGACTGGCATTCAAAGTATCCGATCAATGAACGCAACCTAACACAAGATCCTATTACCGACCGAATGACTAAAGTTAACCGGATCTTCTATTCGGGTGCCGAGAGCCTGGTCAAGAGCATGGATCAAATCGTGCGTGATCGCAACTATCGTCGTCTGGAAAACAAAGTGGGAGTTATTGGAGAGGAACGCGAAAGACTTCGTGGCAGTCACATGGAACGTGTTGGAGAGGACGGGAAACTGTTGCTGCCGCATCTCACGGTCGAGCAAGCAAACGAAATGGAGTCGGCCGAGCTTGTGAAGCCTTTGCTCAACATGGCTTTTGCCACCTTGCTGGGCTACAAGACCGAGGCCCAGGCAGGCTCGTCGAACCGCAACCCGTCCCTTCACAGTTTCAAGGTCGAAGAGGAGTGGATTGACCACAGCGAGGACGGTCACTCGAGCTTCTTTAGCATTCCTCCGGAGGAGCAAGCTAGGAAGCGGGTTCGCAGGAAGGCTAGAAGGGGCTACTGAGGCAGTCACTGCCCAGTGTTGAACAAGGGAAATTGGAACATTCTGAAGAGGTGGAATAAGTTGCTTTGGAGATGCTAGCACTACATACGATGGTGCTTGGATGATTTTGGTTGAGTACCTACTGAATGGCTTAATATGCACAAAGAGAAAGGAAACAAAAGAAGCTGAAAAGGAAAAAAAAGAAGCAAAGAATATCTGTAGATTAGGAGCCAGGATTCGTGTCTATTCCTTTTGGGGTTCGGGTCCATCTTCTAGCTCATTGCTAACATGGGCGAAGTATGCATCAGCTCTCTTCACTCTGCTTCATGATACCTGATGACTTTCATACATTCACGCTTCAACTGTCAACATGATGAATGTCTCTGGGCGACCTGAATAATCGCTCCTCCTTTAACTAGTCCCAATCTGAAAACTGCTCCACACCTTTGACGAGGGTAGAGTTATGGTATCCAGTGCCATTAATGTGCCATGTGTCTTCATTATGTGCTTCCTGAGCGGCTGTTACATCCTTCTATCTCATGTTTCTTGTGACTTGTAGGATGGAACACGTCACCTGTTATCATGGGCATGGGTGAGGATAAAGGAACATGTGGCAGGGCACTTTTTTATTCTATTTTATTTATTTAATTTTACGACGGTAAGATGACAGAGCTCAGAGGGTTTGTCCTATAGAGTAAAAGTTCTCAAGAACAATTTAGGGAGAGTTGAGAGGTTGTGGGCTGGGCGAATGTTGACCAAGTAAACATCAAGCATGTTGAGGTGCTGAGCTTCTTCCCGCTCACTTAAGATCATGGAGAGGAGAGCGCTGACATTATTTCACTGAGCAAAAGTAGTATTTACACTTCTCGGACGTAAGCCAGAGTCTGGATCTGACATGGACAGACAACACTACACTGCACCATGATATGTCACCACGCGCTACACCAATCATGTGATGAGGCAAAACAAAGACCGGTTGCCCAATTTTTACTTGACCACCGTGAAACCAAACCCGAGAGTTTCGCTTCTTGAAATTAACTGTGTAGTTGTTCGCTGTACAACGTGTAAAAGCCACACTTCTTCCGACCTCCAACTTGACTTGAACAGAGAAAAAAAGGGAGAAAAGACCGCAAGTTATCCCATCAGTAAAAAAAAAGAAAAAGAGCACATCTATATACGACAAAAAATAAACAAGACAAGCCAAACCACCAAACCAAACCCACAGAGTCAGGTAAAGTAAACCCCTGTACGGGCTGCCGGTAAGGAACAAAGTAAAAAGAAAGACGGCAGCCCCTTCCCTTAAACCCCCAACCCTTCCCATTCAGTGGTGTGGGACTACTATCGGGTATCATAAATCCTCGGTTGCCAAGGTAAACTCCTGTGATGAACGTATCAAGATTATGAATTCGCATCCCTCATCAGATCTCCGAGTCAAGTCATCCTGGAGGTCGCCTGGGACATCAGATTACTTCCTGGTGTTGCTCCTGGACCTTGTGGCGGGAGTTGTGGCATTATTTTCGCTTCTCTGCGTCCAGATTGGAACCAGGCCTCTTAAGCTCCTCCGGGGCCACCGTACGGACTCCTGGGGGCATAGGGATAATTATATCCTCGTAGTTGTTAGCCGGTTATCGATGCGATGCATTTCAATATCTCCGGACAGGAACAGGACCGGCTCCGGTTGGCGTCTGCGTTCTAACTGCAGGAGGAGGGGGAGAAGGATCCGCAAAACGGGGGTCGACATCCTCGTAGTACTCACCGGCTGGCGGGACCGTCGACGATGGTTGCGGCGGCGGGCTGGAATTGTCCGTGGGACGACCAGCTGCTGTTGGGTTTAATGGGGAAGGCGGGAGACGAGGGGAGTTACGGCCTTGTTGGGATTGGGGCGTTTGTTTCCAGGCTTGGCGGGGGGGAATATAAACGCCGTTTCTTTTTTTTGGGCGGGCGGGGGGGGGGGGGAATAGGTTAGTTATGGTTCGTAAGAAGAGGGGGAAAAGTGGGAAGGGAGGAATTTGCATACTCATCCTCGCTGTATCTACTTGCGCCGCTCATGTGGCGATCAATAGGCCTGGGTGGCTGAGGAGTTGGCAACCCAGCATCATTATCGCGTGTGCCGTACTGCCCAGGCCCGCTTTGAGACCCCTGTGGCAGGTTACTGCTGGGCGTGCCGTCCAGTTCAGCAGGCCCAAGTGGCGGAGGGATGTTGTCATCAAGTCCCGGCATAGGCGGCGGCGACTCTGCCCTAGGAAGGTCATCGTTGTCGGGGCTGTATGGCGTGTAGCCGCCGTTAGAGGCGTTGGAACCTGAGCGGTTCGTGTAGCCAGGACCGCCCATCGGGGCAGGCGATGCCCGCATAGGCATGGGGCCGAAAGATCCAGGTCCTGGATTATAGGATCCGGCGGATGGACGCCGGTCAAAGGAGCCCTGAGGGCCCGGATAGCCTGGCGGAGGAGGACCACCACGTCCCCGCATGCCCGGTCCCCCGTAGCCGCCACGCGGCGGCGAGCCATACCCTCCTCTGTTGCCCGGTGGGGGTCCGTACCCGCCCCTACCAGGAGGGCCGTATCCTCCACGACCCGACGGCGGCGGGCCATAGCCGTTGTAGCCACCTCTCCCGGGACCGGGATAGCCACCGCGGCCGCGATAGCCTCCTCGCACTGGAGGGGTGTTCATCCTATCGTAGGATGGCGTTCTCATCGGATAGCCGTCCTGTGGGGGCGGCGGGCTTCCATAGCCACTCCGGATGCTGGGAGTGGTAGACATTGAGCGCATAGGAATGTCAGAGGGGTTAGTTGGATCGTTTACGTAGGTTGTAGAGCCTTGATCGGAGGGAAAGGCAGCAGGAGGTTGGTCGTTCGAAGGGCTTCGGGAGGTTAAAGGAATCCTCTCGTCGCTAACGCGGTCATCCTTCTTTTCGAAAGACGCGAATTGCGGGAGGCTGTCGGGGCCGCCATTAGCACCGCTAACTACAGGCAGTGTCGGCTCAAGAGCTGCCGCAGTAACAGGGAGAGTCGCTGCCTGGGCCTGGCGCCTATAGTAGTTCTCGCCGCTCATCTCGGCATTCTGAGCAATGCGCTTAGCCCTTGCTTTCCTGCCGACAACCGTTCTACGCATAGCGCAGGAAACCAGGCCACTGAGCGCGACGAGGATGGTGGCAGCGAGTACCACATATGAGCCCCAGGCGATGTGGGGCACGAAGACAAGGACGTCGACGAGGAAGCAGAGCAGGCAGACGAGGAAGTCGACGATGCCAACCAAGAACAGGACGAGCAAAAACCCAGCCGAGTGGGCAGCCTTGTGGAAGTGAGCGATGACAGCAAGAACTAGCATGATCAAAGTGATCACGGCGGCCACGGGATGGACGATGAGAAGGTATGTAAGGGTCGATCGGGTCGACGCGGGGAGCTGAAAGTCCGTGGAATTGAGGAGTTCTAAGCAGTTGGTGAGTTTTTGACCCATCCCCATCTGTGGGACATGAGGGGCACAGAACTTACCATCACCAACATCATAACCAACTTGGATGTCGGTGCAGCCATCTGGGCCGCACCAGCCAAACACGCCAAGGTTGAAGCCATTGAAATGACCTAGAGGGACAGGTGGAATGATGGGAGTCGAGAGAACGGCGAGCAAGAGAAGGATGAAGGCCGCGGAGAGCAGCACTGTCAAAGGTGTTGCCGGGCGCAACATGGTTAAAAGTGATCCCACTCAGCGCCGAGGGGAGTCTGGGGCTGCAACAGAGAGCGCCAGCGTCTTCAAGACGCGGCCGGCCGAAAAAGACACGCTCCGGTGGTTTAAGACGATGAGCGAGGGTGATGATGGGGGTCTAACAGTTGGACTGCGCCAAGCGACTGGGACGCAGGACGGAATAGTGACAAGGGCGACTTGTGAGACCTCGTTGAGGAAACATGGGAGGGAGAGGGGGCCTGGCAGTGCGAGCTGGAAAGGATTCCAGAGAGACCTGCGCAAGGCGACTTGGAGCGATCCGATGCAGAGCGATCTAGGCTGATCGGAATGGCTGGAATTTTTTTTAAAGGTGCAGTTCTGTTCAAGTTTTGTGTCGGCGCAATTGACTGAGACCGTAGACGTGTGGCTGTGAATTGAATCGTTCAATGGTCGGCTGTCGGCGTGGACACAGAAGTATACTGTAGTCGACGCTCTAGCAAGCTGCAGCAACAAGCTGAAAGTTCAATCCATTGTCGGTGTCGACGTTGTTACTCGTTAGTCATCGGTCGATCAGTCGGCAGGCTCTCGCTCGCTCGAGGGGAGCAGACGGCCAGAAGGACGTGACCTGAGCCTGAGGAGGCGCTGACCACACGCGATCCAGTGGTGATGGGGACAGGCCGCGCTGCGGAAGATGAGGTGATGGGGGTGCGCTGATGGCCAAGACGACAGGGCGAAGGCGTGGTCAGTGTGCGGCCAGGGGGGAAATGGGGCCTTCCATTTGGGGGCACGATGGGGGAACAGCGTCGTGCAGGGCCCCTAGGATCCAGTGTGGGGAACGTTGTGCCAGCCAAGGACCGAGGCCAGGGACACCCAGGCTCTTCAGGCTTTTTGCAGGCGACAACGGGAGGGCATCTGGTGCTTCCCAGCGGTTTTGGCCAATCAACGGCTCGATCCAACACCCCGGAAAGAAAAGCTCGGTTGGGGTCGAAATTGGGAAGAGTCCACCTGCAGTAGGCGGTGGACCCGCGAGAGCAGCAGGGCTGGTGTGTGGCTGGCCCCATCAGCCGCGGCCCACCGACAAACCACAGGGGTTCTTGTTCGATCTTGAAATTCCATCTACGGATCCGTCACCAGCAGCTCCATTTTTCATCTCTCGCGTGTAGCAGCAGAGCGGAGGGGCTTCGAGGACGCCCCGCAGTCAGGAAACTTGCAACACGTTTGACAGGACAGAGCTTCAGTTGAACGTTACAAAATATCTTCTGGGAAGATGCAGCAGAAAGCATTTTTACTCAAGTGTCACTACGTCTGCAAAGGAACGCTGTCAGCGACCACGATCACATATCCAACGGCAGCCTCGCAGATTGTGCTGGCGGCTCAGCAGGCGAGCTCATCCGGCCCAGCCTAAAAAGAGAGCGGAAGCTCGCACCGGTTGCTCTGCGGCCCCTCTGCTCTTCGGGCCGTCTTCAAACCTGCAACTTTGCCCTGGGTTGGGCAAAGCTCAGCGGGTCCCACGGTTTGGGCCACTGTAAGGGAAAAAGCTCTCCCGCATGCTTTAATTGTCAACATGAACTCGACACACATCTAAACAGCTGCGGTGATGAATCGGTCGAACTCAGCTTCAGGGCATTCTCACCATTTACAAACAGATTGCCCTGGCTGTTTTGAATCAGGACTTGCCTCAACAGCCCCGAGCTGTTCATGCAATGCGAAACCACAACACCGCCTGTGGCTGTGTATCGCCAATTGACCCTGCCCATGAATCCGCACTGATATCATACCCCCTTTTTGTCCTCGCTGATCTGTGTCCAGATCTACATACAGTTCATTGCCTGCAAGTTAAGCTCCAGGAACTCAGGTTCCACGTCCCGAATGACAGGGCCCGATCTACGATCCTGCAGCTAAATGATCTGATCTCACGAACCTATGTGATCGATACCACCAAATCTCAACAAGCGCTTGAGATTTTTTCCGCAACACCTGTCTAGATTAAACTGCAGCTAGTTACCGAGAAGCATGGTTAGCAAGCTCATCATTGCATGGGGCAGTGCCAGTCCTTTCAGAAGAGCCATGATCCTTCTGCCATGAAGAAAGAGAAACTTATGACAAGGGGTCCGTCCCAAGACAAGTTTTGGGGGGGGAAAGTCCAAATGATATGGGTGCCTTGGGCCCCGGGTAAGTTTATGCCGTCTACTGATAGCGTAGCACTGATGAGACCTTGTTATTGGAATGTCCTCCTAGTCCTAGGATTAATGAACGTCGAGGATTTTTGGTAGCGAAATCCTTACTATTTGGAAGCTTCCTTTCAATCATAATTACAAGCTATTCCATAATGCTGTTTTAACAAACTGACGGTGTCCATCATTGAGATCTGAGATCGACACTTCGACTTTCGGCAATCATCAACTGCGGGACCAGCCTTCTGGGGCCCTTGTTTCGTCTCGGAATTTCGATCCTCAAACACTCGAGCACATGAAGAGCTCGTTAACTGGCCCCGCGCTGGAAAAAAACGGGAGCCAAAAACTTGCCGAGGGATCTTGTATCCAGAGAGATCTTTTGGAGTTTCGTGTCATGAAATCCCCCCAGCTGCCACGCTGGTGCGTCCAGGAACTTCCAATCCCAGGAACTTTGAAGCTAGCCTGAGACACTCAAAAGGTCCAGGGCATCCTGACTCGAGCGTTTTATGCGTTGCAGGCAAAAAGGTCCTTGGTACCGATAAGATGATAAGAGGTTTTTGATGATACATCCTCTTCCAGATGCTGGATGCTAGCCGCATACCTACAGGAAGTGAAAATGAAGAAGTGCAAGACTGTAACTCTGTAAGAGTCCTAAGACAATAACTTTCGGACACGATTTGTTTCCAACTGCCTATGCAGCGCCGGCCGATCGATCATCGGGCATCGGGAGAATCCAAGACCGGCATCGGGCGACCTAGGCGGCAAAAAGCGGGTCTCGGATTCTCTGTCGTCAGCACTTTCAGTATCCACACGGCGCCGCTGGCTTTTGACTTATCGACAAGTTCGATTGCGACTCCGTCCATGGCCACTGCCCCATGCTTCCATGCCGGGCTGACAGACTCCGCTGTTTCTTTTCTCTCTTCATCATGAAAATAATGAAATAAGAAAGTTTAATCCCTCGCTAACTAGCCCGTTTGCCGCGAACATGTGGCGTCAGCATTTGGCCAGCGCCCGCCGGCCGTTATCCTCCTCGACCTCTTTGACGACATCTCCATCCCCTCTTCGCCGATATGCTTCCAATATAGCGATTTGCAGCCCTCCCCCATTGTCCCTCCATATCCCCGCCAAAACCGCTAGAAAACCCCCCTCCTCAACCCGCCGCATCATAATTCACACCGCCCCCTTCGAGCCCCTCCGTCCTCCTCCTCCCTCAGCCCTCGGTGACCCTCGCCCCGCCCGCAGCTTCCGCCGCACTCGACGCTGGCTACGCCGCCTAATTATTGTTTCATCGCTGCTCGGAACAGGCTACCTCATCGACCGGTACCTCTACGCCTCGGGCATCGCGCGCTCCCTGCGCACCTTCGGCACCGGCCTGCTCGTCGCAGCCGACTACAAGCTCAATTTCCGTCCCGAGCCATTGCCGCTGATCGGCGCAAAGGGCGGGATACCCGAGTTACACCGGCGCTCTGCGGAGAGACTGTTTGTTTTACTCAGACAGAATGGAGGATTGTATCTGAAGATAGGGCAGGCGATCGCCATGCAGAGCGCGGTATTGCCTCCGGAGTTTCAGAGGATGTTCGCGAGGATGTTTGATGATGCGCCACAGGATGAGTGGGAGGCTGTGGAGAGAGTGATTATGGAGGATTTTGGGAAGAGTGTGGAGGAGGTGTTTGGAGTGAGTTTTGCGGGGGCTGAAGGAAAGGGGGTGATGGAGAGGACGGCTAGGGCGAGTGCCAGTGTTGCGCAAGTGCACTGGGCAAGGTTGCCTGATGGGAGGGAGGTCGCAGTGAAGATTCAGAAGCCGGAGATTAAGAAGCAGATTTGGTGGGACTTGTGGGCTTTCAAGTAAGTTCGGTTCATGTTCTTTGGGTGGTTGGACTCAGGGGCCGTCAATGACTGTTAAGTGGTATGCGCTAACTCTTGTTTGCAGAGTGGTCGCCAAAGTCTACAGCTGGTGGTTCGACCTCCCGTTATACCAGCTAGTCCCGTTCATTACAGAGCGGTTGATGCTAGAAACAGACTTTGAGAACGAAGCTAAGAACTCAGAGATCATGCGCGATCTCATTAACAAAGAGCCGAGCCTACGCGGGAGGGTCTATATTCCACCTGTGTATCCAGAGCTGAGTTCCAAGCGGGTGCTCACCACCGAATGGATCGAGGGAGTTAGGCTATGGGATAAGGAGGCTCTGACTAGGCCGTGGTATGGAGGGTACGGAAACGGCTCTCCAGGTGTTCATGGCACCTTATTGCCAGCACCAGATATGGAAGCTATTCGGCGGGAGCTGCGTGAGAACCCACACAGTCAGAAACTGAAGCCCGAGAGGACGGAATGGAAAGGGCGTCGTGGGAGGGGAGGTTTGGGCGTTTCGACCAAGGACGTCATGACCACAATGATTGACCTCTTTTCTGCCCAGATATTCAAATGGGGTGTTGTTCATTGCGATCCGCGTGGGTCCCTCTCATGAGCATGTTTCTCCTGAGCATCATCACTAACTCTAGCCACCAGACCCTGGAAACATCTTCATCCGCCGCCTTCCCAACGGCAAGCCCGAGATCGTCCTCATCGACCACGGCCTCTACATCTACATGAGCGACAAGTTCCGCCACGAGTACAGCCTCTTCTGGAAAGCGCTCATGACCTTCGACAACCAAAAGATCGCGGAAATCACCCGCGAGTGGGGGATCAAGGCAGCCGACCTATTCGCCTCAGCCACGCTTATGCGGCCTTACGAAGGCGGCACGCAGCAGCTGCAGGAGGAGATTGTCGGCGCGCTCGATGATCAAAAGACGGCTAGCCAGCGGCACTACGAGATGCAACAGCGCATGAAGCAGGGGATACGGGATGTCCTAGCGGACGAGGATAAGTGGCCGAAGGAGTTGATCTTTATTGGAAGGAATATGAGGATCGTGCAGGGGAATAATGCGTTTATGGGATCACCGGTGAACAGGATTAAGATGATGGGCGAGTGGGCTAGCCGCTCGCTGTATCAGGATCCGAATCTACCTCTGCGGCAGAGGGTTGCGAATATTTGGAACCATCTGGTGTTCAAGATGGTGTTGATCATGTCGGATGTAGCATTCTACTTCTTCTGGCTGAAACAGCTACTTGGCCGGGGGAGGGGAATGGAAGACGAGGTGGAGGAGAGGTTGAAGAGCGTGGCCAGAGAGTTTGGCGTGGAGTTACAGCATGATGTCTTTGAGGGATGAAGCCCCCTCTTTTTGGGAGTGAAGGGTTTCAAGATACAAGGTAAGTAGGGACGTTTTACTTGTGAATCCTAGGGTTAGGTCGACTTTCTGTATTTCTAGCCAGGCAACCAAAAGCACTAGACCTAGAGTATTGGACGGATACCCCGAGGTTTTCAAAGGGGACGGAGAAAAGAAAAATAATTCACTCCAGCTCAGCTTAAACTCCTCAGCCATCTATATATATACTTACTTGCCTTTGTCCTTCAAGAGAAGTGTGGTCTTAATTTGACAATCAGCAACTTGTACGGGTGTGAAAATCAGCTGCTCACTGGGTAGCTAAGTGAGCCGAGTCTCTCAAACTGCCATTGAGTATTCGTTGAACCTGGGATTGTGGTGTTGAGAACGCGACGACACGTCCACTGTGCGGTTCTCCAGGTTGGAAGCCCACGGCACGTGTATGGAGCAAGGGGTATCCAGGCCCTTCTCCCAACTTAGGAAATTTGCGGGTCCCTCACCGGCCCTTGTCCATTCTGAAACATGATGCCCGATTCCGAAGCCCCACTTGCTCCGATTTTCAAATTGAACTTCTCTGACCCCCCGGTGCTGGTGACCTTTCGTCAGAACCCTAGACGATAATCCAGGGTGCCCGCTGGCGGTGATCATTTTGGTGTGAGCGATAAGGTTAAAGATGGGGGTTCTGATCAACGATTGAAAGAGCAAGGGTTTTTGAGGCACTATCTGGACGATGAGAGATCTTGTTGCCCTCCCCCCCACCCATCCCCCCCCCAAAAAAAAAAACAAAAACAAAAACAAAAGAGATGTTTGACAAGATGACAGGTTTCGAGCATGTTGCCAAGTCAAATAAACCGTCATGCGTGACGGCAGCGAGGATCTGCTTCCATGCATGAGTTCTGGAACCACTGTTGGCCATCCATCGCTCTTCTGCTGCTGGCGGATGAGCTTCTCCAACCTGCAACGGCCCGCCGGAGTGCAGTGGGTGCTCCACAGGGACAGCGAATGAACGGGTCCTGGACGCAGTGGACACCAACCCCATCCTCGAGCGAGCGACGATCTCAAGTGGGTGATGTGTGTACGTCATCGCAAATATATCAAAGATGGTTTTGGAGAAGCCTCTGTGTGGGATCTGGGCAACTGTTTTGAAAACTGTACATCTTCAACAAAAAGAGCAAGAGTGAAAAGATTACAAGGTTGTCAACCAAAAAAGTGCATTGCATTAACCTGATCGCATGGAGCAGCTTGCCAGCGGCACCTTTTTTTGCAACCGATGGCATCTCCGCGACTGCCATTGCGGGCAAACCATTGGCTGGAACCCTCCACAAGCCAACCACGCTAGAGCGCTTGGCTGCAGGTCAGAGGCGTCCACACAGGGACCTGGAAGGGATTCAAGAAGCTGGAAGCAAGATCGTGGGATCAGGTCCCGAGGTGCCGTTGACACAACGACTTGCGTTCTTAGCTTGTCGGTACCTGAAGATCGTTCTGTAGCAACAAGAAAGCTTCAAGATTCTCTCTTTCATGGATCCTGCAACGCAGTCTGGCTACAGCATCGCAAAGCTTTGTGGAGAGCTCCCGGTGGAACACAGTATCACAGTGCTTTCTTACACTGCTATAAGTCAACCGCACCACGCACCAGAGCCCAACCAAGCGCTCGGGCACACAGCATCCAATGGCAGAGATTCCGAGGCACCTGGCTGCTCACTAAGATAGTGCGGGACAGGCCGCTGGAGGTCTGAAAGTACACTGTGCCTACAGATGCTCCGAGACGTCCACATGAGAGTAAGCTGCTGCAGCATATTGGTCACACTCTAATAATCATCCTCGGCCATTCAAGCAAAACCTCCAGCAGAAAGCTGTGACCACGACAGAACTCCTGTTTTGCGGGTTCAGGCCGAGAGGAACAGCGCTGATGAGAGAGAGGCCTTAAGTCCTTGTTCCTTGTGTTGACCCAAATGAGAGTGAAGTGAAGGACCATGAAGACTGTTCTGACACGGATCCTGTCCGTTTTAGTTTGTCCCTGGTGTTATTTGCAAATCCCACGCTGCCCACTGCTCGCTGCCCGCTGGAACCGTACCACACACATCCCCGGCCCTGGAAGCCATCAGCCAATCTCTCTCTGGCGTTGCTGCACTGGGCTAGGGCCCATTGTTGCTGGTGAGCGTTGCACTCGTCTTTTCTTTCTTTCTCTCTTCGGCACCACCCCTGACGGCGCGCCACTTCATCCCATACCTAACCTACCTGCCTTACCGACCTACCTTACGTGTAGTTGTCTTCAACAACATCATCTAGAAGACGGCCGAGCCGCCTTTTTTACCTGCACTTCTGCGCTGTTTTTCCTCTTTTCCAAGTGGTTTGTGGCCAAACTTCCAATACTCCGGCCTTTCATTCCTTTGTCTCCCCACTTGTAACCGTACAAGCACTCTACTGTCCTGCCCGTACTCGTACCGTGTGTGCTACACACCAAACCCCCCCCCCTAGAGAACATCGTTCGGTCATCTCATTCATTTGAACGCGCGACGACTTGTCAGTGCCATTCAGCGTTTTCTCGAGAGCTCGAGTCTGCAGCTGCCATTATTCAGGTAAGTCGTGTTCCCGATATCATTTACAACTTGCCATTTTCGCGTCTGCTTTTAGTCCTTATGTTGGTATGCATTCTTCGGAGGGGAGCTTGCCTGAGATGGAAACTTGGATCGCATGTCCGAAGGGGAGATCGCAGCGAACACAAGGGCATGTAATATCATGAATTGTGATCACGCATCTCGCCATTGCTTCTTGATGTTTAGTATTAGTTCGATTTGACACGCTGACATCCATAACTAGCACACAACCTGACTCTTGAGCTTGTGAAAGTGACGACCTCGACTTGAACTCTTTCAAGGAGTTCACCTGCAAACCATCGGTTTTGGCGTCGCCAATTGCACGGCTGCTCTCTCAACAAATTGGTTGCCGAAAAGCGACCTCTAAGATACTCGAAAGAGCCCAGTAGGCGCTTCCTGGTCTTAAAAACGTCACCTTGTGGTAATACTCTCCGCGTTGCAATCGCGACCTCCTGCTTCGGGGTCCTCGAACCATCCTCTTTCCAACTGCAGCGTCCAGAATCAAGGAACTCAAAATCCGGTTCTTTGCCGTCTGCTCCTCCAGCTTATGCTGCCACCTGCCCGAGCAGCAGCATACTGACCGAGAAAGAGTCCCCTTCGACCACGACATGACCCCACCTGCCCGTCGCCCCGGCCTCGGGATGTTGTTGCGCCGCAGCAAGAGCAGCGAACTAAAGAAGCAGCGCTCCAAGGAGCAGGAGCGCCAGCAAAATGCCATCCCCAACTCGCCCCCGCGCCTGCCGGTGCTCTACAACGGGGCACCCGCGCCCCAGCTCGGCCTAGGCGATCGTCCTGATTCTCTCGCTATCGTCTCTGGCAGAATCGATCCAACTCAGATGAACAGAGTCGCCGAACCGCGCCCGTCCATGGAACCCCCGCGATCGGCTGCCAGCAGCATCCCTCCTCCTCCTCCGGTTCCGAATGGGGGATTTGATCCGTACCCCAGGACGACCAGTATGACGCACCGTAGCCGCTACAGCTACGCCAGCGCGATCAGTACCATCAACAGCCCTAGGCGAGTCCGGAGAAGAAAGGATCCCACTCCTTTCAAGTAAGCCGTGACCTCCTCTCCCGTCTTTCATTTTGATTCCAGTCACTCACCAGCCTCCAGTGTTCTGATCGTCGGCACAACGAACTGCGGCAAGACCTCGTTCCTCGAGTTCCTCAAGACCGCGCTCGCCCCTCCAAGCAAGAAGCGTGCCAAGGCTGCCTCCCCCGAGCAAGACGAGATGCCGAAGCCCTCCCCCTCTGGGACCTTCATCCCGCACTATCTCGAGACCGAAATCGACGGTGAGCGCGTCGGCCTGACCCTCTGGGACTCCGAGGGCCTCGAGAAGAACGTCGTCGACTTGCAGCTGCGCGAGATGGCCAGCTTCATCGAGAGCAAGTTCGAGGAAACCTTTACCGAGGAGATGAAGGTGATAAGATCGCCGGGGGTACAGGATACCCACATCCATGCCGTCTTCCTCCTGCTGGATCCGGCCCGTCTGGATCGAAACATTGCTGCGGCGAAGGCTGCCGCGGCTAACGGGCACAATACTGGCCTGAAGTACTACAATCATTCTCGCATAGTGGGCGGGCTGGACGAGGACCTGGATCTGCAGGTTGTCAGGACGCTGCAGGGTAAGACGGTCGTGATTCCCGTTATTACCAAGGCCGATACCGTTACCACGAAGCACATGAATATGTTGAAGAAGACGGTTGCCGAGAGTCTGAAGAAGGCGAAGCTTGATCCACTCGAGGCGCTGGCTGCTGCTGATGAGGACAGCGAGGGCGACGACTCGGCTTCGAACCCGGATAAGATTGTGGAGGAGGACGAGGAGCAAGACACCAGATCGCCGACTTGTGCCCCCGAGGGCGATAGTTCCTCTGGTAATGACACAGACCTGCCCATCCAGGGAACGAACACACCTCCCACGTCGAAGAAGCGCCATTCCAGTCGCTCGCCGCGTCGCCAGCAATCCCCGGAAGACGAAGAACACGAAGCGGAATCGAACGAAGATGAGATACCCTTCCTGCCCATGTCTGTGCTCAGCCCGGATATGTACGAGCCGGAAGTCATTGGCCGCCAGTTCCCCTGGGGCTTTGCCGATCCGTATAATGAGCAGCACTGCGACTTTGTTCGCCTCAAGGAGACAGTGTTCAATGAGTGGCGTGCTGAGCTGCGCGAGCTGAGCAGGGAGCATTGGTATGAGAGTTGGCGGACGAGCAGGCTCAAGGTTCATGGGGGTAAGATGGCCCAGTGAAGGAGCTATAAAGTTAGCCAACCTTTTAGCCTGCTCAACTCTGCAGCAATTGTGGTGATGAGCGATATGCCGTCGATCTGTCGTCGGCGATTGTGTTTATGTCAACTTTACCTTTCTCTTCATTCGGGAGATTGTTCTCAAGTCTTCTTACATTCGAGGTTCTTTTTCTCATCGTTTTAGCAATCTTCACGTCTCTTATCCAGCACGACATTCCGGTCTAGCCATTGGCATTTGGCATGAACCAACTGAAACAATACCCCTCCAATTCGGTCCTTCGTTATCGGTTCTTCCCTTCTTATAACGAGGTTTCGACAACACCGAACTTTGTCTTGTCTAGTGTTATGTGTTAAACTCCGTGTTTGTCTTGGTTTGGCGTCTCGCTATGGAATACCCCCCCTCCACCCCCCCCTTTTTTTTTTTTCCTTTCTCTTTCATGTCTTTTTTATCCGTTCGTCTTCCCACGGGAAAATTAGCTTCTGGCCAGACAAAACAAACTCAGGAGAGGCAGAGTGAGGGAGAACGATTCGATTACTCTTCTCTTTCCAAAGGCTGCTGGGGAAATGCGGAGAGGTTGAACATGAAATTCACCATTAAAACTTTACTTTATGATGGCCACGTATGACCCAGCTGCTCAGGGGAGGCATTTGTGTAGGTATTACTGTTGACGGCTCCAAAATAAATGGTTAGGTATTCAAAACAGTTTTTTTCCACAAACATATCTTGTCTTTGGTGTCCGTAATTCTTCAGCGCTTATAATATCAACATCCACATTTTATGTTAAACAGTGTCTCGCAACTCTGTAGATCCTCATTCAAAGTCGACCAGCGACACTGACAATACACCCATTCCTCACACAGCCTAAGGCATGTGAAGGTATTCCTTTGGAGGAGATATTACTATAGTACTACACTGAGTCCCAAAAGATCATACGCAGTAGTTTATTGCATCCGGACTCTATTCCTCCCCTCCCATTCCTTTACCGCCTCCTCTAGTGAAGTCATTACCGCGGTAATATCCCTCGCGCGGTACTGCTTTCTCTGCTGCTGCTCTGGATTGTGATCCCCGTCGGTCATGTTGGTGTCATTGTCGTGGTCATGGTCGTCAAGATACTCCAGCTGGTCCTCGTCCTCGTCCATGGGCAAGCCCAGGTTCCTCCGCTCGGGCAGGTGTACTTCCTCGCGGTGGTGTTGAAAGTCGGCATCTGCGCAGGCGAGGGTGCAGTAGAGCGTGGGTTGTTTCAGGGTGGTAAGGCACTCGGCGCAGAAGTGTACATCTAGAGGAGAGGAGTGTGGTTGGTCGGGATGTTGATGGAGCTGGAGGCAATGGGAGGCAGAGGCGCAGAGGTGGGCTTGTTCGGTATGGGAGGCCTGAAACACGTCAGAAGATGCCTTGGGACGATTCATGGCAATGGCAAAAATGAGGTTGACTTACGTGACCCCTCTCCTCACACTCCCCCGAGCACCACACCGTCGGCCGCTCCAAAACTCCCTTCTCCGCCAGAATCACACACACGCTACACACAAAAAACTCCCTCGTCCCCGGCAACTCTCCGCACACCGCGCACGCCGGCAAGTTATACAACTCCTCCGGCACTCTCTGTTGCGCCAGACTCTCGCGCCGTTGCGCTTTCCGTGACTTTTGCAGCTCATGCGCGGCCCGCGCACGACGTAACTCGTCCAGCCGCTGGTTTAGCTTGTCTGTTTGCTCGCGCGCCCCGGCGGCGGCTTGTCTGTCTTCGAGGATGCGGTCGACGACTTTGTCCATGGAGAGGCCGCCGTGAAGGAGGAGGGAGAAGTATTTTTGGTGGTCAGCTGGCACGGTGCTGTTGTCTTCGTTGGCGAAGAAAGCTTGCTTCAACACTTCGGCGCGTTCGGACGGGTCCGTGACAGAGGCTAACCTCTCTCCTACCGTCGCGCTGCCTTCATATGGCGCCAGCGGACCAGCCCGCAGTCGTTCAGCTATTTCCTCTGCCAACCGGATGGGATCCCCCACACCACCCTGCCCACTGCCCCCAGGCCCCGAAGGAGCAGCCGCAGCCGTCGCCATCCCCGCGGCTAAATCTTCCAACTTCTCAAACACCTCACCACGTCCCGACGGATCCTCCACGAGCAGCCTCAGCAACGAACCGCGCACCCGCTCGGCATACCAGCGCGCGCGCTCCGCCCGAATCCGTTCGTCTATCGCCTGCGGCGAGACCTGGTACTCCCGTGCGGAGTCGATGAGCGCGGCGAGGTCAGAGAGAAACGGGCGGCGGGGGGAGAACCATTCTTTTTCTTCTTTTTCTCCTTCTTCTGTTGCTGCTACACCTCGTGAGGAAGATGTAGCTGATGTTGAGGGGTCGGCAGTTTCAGTGGTTGATTTGATGAAGGTTGCGCCCAGGTAGCGGGCGCGGAGGGCATCGAGGAGGGATTCGTAACAGGGTGGACATGAGAGAAGGGAGGGGGTGTCTGAGTGTTGATGTTGGTGAGAGTGAGATTCAAGGCAGGAGGATTTAATCTTGGCGGCGTCGGCGGCGAGCTTTTGAGATTTGGAAGCCGCGAGGGCGGATTGGAAGAAGATTTCTGTCATTTTTGATTTGGGGTGTAATGAATTGGCGAATGCGGTGAATGTGGTGGTTACAGCGCTGATGTTGTTGAGAATGTGAGCTGATGTTGAGGGTTCAGTGTGAGAAAAAAAAAAGCCGGTTAATATTTCAAAATGAAGCGGCTAAGATTTCAAGAATGGGGCTTCGAAACAGATGTCTCTTTCAATCAACTGACACAAATCTTTAGAAGTGTCAATTCTAGTATGTAAAGAAATATGAGTCAATGAAGGTCGCCCGAGGTGAAACTTAACTCACGAAGTGATAAAAGCAGAAAGAGATGAACTGCGACTGAGAGAGCTGCTGTCGCAGCGCATGTCAGCCACCCGCGAACAGTACAGCCACTACATTGTAGCCAGCTCCCCCACACTCTCTCAAATTTGCCCAGGTCCAGGACAAGACCAGCCTTGTGGGTCGCCGTTTCGCTCGGCTTGGCGCTGTAGTCCCACAAGGGGGATCTTGGAGAGTCGCAGCAGCAGGAGCACGGGCGCGATCCAGCGGGTGCCAGTCTTCCAACAGGCAACGTTGTTTGACCAGATAGCACAACAATGGTATGTTGAGCCAATGACTTGCTGTTAAGGAAAAAAAAATACGCTAACCTTAGGCTTACAACTAGGCGGACAAACTGCGCAACCAGCAAGAGCTGGAGCGCTTGCAGGCCAAGTACGTTGGCACAGGACATCCCGATACAACGAGCTGGGAGTGGAAGACCAACATCCATCGCGACACCTACTCGAGCATCGTCGGACACCCACCATTGCTGTCGTACATGGCCCTGGCCCAGAATGAGCCTGTAGCAAAGTTTCGCGTTCAGATGATTAGGGTATGTGGCTATCCAGTGCTGAATTAAAAAGGCATCCTCCTGGTAGTCTATGACGCTAACAAGGAACTTGCAGAAAATGCTCCAGCCAGTTGGCCCCCCTCCGCCAAGAGAGGAGGACATCATAATGTCGAATACGCAGAACGGGTCATGAAACGATTATATTCCGAGAGGATTATACACAGGCAACAAGAACGAAACCGCAGAGAGCCACAGGACCGAGGTCGTGCTGAGCATGGAACAACCTGGAGTCTACCGGCAGAAAGGGAGGTTGGATATTTGGCGGATGGGGCCAGGTCATATCTATTATATTCGGCCCTGCCGAATATTGCACGGCATGAAGAATTGCCCGGCATGTGGCAGCAAGTAAGCAAGCAGACAGGCACTTCTGTCCCCAAAAGTCGAAGATGATAGCCCAGGGTACAACAGGCTACCACCCAACATTATCATGTCTTAGCTTAATAACCATTCCATCTCAACCATACACACCACACGACGATGTCACTCATCGTCTTCATCCATCTCTATCTGAGTTTGCCGTCCCCGTCTCCGTTGTTGTGTGCTCGGCTCGGGTTCAGGCTCTTCGGGCTCCTCCACCACCTCCTCCTCCTCCCTTGGTTCCCTAGGTTGCTCTCTCCTGACAGCAGCTTGTTGGACATGGGGGTTTTTCTCCTTAACTTTCAAGCTGCGCCGCAACTGCTCCTCAAGCTCATCGGTGGAGCCTCCGTAGACTGTCCGAATAAACGCGGCGATCTCTTCCTTTCCAACCTCCACCTTGCCGCGAGGCCCAACATGCCACGTAATAGAGTCTTCGTCTCCCATGCCATTCGCATCGGACTTTACGAGGTATCCTTGCTTGACCATGCGCTGTAACAATACGTCGGTTGCTTCCGTTGGTGTATGCCTGTTATTCGGGTTTAGGCTGGGCATGTTCTTGGCGATGTTGAGCCGAGTCAAGTGTCGTCGCAGACGGGGATCGCTCAGTTCACCACCACTTAACGTGATAATGGAGATTATTGTCGTGTATAGAGCCACATAAGCGGCCTCGCCATCGGCGGACTGAACTTTGGACGGGCTAATTATTTCGGGTTTCTTATACGGGTCGGGGAGGATGGAGACGAGAACCCAGGCATTGGACGTCTGCTCTTTTTGACTCTGTGATTTGGCAGCTAATAGCCGTCAGTTAGTGGCTGAAACATGTACACCGAGACTGACGGCTGTGTGGGATACCGTACCTCTTCTCTTCTGATCAGCCGTCATCAGAGCCTTGTCCCTTATTGGCAATTCGACCATCTCCATACCAAACGTTGTCCGCAATTGCTCTTGTGCTCTTGCGAAAACATTTTTGAATGCTCGTCCATGAGGCCCAAGTACTATTCAGGATTAGGTAGGCATTCCCCAAAGCTTGGAGGTAGTTATGAACCTTTTTCTCTAATCCCTTCTCTCCGAATGGGGACTCGTGAGTACTCGCAAGCAAGTGCATAGCGCACCAGGCTTTTGGTTAATTTGTTCGTGACATCGCTCTCACCAACATCGCCCATAGTTTCATCGCCGTCGACGTCTACCATATACTCATCCTCGTCTCCTCGCGCGGTCTGTTCTGGTTAGTTAGATTTGTCGAAGACAAAGAAATCTAAACCGCACTACGTACCTGGCGGCTTCGAGACATGTCGATTTGCCGAGATGTATCTTGGGGGGAGGGGAGGGGAGGGGGAGGGGGGAAGAAAGAATTCGGGAAACGGGTAATAATAGTGAGCTGTGACAAAGACTTGAACTGTTGAGACAAAGGAAGCAAATGTTCGACTCCGTCGACAAGAGAGTGGTTGATCTGATGTGGTAGGTAGCTCAAGTGTTGCACCAAGAGGGAAAGCAATCAGTTTAACGAGGGGCCCGTCGCGTCTCCCCCTGTCAGTGTCGCGCTACCATATGCTCTTGACATGTAATCTTGGCGCCTTTGCCTGCCGGAAATCAGCCCTGGCGGGCCCAACAGGGTGCCATGTCCCCCGCTGTAGGACAGAGACCCACCCAAAATCTTTGTCGCAAACATCGTCCAAGATCCACCCTGGCCGCAGTCCTCGAGCTCTTCGTTGGACATGTTCGGCGTCGGTGTTCGCAGCACATCTTTCTAAGATAACGAAGGCCCCGGCGGTGCAGCAGGCGGCCGTCTACCCCAATTCGTCCCCCATGCTCAGACGAACACTGGCCGGAAGCGCCAGCTTTGTCTGCCTAAGATGCCGCCTCCGGTTGACTGGCGCCGCTAACCGCCTGCGGCTCCCTCCTCCCGCTCTTCCCTCGTCGGCTTTCGGGGGCGCTCGAAGATATATCGGCACTCGCGATGTCCCGGCAGCTAGTGAAGAAGCTGGCAGTCAGTCTGAACCACAGTCAACCCCTCAGACCCCTCAGACCTCTCAGACCCCGCCGGCAGAGCAGCCAGCGCAGACAGAAGGAACGTCAACGACGGAACCAACGAAGTCAACAAAAGAACCAATAGCGCCAATAGAGCCGACAATCCAGCTTGATCAAACATCACAGTTAGAGCAGTCCGGCCGGACGGAGCAGCCAAAGCAGGCCGCATACAATGAGCCTGGCGAACCCAGCACCGAGCCTTTCGTCCTACCCGAAGGCTATCTCGAGGAGGATCCGCTGCTGAAGCCCAAGCGGTTCAAGAAGCCAAAAAAGTACAAAGCACGTACTCGTATTCTCGCTCCTGAACGAGCGGGACTTCCTATCGATATTTTGGGCCAGCCTGGTGCCGCGATCATTTTGAAAGAAGAGAAGCGGATCAGGCGAAAGAACTTTGAAGATATCCAGGCAGATGAAGGAACTGAAAATAAGGTTGATCCAACAACGCTGCTCCCCAACGAAGCTTCTGGGGATCCAGCGTTACAAGACATTCTGCTCAACATCCATGAACTCAAGCCCAAAGATAGGGAGGTCCTGACCGAGGCTGAGTTCATGGAGCTGAAGAAGACACTAATGAACGGGTTCACGAGTGCCCAGCTGGTAGACTATATTCAGGAATACTTGGAAACACGAAAGCTTCTGGCCAGCGAGGAGCAGGCTCCCGAGAGACCGCCATGGCTGCTCGAGCTGAGACCCTGGGTGCCCGCTGTCGAGAATGCAATCCAAGATGTCGATCCTCAGCTTGACGGTTACATCACTGCTTCTATGACTCCTAAAGAGAGACTGGCCATCCGGTTGATGCGCCAGTGCTGGAATCTGTCCTACCAAGAGATTCAGCAACGGCCCGGTTATCTCATCTTCAGACTACGCAAAGTCGAGTTCACACTTCTGACCCGTATGTTTCCACTTTCCTCCAGGGACTTCAGGTCGCCTAAGCTAACATGCAGTCTTGATCAGGAGGAAATAAGAGATGGCTGGAAGGCGCCCCTAGAGCAATCCTGAGGACTGTCAACCAGGTCAGAATGATTCGGGAGTCTCAACATATCTCTATTATGGCGCCGAAGTACGCGGCGGAGGTCATCCTCGATCGGGTCAATCGCATTCTCTCGAATACAAGGACTGCTGAGTTCAACGCCACTCACGTGTGCGCTCCGGAAGCCCTGGTTCCTGCTGTGCTCGAGGAAGTGGGCAGTGTAACCAACACCGTGGTTCGCTACGACCGGTCAGGTGAAAAGATCGCGGTGTCTTGGACCCACAACCCCGATAGGCCTGAAGATTTGGAGACCGCTGACCAGACTGTGCTACGCTTTTTGCGCGATGCATATGGCGTTAAGCCTCGGGAGGCTTCAAGCTTGGAGGTCATTCCCCAAAACCTGGAGAACAACGGCCGCTATGTTACGGTCCTTGACTGCGGAAAGAAGCTCTCTTGGCAACAGCGTTCTAAGATTTGGGGACGTTGGACTACTCCAGTTCCTCTGGCATCCGAAAGTTCAGCTAAGCCAGACCAGCCGCTCAACATCCCCGAAAAAGCTCTCCGCTTTGCGTGGGATGCGGTGAATGCTAAGTCCTCAGAGCAAGAGTCAACCACAAAGTCCCCTGATGGTTGGTCGTCTCACCTGCGCACCGACACAAGCGCCGTCTTCGGTCAAGTCGTCTTTGCCCAAAAGCAAGCAATGCTACAGAAGTCGTCTGCTCCAGGCGCAACTCAGCTGGACAGGTCTCTTGAGCGTGCATTTGTCCCCTTCCTGCCCCCCCTCGGCACTCTTGATCTGCCAACCAATCTTCGAGAAGAAGGGCTTTGGCACACCACCATCGTCATCCGCTTTGTTCCCTCACCCACCCTCTCTCCCGACCTGCTCGAATCAGCTCCCAACCTCGAGCTCCGCATAGAAGCCGACCATCGTGAAATCAAGCGCCTTAAGGACCTGCGCGCCGTGACCGACATTTTCACAAATGATGTGCTCTTCCCCTCAGCCGCTGTCGACACGCGCCTCGTCCAACAGCGCTATTTTGTCCTTCCTGGCGAGCAAATCGAGAACCATGCTACGCCCATAATCGACTTCCTCGGCAAGGCGAACCTGCGCCCGTGGGACGGCAAGCTGATCACTCCTACTTTCGTGCCCAAGATTCGTCTTCCCCGCCGTGTCTTCTCCCCCGTTGACTCTAGCAACGATGCCGCCACCCCAAAACAACAAGCATCTTCAGGAGAAGAAGGCTTTATCGAGCTAGATTACAACCTCGCCTCCGTCGAGATGCAGCGTACCGTAACCGCCGAATACCTCGGCCTCAAGCTCCGTTACACCAGCATCCAAGCCGGCCAGCGTGGCGGCGAGCGCGCCGAGCTCTCACTTGAAGCAGTCCGCATCACTCCCGAAGAACTCGACCGCCTCAAGCAAGAGGAGGAGGCTCGACGCAGGGCACAGCGCCAGGCCAAGGCGAGGGAAGAAAATCTCGATGATGAAGAAGACGGAGAGGGAACAATCCACAGGTCGAAATTTGAGAGACATGTCCTCAACGACCCAACCAGGGCACTGAGTCCCATCACAGGTCCCCCGGCGGCCGTGCGCGAGTTTTTGGATACTGTTGTCCGCATTGCAGAGGGGGAAGACCGGTTAAAATGGCAGCTAAAGACACCACAGCTTTAAGAGGAGAAGCTAGCCCGTGTACAAAACCTACTGGCTGTACTACTTGTAAATTGTATCTTTGTAGATTTTGATGAGTTGAGCAACTGGGAAATAAAAATGAGTTGTGCCAAAAACAGCAACAATAAATGTTACGGCTCCAAATCGATTGCAATAATTTGCTTACTGCTGTTTGTGGGTTATGGATAACAGTTTTAGTTAATTGGGTGTTTTGGCAGACCAAGGCATGTCTTCGTCTATTACGTCAGGCAAAGGTGAGCTTCTAGTGTCCCTGTCGAAAGTCCCAAGACAATGGATATCATGAGGCATCAAAAAGCTTTGCGTTATATAATAAGTCGGTGAGGGGTAGCATCGTCTTTAACGAATGCGGTAGTCAGGCGGCAGGGGAGATAAGCTTGTCACATCATAGGCAAAGGCAGAAGCAGACATGGGGAATCATGACCTTCGTGATCACTTCTAGGAGACTCTATTTTGTACTAAGCACATCATGAGAAGTTTTCATTCGCAGAAACTCCATTTCCCCCTCAATATGTGCCCCATGACAAACCGGCCGAGTGCTCATGCAAAGCAGAATCCGTATCGGTGCGGTGGAACCCGCGACGCGACCTTCCCGAGCCAAACGGCCGCGAGCTCTGGAAGTGAGATTTTTGTTGGCTTCAGCAAGAAACCATTTATTTCTTGGCAGCCTTCTGGGCGGCCTTGGTGACCTTGGCAGGGCCACCAGTCTGCTTCTCGACCTTCTTGATGACGCCGACGGCGACGGTCTGGCGCATGTCACGGACGGCGAAACGGCCGAGAGGAGGATACTCAGTGAAAGCCTCAACGCACATGGGCTTGGTGGGGACCATCTTGACGATGGCGGCATCACCAGACTTGAGGAACTTCGGGTTGTCCTCAACAGCCTTGCCGGTACGGCGGTCGATCTTCTGGATGAGCTCGGCGAACTTGCAAGCAATGTGGGCGGTGTGGCAGTCAAGGACAGGGGCGTAGCCAGCGCCGACCTGGCCAGGATGGTTCAGGATGATGACCTGAGACTCGAAGGAAGCGGCACCAGCCGGAGGATCGTTCTTGGCATCACCGCAGACGTTGCCACGGCGGATATCCTTGACGGAGACGTTCTTCACGTTGAAGCCGACGTTGTCGCCAGGAAGACCCTCGGCAAGCTGCTCGTGGTGCATTTCGACGGACTTGACTTCAGTGGTGACGTTGGAAGGAGCGAAGGTGACGACCATGCCGGGCTTGAGGACACCGGTCTCAATACGGCCGACGGGAACAGTGCCGATACCACCAATCTTGTAGACGTCCTGGAGGGGAAGACGGAGGGGCTTGTCGGTGGGACGCTTAGGAGGCTCAATGGCGTCAATGGCCTCGAGGAGGGTCTTGCCCTTGACGACGCCATCCTTGGTCTCCTTCTCCCAGCCCTTGTACCAAGGAGCGTTATTGGTGGGCTCGAGCATGTTGTCGCCATGGAAGCCCGAGATGGGGACGAAGGGGACGGTCTTGGGGTTGTAGCCGACCTTCTTGATGAAGTTGGAGGTCTCCTTGACGATCTCGTTGTAACGGGCCTCAGACCAGTTGCAGGTGTCCATCTTGTTGAGGGCGACAATGAGCTGCTTGACACCCAGGGTGTAGGCGAGCAGAGCGTGCTCACGGGTCTGGCCATCCTTGGAGATACCAGCCTCGAACTCACCAGTGCCAGAGGCAATGATGAGAATGGCGCAGTCAGCCTGGGAGGTACCAGTGATCATGTTCTTGATGAAGTCACGATGGCCAGGGGCATCTGGAGTGGGACATGAATTAACGAACTGTGCGACCGACTTGACAGGGTCTTGTGAGAGTGCAACATACCGATGACAGTGACATAGTACTTAGGGGTCTCGAACTTCCAGAGGGCGATATCAATGGTGATACCACGCTCACGCTCAGCCTTGAGCTTGTCAAGAACCCAGGCATACTTGAAGGAACCCTTGCCGAGCTCAGCGGCTTCCTGTTTGCTGATGTCAGCACTCTGATCTTGGCATCCGACTGTTGAGTCCGGAAGGCGGGGTTAGAGTGGGTCCCTATTCAAAATTTTGCTTATCAGCTCGTTTTGTGTGCCCCTCCCTCTGCTCTGATAAAGGAGGGGTAGCCACAAATACGCAGCCTTAAAGAAAAATGAGAACAGGGAAGAATTTTGGGGAATATGAGCAGTGAAAAGTGAAGCTGGGAGGAACTGGAATGGAGATTAAAAGCAAAATGTGACTGACCTTCTCGAACTTCTCAATGGTACGCTTGTCGATACCACCGCACTTGTAGATGAGGTGGCCAGTCTGATATCTCGTTAGATTACCAAAGTTAATTAACCAGATGAGCTAAATGAGTGGGAATGCTTACCGTCGTCGACTTGCCAGAGTCGACGTGGCTGGATCGCTAAATGTCAGTAAACCTGAACGCGACTCAGCATCGCTGGTCGAAGGGAGACAAACCCGATGACGACGATGTTAATGTGGGTCTTATCCTCCTTGCTGTTCGAAAAAGTTAGCTATGATCAGATTGTCGAGTGCCGCAACCGGGCACGCAGGACCAGAGGCCAGATGTCAGAAGGCGGTGGTCACTTACCCCATTTTTACGGTTTTGAGGGTTGTGCGGTGACTGACGAAGAGACTGACGACAGGCGCAAGAGAAAGGGCTGCAAAGAAGATGTTAGATGTGATACGCGTCGATGAATCGAGTCGTTGAGGGTAGAAATACGCACTTGAAGTGGCAGGTGATTGCTTGAATCAGGTATGCCGACGAAGAAGAGAAGAGGGAAAGCAGATCAAAGTTTGGAAGAGGGGTCGAAGTTTTTATGGGCAGGATTTGGGAGGGGCAGTGTGGCCTGGTGGGCCCCTGCAGACAGCACAAAAACTTCAAAGTGGGGCAAACCCTCAAAATTCGACCAAGTGAATTTCATGCCGCGCCTCGCCGCTGCCCCGCTGCCCCGCGATCAGGCTTCTCACCAACCGGTGGTATCACACACACGGCGTTCAAAAACCTACCTACAACAAGGTTTTCTTAATGGCCACATTTTGAATCAAAATCAGCCAGCACTTACTTGCAAATAGGCAGAAAATCTATTGAAAAGTTTGGCCTGATCCCCCAATGTAGCCAACATACAGTGCCTACTGTGTTTGATCTCAAAACACGGACAGCCAGGCTGCAACCCTCCGTCCGCAAGTAGAATTGCCCCTCCTACATCCCAAGCCTGCCAATCGTTTTACCCCTATGCTGTGCAGCTGCCATCCTCAGCGAGACTCCTCATCCTTAGCACCTCTAGCGTCTACCTATCCAATGCGAATGCTGGTTGCAAAGTGGGACTTCCGGCCGGTGAAAGTGTTGCATCCTAAGTGTGATCTCCAGGCGGGTTTGGGCTGCCGTTGGCTCCCAGCCCAACCTCAACGATGCAACATGAGCGATGTGTTCACCGTATCTACTGGGCGCTCGCCGCATGAGTCAAGTGCTCTTATCTGCCGGTACAAACATTGCTATTGTGGGCTGCGCTTGTTTGTGTGACAAACCCGTTCCATGTCCAGATCTGTGCCTGCGCCTAGTTGGTTTTCTCAACCAGAAAACTGGAAGGGATGCCAGCTGGACCCCCCCTTGATCAATTGCCCCGCTGTTGGTGATCCACGAAAACATTCGGGTGGCAACTTTGAACTGACTAACAGATGCATCTTGAAAAGGTGCTTCAACACTGACTAGAACTAGGTCTTAGGTTTTGTGTTGCCGGACCTCCGTTCCTTACCAATTCTACTTCACTTTTTTCTCCCTTGAATGATTTTTCAAAAATCGCACAGAACGTCCATTGTAAGATCGACATGCCGTGGGACAGGCTCGAGTTCCTCCCGTCCAACAGGCAAAGCGGGGTTGTGGATGAAGTCGTTCGAGGTCAACCAGGTATCCACATCTGAGGGTTAGGGTCATCCCACCCTCACGAAAGCTGGAGGCAAGGGTCCAACACCAAGCTCGCCAGAACCCATGCATCCAACGTCCTGGCTCCTCCCGGCCTGGGTCCATGGAGAGTTCACACTTTTCGACAACGGAACGTTCATCACCCCAGCCACCATCCCTTTCGCCACATCAAGCAGGTAGAAAACACTTAGCTTTTTGACAGCTAAAAAGGACAATCGACCAATGCCATTGATGTGTACCTTGCTTAGAGAGACAGGTGCTACAATCCCTGAATTAGGATAATTGACCGATATGAATCGATTGCTCCAGCCTGACCAAAGGATTTTGCTATGTCGACGTTCGATGTTCTGCAAGCAACGCATGTGCATCATCCCGTCCGCCATGCAGACCTGAAAGCGGGGTCCACCTTCGAACAACGGATTCATGTTTTCCAGGCGGGCATGATGGAGACGGAAGCCGGCCCCCCTTGCTCATGGCAACTGCAGAGCAAGGTGGGCTCGTTGGGCTGAAAGTGTGGAGGTGTGCTTCTGAGGACACATACTGTACCATCTCTTATGCATACCTACACTAGCTACCGACGGGAAAGATATGAAGTCATTTAGTTATATTTTGCATCCGGGAAGAACTACTCGTCGGACCTGACAAGTATCGCACCAGGATGTATTTTTTTTGCTTGTTGAGGGAGCCCAAAGACGCAAACTTCAGGTTGTAGATGCATTTCCGGTGTTGAGATAGTGATCCTAAGGTCAGTGATATCTGCATAGTAAAGTATGAAGAGTGCGCAACAAGTTTACAATGCATTTGGCAAATGTTGGGATCATGACAGGAGAAATCTTAGTAAGCAAGCTGATACCAAGACGAATGCCATTGTATTCTAGAGATACCTAGGGCTCTCAATTCTTTTTGGCGGGCTAGCAAAACAATTAACAAACTTTCCTGATCTCTTTGAGTCTAACGAAAAAAAAAGCATTAGGCAGTGGGAGCATGACTTGTCAATGCGTATACTCATGTTCCACAACACCAAGAGTGGAATAACCCAGGTTATACATCAAGCAATCAGCTGCTGAACCTCCTCGTCTGTAAACCCGAACAAGTAAAGAAGATCCAGCAAGCTATCGCCATTGAGTCTTGCACTGGCCTCCATCTGCACCCTCGGCTTTGCATTCCAAGCAACGCCCAGGCCGGCGGCATCCATCATGAGCAAGTCGTTGGCACCGTCGCCCACAGCAACAACCTGCTCCAGTGCGATACCCTCCTTCTGAGCGATCTCAATAAGCAACTCGCGCTTCCGCTCCTTACCGACGATCCGACCCTTAACCTCACCAGTCAACCGGCGAGTTTCGGGGTCGATGACAACCTCATTGGCATGAGCATAATCAATGCCTAGCTGTCCTGCAAGCCAGCTTGTCAGTGGCAGGAATCCTCCAGACAGAACAGCTGTCTTAACGCCCAGCTTCTTCAAAGCCCGCAATAGAGGCTTGACACCGTTGGTAACATTCAGAACCGGCCTCAGCTCCTCAAATATTGTTTCCGGTAAGCCAGTGAGCAGCTTGACGCGCTCGCGGAAGGCGGAGTCAAACTCGAGCTCGCCAAGCATGGCACGGTGTGTGATATCTGCCACACGCGCAGCGAGGTCAGGCGGGTCCTTGATGGTTGCCGCCAAAAGGTCGATAACTTCCTGGGTAATCAGAGTACTATCCATGTCAAAGACAACCAGACGTGGGTATCTCCGCGCAAGGGTGTCTCTGCGCAGGGCAATATCGACGTTCCACTCGCGCTCGAATCGATAGATAGCCTCATGCTTTCGCAAGTCGTTGAGAGGCAGGTAGTCGGGAGACGGTGCGGGGCAGAGAGTCAACTCGACAACCACTGGACGGTGTTCCTGGCTCGCGTCCAGCTTCAAGCAGCGATGTGACGATGTCACCTCCGTCGCGCCCTGGGGAAGAGGGAATGTGGACATGAGGGAAAGGAAAGCAGTGATGCACATAGGCGAGACATACGAGCCATAGAGATGATCGAGGGGCTCGGGCTCTGCCTCGGGAGGTTCGAGAGGAAATGACTCAATACTGCTGCTTGGGGCCATGGTTGGGGGGATACTGGAGTCGGCAGCTCCGCCAGAGGACTGACTCCCCTTCTGAGAAGGAGGGCTTTGAGGAGGACGTATCGCATTCGAGGCTCTGGGCGAGTTTGTCTTGTAGAAGATCGTCGCGATCAGCCGATCAGTGTAGCTTCCTGGACGAGGAGTGCAGTTCGGGTGCGTCAAATCGTGGGTTACGCCGCTGTCCACTATCTTCGGCGGGTTTTCCGGAGAGGGGATGCCCTTGAACAGGGAGGGTCTTCGCTGAGAGGTAGAAGCGGTCTGAAGATCCTCAACGACGGTGTCAATTCCATAGTGGCTTTCAGGTTTCTGTGGTGGACGGTACTGCTGGTGCTCCTTAAGGAACGAACTGCTTCGCATCCCTGGGGTCAACGAAGGCCGGCTCGCCCGCGGGGAGGTGCTTGCCTGATCAGTCATTGTGCTTTATGATTGATTCTTTGGGTTAAACTGATAACAAAGCTGTCGACTGCTACAGCTTAGAAATTTCTGTAGCATGGGAGAAATGTCATTTTGGACGTGCCGCATATCGGCGATGGTTTTCAAGGAACGAAAAGGCGTACCCCACCTTTCTGAGCAAGGGTCCATGGAGCCCCGCGATTTTCTTGGCGGGCCATGTCTCGGGGAGGAAAATGCGAACAAAATGTGCTAGACGTATCACGACCATCACGGTGTATGGTAGAACAGACCTGTTGAAATAGGCAGGTCAGCTCCGCGCTTGTAACAACATATAGGCATCTAGCCCGTCCTCACTCCTGGTATATGTCTCGGTCCTGCGGTTGAGGTGGGTTGGTTTGACAGGCCTCGAATGGCCCAGACTCGAGGGGTGTTCAGTGTATCATGGCATTTAAAACACCTTACATAGTTATCCGTACAAATGCACATCAAAAAGCCATTCTCAAGAAGGGCTTGGTGTTGTACCTAATCGGTCGACACAAGTCCCATAAACTTCATGGCTTCTCTCTCTGTCATTGTCTAGGTGAAAAATGCTGACATCTTATACATGTTTAACGTTACGGTTGCCCTGTTCATCTAAGTCGGTTTTTGATACTCGGTGGTCGGTGCATTAGAGCCGAGGACATGAAGGGACTCTTCCATGACATCATGGTTCCTATCAACGCCACGAAATAATATCTCCTTCAAAGAACAGCTGGCACAACTGTTTTGAACACCGAACCTCGGAGACGCGTTTAAAGGCAGTTTGTCTAACAGAAAACCTTTCCTTCAAGAAGATCGCCACAAAAGGGGTCCTGCAGCACGGCGCCTGTGGGGCAGACCCCCACCAGATTTGGCTCGATTGACCAATCAAAATTCCTCCAGATGTCGTGATCAACCTTGCCGAAAACACCACCACCCAGAGGGCGAACAAGATCTCGTAAGATGCACGTTCTTGCCCTCACCTCCACAACCTTAGGCCTTCCTGGCCGATAGCTGAGGGCAATACCAGGAGTTCCTGGAGCTGTGAATGACCCAAGATTGGGAATTCGGTTTGTGGACTAAGAGGCAAGACATTAGTCATACCACTAGACCGTGAAAATGACTTACATTTTGCGGCTCCCGTTCCGGAATTTGATTTGAGGTTGTTCCCGGAACCGCGGGTATTCCTGTGACAACTTTAAGAGGGCATCCCACGGAGCTGTCTTTCAGCGCCCCTTAATACCTCCCTGCTCCCCTCCCCTCCCCATCTGCTCCTCTCACCCGCGGTTTTGATCCATTGCTTGACCTTTCCCCGCGCAGCTGTTCTTGAGAACCACTGGTTTCCCTTAAGTATCATAGTCTTCGCTACCTGTTTACCCTCCCAAGCCGCCCAGCAATCTGGTTACTCCCTGTGTTTCTTCACACAACTCAACTTTTCAACCCCCTCACTTCTTATTCAACATGGCTGCTGAAAACTCTCGGGCTGAGATCTCCTCCCAGTCGTCCTCCGCTGGCGACAACGGATCCGTCGACTCTGGATTTGTCTCTCCAAATTCGTCCACTGGCAACCTGCCCAGGATCATATTGACCAAGGCACACCTGGACCATCTCAACAAGCAGCTCGAATCCCTCCATCCTGTGGAAATCCTCAAGTTTTGCAAGATTTTCTTCCCGAACTTGTATCAGTCCACCGCGTTCGGCTTGACGGGCCTTGTGACACTGGACATGCTTTCCAAGATCGAAAAAGAATCGCCGAACCCTCAACCAATCGAACTCATCTTTCTCGACACTCTCTACCACTTCCAGGAGACATATGACCTTGTTGAGCGCGTGAAAGCCCGCTACAACGTCAACATCCACATTTTCAAGCCGGCAGATGTCAACACAACCGAGGAGTTCGAGAAACTCTATGGAGAAAAGCTCTGGGAGACATCTGGGGAGCTGTATGATTGGATCGCCAAGGTTGAGCCATTGGAGCGTGCCTATTCCGAACTGAAGGTTGCCGCTGTGTTTACCGGCCGGCGCCGGTCGCAGGGTGGTCAGCGTGGCCAAATTGGCGTCATCGAGCTTGACGAGGAGCGCCAAATTGTCAAGATCAACCCCCTCGTGAACTGGACCTTTGACCAGGTCAAGAACTATATCAAGGAGCACGACGTCCCCTACAATGTTCTTCTCGATAGGGGGTACAAGTCGGTTGGTGATTGGCACTCGACTGTCCCAGTCGGCGAGGGTGAGGATGAGCGTGCGGGTCGCTGGAAGGGCCAGAACAAGACCGAGTGCGGCATTCACAATAAGCAGAGTCGCTATGCAAAGTGGCTTGAACAAACAGCCCGGCAGCGGGGACAGCGGGTTTCTGCCTCCTAATATCTGTGATTGATAGTATTGGGGTCGATAATGTTCATTGATCACTGGGACAGTGGCCATTCAAACTCATCAGCATCAGCATTCTTACGGCGTTAGGGGGGCGCTTGGTGTTGGCGTTTATGATCATTGATTTGAATTCTGGAAAACACTATGATCATTAGCACAATGAAATCGTTGGAAATAGCGAAATATATCACTGGGAAACGCAAACACACTGCGCATTATTTGCGCTATCCGGTGTTCATGAAGTTTCCCGATATGGGGGACCACGCGATCTGGCTGCCCTCTGCATGGTGCTCGCTAACATTGAACTGGCCCAAGCCCTTCAAGATAACGAATCTGACGCGGATTCCGAGCTCTAACTCCTTATAAGATCTCCGTTTCCCATGGTTAGACAGGAGAAGGGGCAAGAAATAACTAATTGTTAAATCCAAGATCGATTTTGCTAACTATTTCAGTGGCTGTTACTTTTGCCCCGCATTTGTCTCTCCTTGTACAATGTGAGACTTTCACGTGACATGTCTCTCTGACAATGTGAAAAAGATTGTAGAACCCTCAACCTCAGCTTAATCGTGCAACAGACTATTGAATCTTTGGATAGAATATTGGAATGCTAAAACTCCAAACTCAAGAGTATCTGGGCTGTTGAAAGCATAGACGTGTGGCAGTTGCCACATTTGAACTCAAGAACACACATTGGGACTGTCCGACATTTCGTGTATCATAGTTCAGCCTGAGTTCTAATGTCACGGCAACATGTATCAAGTTTTGTTCCTTTTCAATGTACTCTCCTGGGCGAGCATGGGAAGGACAAATTTCATGTACCGGTTTCCAATGCGAGTCTTCTGTTCATTTAGGGCAAAAGCCACTGTCCCATTAATCTCCAGGCAGCACTGTTATTGGCATATTCTATACTGTTCCTAATGTTATTGCTCTCTGTAGTGACTCATTTATCAGTTGAACGCATCAAAACTAACGAAGGTAGAAGACCAGTAACCGTTGCACTTAAGTTGGCACTCGAAAGATTCCGGTCACATTAAATTAGTGTAAATCGTCTACCACAACTCATGTTTGCTGCTGATACCTCGGTCTAATCATTTTTGCGTCACATTAGTGCCAGATACTATGAGTCTAACTTATCTTCTATATTTGAGTTGAACCGTGACGGGTGCTGCGCAGTTTCTCACCGGCACTCTTGTCACCACATTGAGTACTTTGACTGGTAAGTGATTTTTGAGCACTTAAAAAGTGCTGATGTGCTGACACCTAGATTTTTCAGATCTTTTGTCAGCCGTTCCAAATGTTGCTCAGACCCTGTAAGCTACCAAAAATATCACTATTCTTGTTCCATCAATCACAGCATTTGTCAACCTACTTGCAAGGAATCCGAGATCAGCCGAGCTGGTGAAAAACCAAAATGCTCTTGCTGGGGTACTGCAATACCGTGTTCTGAGGGGGAGCTCCATTCAGCGGACTTCCAAAATGTGCCTCAGTTTCCCACGATTTTCCTTTCAGAGCCTTTGCCACAGCTAGTGGGCAGAGAGTTGGACTGGTTTTGGTAAATGGTACCGCCAAGCATAACTTCAGGATATAGGCAATAAGCTCGAGTGACCTCTGCTGTAGGCCTCGATCCTTTTTTTTCCTCTGAATTCTTAAACTTAGGACTGAGTTCCGAACTGACATATCCTTCTTATTTAGGTCATTGAGTTCGATGGCAATAACAGTGCTCACATGATTGACACCGTTCTAGCAGTTCCCGCGTCGCCTGCACGAACGACCATCAACACAGACTTGACGTCATTCGCTGGAGCGTTGACACGGGTTGGGCTAGTGGAAGCCATCACTTCATCTCGCGACATTGGCATCTCCGCTCCCTCAAACAGTGGATTCGAGGCTATAGGGTCTGCGCTTCCAACGATATCTCCTCTTAACTTAGAAAACATTCTTGGGTCAAAATATCACTACCCGTCGGGATGGATCTCAGCTGTTTGTCAACTCCACCAAGGTGATCACCGCCGACATCCCAACTAGCAATGGTTTGATCCATGTTTTGGACAAGTAAGTTGATCCATGAAACTCAAGCGTCGAATCAGTGGGGGTTGATCAAGTTAACTCTTTCAGTGTGCTCAATCCTTCCAACACAACGGTGATTTCAAACCCTACTACTGTTACTCAAGATCCAGCATTTGCGATGTCACACCTATCGCAGATACCCCTTTCACGACTGGCTTAGCACCAACAGCCACCTTTGTACCTGCCTCGATGTTGATCAGTGAAGGTTCCAGCATTGCTGTGTCGAGTCTCTGACTTTGGTACTTCATGCTTGTTTTGGTCTTGCTAACTTTTGTGCTGTGAAACTGTACTTCTCCTAGAGTAGATGGAATTTTGGATTGTGGTATATAGCCGAGTTCTTCGGGTCGTGTCTTCTATGAATACGTTATAATCTAGAGTATCTGCGACCCATATTTGCTCCGGTAATGCTTACCGACTCAATACATTTCACAAATACCTCAAGGTCATATTCTATGAGCCAAATGATCTCTGTACACAATTACCATTAAACTAGCACTTACACACTAGTCATATCATGTCATACAAGCCCCTTGTCAGGTACATTTCACAGGTGTTATAGAGAGCGGTACTTTGGATAGGCATCACGTGATCTGACATCACCAGAGCCCAACCTGGTTAACATTCTTTCCACAGAACTAGGATGCATGTGACGCTCAACTACTCGCACTGTAAAAGAAATCTTGAACAATTTTCGGACAGTTAGTTCGGTCGACAAGATGAAGAATCTCCCGACGCCCGGAAAAGTATTTATCTCCAAAAAGCAGAAAATTCTTTCTCAGCTTTCGTTGCCAGATGAGCAGTACACAGATGCCTCACCCAAAGGCTCCGTCGACGAAGGAATCCGCTATTTGATTGATCAGATCAACATGCAAGCAGGGCTTGTTACGACGAGCAGTTGCGCTGGAAGAGTGAGTGTGTATCTGGAGGGGCCAAAATTTGGTCAGGGAGCAAGTTCCTCCGACGGTGAAGAGACTGCTGGTAATGGGGATGTCGCAGTCGAGGCTGGCCGTGAAAATGCCGTTGCCAGTTCTGTGGGAGGAAAAGGAGGTGGGGAGTGGTTGTTTGTATCGCATGATCCAGTGAAAAATGATGCTGGGGAGAGTGGTTATGAGAGACTGTTCGGTTTTGGAACTGTGCCTGCCAGAGAGCAGTTCGTGCAAGATGTCTTCGCACCCTCAACAAGACTGATTCATTTCAAGTTTGAGCCTATGGTCAGTTGCTTCCCGCTTGTGAAGGCCCATAACCAGCGTCTGACACTTGACCAGATCTTACATATCCTTACAGCGTCTCTTGAGCATGCACAGCTTGTTATCCAAGCAGGCATGGAAGCTGGCTTCCGTGAAAGTGGAGCTGTAAGCTTGCTGAAGAAGTCGGGAGATGATGACGCAAACCCGATGGTGGCTATACGGTCCATGGGATTGTCCTTCGATTCACTGATTGGCGCCGAAAACGATGGTATCCGGCGTCTTATCGTATCATCTGAGTACCTGAAGATGCTCGTCCGAATTGCCAACGAGCGATTTGTTGAGAACCAAAAGAGGATAGCGAGGTTCAGCGCTGCCCTTGAATCTGCCTTTGCCCCCCCAAAAGCTAAGGCAAACTGGGAATCTGCTCAGGCGAGAAGGGAACGTAAGCGGCTGGAAGGTCTAAAAAGGCGAGAGGAACTTAAAAAGGAGAAACAGTCTGCTGAACAGAATAGTCCTGACTTGGCAATAGAAGGGGTGAACTTCTTGTAGTGCACCGCATTATTCTTTTCCCGCTCTTCTTGACATGATCTCTTAGCGCCAACTGGCTTTTTCCCGTCTATACGATCCCAATAGTTCTAGCAACCCTTATAACTTCAAGTGCGCGCAACCAACAGATGCGCGCAATCTCACCATTGCATACAACCCCTGACAGGGCATGACCAGTCCATGGTCTATCCCACACCCATCTGCGTGCATTCTCCTCACCCTACTTTGTCCTCTGCTGCCTGGCATCTAGCTCGCAACCTTATCGACCCAGCCCTTTTCCAGCTTCCTGACCTCCTCCTTAAAAGCCTCGACCTCCTGCCAGCAGTTGAGTGGCCTGCGGTCGTGCTCACGCAGGCATCGCACAACCTCGCTGCGCGCCTTCTCCACGCTCTCGGGCAGCGGCCGCACTTGTCTGCGTTCCTCAAGCTTGCTGCGCAGGTCGTCAATCTGCTTGGCAACCTGCTGCCGGGTGATAGAGGTTTGATGCTGCTGCTGATCCTCCGCCAGATCGGGCTCGGCCGACAGTCTTTGTTGCACCTCGCGCAGGGCTTCGATCTCTTGTTCGCGCAGACGCTTCAGCTCGGCGGCTACGCGCTGTTGGACCAGGAGCTCGGCGGCTTGTTGGCGGGAGATATCGGTCTGCTCGGCAGGGTGCAGGTTGCGTGAGTTAGGGCGGGTCGAGATGCTGGATAACTTCGGAGCCATGCAAGGCTAAGCTGCTACTCACCTCGTTGCTTGTCTCGAGCTGCTCGACTAGATTCTGCGACACTCCCGGCTGAGGAGTCCTGGAAATGTCAGATATGAGGGGCTCGACTGAGCTCTGGAGAGCTCTTAGGACTCAGAGGATTTGCTTGTTAACATACCCCTTCCACACATGTGGAGCAGGGTTCGAGGGCTTAGACGAGCTCGAACCCATCGTGGCTATACAGGAGAAAGAGATATCTTTCAATTGGCGCTTGGAGGCGGGTGGCAGCGCAGGTCTGGTCGACTTGCCCGTCAATGTGCTCCTGCCGCGCGATGTCTCAGTCGGCACTGAGGCTTTCCCGCAGACTTGGCATCTGGAGCCCGCCGAGATTCCGACTGATGGAAAGTTCCGGCCCAAGACGATTTACTGTGTTATTAGCACTGTATCAAAACTGTGAATGCTCTTTTGGTCGCGGCGCGGGTCTTGTGGGAAGACGCTCGGACCCTATCAAGTTGGTGGCTTGGTCTGGGACGGAAATTTCACGGGGCATGCTGTTCCGCTTCTTATTTCTCGTCCAAGACCAAAATACCTACTATTTTCAAGCTTTAGCACTATGTTTGCTTGTTCATAGCTCTTTAACGAGCTTCTTATCCAAAATCTCCTGATTATGCTTTTGCCTGAATAACAACAGCTCCAATCATCATGTAGTTTCCTGCACCTATGAGAAAGAACTGCCGGAGCGTCCCTTCATCTCCAGCAAAATGCTGTTTCCCCCTTGGCAGTTAGATCCAAGCCGGGTGCTCAATAATTTTTTATCTAGACATCAAAAGCTGCTCGATTTCACGTGAATCAGGTATCCAAGACTACTGTGCACCCGCCCTCCAGACACCTGCCCCATGCGGTCCGTCCCAGTCCAATGTCAGATCCATCCCTTTGAGATGTAATGTGCGTCCTGCTTCCATGACATTCGGGAGGTATTTGAAGGTCCCATACTTCTGAGCCATAATTTCATTCTCTCCAGCTCTCTGCATACCCGTGGGTTGGGAGCTCAGGCGGTTGGGGCGCTGCTTTTTTTTCTCCCGCCATCTCACTGAACCAAGGATTGTGTTGCGTTTGCCCCACAGTGTTGTAGCGCAGGCGAACTGCAGACGGCATCGATCCTTATGCCTCCGCACTCGCTTGTCGGAATTGTAAAAGGTTGTTCCGGGACAGAAAGAGAAGTATATCGACGTCATACGATGAGAATATTGCAAATTCCAGGTTTGAGCTAGACAACATCTTTTCCAAGTGTTGCATAGGGCTGAGGAATGTTGATAAATAACCCAGGTATCTGGTGTTTGGTTCAAAGTAACGGCATCAGTTGATCTGGAGGTGATCTAAAGAACCGAGATCTCCGGCTGTGAACCATCACCAGAGCCGGTCGTGGGGCAGTCTGCGGGGAGATGGTTTACGGATCGACTATGACCAACTGGTCCGAAAACCGAGTGCACGGCAGTGAGTAAATCGGACCATTAGGCAGTCTCCGGAAGAGAGTCCGAAGCTACGTTCAACCTGCAGCTACACCCTGGGGTAGCTTGTGAGCACACATTGCCTACCTACTTCAACGGGCTCAACACTGTGGCTTATTGCACGCCGCAAGGTTACTCACAACATCCTTATTTTATCCACTCCTCACCTTCCAGAAGACATTCAGTCACATGGCATACGACTCGGACCACTTCATGACTAGCTGATGTCCGGGTCTCTGCCTAAGTATTTACATTGCTGCCACTCAGCTGCTGAAAACCTGGATCAAGGTCACATCGAATCCAGCCTACCTCAAGTCTGTCAGCAGCTGATGGAGGTCAGGCAGCAACCAGCTTGACTACTTGGACTTGAAACTGCATGGGTTGTTAACGAGTAATGGACAGCAACCAAAAGGAGATATACTGGCTCCTTTCGAGAATGGAGATGCAGCTTTCTCTGAAGTTCAGAGACAATTACTGCCGTCTAACAACTTAGCAATCGAAGCGATAGCGGAACACAACACGACTCAGCCTCGTTTTCTCCCACGGAAGCTTTTCGTCCTGGGCACATCCCTGAGCGTGAGCAGGTGGCACACAGCAACATGGTGAGGCGGTGTCCTCGCAGATGCAACATAGCTTTCCGGGTTCATCCTCATCAGCCAAGACAGCCGTTGCAACAGAGTAAAAGGGCTGCTGGTCAGCCCCGTGCGGAATGATGACAGTAGTAACTCTTCACGAAGGCTTGAATGGACTGCTTGCAGCCCAAGTCAAGGCACCGTGATATTCTGGGCTGCCATCGATATCATCGCTTGTTCAACTAACAGGGGTTTGCTACATGGGTAGTTGAATGCCGCCTCTTCCGTCATGGTAGACTCCTCGGACCAAGTCACAAGGATTGTGGCGAATTTCCCAGAATCGTTCTCAAGGCCGATATTATGAAATCGTATTTCGAATACCCGTACTTCACCAAAGCTTTAGAGAAGATCTCGGCTGCCGGGACGAGGGAGTATTGGTATGAACACTGTATTGTAGATACCAGCTTGGCGTGGCAGAGAAGTTAGGTCAACCTCCAGCTTAGAGTCAACATGATGGCATGAGTACATACTCTACTGGAGAATTTACGGCTAATCTCTGCACTCGCGGTCGTTGATCAGTGTAAGCATTGTTGCAACACTGCGCAGCCCCACATTCGCTGATTAGCCGTTTCTCTTCGGTTAAGAAGCCCGATCATCACAGTTCGGCCGGTTTTGAGCTTGTTGAGCCGCCCCCCGCGCCCAAACATAATCGGATCCACCGCCTTCTTCTTTGGTTGGGCCGTTGGAGTTTCGGGAGCATGACGTCGAGAATTGGTTTCCTTGGACGGCTTTCCCTTTTGGGGTGCGGATCACAAACAAGCATCTGCTCGCTGGTTGGCTGCCGTAGCGGCAGCCATGCGCTGGCTAGGCGCAGCTGGAGAGGCGCAGAATACTCTCAATCCAGCTACCTGGCTGCATGTCTTTGCAGGTAGCACACCGTAAATCACACAGGTCACCTTGGGAATTGGGAAAAAAGATGAGAAGAGAGATGTTTCGCGGTCTCCTTTGTTCAACTTGTGTCATATCTCCCGTGGCCAGATAAGTTCTCTCGTGGGGTCAAACTAGAGAAGAGAGAAAATCGCGGTTGTAGCCGATGTCACATTTCGTGGGTGTAAGTGGAGATGTGAGGATGGACAACTCCGCCAGCAAAGAGACGTTGTCATTTCAAGTTGGGATGACGGCCCGCAACCTGACACGGCCGGCGTTCCCAGCGCAATCCTTCACTGGCCAGCAGTCTCGCCCACTCCCGCCACGCCTGCGAATGTGGGGCGGCATGCGTCGTTCAGCAGCGAGCAAAGCACCGCTGGGCAGGGTCTTGAAAAACGCCCCACTCGCTATGCAGACCAATCAGGGGTAACCATCTCTTCAGCTGCATGAGGTTCTGAGTCCGCCGCTCAGCGCTGCTTCGATGCTGCCGTCCTATGATTTCGCTTGGACCAAGACACTGCGAGCCATGTCCCTGACCTTGGCCGTATGCCACGCTGCGCGCTCACCGCGCGACTGCACGCTGGTAGCCAGATCTCAAGCCATGTGGTCCGTGCACCGATCTCTGCAAGAGTTCCTTGGCGCGGTGGAAGCGAATCCCGCAGGTCCGGTTGGACGACGATGCTTGCCCCCAAGTGGTCGTGCCGCAGGGGAGGCTCCCTCTTGTTATCCTGACCTCCTTTTCTCAGGCCACTTCAGGGGATATTGGACGATGTCATCGGAGGGAACCACTTTGTCACCATGAGTTTCCTTTTCCGCTGCCTTTAGAGAAGCGTGCAGGCGGGCCAGAATCGGGCTACGGACGGCTCACCCGAGATATGTTCATTCCTTGAATACTTCATCTGTTCCAGTCCCAACCACTCCGCTCGTTTTCAATCTAGTTCTACTTTTCCTCCACGTAGTCGGGCCGTTAGGCTTTGCATCTTGTTTCTTCTTTGCGCTGCCGGAGCTGTTACCACTTGGCAGGTTGTCAGCATCCTCTCATACCCTCTGTGTTGTCCAATCGCCAGAGTCGGCAAAAGGATAAGACAGCCAGACACTGCTACATATCTCCTAAGTGCCGGCACCGATCTATTTTCACCTTCATCTTCTACCTTAGCCTTCTATCTCTTGTTTGATTTCTTTGGCAGTCACCGCTGGCGTCGACCTGATTCGACTTCACTTTGAACCGTGGGCTTTGATTCCAAGTCGAATCACACAGCCTGTATTGTTTCTTTCACTCACCACTCACGACCTGGAAGTCAGTTGTTGCTGTTTGCGACGGTTTATTGCCAGCTGCTGGAGCCCCATTCACTCCATGACGGGTTGGCTATTCGAAGGTAGGCAATACCCTCAATAACCGCTTACCTATTTACCTATCTCGTTCCCGTGTTCCCTTTGCAGCCAGAAATTTGCCGACCTAATTTGCAGGCATTTGGGGGACACACGGCACAATACCTGGTTGTCTGCCGCCTATATTCTGGCAAGCCGTTCTTGTTATTGTTTGCTATTGTTCCTCCACCCATGCGCTGACTTCCCGTTTAGTACCCCTCAACAGCAAGCCACGTCCGCAATATCCGCCGGCCCGGAAGCTTTGCTGTGATCTCTGAGTTGCCTCACTCGGCAAAAATTTTGAGAGCCCGAACAACCTAGGAACGGGTTCCCAGTTTCGTGGTCTGGCACAAGGTCTGCCTTGACTCGACGCGACTACTCTGCTGTATACTTTGAGCCTGCTTTGTCAAGCCCGCTGGCACCTACGACACCTTAGACAGCCTCTGTTCATCAGTGGGATCTCTATACCTTTGTGCGCGGGTCATCGAAAGAGACAATCGACCGACTCGTGCTTTGCCAGTCGCTACTTAGACATTGTTAAGCACACAATGGGAGTGCTCAACTGCTCTTGGCTTCGTCACTAACGAAAATCATCCCCGCCGTTTTTATCGCATTGCGGAAGAAGTATCAAAAGGCAAAGATCTTACAGCTGGGAAAGAAGCCTAGTGACAAGTCGTTTTGGTTGGTCATTTGGTTACTGCTCGGCCTTTCACTCCAATTCTGTCCCATTTTTACCCTTTACCGTCGACTTTCGCCTAGTAACCGATAACCCTGAGCCTCAAGATGGACCTCGACCGACGTGGGCTTCTCGAGCGAAAGCTCACCCCAACTCCTGTCTTTATGCGACTCCGTGACGAATCATCGTCTACCGGCACAGAACATGTTGCAACACCAAGCTCTACCATCGCCCCTTACACCACTGCCCTCAATGGCGTTAATCAACCAGTCAACATGCTTTTTGTGGATGTCTTGTGGTGGACCCTTGGAATTACTGGACTTGTCATTCTCGCCATTAGGATAGGCCAGCTCGTATGGGCTCAGTTCCGACTGCTTAGCGCCATGTCCCAGCCTGGAGATCGTCAAAGCTACTGGAAGTTCACTCAGTGGGATTGGATGCCCGGATTGAAGAAGGGTCTCGTCTATGCCCCTCTCTGGAAGAAACGCCACAACCGCGAGATCCGTCTTTCCAGCGCCGTCAACATGGGAACACTGCCGTCGAGATTTCACGCTTTCCTCTTATTTGGCTACCTTGCCAGCAATCTGGCCTACATGTTTGTCCTGGACTGGAAGCAGGAGAACAAGTATGCGCTGTGCGCTGAGATGAGAGGCCGCGCCGGGACTCTCTCGGTCGTGAACATGGTACCGCTCATTATCTTCGCCGGCCGTAACAACCCCTTGATTGCCTTGCTCGGCGTGAGCTTCGATACCTACAATTTGTTCCACCGCTGGTTGGGCCGGATCTCGGTCGTTGAAGTGCTTGTTCACCTAGCCGCATGGACCATTGCGCAGGTTGCAGCCACAGGATGGCAAGGCGTGCGTCATAGGATTCTACACGACGTTTTCATCACTTCCGGCACGGTTGGCGTCGTCGCCATGTTTCTCTTGATGTTCCTGTCCTTCTCGCCGATTCGCCATGCGTTCTATGAGACTTTCCTCAATGGCCACATCATTTTGGCTATCATCGCCTTCGTCTGCACTTACATTCACTGCATCACCTCGGCCGTTGGCCTTCTCCCTCAAACGCCCTGGATGGTCGCCATCTTTGCCCTCTGGATCGCCGAACGCTTTGCCCGCATGCTGCGCCTGGCCTACTACAACTGGTCGAGCAGAGGCTTCACCGAAGCCATCGTGGAGCCAATGCCCGGTGAGGCCTGCCGCGTTACCATGCATCTCCCGCGGTTTGTAAACATCAAGCCAGGTCAACACGCATACCTTCGGTTTGCGGGTGTCCGTCCTTGGGAGAACCATCCGTTCTCTATCGCTTGGTATGAACACACATACGAAAACGACGTCCTTCCGATCAGCGAGAAGGACGACCGGAAACCCGGAAAACCCGTCTCCACGACCGTATCCTTCATCATCGGTGCCCACACGGGCTTCACACGCCTGCTCTACGACAAGGCATCTCAGTTCCACGGCCGCTCAATCTCGCTGCGTGCTGCCTTCGAGGGCCCCTACGCCGGGCACCATAGCATGGACAGCTACGGCCACGTCGTGCTCTTCGCCGGCGCCACGGGCATCACCCATCAAATCAGCTATCTGAGACATCTCATCGAGGGTTATAACATGGGTACGGTCGCAACACGCCGCATTACCCTTGTCTGGATCGTCCGTGACTACTCGCTCCTCGAGTGGGCGCGCCCTTGGATGGACAAGATCCTGCGTCTGCCTCGCCGGAAGGAGATCCTGCAGATCAGGCTCTTCGTCACGCGGCCTAAGAATGCTGCGCAGGTGTCGTCGAGCTCGAATACCGTCCAGATGTTCCCCGGCAGACCTAACATCCCCATGCTCTTGGCTAAGGAGGTTTATGAGCAGATGGGTGCCATGTGTGTGTCGGTTTGCGGACCGGGCGGTTTGGCGGATGATGTGAGAGACGCCGTGCGGAAGGTGCAGGATGAGGGGACAGTTGTGGATTTCGTTGAAGAAAGCTTTACGTGGTGATTGACTTTGGTGTTGAACCGGAAGAAAGAAGGGTGCCGGCGTCCGCGTCCAACAGCACTGATGACGGCTTCTGCCATGGCATGTACGCCAGTGCCTATATCAACAGCATAACAAGCACATTTCCCGGGCGATTTCCCCTTCTTGCTTTTTGTTTTTACTTTATATAGAATTTTATTGGTTCACCGATGGGCTGGGTTGGGGGGATATTGCATTCCGTTGATGGTTTCGCCTGGTTGTCTGACGAGGTTCATACATGCTGGCAGTTATCATTGCATTTGTACATATTTTCTGGCTATACATATCTGACGGGAAGGGAAGGGATTTGAAGAGGGCCGAAGACCTTTCTTCCCCACGGATATATATCTCCGGTTTCGTCTTTTCTGAAGTGTACATATGGTCGTCGTTTTCATCTTACAACATGAAAGGCCAAGAGACGTGAGTCATTACAATGGAGAGAGCCTTTCGTTGCTGAGGTCAAACATTACCCTTTCTTTTAGGGCGTTTTGTGTTGAATCATGTCCAAGACCCATTGTCCTAATCCCCTTGTTGCCCTTCTGATAGTCAAAACGTTCTAGACACTGCAGTCAAGTATGTCTTTTTGAATGACTTAAATATATATATATATATATATATTGTTTTCAGATCGAGACGGCGCCTTGCCCACCCATCTTTAGCTTAACCATTGTGCGCGAGTTTCGATGACTCGAATCTTGGACCGAAGGCCAGGCACTTAGTTCTGAGTTTCTCTCCAATCCTCATCAGACTCTCGCAACCCTTCATTCTCGATTGACAAGTCATCCTCACCAACCCCTATCCACATTATCAACTCCCTCCAGAACTATTGCAAAAACGCACTTCAACGTCTCCGAATTTTTAAAAACAACCGACGCTAGCCGGTGCGGCTCTGTACAATCATAGCTAAGCCAGTCACAAATCGGATGACAATTACTTCCTGTGGATTGGAGATCCAAGGGCGTTCCTGTACAGGAACAGGTTGCTTGGCCAACAAGCATGGAGTTGTTGGTGGTTGTCCCTAAGACGGTGACCCAAGGATCGGAGTGAGCTGGTTTGAAGGGTCTTGTACATACGGATTGAAATGTGTGAAACGGACTTTTGAAATGCACAATTGTCAGACGTGGCAGGCTCTTAATGTAGGCATAACACTTGTTAGCTTCCACAGCAGCAAAGTTTGCAGACACTTCCAAACATCTCAGCGACGGCAGACACAAAGTTGAGACAACTGCTGGCTTCCGATCATCGGTTTAAGGGACAGCCCTCTCGTAATGGGACCCACCGCGGGGTAAAGAGACCGGGCGGGCCGGGCTACCCCGCCAGTGGAGTCCATCCTGGTGTGTTGCATCTCTCCCAGCTTGCCACTATTCACATGGCTTGGCAACATTCCCTTTGTTTAATCCAAGTCATGTGCTTGAAGACAAAAGGGCATAAGCAGACGATGCAGTCTGGAGCAAAGTTTGCGGGGAGGAGGGACAGTCTTGAATACAAATTCGGAAATTTGTGCATGGGGAAAAAGTGAAGTGAGCCAATGAAAAGCGGCACAAGATGGCATTGACCAGTGGGATGACAGAGGGGTTTGAGAGCCCCACAATGCTTTTGACGCAACTTTTTGCTGCTTTCATGGAAACCCGCAGTTTGTTACTTCATTGCACAAAAGGTACGTATGCGTCTAGTGGCGGGTCGTGACAGTGGGGCGCACAGTGAAGCGGAACCGAATTGGAAAGTTTTGATGGGTCATTTTTCTTTTCTGGTTTCGTGACTGGTGACATGGGTTGGTTCAAGTCTTGAAACCACTCACCTATGACTCAGGGCCTGGTCGACTTCTTTACCGTCTGTACCCGTTGCCAGCTTCACTTCATCTCCATCACACATAACTTCAACCAGTGGACTTGTGGTAGCCTCTGAGTAGTTATATGCTATTGAGCCTCTCGTTTGCTGCCGGCACAGACCGAACACTCCTAAACAACATTTGCTTCCTTCGTCCGTGTGATACTGTCGTTTCCACCCTTGCCACTCGCCCATCATGCCGATGTAAGTCCAGCATGTGCTCAGCGATTGCGATTCAACATCACCAGGACATGAGTTAACTTGTTCATAGGCTCAAGGACCCTTCGACAAAATACAAGAAGTTCAAGCCAATTCACCTCCCGGATCGGAAATGGCCAGACAGGACCATCGACAAGGCCCCGCGGTGGCTGTCGACAGACCTCCGGGATGGCAATCAAAGCTTGGTTGACCCAATGGTTCGTGCTCGCTCCCATGTTAGAATACTCCGTGGTATCAGGGGCATCTGGTTAACCCAGTGTTGTGCAGAATGGGGACCAAAAGTGGAAATACTTCAAGATGCTCTGCGACCTTGGCTACAAAGAGATCGAAGTGTCGTTTCCTTCTGCTTCCCAGACTGATTTCGATTTCACAAGACGCCTGATTGAGACCCCTGGGGCTGTGCCAGATGATGTCTGGCTTCAGGTTCTTTCCCCTTGCAGAGAAGATCTTATTCGGCGCACAATCCAGGCCCTGAAGGGCGCTAAGAAGGCCATTGTTCACATCTATCTTGCCACTAGCGAATGCTTCCGCCGGATCGTCTTCAACTTCACCGAGGAGGAGAGTATCGAGCTGGCTAGTAGGTGTACTGCTCTTGTGAGATCTCTGACCAAGGACGACCCAGAGCAGCAGGGAACAGAATGGGCCTTTGAGTTCAGCCCTGAGACTTTCTCCGATACGGATCCCGATTTTGTCCTTAGAATTTGCGAGGCGGTCAAGAAGGCTTGGGAGCCTACGGTCGATAACCCCATCATCTTCAACCTCCCGGCCACAGTTGAGATGTCGACCCCGAACGTTTATGCTGACCAAGTCGAGTACTTCTGCCGCAACATCAGTGAGCGCGAGAAAGTCTGCGTTTCCCTCCACCCTCACAATGACCGTGGCTGCGCAGTGGCTGCCGCTGAGCTGGCACAAATGGCTGGTGCCGATAGAGTGGAGGGTTGCCTCTTTGGTAACGGTGAGAGAACTGGCAATGTTGACCTCGTCACCCTTGCCCTGAATCTTTACACCCAGGGTATCTCGCCCAATATCGACTTCTCCGACCTCAACAGTGTGATTAAGGTTGTAGAGGAGTGCAATAAGATCGAGGTACACCCCCGTGCTCCTTATGGTGGCTCCCTGGTTGTGTGCGCTTTCAGCGGGTCACACCAGGATGCCATCAAGAAGGGCTTCAACCTCCGCGAAAAGGAGGGCAAAGCCTACCACGAGCACTGGCAGATTCCATATCTGCCGCTCGATCCCAAGGATATCGGTCGTGATTACCAGGCCGTTATCCGTGTGAACTCCCAAAGTGGAAAGGGTGGTGCTGCCTGGATTATCCAGCAGCAGCTTCACCTTGATCTCCCTCGCGGCCTGCAGGTCGCCTTCAGCAAGGTTGTCCAGGATATGGCCGAGAGGAAGGGTCGTGAACTGCTCCCGACTGAGATCACCGAGCTCTTCCAGCATACATATTCCCTGGTCCAAAACGCTCGGTTCCAGATTGTCGATTACACCATCACCCCTGACCGGTCCACCTCTCCGGCACCTCCTGAGCCTGGCAAGACTCAGGACACCAGGAACCTTAGGAGGGTCTTTGATGGCGTGATTTCGATTGATGGCGTCGAATACAAGATCCGTGGTCGTGGCAACGGTCCCATCTCGAGCCTGGCGAACGCTCTTCGGACGGTTGGCATCGATCTCGATGTCCAGGACTATAAAGAGCACGCCGTTGGAAGGGGCCGCGATGTCAAAGCTGCTACCTACATTGAGTGCATCGCTGCAGGCTCCAGCGAGAAGGTCTGGGGTGTTGGCCTCCATGAGGATGTTGTCCAGAGCTCTATCAATGCCCTGCTGAGCGCTGCCAGCAACGTGAGTGACCCATTCTGTTACATAAAAGCCGTATTGTCTCGAGCGGAATAATATTGACTTCCCTTTCTGCAGTTCTACAAGTCCGGCAGCCCCAAGATTCCTGTACAGGCTGCTAACGGTGTCAATGGCTCTGCGAAGATCACCGACATCATCAACGCTCTTGAGGCGAAGGCGGATGAGATGTAATCAAAGTTTGAAATATGTGTCGTACTCAGACAAATGTGTCTGATATATCTTTTTTTCTTCTATCTTGCAAAAAACTGGACTCTGGGATTGAGGATGTGAAAAAAGAGAGTGATCAAAAATCTGGGCTTCATTTCAGTTAACAGCATCTCCTGTGTCGACCTTATTTGCTTGCACTACCCCTGACAAAATGGCCAGTGGTCTCAATCAAGACTAAATGCACAGTTCAGCTAGCCAGTTGCTAGTCATTATTTGTACCACAGCAACCTGTTGGAGAATTCCTATGGAATCTTGCGGGTGCCATCGTGTGAACTCTCCCTTGGCAGTCCTCCCCTGTTGCTCCCCATTATGTACGTATAGATCAAAAGACCTCTCTCTCTGTGCCCTCATACCGAGCAAAAGCTTGGTCGACAGCCAAAAAGAGATGACATAACGTGGTCTGAATAAGGCCACAAAGACGAACAGCCTCTACCAGTAGTGCCAAGTTGCTTCTGTCTTGGTTTTTAGAGAATTCACGAGCTTCTCTATTAAGTGTTCCAACGCTTGCCAGGATGGATAATGTATCATACAGGGGAGGAATCTCCTGGAAGATGGTGGAAGGCATTAATCAGGGAGGATTTTGGTACATCAAAACCTTGTAGGCACTTCTCGCAGGCAAAGATAGTAGTATCTGGAGTTTAAGTACTCAGGGGAGAAATCAATGTGATTTTTTTTTAGTGATTCCCAAAGAGAACAATCACCTGGCATGTCTCGTGTTCCAGAGACGTGGATGTGAATCCCTTGGGGTTACTGTCTTCCAGCTGAGTTGCCCAGCCTGGAAGCCCGAGCTGTAAACCCCCTCCTTGCCCCGCGTGTATGGAGTGGTAAGCCGCACTGTATGTCATCTGCGAATTTGACTGCAATTCTACAGTGTAAAATTTATACATACGGTGCGGATCCCACCAGGGCCGGACTGCATTCCCACTGGGCTGTCCGCTGTCCGCTTGCGACTGCCCCAGGATGCCTGCCAACGAGCGTTGTTCGTTGTTGGACTGCTGGCACACCAATTCTTGTCTCTCCTCATCGCCTTGCCTCAAAGACCGCTTTTCCACTGTCCTCGATTTTTTTTTTCTTCGAACGAGAGACAAGACTGGCTGCCTGCACGTCACAGCCATTTCTGTTCTCCCAGCCGCGTTTCGTCCCCTTCGACACGTTCTTTTTGCGGTGCCCGCCCAGCAACGGCTTGCTCTGCCCAGGCAACGCAAACCCTTTTTTCTCGACGTTTAGTGGTTCAGCGGTATTGGCGGCATCCACTCTTCGACCAGGCCGGGACCTTCGATTGTTGACAAAAAATTTGAACAAAACAGACCCGCACACCTCAACTCGATAACCCTCCCATCAGAAAAAGAACAGCCTTTTGAGCATCGCCATCTTTCTGCACTCTGGCGCTTGCTCTCCCTGCGAAAACAATCGAGGGTGTTCCGGTCTTTGCTGGCTCCTGCTGCTGAAGCCAGGCTTGTCTCGACGCCCTGTGTGGATCCTACCCACGCCCCCGCCTACGTGCGCAAACTTTAGCTGCCACAGGCAACGAAACATTCTCCCTAGCAACCCTCCCTCTCTCGCCTTCAGAGCCCCCGCTTTCCACACCCCTCAACCACGGGCCATAGTACTCAAATCGTAGCCATGGAAGGCGCACCGGATATCAATATCATTCTTGAGAACTCGCTGAGCCCAGGTTTGTATTTGCCATCTTGAGCTGCCTTGACTGATTTTTACCATGACGTTATCTTTTGCTGACTGCTTCTTCCAGACGCGACTCTGCGTCACGCGGCGGAACAGCAGCTCACCCATGCTGCTGAGACCAACTTTGTAAGGCTTCCTCTTCCTACCTTTGCTTTGCCCTTTTCGACTTTCTACCTTCCTAGTCCAGTGTCGATCGAGAGGAAACAGTCTTCGCTGACACTTGTTTCGTCATCCAGTCCCAATACCTCCTAACACTTGTCCAAGCCCTCGCAAATGAGAGCAGTGAGGGGCATATTCGAGCCGCCGCTGGTATTGCCTTGAAGAACGCCTTTAGTGCACGCGAATTCGCGAGACAAGCTGCGCTACAAGCAAAATGGCTCAACCAGACCGATCAAGAAACGAGGACACGTGTTAAGCAGCTGGCGCTGGAGACGCTGGCCTCGTCCAACTCCAAAGCCGGCCAGGCTGCTGCCCAGGTCATCGCTGCGATTGCGGCGATCGAGCTTCCCCGGAATCAGTGGCCTGAGTTGATGCATGCCCTCGTACGAAATGTCAGCGAGGGTGGCCAGCATCAAAAGCAGGCATCTTTGACGGCGATCGGCTTTATCTGCGAGACGCAGGATACCGATTTGAGGAACAGCCTTGTTGGGCATTCCAACGCCATCCTAACTGCCGTCGTCCAAGGAGCTCGGAAGGAGGAACCGAACAACGAGGTCCGTTTTGCTGCCATTACTGCCCTGGGCGACTCGCTCGAGTTTGTCGGCAACAACTTCAAGCATGAGGGTGAACGTAACTACATTATGCAGGTCGTCTGCGAGGCGACACAGGCGCAAGACTCTCGGATACAGCAGGGTGCGTTCGGTTGCCTCAACCGAATCATGGCCCTTTATTACGAGCACATGAGATACTACATGGAGAAGGCTCTCTTTGGCCTGACTATCCTGGGCATGAAGAGCGATGATGAGGATGTCGCGAAGCTGGCTGTTGAGTTCTGGAGCACTGTGTGCGAAGAGGAAATCGCTATCGAGGACGACAACGCTCAGGTAGAGAGCTCAGAGCAGATGCGGCCGTTCTACAACTTCGCTCGCGTCGCCACGAATGAAGTTGTTCCTGTTCTCCTTCAGCTTCTGACTAAGCAGGACGAGGATGCCTCGGACGACGAGTACAACATCTCCCGCGCCGCCTACCAGTGCCTGCAGCTCTATGCTCAAGCTGTTGGGTCAACCATCATCCCCCCTGTTATCCAGTTTGTCGAGCATAACCTCCGCCATGCTGACTGGCACTTCCGGGATGCTGCAGTGTCTGCCTTTGGTGCCATTATGGATGGTCCCGAGGAGAAGGTGCTGGAGCCTATTGTGAAGACTGGCATGCAGCCTTTGATTGCCATGATGGAGGACGAGTCTATCCAAGTTCGGGATTCCACTGCCTATGCCCTGGGTCGCATCACCGAGGCCTGCTCGGAGGCTATCGACCCCAACACACACCTTGAGCCCTTGATTCGTTCTCTCTTCAATGGTCTCATGAACAGCCCTAAGATGGCCGCTTCCTGCTGCTGGGCTCTCATGAACATCGCTGAGCGGTTTGCCGGCGAGCCGGGTGCTGCTCAGAACCCCTTGACACCCCACTTCAACCAGAGCGTTACCAACCTGCTCACGGTTACTGCACCAATGAATGGTGATTCCACCGTCCGCACCGCCGCCTATGAGGTCCTCAGCGTGTTTGTTCAGAACGCTGCCAATGACAGTCTCAGCGCTGTTGCCTCTCTCTCCACTGTGATTCTTCAGCGCTTGGAGGAGACGCTCCCGCTGCAGCAACAAGTTGTCAGCGTTGAGGACAAGCTCATCCTCGAGGACATGCAAACTAGTCTTTGCACTGTCCTCCAGGCCACAGTCCAGCGATTGGACAAGGAGATTGCTCCTCAGGGTGACCGGATCATGCAAGTTCTTCTCCAGATTCTGAGCACTTGCGGCGGCAAATCTAGTGTGCCCGAGGGCGTCTTCGCGGCCATCAGCGCCTTAGCCAACGCCATGGAAGAAGAGTTTGCCAAGTACATGGAGGCCTTCGCCCCCTTCCTCTACAATGCTCTTGGCAACCAAGAAGAGCCGAGTCTGTGCTCGATGGCTATTGGCCTTGTCAGCGACGTTACTCGGTCTTTGGGCGAGCGTAGCCAGCCGTACTGCGACAACTTTATGAACTATCTCTTGGGTAATCTTAGGGTATGTTGTCGACCGTTTCGCATCGAAATTGTCGAATCAGCTGTACTAACTTGATCTTCGCAGAGTACTACCCTTGCGAACCAGTTCAAGCCTGCTATTTTGCAGTGCTTTGGCGATATCGCTAGCGCCATTGGCGGTCACTTTGAGACCTATCTTACCATCGTGGCCCAAGTGCTCCAGCAAGCTGCTACTATCACGGCTGGGCCCGATGGCTCCTATGAGATGATTGACTATGTTATTTCCCTTCGGGAAGGCATCATGGATGCTTGGGGTGGCATTATTGGTGCCATGAAGACCAGCAACAAGAGTATGTTTTTACCTATATCCTCAAGTTATCTCTTGGGCTCTTGCTAACATGGCCATTCAGCCAATGTCCTTCAGCCTTATGTCGAGTCCATCTTTGCGCTACTGAACAGCATCGCTAACGACCCCAACCGCAGCGAGGCTCTCATGCGGGCCTCAATGGGTGTCATTGGGTAAGTGATCATGTTATGGAGAGGTAAAACCTTGAAGCAGTGCTGATTATATGCAGTGATCTCGCCGACGCCTATCCTAACGGCCAACTGGCCGATGCCTTCCGGCAAGACTGGATCACGGCCATGATCCGCGAGACAAGATCGAACCGGGAGTTCGGAGCCCGCACGATTGAGACGGCCCGCTGGGCTCGTGAGCAAGTCAAGCGCCAAATTGCTGGTTCACAGACTGTCATGCAGCAGTCATGAATGTGTCCACTTAGAAGCAGCTTGCAGATTGAGACTCCGGAAGTCTTGCTCTCTCAGTCTTGGAGGCAGTTGGGACGACGTTTGCCCAACCTTATTGGCCTTTTAATGAACGTTGGACGAGCCCTTTCTTCCGCGCCCTCCCCGCTACTCCCAACACATCACTATCTCGCGATAAGGCACGTCACGGCACGAGACGAGCATGATGCAACAGAGGTGCACAGATCATGTGTATATAGACCCTGCCTGGCCCCTTATCGGAGATCATACCCTAGAAGTCACTTCACTATCTAACACCTTTAGCACCTTTTACCCTCCATCGGGAACGCCTTTTATTTTCCATTTCTTACTTGGTGTCATGGGTTTATGGGACGATGATAGAGGATCATGTACTGTTCCATGCTTCTATATCTCATAGAGGCCGGGGCAAACACACCATCATGTAGAATTGTGAAACGGATTATTCCCCTGAAAAGAACGGCGGTATGGATGACGGCTTTCGACGTCCACGTCTATAATCTCGGTGACTCTGTAAATGGTCATGTATGCAACGGTAGGGATTAGGTTACTCCGGGTTTTGTGGCTCTTTGATACAGTATAGCAAGAGACGAGCCACACAATGATAAGCCGCTTCTTGGCTGATAGATCGGCGTTCACTTGATGCTGTGATCAAAGGGTCGAGTTGTGTATACCGGACATGAGCTCGGGAGTCCGGAGCTGTAAAGTCAGGCCAAGTGAGCCTGTATCGATCACTTCCCTTTACACACAAATATCGGGCACACTTTGGCAGACAATGATCATTGTCTGTACAGATTATCTTTGTCCGTCTGTTGTCCGACCACGTCTAAGCCTTGCGTCTCGGGCCAAATGCACAGTGCGTCATCTTGCTTGACTTTACATTTATATCCTTGACCTCAGAAGTTTGGGGATTTGCTGGGGTTGGAAGAGGGCTAGAGAGAGATGGATAAACAGCCCTGTAGGGAGGACAAACCAAACCAATTCGATGGCATGCCTGCAAGCCTTCAATCTGACATGATCATGGAGAGGAGGGGAGCCTAGCTTGAATCATTTCATCCGCCCAAACCCACATCATGAAAGGCCACGAACCACCCCGCGCTCGATTGCCCCTCCCTTTTACAGGCCGTCTGCAGGCAAAGCAGAGCACTCGCATGCCCTGCAGCGCGTGGGCGTGGGGCTTGAGGCGACCCCGGCCCTGTGCAGGTCAGCAATCGGGTGCTGATCCGGGGGCAAGGGGAGAGAGCACAGCGGGGCCGTGCACGGACCACTGCGATTAAAGCTCCGGAGGGAGGGCTGTCGGTACCTGGGAGGGGCTGGGTTGGTATGTGAGAGGATGGATGATTGGTTTGGAATGAGATCAGAGACGTTAGATATCAGAGCTTTAAGTCGTGGTATTGCGATGAATGCATCCAAAAACCTAAGTTTTGGAAAGGAGGTGGTGTAAATTACGAAAGCAATACGGTAAGCTCCTACAAATGGTTCGAAGCACGGGCAGCCTGGGAAGAGTGGGTCTCGTCCGCATCTTGTTCGCAGCGTTTTGATGAGGGAGGAAAGAGCCCTGCACTGAAATTGGGTTTCCGGCGTTAAGGATTAAAAAAGATCTTTGGGGTTTTGCTGTTGCGTCCAGAACACTGCTGGCTTTGCTGTCTCCCAGCGCGCCAGAGATAAGGTTTTGCACCGACATCCTTCGAGGCTCAATCCATTCAGCGCCAAAAGAGAGCTTTGGGCTGCCAGCAACACTGCACCTCAGCCCCACCCGACAGCGACAGTTCTTGTGAGTTCACTGGACTCTCCGACCGCTGATTTTAGGTCCGCAACCCGTTCCTGACCTCTCTCGTTTGTTTAAGCCCGGACGGACTTCGTTGTCCACTTCCGCTTCTCTCCGGCAGGCTCTCTGGCTCCAGGCAGGCTCTAGGTTTCCCGAGACCGAGACACGCCCCGTATCGACAGGGGCGTGCCAATATGGACGTCGACAATAATCCTTCGGGCCCATCGGTGCCGTTGACGGTGCCCCCTCCGCCTGGCCAAAGCCCGGACCAGCTGCAGCCCGGAGGAACGCATCCACCTGTCATCATCAGACGGCGTGCCCCCATTGCCTGCCGAAGGTGCGTGCGCTCGTGTCCAGACTTTCCCTTTCTCGGATCGCCATTTCAATTGTGAAAGACATGAATACGGCCATGCCCATTCCCGTTGCCGAACCAGATATTTCTGTTTCATCATGTCGGGCCTGACAGCCTGTTATTTAAAGCTTTGTAGAAGTTGAATGAGATCCTGACGAGCAAGTCAAGATGTCGTCGCATGCGAAGTAAATGTGTAGCCCATGAAAAGGGGAAACCGCCATGTCAGGCATGTATTGATGCCGGCTTGGCCCCTTCAGAATGGTGAGCTTCCGGTTTTCCATATCCATTCAGCGCCGAACTCTTTTTTCCTCTAATGAACTCCTTCTATCTCTTTTCCGGTTGAAATGAGAAGCGACAAATCAGGAATGTCAGTACTGATGCTGTGAGCTGGTACAAGTGTCTTCCCACTCCGTGGAGAACCGGACCTCGATCGCGAGTATCGTCACCCTCGTGTCAGGTCCGACAAAAGCAAGAAACGAGATGTGACGAAAATGAAAAGTGTAGACGAGTCTATCCCAGTACGTCTACCTGTTCCGGCGGCTCCTAGCCAGGTTAAGGGCGGCGATGAATGGGATCTGTTGCCTCCTCTTCTCGAGGTTCTCGATGCCGTCAACACTTTTACGCGACATTACTTCCAGCTTGGCTTTATCCCGAAGCAATTGTTTCCAGAACGACTCCAAGCGAACCCCCGCTCTGTCAGTGTTTTTTTCCTCCTGGGGATCCTCAGTGTCTCGGCGCGGTTGACACCAGCGCTAGTGAGACGATATGGGAGCGCCGTCAAAGCCTCTGAGATATTCATGGAGCGAGCTTCTGCTTTAGCACAGACTGAGGTTTACAAGGAGCCAAGTCTGGAGAGATGCCAGGCCTTCTATCTGCTCAGTATCGCCCAGCAAGGGAGCGGCTTGAAATACCAGAGTTCTGTAAGTAGTGGACCCAAGCCTTTTGCAGTAACAAACAGCTGACCTTGGACAAGATCAACATGGCCATATCTATCCGAATGGCGACTTTGATGCAATTGCACAGGGAAGAAACATATGTCCTGCAAAATCCCACTAGAGAGCTCATCATTAGGGCCGAGTCTGCCCGCAGAACCCTCGTATGTATAGCCAAGGGGCAGTTGAGCAGTTCGGTTGTGATACTGACCCAGTATTTCCAAGTGGATGCTACATAGTCAAGACAATCTACATTCAGGTCCTCATTCACCTGTTTCGTTGTCGGCTAGTGACATCACTACACTGCTTCCTGCAAGCGAAGAAGACTTTGCTGCTGCAAGAGAGCCGGAATTAAGGGCAGCTCTTGAGGATACGCCCCCAGCATTGGAAAACCCAGCCTTGGTCCACGATAAAAGGCGATCACTCTTTGCGTCACTAATACAAGCTCACTACTACTGGGGAGCTATATCTCGTCAGGCGATCAATAAGAGCAAGAGCATGCGCCCATGGGATTCATCAAGTGAGTATGCACAAATGCAGAGGAGGCTGGACCACTGGGAAAGCCAGCTACCTGAACGCCATCGCTGGAGTCCTGCTTCACTGAAGAAATATAGACAGGAAAGCTTGGAGCTGGTATTGCTTTGAACCTTTGCTAGCCCTCATGTACTGTTAACTGACATAATCGCCAGGCATATCTTGGTGTAACCATGATCCCTCGCCTTTGCAATATTGTCCTTCGGAAAGCATATCTACAGGAGTATGTCCTGATTGCCTCACTCTCTTAGTTGCCTTTCCATAGACTCCTTTTTTTTTTGGCTGACTACGAATGGTTTTCAGGATGCTATCTGATAATAAATCAGACCCCACGTTGACCTCGTTTTGGAATAAGATGGCCCATGAGCTTTTCCAGAACGTTGAAGATCTCTACCAACAAATCGAAACTCAGTTCTCAGAACGGCCGTCAGAAGAGGGGCCAGGTGCTCAGATGGCAGTAAGTTCCAGCATTAGAGAAGTCAGCAAAGACTGAGGATAACAAATGAGCACAGGCGTTTTGCGTGTATACTTGTGGTTTTCTTGCATGCTATCCTCACAGATTCCCGCACAGTAAGTTTCGTTCATCAGTGTGGCACTTTGAATCTTCTGGGAAAGGGGACAATGCTGATCTTTTTAGTTTGCCCAAACCACAGCATAACTCGTAACGCTTCACAGATGGTTGAACGAATATTAGATATTCTTAATCACTGCAGGACCGTATGGCCTTTAGCCAGCAGATGGTATGAACACCTCGAGCGATTCTACAAGACGCAGTCGGTGGTGCCTGTTGGAGCAGAAGGGGGAATGGATGACAGCGTAAGTGGGGTCTGTAAAGGAACGCAAAAAACGTCGTTCCTAACCATCTTCCAGCGTGATCCTATTCCCCATGTTCTGCAACAAGCTCCCAAGGGACAAGATATGAGGTCTGGTAGTCAGACATCCATCTCTCCGATCCCAGGGCGAGATGGTCAGCCAGCCAGCAACCCGGCTGTAACTATCGCTCCATTATCTACACCTCCTGTCGTTTCAACCTCGTATGCAGGCGCAGCTGGTATAGCGCCACCGACCTCAGTCGCTCAAGCTCAAACTGTACCACAACCGTTACCTCCTCAACAACACATGCTTCCTTCTCACAGCCAGGTCGAAGTTACACCAGCAACAGTTCCAGTACCGCAAGGCCCTGCTGCTCCAAGGCCGCCCACTACTGACGGCTTGGGCTTGCTCCTTGAAGCCTTCGATACACACCAAGCAGCGAGTGGTGCAGCAGCTCCTCCCAATGTCGTGGTGGCTGGACCAACCACCATAACTACCGTTCCTCAACCTCCACACTCTCAGCACCAAGCTCAAGCAACGTTCAGCCCACATGTCCCAACCCAGCAGCAACAGGCATACTTCCCTCCTCAGACTCAGCCGCAACCGAATCCCCATGCAACAGGGCTGGTTATGAACGATGGGTATGAACATGAGCTCAGTTACTATATGCATACGAATAACGTCTCCGGAATACAGTCAGGTTGGTCTGGAGGGGGAAGTATGTTTGGGTATTAGTCCGTGGGTGGCTGTGATGGGCGAGGGAACGAGAAAAACTCCTAGTAAGTTTATCTTTAGCTTCATTTCGGAGGACTATATATACTAGCAAGCATGTTATGGGCTCAATAATCTCATGTGAACCATGATCGAGAAGGATCAATACAAAAGTTGGTTGGCGCACTAGAACGTTTTTTATATCTCTTTTAGAGACTTCCTTGGTAGTTCATAATTTTATGGATTATTTACCTTGGATATGCTCTAATATCGTAGCTGAAACTCATTATGTCGTTGATTAGACCTTCAACAAACAGCGAGGTTCTTGTTCGCTTTTCTCTCGAGAGTTCTTGGTCATTGGCCTTCCACACTAACGGTTGCCTTTTTACATGGGAGCATAAGTATTTTACATGTAGATTATGCGCTGCAAAATGCAAGTGCTGGTTTTGCGATACGGATAGGCGATCATCTATGAATTGGATATGCATATATCGGGCTCTCCTCGGCGATAAGCACCATACAAAATCTCCTTGTCGAGCTATCATTGGTCCTACGCAAACAGCTTCGTCATAGCCGGATCCTGGAGCGGGCCCGTTCGGATCTTTTGTCGCAATCACTTTGCGCTGCAACTGGTTCTTCAGTGACGCCGTGTCATACTCTCCCACACATTATCCCACAATCATGGCGGCCAGGACAGAAACAGCACAGCACGTGCTGTCACTGGTATGTACCTTTTTTTTTCTTTCTCACCAGCTTTCCGTGAAGCACCCCTCCAGCAATCAGTCAATCAATCAGCCATTCTGCCGCTGGCTCTTAGAGATGTTGACTTCTAGGGACGGCTGTGCTGAAAGATCTTGGATAGTTGGGTGCTGACTCTACTCGCACTTGATCATAGTACCGGCAACTTCTCCGTCAAGGGCGCCAGTTTACCAACTACAACTTCCGAGAGTACGCCAAACGCCGGACGCGGGATGCGTTCCGGGAGAATAAGGATGTCCAGGACCCCGCTCAGATCCAGGAGTTGATCCAGAAGGGGAGGCAAAACCTGGATATGATGAAGGTGCGCTTGGTTCCTTTTTTAGGGGGGAAGGGGGGCCGATCTCCGGTGGAGGCTGTGGTTCTTTGTCCCAAGTGATTTGGGGGCTTTGTGAGAGGCAAGGCTGACGAGGTGGATCTGCATAACAGCGCCAGGTGGCGATCAGCCAATTTTACCAGCTGAACAAGCTTGTGGTGGAAGGCGGGTTATCAGTACGCCAGGTTCCATCCATGCAGTTTGCGGGACAGCTGTAGGGTGTCTCTGACATAATCCCTCCAGGGCAAGGATTCGCCGGGGCATGGCGAGACGGTTAGGCAGAAAGACACTGGGTGAGTGACAAAGACGCGGACCAGTCAGTTGGTTTTTCAGTCGCGGATGTTGCTAACTGTTGTCCAGCTGGGACTGAGCAATACTCTCGCAAGAGGATAAGAGGCTTCCACTGCAGCTTGCTCACCGAGTTCTACCTTAGTTCGGAAGTCTAGGGACCTTGAGACTCGCTGCCAGTATGTGTATACCAGTAATGACCAATGACAAACATTGCAAATCTACCAGGAGTTTGGCGCTGGGACAACTGCGGATGTCCATGGCATCAAACATGCACATAAGATTCTAGAATCGGACGATTTTCCTTTGAGCAAGAGTTGAATTTTGTAGGCCAAGAGGGCAGAAAATGGACATACGGAAAATGAGATTGGTTCAATGATATCGGAACAGAAGAGTTATGTATGGTCGTCTATCCGGTCTTTGGATGTGATCGTTGGTCAGGATCCGCCGGGACAGGACCCTGAGTCGAGGCCACAATACAAGGATTACAAACAGCAAAGCCTGGCTTTGGTATCATGATATCGTTATAACCGGGTCTATCACATACGCGGGTTGCCAGAGCGGCGGAACGCGCCAGGTGTTTGGGGAACCGCTGCTGGTATGCGAATGGCCAATTCAACTTTCATCACAACCACTTGGCAAGCCTGCGACACCACCTTTACAAGGGTCTCCTGTGGACGAGCCATTGTGCCATTGTTCATCCAACCACACCTGGAGTTAACCTTCACGTTTTCTCACAAATTCCTATCAACCTAGCGCCTTCGGATATACATATTCGCTCTTCATTCTCACTGCCAGATCTTGTTCTGCTGCTGGTTCAATCGCTGGACCCAGATCTGCGCAGCGCGACGAGAAGACTCGAAGCGCAGGTGTTCGCCTACAGCCTTCCACGGCACCTTCGCGATCAGATACAACGTTTCGCGCTTGGTGATAGCTTAGTCATCGCCGGAAGCTCGACGTTTGCCGTGGATACATTGTGACGGAGATCTCAGTATTCACATTTAGACAGTTCGCGATGGCACCGCCTGTGAGTCAAGTCCAAAGGTTCAGCTTAGCAGCAACATTAGCTGACAGCTCTGTGTTGGAAATAGCAATTCCGGACTGCGACGCAGACGCGCCGAGGTGCGCGCAGTGGTTTTGTGGAACAGGATGACTTTGAGGGTATGTAATTGTGCCCAATGATCCCTCTACCCCTCCATTATGAGATGTCACCGGAGAGATGCACTCTTCCTCGCGCCAACATGTGACTGACCAAACACCTCATCTATAATGTCAACAGGCCTGCCGGTGCGACAGTGGCGTCAAGAATGGGTCACCTACACTCCTCCCGTCCCCCAGGAAGTAACTCAACAGAGCGACCGTTGGGCCGTCGAACTCCCGTTTGGCATGCCTCGTGAGAGCCATCTCCTACCGCCGCATAGTCAGGAATTGCTGCGCGCCGCTCGATCAGGTCGGTTGTACAAGCGACCTGCCCCAGAGGAAGAAGACGTTGATGTCGAAGTCGATACCATTAAGGGTGAGAAGAAGGACTGGGAGACTCCCAACGAAGGTTTCACCTTCAAGGCTTGGAAGCAAGTGCCGCGCAACGCAGAAGCCGCCGATATATCCTACCTGGCGAAACGTCCAAAGAACATCATTACCTTAGCTGCGAAGGTTGAACCCGCGCAGCCAACAGGTCCGACCATTACCAGAGCGATCGTCCGTCGAATCGATGCCGCCGGTAACCCCTACGAGCAGACCATTACCCTTACTGAGGGCCAGAAGGTGGATGGCGAGATCATCTCCACGACAGTGGTGCCGGCGCCGACAACGCAACCAGAAATCGTTCCTCAGCAGACAACACCCGCTAGGAGGAGGCCCCCGCCGCCCAAGAGGAAAGCTAAGGGTGTTGGGCGAGGGAGGAAGAAAGGGAAGCTGCCGTTGCCGATGCATGCGACGAGATCGCAGAATGCTGCGGCGGCAGGGGCTGATGCTGTTAAGACAGAAGATAATGGTGTTGAGGTAAGACTATTTTTTTGTTCCCGTGCTACGAACGAGTGGCCTTGCTGATAACTCTTCCAAACAGGGAGTTAAAGTCGAAGATGCCGAAGACAGCGCGAACCCAGATAGCGAAATGGCCGATGTCTCTGGGGTACCATCCGACGAAGAAGAGGGCGAAGAGGATGAGGAGGTCGACGAGGAGGGCGGTGATGAAGAGGGCGGTGAAACACCTAATGTTGGGAGCACAAATGGCGATGTTCCTAGCCAAGAGCCGGAGGACACTGAAATGTCCGATGTGCCCCAGCAACCCTCTACCGAAGAGGCTTCGCAGCCCCCGACCTCCGAAGGAGAGCCTCCAGTGCAGAAGGTGGTGCGCTTCCAAACTCCAAGCATCGGGACAAAGCTCGAGGGCAGTCCTCTGAAGAACGTCATGGTCGCATCGCCAACAGAGCCGGCGGCGCCGTCGAACGATTCCATCCCGCCCTCAGTAGCACCACCATCACCCCCATCTGACCAAGCCATGGAAGTTGATCAACCCGACAACGATAAGACTGCTCCAACGGCCACAACCATCACAGAAACTCCCGAACCCCAAATCAAGCTCGAACAAATCCCTTCGGAACCACTCTCACAACCCCCCGCTGAACAACCAGCGCTCACCACGCAGACCCCTTCCCAAGATGCCGCCGCAGCAACCGAGTCTGAAGAACCTCCGTCATCAGCGTCTGCAAATCCAGCCGACCCTCTCAAACCCCCTGCTTCTCCGGCTCTCCTGCCTACAGTCACTAACGACAACGAGGACGACGGGCTTAACTTGCTTGATAGCCTCGAGAGGGAGTTGAATAAGCAAGAGGAGGCTGCTAATGCGGCCAAGGTTCAGAATCAAGCTGCCTATGCTGGTGGTGGTGGTGGTGGTGTTGGTGCCGGTAATCCCGGAGCTGGGGGTGCAGAGCAGGCAGCTGAAGAGGAGGAAGTCGATACGTTGGCAGTTGCAACTGAGGAGGGTAAGGGGAAGGTTGCGGTTGGGGATGCGGGGGCTGGGTCTGAGGCGGATAAGGGAGGGGAGGAAAAGCAGGAAAAGGCTACAGAGGAGTCGGCAGGAGGGAGCTACGCAGGAGGTGAAGACTGAAGGAGAGAAGCCTGAGTGAGAACTTAGGGATTGGATGAGAATCGGATTGAGAGAAAGTCCAGTTCGGACTATAAGGGTGCTAACCTTGTTTGGGTTTCTTGTAGCATACGCCGTTTAAGGGCATTAATCATATCTTGGGAACAGCGATGATCACTAACTTGGAGACCTTCCCCAAAACACAAGTTTTTTGAATTTGTAGCATTACAGGCATAGGGATGCGATAGGCCTATCAATTATAACAGACGCTTATCCATTCCCAAACCGAAAATCAATTGGGACGAACAGCTACGCCCAGTATGATTTTCTATTTCTCCCCAAGCCTCTTCTCCCTCCAGTGCTATACTGCTACACTATAAAAGAGCACACATGTGTGGATAATGTATTCCACTCATATCGCCGGGTATAAGATACATGAATCCAACCACCACCATTACACAACTATACATAGGATTAAAAAAAATGAGGCGCCGTGTCTTTGCTTGCTTGCTTGCTGTTGAGAGTGAAACCGCGAAAAAGTCTAACCCGTTTGTGAGGTTGAAAAGAAGCCATTAACTTCCACATCTAAAAACGCCATTGCTGTTGCCGTGGTGGGACACGCCTGGCCGCCCAAGAACAAAGATAAAAAAAAAGGAAAGTAAAAAAGTATAGTGAATGGCCATTAAATCGCTCGGCGGGTGATTTTTCTTTTCAAACAAAAGGAGGTTGAATAGTAAATTAGGCAGGATCATACCTTCGGCATCGTAACAGGCCTCGCCGCATCCCTCAAGGCCACGGGTCCCATAAACTCCATCGGCCCGCCTCTAACGTCCTGCATCTCCATGCCCTCATCCCTTTCGCGCTTGCGCCTGCCGAAGACGATCCCCTGCGTCCTCTTCTGCGCACTGAGCCGCTGATCGCCCTCCTCATACCGGCGCTTAAACTGGTAGTACGACGGCGGTCTCGGGCGACAGAGAACCACAATCCAGTTCTTGCACCAATTCGCTTGCGTAAAAGCCCGATACCGGTCCTTCTTGAGAAACTTTTGCGAGTTGAGATACTCGCGCGTGGTCTCGCCGCGCGCCATCAGGAAAACGTGGTAGCCGGTGAGGGCGGCGGGGTACGCGGCAGCCAGGATGCCGTAGATGACCATGGCGAAGGGCACGCGAAAGTGGTTTATCGACGAGCCGAAGGAGATGTCCTCGCGGCGCTGGTAGACCAGGATCTGGGCGAGAGAGGCCCCGGAGAGGTAGAGGCCCAGGACGGCGGCGCTCGCGACAAAGGTGAAGAAGTAGCGGTAGTTGCGGCGGCCGACACAGTTGTTGAGCCAGACGCAGTGGTGGTCTTGTGTTTCGACACAGTTGTCGCAGAGACGGCAGTGGTGGGCGCGAGGGGGGCGCCAGATGTTGCAGGTCTTGCAGAACTTGGTGGGCACTTCCATGGCGGCCGTGTTCTTTTCGTACGACTTGACTAGCACCCATTCTGTTGTCGGAGGGCCAAGTCGGTACGGGTCGGGGTCCTCTTCTTCTGGGGGAAACTTGTGCAGGTTTCGCGGCAGGATCTGTAAGATGTTAGTCGCTTGAGCATATGCCACGCAAGTCTCACTTAGAAGAACTGACCCCTGGGTCTGAAGCTGAGGCATGAACGAAAGATGAGAAACAGATGAAGAAAAGATAAGCGAAGGTGATAGGGATCGCTGGGGATATGCTGTGCCACAGCCAGGGTGCTGAGAATATGAAAAAGAGAATGCCGGGAATCACGACAAACGATCCCGTCGCGACGTTGATCGGACGATATCTAGTGTTTTGTAGCCGACCTCCCATGCAAAATACCGTACTCCCTTCGAAATATTCATAATTCCGACCAAGATTTGGTTTCTTTTTGGACTCTGGCCGTTCCTTAGGGGTTCCTGGAGGCATGGGAGTCGAAGCAACGGATTCCAGCTTCTCTCCCCCTTCCATTTCCCGATTACCGCCACCAGCATCACCGCGCGGCAAGATGAAGCTGGACCGTAGTGAACGTGGGGTACGAATCGGCGTCGGGATGTTGACTGGTGTCTTGTGAGTTTTGCTGTTGCTGCCATCAAGATCCAGAACAAGGTTCTTTCCGGCATCTCGCCTTCCCTGTAGGGGTTTGACACTATCTGCTAAGCTCGAAGCGGGATAATGGCCATGTGTTGGGCTTGTAGTAGCCGTGATGTGGGAAAACCCCTCCTGCTCGGTGAACTCTGTGCCCCGTGAAGGCGGTGGCCGCAGGTCTCCGTCGCCGGCTTGTCCATCCAATTGCGCGCCAGCCTGGGTGTCTGGACCCGAAATCATGCTATTCCGATTTTCTCCTCCGTTTGAATATTGAGAGAAGCGGCGTTGCTCCATGGTACCTGGCCTACCGAGACCTCTTTGGGCTTGCAATTTTTGTGAACTCATCGGCCGGAAGAAGGCATGCGATGTGAGTGTCGGGACGTGGCTTCGGCTCATCGCGCTTCCCGGGCGTGCCCCTACTGATGACCCGCCAACACTGCCCGCAATGCTTGCACGCTTGCCTGCTAGTCCTTGCCGTAATGACGGCGCCTGCCCCCATGGCGCTCTCTGGGAGATGCCGGTCATGCCGGTCCTTGCAGTGCCTGGGCGAGAAGTGCCATCCGAGTACAATGCGCTCCTCCTGTTGGCTGCGACGCTGGGTGCCTCGGCTGCTTCGCCGCCATCCTCAGTCATGATGTCGGTCATTCGCGATGATATGATGCTTGGGGGGCCAGGAAATGCAGATCGTGGGAATTGCGGAAAGCCATCGTCGCCGGTCATCGTGGGAGAGAGAGCTCGCGGCGCTCCCTCTCCAGGCCTCATCGTGGTCGTCGCGGATCGCTTTTCGCAGACTTGACGGGCAGGCTGATGATTACCGGATCGCGAGCCTCAATTGGGACGATCGCTATAACATTTCTGGCGTACGGGGATGCGAGAAGTCGAAAATTTTGTGCTAACAAACGTTGCGGGATGTTGCGACGAAATGCACGATGGGTTCAAGGCTGAAGTGTACCCCTGAAGGCCCGGGCGCGTGTTGCAGCCCCAGCGTGATGACGGAGTGGATTCGACGAGACGAGACGGCCGGGAGCTGACGAATGAATGGACGCCGATCTAATGCAGATGGTTGCTTCGGTCGAAGGCCCAAAGATACCGTTGCAGAGGGATGCGTCGGCGGACGGATTGAAGGGAAAAGGGAGAATGAGGTTAGGAGGATGGTGAAGGAGTGCTTCGACGCGGGAGGACAAAGGACAGGGCCCTGGATTCTGGACAGCGCGATTGTCAAGCGAAAAAAAAAATGGAGAGAACGAGCGTCGAGAAGCAAGCAAAAAAACGAGTGAGGCCACCACAAAGCAATGGGATGCTTGGATGGAATGCGAATACCAGGTGCCAAGTGCCTGGTGGCCGGCTCTGGGTCTCTCTGGTCTGCAGCACTGCACGCACTGTCCAGGGTCTGTAGGAGGCAAGGCGGAGTTGGCTGCTGGCAGTCGTCGTGATCTGGGGTGCGATGGAAAAAGCTCACTGGCCGGACCAATACCATACACGGCTTGGCATCGACTTCTATCGCCCTCTTTGGTTTGGCTGGCGGCCCTTGACTGAGACCCCTGAACGGAACGAGAGCGACGAATCCACGGGAGCTCGCGTTGATGTCAATGTTAGGTCCGAGAAAGTGTTTTTTTTTCTCTCTGCAACGCATGATGAAGTCGAAAGGCTCATACTTATGTAGACAAGCAATGATGGATGTGGCTTAAAGCCGTAGCACATGTGTCCCATAAGTGGGCACAGCAGTGGTGTTCATGCTGTCCAACCCTGAATCCACAGAAACCAAAAAGGGAGCCATCTCTCTTCGGGCTCACAGACTCCTCCGAGTCGTTAACAATAGCAGAAGCGCAAGAAGTCTGCAACCAACAAAGGGTTGACAGGCGCTGGGACATTCAAACGAAAGATAGTCCGAGCTCCCTCGCATCCCTGACGCGAATGCTTACCGGCATTGGGGCTTGGAGGTTTGAAGTGGCCCAAGCTCCAAGACCTTGGGTTCGCCAACCCCCAGCCAGCCCACCTTACGTAATCAGGCGCCAAGCCGTCGAGCTTCGGCTTTGACGAAATCGATCGTATGAGAGCACATCCAAGCTTGCACGACCATCGCCGCCGAGCTCCTCTCAAACCAGCAACACCAAACTCCCCGCTCTCCAGTTCCCCGACACCACCACTGCAACAATGGCTTCCCACATTGCGCGCCGGGCTTTCACCACTACCGCTCGCCGGCTGGCCTCCAGCGAGGAGGCCCTCAAGACCGAGTCAAAGAAGAACCCCGAGCTCATGGTGCGTCAAATTCCCACGGAAACACCCGACTCTCGTTCCGAACCCTCGACACCCGCGACGGTGATGACGAATTGCCCACGACCGCCTTCCACGACCTGCACTGCACACATGATATTCGATTGGACCCAAGCTGACACGGAGCTGTTGCACTGAAACAGATACTCGGTGGTGTTATGGTTGCTGCCCTCGGCGGCGCCGGCTACTACTTCGGTCCGTCATGAACCCCCCTCCATCGTTGTCCCCTCTCAGCATGCCACGTACCTCACGGTTGCATCAAGACTTACACGAGTGCTCTTCTCTCCCCAACAGGCCGTTCCCCCACTAAGGCGACTTCTGAGAACGCTGTCCCCATCGCCTCTCACAGCATGCCCTGGGAGACTGGCTCGTCGGGCAAGTACCAGTACCACCCTGGCGGCGACCCGAACGCTCCCCTCAAGGATGCTCCTAGCGCCGTCAACGTTGTCGTCATCCCCAACGTGAACCTTCCCAAGGTATGACTTCGGCCAGTGTTGAGATTGTTTTTTAAAGTGAAAGAGGGGAGAAATGCTAATATATTTTCTTCAGCGCCTGCATGACAAGTACAACAAGTGGGGCAAGGAGGGCTACTAAAACTGCTTCAAGAAGGGGGAAGGGCTTGCACGGTTGTCGGCTGCACTATGTCTTGACGAAGAACATAGCATGTAAATACCTTGACCTAGATTTTGGGTGGTTAGAGTGGTTCAAGGGGAGTTGAAATAGAAGTTTATGACGATATTTGTGTGAGTGATATTTCACTAATTGTATGAGAGACATTTGTTGACTGAGATCCTGGCTCTTTTCTCCCGAACGGACAGACTTTGCCAACTCTCAACGTGAGTCCAGCAAATAATACTCCACGGAAAGTTTGGCTTGCCAATTTCGGAAAGCAAGTTCATTATCACAAGGCTCCATAAACACACAAGAGTGGAATGAGAACCCGAGTAGGATATATCCCGTTTAACCCTACGCCTGAAAAAAAATAAATAAATAAATTAAAAAGAAAATAGGAGAAGTGTTCCCCTTAGGTACCTATGTATACGACTGAACCCGGCATTTGCCAACACGCTTCCTCCAACGCCAAGACCAATGCAGTACGTATCATCTTTGTTCTTCGCCTTGCTACCCTACCATCATAAAAGTGACCTTACCCATGCCAGTGACATCGATCAGGCATGTCTTGCCGCCGCAGCAGCGAACTGCTCTTGCTGTAGGCGCTCGAGCTCTTCCATTGTCAAACCGCTCTGCTCCAGCTTGTTTGCCTTCTTCTCGCGTCCCTGCTCACAGCGTTAATATTGAGAAACATGAGAAGGTATAAGTGGTCCTACCTTTTGGACTTCCTTATGCTCCGCGGCAGCCTCTAAAACCGCGGGCACATAGTCCGGAAAGCCGAGCTGATCAAGAGCCTTCACAATATGATCACAGGCAATTGTCTTCTTGGCCTCCTTTTCAGAGATTTCATTTGCCTCTGAGCTGACAAGTGTGATGAACTCGACGCAGCATTCAATTAGAACATCGCGAGCTTCCTTGGAAAAGGCGATGCCTCCAGATAAAGACAAAATCTCTCCAACGATCTTTTGGACGGTGGCTGGTAATGGTGTCAACGTATAAAACATTTTAAAAAGAACAGACTCCAAGCCAGCAAACTTACCCTTTGGTAAAGAGAGGTCGTCCGAACCTAAACATGCACGTTAGCTCTCAGGATTGTATGACTTGAATTAAGAAATGGATATACTATCGAAACCGTCTATTTGCCTCCAGTACCGATCTTGTCCGGAGATGCGTGGCATGCTGGCGAGATGGGGGTTGTCGCGGAGCGGGAATCAAGTGGATATGGAAGGTTTCAAGGAAGAGAGAGAGAGAGAGAGATACAAAGACGGCTTACACCACGAGGTAGGGGAAATGTAGAAGCCTGATGGCGGCAGCTCCAGGACTCTGGAGACTTTATGACCTCGTGTCTGAACTTTGGGAGAAAACGAGGTGTATAAAGACCCCTTAACATCAATAGCAATGACGTTTCAGCGTATACTGATGATACAAATGTATGCCTGCACTTCACTTAAAACACAGACACGCTTTGCCAGTATCATCAGATAAAGAAAACAACACATATTGGCGCACAACGCGACTTCTAGGAAAAAGTCGATGAGCGTAAAAGGGAAATGGTTACAAACCTCCAAACTCATGGTCCGACATGATGAAATTCGATGACAAGAGGGTACCAGCCCTCTCTAGCAACGATGTACTCGTTGAACCAAACTCAAACCGTGGGTTGCCAGGAAAGGAATGGGTCAAATTAAAACAGATATATCTCTTCGAATCCGGTTAGTTTTGAGAGTTTTCGGATGATGGACAAACATCCAGGACAGTCCGGGTACTGATGGTGCATGCGCCTTAGTGTTGGTGAGCCACTCTTTATATGCTCCCTCGCTGATGAGCGTGTTGCTTGTCCCGCAGGTTCCAGGCCCCACAGTACGTGTGGCGCAAACACCGCCGTTTTTATGGCTGCGCCACAGCTCTGCTTACGCTCTGCCACACCCCCGCTGCTCCACAGCAACATCGAGTATGTCCAGTGGTGCTCAAAAAATTTCCAACCCATCTTCCCCGTCCGTCCAACACGAAAACTTCAAGCCTTCCAGGCTCCGTTGTCGTCTAAGTTGTTCCGAGCCGAAGAAACGGACGTTGTGCATAAATCCCACTGAAATTTCTGAGTTTTCCTTCTTCCACTTTTTGTTCGGTCGGTTGTTTTTGTTTGGAGCCGGCCATTCACACAGATCCGAAAGTAAGGTATGCATACGCTTTCCTCCTTTCGCAATATCCTACATGATGAGAAACTCCGTGTCGCCCCAATCATACCAAACCATGGTGATTGACACTGTCACGCCAAACGACATCTCTGATATGTTGGAAAAATCCGTCTTCTAGCTTGCAGTCTCGGAGTTTTCGGGAGCTAACCAGACCTGCAGTTAGTAGAAATCATGACCGGCCCTCCTCCGTCTACATGATGCCTTGTACATTCCAATTCCGACACCTGCATGACGGAAAACTATCACCTGATTCACTTAATCATTGATCCGAGTTCATCAACCATCTCCGGTTGACAGCGCTGGACTAACCGCGACGCCTAGCCTATGCTTGTGTTGCTATATTCTGAAAAGGAGAAATGTGTTGATGGTAGGTTCCATTCTTTTCTTACTGTATTAATTCAAACTACACAAGAGTGATGAATCACTTTATATATTCCATGCTAATACTGAACAACATTGTGTGGAGAAACATAAAGCCTTCAACCTTTTTCTGATCTTGTTTTCTATCTGATATCCTGGTCATGCACTTCTTGCGACTTTTCCATGCTGACCCTCAATCAATCAGGCTCTCTATCTGCCCTGTTACTGTCGATATTCCACCAGCTCGGGCGCGTCCCATCTAGCAAGATATCAGTAAAGGTAGTTAGAGCTCAATCATAAGGATGACTTACTTGAAGTACTTCCCAGAAAGATCAGCCTTTGCATCTACGGCCAGTCTGGCAATGACACCTCCAGACTGCTCGGGTCGTACCAATCTGCCCTGCTCAAAGTCCGCCTTGAAAGTCTCGTACTCCTTTGGTGCCATGGCAGTGCCCTTTTCACGGATTTCCTTCTGCATGTCCGTATCCACTCTGCCAGGACTGATTGCCACGGAGATAATATCTGGTTCTTCAACCGCGACGTGCTTAGCCAATGAATTGAGAGCGGCTTTTGAAGAGCCGTAGGCTGCCCAGGCAGTGTATGCGCCTGTTGCCGCACCCGAAGAAGTAAAGATAATTCGGCCCTTGGTCTTCCGTAGGTGAGGGATCGTCTCTTTTACCTAGTCGCTGGTCAATATAATGTATATACTTGCTGAAGAGCCTGTGATCTTACGATTGCAAGAGCGCTGAAGAGGTTGGTATCGTATAACTTCTTCCACTCTTCAATAGACGCATCTGCAAGGCGAGTAATGGGAGACAAAACACCATGATTAACGACAACTCCATCAATTCTACCAAATGTAAGAATGGCAAGCTCAGTCAGTCGGAATGCTGCCTTGAAAGCCCGTCAGTATTGTATTGTAGTTCCTCCAAGAGATTTCGAGCAAAGCATCCATGCCCTTCTTCCACACATCCCCCTGAAGGTGGACTTAACCTGAAGCTACCTACATCAGAAACAGTCATATCGGCAGCCAGGTACGCGACCTGCTCGGGATACTGCTCTTTCAGGGCCTGGAGCTGTTCCGCTGACCTAGCGATAAGGACGACCTTGTGAGAAGCCTGCAGCAAGACCCTGGCTACAGCAAGGCCGATTCCACGGCTTGCGCCAGTCACGATGATGACTTTGGGCTCCATCTCGTTACTTTAGTTAGATCAGTTGAGCTGTCTAATTGTTGGCGGGCGCGCGCTGAATAGGGTGGTGAATTAGTGGAAGTTCACGATCTGCCGCCGCAGACGTGTTGCATCGGTGTGAGATTTTGGTTTGGGAGCCCCTCCGGGTGGAGAGAGAGAGCGGGGAACGGCCGACACTGTTAACCCAAGGGCGTACCGCAATTCATCACCGGGATTCCTTCTTCATGTTTTCATTTGGGTTGGCATCCAGATCACCGAGAAAACAGCGAAAGTGGCTGAATGGAGATCACTTTTACACTTCATTATGGAGAAAAGGTATTGGACTCAAAATGTCTAGAAACGAACTTATATACGATGGCTCTTCTCTTTTTAGCGATGTCCCTCCTTCCGTGAAGCTATCAGGTCCCCGAATCAATATCACGTTGCATCTTACCTTTATATACAAGCACCTGTAAGCACGACCAAACAACATGTCCTCTGAAACTATCATTATCGGTGCCGGTATCATCGGCGTATCAACAGCTTACTACCTCTCTCAACACCAAGACCCTACAACCATCCACATCGTCGAAACCTCCCCGGAACTGTTCTCCTCCGCGTCCGGCTTCTCGGGCGGCTTCCTCGCAAAAGACTGGTTCTACCCCCGCGTTGCCGACTTAGGTGCCTTCTCCTTCGAAGAACACCGTCGCCTTGCCGAACAACACAACGGCAAAGAGAAATGGGGCTACTCACCCACCATCTGCCTCAGCTATTATGCTTCGGAGGAAGCCCGCAAGGGCCAGAAGCGCGGGGATGATTGGCTAAGGGACGGGACCAGTCGTGCGGATGCTGCGCCGGTGATTTTGGATTCTAAGTCGAACAAGACACCAACCTGGTTGTGGAGGAATAAGGGGGATCAGATCGAGCTTATTAGTGCGGAAGGGACTACGGCCCAGGTTGATCCATTGAGGTTGTGTCACTTTTTGTTGAAGGAGTCGATGAAGCGGGGGGTGAAGCTGCATCAGCCGGCGAAGGCTGTGTCTGTGAAGACCGAGAAGGGAGTGCTGGCCGGCGTTCGCATCGTGAACGTCGAGACGGACGTGTGGACAGAGCTACCATGCAAGCGGCTCATCATCGCAGCCGGCTGCTGGACGGGTGAGGTCTTCCGAGCACTCTTCCCCAAGTCCAACGTCGAAATCCCGATCAAAAGCCTAGCGGGCCACTCCCTAGTCCTCAAATCCCCCAGATGGCATGCCGGTGTGGAAAGTAACGGCTGCCACGCCGTCTTTACCTCCCATAAAAACCTCTTCTGCCCGGAGATATTCTCCCGTCTAGGAGGACACATTTACTTCGCTGGCCTGAACTCTTCCACACTCCCCTTGCAAGACCCCGCGAAGGGCAAGGCTACGCCATACAAGGAAAACATTGACCAGCTGCGCGAAGCGGCAACAGCCATCCTGGGCAGGGGAGAGAAGATCGAGAACGATATGGTGGTTGTGCGGGAGGGGCTCTGCTTCCGGCCGGTCACGTCGAGGGGCACGCCCATCATCTCAAGGATCCGTGATCGGTATCTCGGGCCTGAGGTGGCGACGAGTCCGGGGAGTGAGGGCGGGGTGTTCGTAGCGTCGGGGCATGGACCTTGGGGCATTTCGATGAGCCTGGGCACTGGGGTCGTGTTGGCTGAGTTGGCGCAAGGGAGGAGGTTGAGTGCTGATATCAGTGGGTTGGCGTTTGAGGTGGATCAGGCAGAGTTGTAACCTGGGCCGGGCAGGGTAGGTTGTCTTGCATATGTCATCTTTACTGTCTGATGTCATCCAAATAATCCGAATAGTTGTCCCCGAGTTAATCTGAAATAGCTCCCACATTGTACTCGTCTTAGTAAGCTCAACACGTTATATACCTGACTGTACGCATTATCAGCAAGACGAATGTACTTAACATACCCCCCTATTCAAGTCTTATATATACAACGGAGTAGCAGCAAAATAGTACTTCGCAGTGATATCGCAGGCAAGTTCAATGATTGCCGACTCTCTAGCCTCTCAATACCTACGCAGCGTAGATGTTTGATAACTGCGGCCAACATCTCAATGGAAAGTTTCGTTCCAACGTCGACCACTATCAACTCACATTCATGCAAGTTCTGTGATGGTGCTAGCGGCTACAGGCTTTATACACATGGTGAATCTTACAGATGAGAGCTTGATCATTCGGATGCCCGGTATCCAGGAAGGTAAAAGAATCTCATCACCTGATAACCGTGCAGTGAGGAACCTTTCCAAGAAGAAATTTAAGCTCCCTTTCCAATATTTTCGGAGACTCATTGGAGGCTCAATGATCACTGACGTTCCCTGGATTAAGCAAGTAACCAATGGTGGTGGTTGGAGTGATGGCCAAGCATCTTGAGCTAAGCTCCAGCATGAATGCTAAGCGGGACTTGACCGAAAATCCACCAGCCAATCAAAACTCCAGATTTGCCGCCCGCCTGTGCGGGCCCCTGTTGCCCTCTGCCAGTTCCCCACTCTGGATCTGGTGGTCCCTTTCCCAGAAGGGCCCATACCAAGCTGCCAGCTGGCTGCCATTCGCCGCCATCAAATCGATTACCCACAGCAATTCTTCCACGCGATTTGACACCTGCCAGTGACTCCCCTGAGCATCACAATGCTGGCTTGCATGGGTACTAAGGAGGAACTGAAGAGGTCGCAGCGGGAAAGGTCGTGGATAGGGTCACCTCGTGGGAGGTGCATCTCCCTACCACCAGCGAGACCAGGATGGTGGTCACACTGACGGTCGTCGCCTTGGGTTGGGAGGGGGGGGGGGGGTCCATGCTCTTCTCTCATCTGCCTGTCTTCAACAAAGAAAGTTGGATGCAGCGCTCTCACTGGATGGTTTCCCCCATACAATGACACTACTTTTAATTTTCCAGTTCAACGAAGTAGACGATCCTGCACAGTATGTCCACACGGCGCTGCCGTGCACGGCAGAAGGCAGTGCCAATGTGCCACTGGGATGTTGATTGAGATGAGATCGTAGGCCCTCATATCTTGGGTGTTAGGTCGCATTCTTCCGTATCAATACACATGCCTACCTACACAGTGAGCACTAAGAAGAAGCAAAAAGTGGTGGTGGCGGGGAAGCCCAGGGCTGGGCTATGTGATCTTGCTAACAACTCCGGCTGCCGTAACCGATACCAGACGGGCCGCAGAATCGGCTGCTTGGATACCTTTTTTACAGTGGCCGTCCCCGCGTTCACGTACACACATTGTAAGCTGCAAGCAAACTTTGTCCCGCTTTTTGTGCAACGGGCTGCTTGCTGCTTGAGGGAGAGAGATAGCTGCCGAGAAAAAGTTCCCAGATCGCGTTGGGCAGAGGAAAATCTCTCTGAGACAGTTTGCTGGAGGCATTCACACCCCCTCCCCCCTGTCATAACACCCCTCTCCATTCCGATCTGCAAGGTCCAGCACTCCATACGGATTGCGTCTAGCGTCCGCTGGTGCAGGTCTGCCGAAAAGTGAACACTACCGACTGATGGAGTGTTAACAGGTGTGATATGGACATGCAGCTTCGGCTGTTCAATATTTGACCCTGCCAAAGCCAGCTGCCAATGCTTGGTGCTAGCGTGCTTTTCTCCAAGTACATACTGCACCCTTCGCCCAGATCTTCGTCCAAACCTCGTTTCTCCAATGAACTTCACTCTGTTGCAAAGCCATTGATCGGTGTTGAGAAGAAAAAGTCCAGACTCGACGGCAACGCCGCTCGTCCAGCTGGATATCTGTTGGATCGGAGCCAAGAGGACCCTTACCCAGATTTACACAGTACAGAGCGCTCACAAACATTAATATATCCGGGAAACCCCTATATTCGTGCCTCTCTCCTGCATCCTCTCGCCTCGTCTTCATCATTGAGCCTTGTTTCACAGACATTGACCCCCTCACATGCCAACTTCCTAGATGGTAATCAGCAGTGCATTTGTGGCTCTCTGATACCAATCGTGTTGCAGAGGACGGAGAGATCCTCGACGCCACTGTCAACGAGGCTCACATTGACAACTTCCTTCTACAACCAGCGTTTCACTTCAACGACACAACCTTGGCTTGACTAAAGGGCCGGTGCCCAAGTGTGCTTGGGCATACGCAGCAATCCGAAAATGACTTCCCACATTCAACCAGTGTTACAGACTCCAGCCGATACATCGCAGACCATGGAGCAGCTCGCAAAGCGTATCGACATCCCGCTTACACCCAATGCTCCTCCTGGCCTGGTCCAGGCGCTTACGGTCGATCCGTGGTCGGAGTCTGGAAAGTATGGATTAGGTTGGACGTATTTCGCGCTTGTCCTAGGAGGTCTGACCGTGGTTGTGAGGCTATGGCATTACTGGCAAGACAAGATTCGGCAGGCCATCTATAAGCAAGAGATGGAGCAACATTTCCGTGAGCTCTATCCTCGGGAGCCGGAATGGGACAGGTCGGCACCTTTGGCTACGGCGGTCGCACAGGATCCTTCGCAGCGCCATTTCTTCCCGGATGTTCCTCAGGTCCAGGATAAGACCTTCAGACCGAAGGCTCACTTCTCATCAGTTGGTTTTGTGAACGATACGTTGGCCTTGTTCCGATGGGTCTTTTACCGTCCTATCCCGGACATCGTTTGGAGGAAGCACAGGTTTACCTTCTCATCCCTCGCCGTGTTGACCTGCGTCTTCGTCGCCTTGTCGTTCGTGACCATCTATTGCTTCCTCCAGCAACCCCTTTACTGGCAGAGCATCCGGTTCGGATCACCACCTGTGGCTATCCGCTCCGGCATGATGGCTGTTGCTATGACTCCTTGGATCTTTGCGACCAGTACGAAGGCGAACTTGCTGACGCTTATTACCGGCATTGGACCTGAGCGACTCAATGTCTTCCATCGCTGGCTGGGTTATCTATGTCTCTTCCTCTCGCTGGTCCACATGATTCCGTTCTACATCCAGCCTGTCTGGGAGGATGGAGGCATGGAGGTATTCGAGAAACTCTTTCCTCCTGGAAGTGGCATCATCTATGGTTCCGGAATTGCCTGCATAGTTCCCTTGGGTTGGCTTTGCGTCGCTTCTCTCCCTGTCATCCGGCGAAAAGCGTACGAACTCTTCTCCTTCCTGCATGTTCCTGTTGGATACATCTACCTCGGTGTGCTGTTTTGGCACACGAAGAACTTCCTCATGTCGTGGGGCTATTTGTATGCCTCTATCGGCATTATTGTCGTCTGCAACATTATGCGCCTATTCAAGCTGAACTGGTCAAGGCCGTGGCGCATGTCATGGCTTGTTGGAGACGAAGCTGCCATCAACATCCTATCGGAGAATGCCATCAAGATCACGATTCCTACCCAGATGCGGTGGAAGCCAGGCCAATATGTTTATCTGCGCATGCCGGGGATCTCGCTCTTTGAAAACCATCCATTCACTATCTCGTCGCTCTGCAGCGAGGACTTCCCCTCGGAATACGGCGAAGACTACCGGGATTGCATTCTTGTTTTCCGCCCATACGGGGGTTTTACCAAGAAAGTCCTCGAAACCGCTATCGAAAAGGGGCCGTTCCACACCTACCGAGCCTTCCTCGATGGCCCGTACGGTGGTATGCGCCGTGAGCTGGCAGCGTTTGACACATGCATCTTGATCGCCGGAGGCAGCGGCATCACCTCCTTGATTTCTCAGTTGCTCAACCTGATCAAGCGCATGCGCGACGGGAAGGCCATCACGAAAAGAATTGTTGTGGTGTGGGCAGTGAAGAGGTTGGAGACGATGGACTGGTTCCGTGAAGAATTGCGCATCTGCCGGGAGTCGGCTCCCCCGGAGAGCGTGACTTGCAAGATCTACGTGACAGCAGCGGTGAGGAAGAAGCAGGGAACGCCCCAAGGTCGGGCACCCCGGCCACTTAGCAATGCATTCCATGACAAGCTAGACGGGTTCGTGGCGGGCATCGCGAGCAAGCGCAACAGTGCCTTGATCGCAGCAGAGGCTCAGGGAGATCCTGAGAGGGAGCGCGAGCTTCGCGCAGAGAATGAGGACCGCATCACTGCTCTTCCCCAGCAGAAGTATCTGCAGCCGTACAATATTCCTCCGCCGCCGCCAGGCCCCCCGCCCAATTTTACCGCTAAGAACAGGGCATCGGTTGCCGAGGAGACACTTCGCAAGTTGGAGGGCCGGAGTAGTCCGACAAAGTCGGAGTTCAGCAAGAACAACGACGGCGAGTTCCACTTCCCGCCCATCGCTCCTCGCGGCGAGAATGCTCCTCACTTCAACTTCGCGCCCCCGGCAGGGAGACAGCGGTATAGCCAGATCATTGCCGAAGCAACGGCCCGCCAGCTCCAAGCAGCTGCCGCACAGACTGAGGCGGCAAGTGACAAGAAGGAGAAGCCAGAGAAATCAGAGGACAAGAATGATAATAGTAACAACGACAGTAACAACGATGAGAATAATAACACCGACACCGATAAGAAAGAGGCTGCACTCCCGCAAATCCGCCCTCCCGAGCTAGCCCACCTCCGTACCGACGTCGGCCCAGCGCGCGGACCACGCCCAACCAGCACGTTCGGCCCGCCAGCCGGCTTCGACTTTGGCTTCCCCGAGACACCGACCGAGTTCCAGCGGTCGTTGATGCGTTTCGCCTTCCCCATTCCGCAGGTTGACGGCGGCTGGAGCGTTGAGTACGGCCGGCCGGATCTCGGATACATGCTGAAAGAGTGGGCCACGGGCGGCCCCGACGGGCGGGGGATCCTCGGCCGACGGACGGCCGTGTTCGTGTGCGGTCCGCCGTCGATGCGGGTTGGTGTGGCGAATACGGTGGCGAGGCTGCAGGCAGAGATCTGGGGCGATGATATGCTGGAGGAGATCTTTTTGCATACGGAGAATTATGCTTTGTAACGGGCTTGCTTGGTAAGGGTTGGATTTTGGGTGTGTCTTGGATATTAAGGTCAACGGGAAAGGGGACTAAATTAGGGGGATTGGGACGGCGTTTTCAAAGACAGAGATACCACCTGTACTGCGGTAAGCACCGCCTATTTGTCTACTTTGAGGTTTGCGTCTTCCAAAAGGTAGTATTATGCATGAGGCTCGACCGCAGGTCGCGAGATTGCCTCGTTCTTGTGTACAAACTCTAGCCATACAGCTCCGTGCTCGGGCTTGATTGATGCACTTCTTACCACTTGCTGGGTACTTGCATAATATAGTGATGACAATTTTGGCTTGGGCGGTTGTCAGCAAGCAAACCGACAAGTCAACTAGGCTTTGCCACATACAACCTGAGTTCCTCGTCCCACGTTGCTTGAAACCTTATCGACAGATTACGGCCGTAGCAAGCTGAGCTTTAGACTCTAGACACATCCGCTGTAGATGAGGAATTGGTAAGAAGATTCCCGGGAAGGAAACAAAATATGAATATCCCCAAGCCTGGGACAGCGATCCCGATCTTATTCTCATGGGATATTCTAAACGCTATACTTTGGCGTTGATGCTGAAAGGCCGACAACAAGCTCTTGGGGTTACTTACTTTAAAGCCCCTTAAGTGTGGCAACTTCAACTTAAACGCCGAGAGCTAATCTATCACTGCCAGTTCAGAGCTAACCGGCTCCTGTGTCATCTACAAGTGGTATGCGAGGCTCTGCTATTCGAGAATGCAGAAACAATTCGAGAAAAAAGGAGTCCCTTTTTGAGAGACGCTAATGATAGGTTGTTAATTCAGCCTCAGCATATGAGACCGATGCCTTTCTGCGCCCTTATGGTTGCCTGAACCTCCTCTAACGTGGAGCAGCAGGCTCCCGCATTATCACCTGTTTGCCAAATTGCGTGGCTGATGTTCTTGATTATCGAGATTGACTCTATGACGGAGTTTGTAATTGTTTTGACAAGGCTGCAATGCCGCTACTAGAATAATATGATTCGTCCATCGCGTACCAGCAGCAATTCAGTTCTGTTGTGCCACCATAATCAGCAACAAGGCGCATCTAGTACTAAGCCGTTGTAGTTCCTTGAGAATCTTTACTAATTCTATCAGATCGATATCCTTTTTGCAGGTCTCAGAAGCTGCAGGCGTCCTAAGCATGCAAGAATTAACCACACAGAGCCGGGGATGAGCATCCTCTTCCCCGGTTCCAGCCACCTGGATTAAACTGGAAGTTCTTCGACTACCTACATCTTTCCTATACTTCTGACGTAGGGGTTGTATACCAAAATCCATATGGTGTTGAAGCGAGGCAAACATGGGTCAAGTTAGCTCGTTGACCCTGACTAGGGTAGCTCTGGGAGTCAATATCGAGCAGAGACACATATAAGGGATTTAATATTAGCAACGATTGAAAAAAACAAAAAAAAATTTCTCAATCGGTCTTCCAAGATTACATTTCACTTATCTGGTAGTAGCTGGCAAATGAGTTGTTAGTACTGCCTAAGCTCGTTACTAATCTTGACATCCCAGCCGCCCTCGTCCAATCCAGCCCTTTTCTCCTTTTCTGTATTGACCAGGTACATATTCCCAAGGAAAGACGATATGAGCAACCTGCAAGTCCTGGTATTTAAACACTTTTTCTAGGGTTGAGATGGAAGCACGAACTTGCGGCCCTAGGACACTTACACAGCAGCAAACCAGTGTGCCTTGCCCTGTCACCATTTCTCCATGTTGTTTCTCATGCCTTCCTTCTCCCTTTCCCCCTTTCCGCTCCCACCTTTTGCTCTTATCTGGTTCTCCGGAATAATTTGGGAAATGAACATTATTTGGGCTCTATGATTTTGCCTTAACCTGAAAATAACGTCCATTGCCCTTGACCCGTCTTGCTCCTTCCTGCCGTGATTCAACACCCACAACCTGCCTTCCCTAGCCACCAGTTACAAAATGGAAGCACACAAACGACCCGGGGATCATTCCACCGTGCTGCCGCCGATAACGCCGACATCGCAATCACCTGAACACCTCGAATCACCTGGGAAACTCAACCACGCCATCGTCATCGCAATGCCGGAGAAGAGAAATTGCGGCGGCGCTGCCGCTTCCAGCAGAGAGGAGGATCAACTGCCAATGGTTCGACAATCTTTTCGATTTCCTGCGTGCCTTCCACTCGGCCAGTATTGGCCAAAGTAGTCCAGAGCCTGGACTAAGTCCTGACGAAATAACTAACCCTCTGTGTGAAGAAAGAAACCTTCCGTCGTTGGACGGCCTTGACGGCCCTGGCATTTATGTGGACAAGTGCCCAGGCCCCGTTGTATCTTTTCGGTACGTACATAGGTCGTTATCGTCGAGTCGGTCCCGAATGGGCATCTCCGCTTGGTGTCGCAACGCCCAGACCCAGGGACTTGATTGTTTCGGCTTTTGTTCCCATGCTAATGCCCTTATTTACTAGGCGGTGCTCCGGTTTACATCTACCGTGAGCTCGGTGGCACTACTTATTGGGTCTGGTTCATCGCTGCCTACCTTCTAGCTGCTGCCGCGATCTCTCCCTTTGTCGGCGCCCTTTCGGATCTCTTTGGTCGCCGTTATGTTGCGATTATTGGCAACTCTGTGGTCATTGTCGGTCAGATCATCTGTGGTACTGCCAATGGCATGGACATGTTTATTGGTGAGTTAGCATCAACTTCGCAAGAATCTGAACTGTTGGACTGATCCAGATAATAGCCGGGATGACGGTCACCGGCGTTGGCGCAGGCATCAACGAACTTACTGCACTTGCCGGGACGGCTGAGTTGGTACCAGTTTCGCAGAGAGGGTACTATGTCGCTGGGATGATCTTGACCATCCTCCCTTTCCTGCCATGTGCCATGTATGCACAACTGATTTCGGCCTACTCGGACTGGCGGTACATTGCGTTGGTCACATCACTTTGGACATTTATCGGTCTGATTTTAACAATCGCGTTCTATTTTCCTCCTGGACGCTTCAAATTCCAGGGAACAGGGGAGAAGATAACCTTTCTGAAAAGGATGGACCTACTTGGCGGTGGTTTGTCTATTGCAGGCCTGTCGCTCTTCGAGGCTGGTATCTTGGGAGCCGGCTATCAGGTATCTTTGTGGACATCTATTTGCGCTGACAACTTAGGGATGCCTTGGCTAACAAGAGCTGTTTAGTTCCCTTGGGCGAGTGCCCAAGCGCTTGTTCCCATCATTATTGGTGGTCTCTGCTTGGTTGCTTTTGCCTCCTGGGAACACTGGGCTGCTTCGAATCCCATTATCCCCCGCCAGCCGAGCAAAGCTCCACGAACCTTGGCCCTGACTATGATCATCATCTTTATCTCTGGTGCCAACTTCTTTTCGGTCTTGATGCTCTGGCCCGGTGAGGCCTATAATGTTTACGGTCACAAGTGAGTTAAGAACCCGATGGAGCTTCTTAGCTTAGCTCATGCTGACCAGTAACAGCCCTGTTGGAGTTGGTGTCCGCGGCATGCCCTTTGCCTTTGGCACATTCACCGGCTGTTTTATCTCCCTCATCTTCATTTCCTGGTTCCGTGGCCATGTTAAGTGGCTCGTCTTTATCTCTTCGGTACTTATGACAGTTGGCTGTGGATGCCTTTCCCTGGCAAGGGTCGACAACATCCACGCCGTCTATGGCATTCTTTTTATTGCGGGCCTGGGAGTTGGCGGCATTACTGTTCCGGTATCAACCATTGCCACAATTGTCTGCAAGGGAGAGTACATCGCAACGATCACAGCGCTCACATTTACGGTTCGTATCGTTGGAGGGGCTGTTGGATATACAGTGTACTACAACGTCTTTGCCCACAAGCTTGTCTCGGAACTCAAAGAAGTTCTTGGGATGGAGTGTGTCCGGCTGGGTATCACCAACCCCACACTTATTGCCCAGGTGATTAACCTGACAGCTGCCTCTCTGGTCAAAGAGATTCGGTATCTACCTGGTGTTAATGAGAATACCTGGGCCCAGCTTGTTCTTGCTGGCCAAACGGCATTCTCAAATGCCTATCCCTGGGCATACTACTGCAGCGTGGGTTTTGGCGCAGTCTCAGTCCTGGCCAGCCTCTTCTTGGAGGATCTCACAGAGATGATGGATGACTCTGTGGTTGCCATGCAGTGGGCCAATGAAAACAGGGAATCTAACCAGCAGGAGAGCTCCTCCTAAGGAGTTAGTCATGAAATCACATCATAAGAAATTTAGGGAAACCGAGTGTTCGACGACTGGCAGAGTGTAACTGGTGAGTGAGTTATTAAGAGGATGTTGGTCTGCTCTAGGACGATATGATTGCAGAAATGAGTCTTTTCATTACGTGTATCCTTTAAAAAAAGTTGAGTCAAACATATACATAGCTGTGAAAGCGTTGCTATCCGCCTCGCTTATGTCGAATATGCTTGAGAGAGAGCACTGTTTGGTATTTCCATTCATGCAGGAAGCTCACCAAACCGATATTGTGCCCACGCAAAGCTGCCCTCCTGGAATGTCCAAAGTTGCTTACCCTTCTCTTCAGAAGCCGCACCCGCAGCAACATAAACAGGCATCAGATGGTCCATCCAGGGATGAGCCTGCCTAGCATCAGGGCGCTTGGTCACAGCAGCCATCTTCTCCTGGCGCACGGAAGGATCCGACTCTACGGCTTCCTTGAGTGCATTGTCGAAAGACACCGAGTAAGGTAGCGGGCGTGGATCGCCCCAGGTAAACCGCATATCGCGCAAATTGTGCACCGTCATGCCGGTGCCGATAATTACGATGTTTTCGTCCCTCAGCGACGAGACCGCCTGGCCCAGCTTGTAGTGCGCATTCGGGTCCTCGTTGTTGAACAACGACACTTGCACCAGCGGGCAGTTCAGTGGGTTCGTCTCCGGGTTGAAGGCCACGTTGAAACCAGAGAAGACGCCGTGGTCTAGGCCGCGCTTCATGCCGCGGGCCTTGATACCCGCTTTGCTTAGGAGATCGAGGATGCGGGAGGCAAGTTCCGGCGAGCCGGTGTTCGGGTAGGTGGCTTTGTAGTATTCTGGGGGGAACCCGTAGAAACTGATTAGGGGGTTAGCCTGAGGAGGGCAAAGGGGAAAGGGGGATGACGAACTCATAAATGAGATCTGTTTTCTCGGCATTGTTGAGGTGGATTTCGTTGGGCTCGGCTTGCCAGTGGGCGGAGAAAACTACGACGGCTTTGGGCTTGATCTTTTGGGTGATTTCTTTGCCGATGGATTGGAGCACGGGGTAGACGGGGTGGGTTGTGTTGTACTGGACGTCTGGCTGTAACAGGGTGTTGGTGAAGGGGTTCAGGATGAAAGAGGGGTAGATCTTTATGTCTTACCCCACCATGGCTGAAGAAGTACGTGGGTGCTTTAGGCATTTTGGATAAGGTATGAAAAGCTTTGGTGAGAGAAGAAGAGAAATTCTTGAGCGTCAGGTTGTTGACGAAAGGCACACTGCGCGCCAGAGGGGACGAAGGACTGAAGATGATCGCCAGGATGACTACGATAAGGGGCAGGGTGTAGAAGGCGGATTGTCTCAACGGCGACGACCCAAACATGGCCGCCTTGAAATAGTTTTAGAGTGACAGTGATGACTGAGACTGCAGCTCTACTTATTGCCTTGAGGTGCAGTGGCCACACAAAATTCTGGTTTGAGGATTATATGCTGTGCTGACTTTTTTTATTGATCCCTTCGGCACTGCAATCGCTTTCTACATGCTCCTTACTCCGTAACATCTCCACACCTCGCCTTCGCGCGCGGTCGGCATTTTGGGAACTGATTGGACGGTTTTTTGTCAGCCTTTACTGGTGTCGATCGTCGCCAGCAGTGGCGCCATCATGTTGCGGGAGTTTGAACGGCCGGAGTTTTAGCGCGAGCTTGGAGAGCGAGAACCCTAACCCTGGGATCTTAGCATAGAAACTTAGCGCGCGGCCAGCCAAATAGGAAGTTGGCCGTTGGATACATCTGGCATACGCAAAACCGGGCCCAGACTCCGGCCCCACCATCATGGAGCGCTACAGAAAAATCCCCGTACACTGCGCCCGGATCTGGACTGCCTTGGTCTTTACAGTATCCGCTAGAAGTCTCTACGTACCTTGATTAAGAGCAGTCATGGCGTCAGGCATCCGAAGAGCCGCCCCTCTGGTCTTCCCGGCCACATCTAAGCACACGGCCACCGTTATCTTCATCCATGGCCTTGGCGACACCGGGCATGGTTGGGCCAGCGCCGTGGAGAACTGGCGCCGGCGGCAGCGCCTGGATGAGGTCAAGTTCATCCTGCCGCATGCCCCATCTATTCCGATCACCTGCAACTGGGGGATGAGGATGCCGGGTTGGTATGACATTGTAAGTCGAGGACCCTTCAACAGTCATATGTGACCATATGCTAACTTGTAGTCAGAAAACTATTGATGGTGACGCCGAGTCCCTCCGCAAAGATGAAGACGAACCCGGCATCCTGCAGAGCCAAGCATATTTTCACGAGTTGATTCAGAAGGAGATCGACTCGGGCATTCCAGCGGACCGCATCGTCATCGGCGGCTTCAGCCAGGGCGGTGCCATGAGCATCTTCAGCGGCCTGACGGCTAAGGTCAAGCTGGCCGGCATTGTGGCGTTGTCCTCTTATTTGTTGCTCAGCCTTAAGTTTTCCGATCTGGTCCCCAAGCCTGAGTTCAACAAGGAGACGCCAATCTTTATGGCCCACGGTGACAAGGACCGCATTGTCAATTTCGAACTGGGCAAGAAGTCTTATGACTTGCTGAAGGGCATGGGTTACAATGCCACTTTCAAGGTTTACCCGTGAGTTTTAGCCCCCTCCCGCCCCCCCCCCGCTTTCTTAAATGTTGTTATGGCGTCTAAATTGACAAAAAAAAAACCAGGGGCATGGAGCACTCGGCTTGTTTGGAGGAGTTGGATGATGTTGAGGCCTTCCTGAGGGAAAGACTCCCTCCTCAAGAGAACAACGAGGCCAAATCTGAGCTGTGAAGTACTGGATAAATATGTCCTTTGTTATGGTTCTCATGAGAGACGATATATATGTTATAGACCAAGATACCACCACAGTCATGAATACAATGCCTACCCTCCGGGTAGTCTTAGAATGGCAAAGGCACTCACGTATTCGTGCTCAGGCCCCTTGCTCACTTCTTCGAGACTGAATCTCGAGAGTGGTACGTGCTCAAGGCCCCACTCACGTGCAGATATGATCCGTGCACGCTTATCGAGCCCCCCCTGCTTGCAGTAGAAACAGGGCCCTGCTGTTGGCATCTTGCGTCACATGGGGGCCACAGCCCATATCTGATTGTGTTTTGCGACTGGACACGTCCTGACGAGGCGGGTGAAGTGCTGTTTTCCCTGCTGTGCTTGCGTCAAACCTTCGGATCGGATGGTCCTTGGGCTTTGGATGGAATTGTCCTGCTCTTTTTGACTTCTTTCGCAGTTTGAGCTGTGTTGCGACGACGTTGAAGAAAGAAAGAACAAGAAACCAAACAGCCCGACATCCCCTCTTTGCAAGCATACCTGGAGAGAGGACCAAGCGAGTGGAGATAAGTATAACGATACACAATACTTCCTCGACACCGGAACCTTGGCCCCGGGTCGTCTGAAAAGTCGAAAACAGGACGGCAACACACCCAGCCACATTCCTTTTCCTTGTGTCTCTCGCTGGTCAGCGGGATCCGAAACTGTGTTTCTTGATTTCTCGACTTGGTGTGACTTCACAAACCCTCAGGTTTGTTGTCAAGCCAAGCGGCAATCAGCCATGTCTTCAAACCGCCCCCCCTCACCAACTCCCTCCCAACTCCCCCCAATACCCGGCAGCCCAACCTTCACCTACGCGTCCACCGCCAACCGCCTCTCCCAATACAACCTCCCTCTCCCCCCACCCCCAGTACCCGCTCATGAGGTTCTTACCAAATCCGACCTTGAAAACTCCCAAGCCGCTTACGCCGACCTCCTCGCCAGTGCCAAAGCCTACCGCCTGGCTCTCGCCTCCCTCTCCACGGCCGCCTCAGCTTTCGGCGCGGCTCTCGAATCCTGCGCCCGCCTGAAAGAAGCCCGCGCCGACCATATCGGTCCCCCCGGCGGCACTTCCATGAGCAATAGTTTTACGACCAAGGGCCAGTGCACGGCTGATGCGTTGCTCACCGTTGCTGGGCTGCAGCACTTGGTCGCGAATCATCAGCATATTCTATCGGAGACGGTTTATCGGGCGTTTGAGGTGCCGTTGCTGCACGAACTGGATAAGTGGCGGGCGGCGGTTGAGGATGAGGAAGAGAGCTATACCCGCGCGGTAGCCGCGCAGAGCAGGGAGATACGGCGGCTGGAGAAGGAAGGGATGAAGCTGCATCGGCAGCGGAGGAGGGATGTGGCGAAGTTCAGGAACCATCTGGTTGAGCTGACGACGAAGCTGGATGGGTTGACGGTGTTACATGCGGAGCATGCAAGGACGTTGTTGAGGGAGAGCCAGGAGACGAGTGAGAAGATCGTCGAGGCGAGTTGTAGCCTTGCGAGGGCGGAAGTCGATATTTTTGAGAGTTTGGCCAGGAAAGGCTGGACGGGAGGGGGTCTGGAGGATGTGCTTGAGCGTGGGGTTGACTTGTTTGCGGCGGAGATTGATCCGCTTGGAGGGTCTGGAAAGGGGGCTGGTGATGGCGGCGGCGGGGTTGGCGGCGACGGGACGAAGCTGTTCAGCATCCTTCCGCCCAAGAGCATTCTGGCAGATACGGGGTCCGACACTCTACGGCCGGTCAATCAACGTGGTGACAGCCTGTTGATGGACGCTGATCGGTACCAGAGCCTGGCGGGAGCGATAGCGTCCGACTTCACGGCGAAAGATAGAGATCGGGATGCCGATAGCGTCTTTTCTTCTGAACTTAATCGGTCACGGAACGTGCGTCCCTTCTCGCCACAGCCACAGCCGCTGAAGCTGAACCCTGATGATCTTTTTGTCGGTCTTGAGAACGCAATACAGGAGGAAGAGGAGGAAGAGCAGACATCGTCGTCGTCTGAAGTCAAACGCGACGGACAGGCTGAATACGACCAACATCCTACACAAAGAGAGGAGGGCGCAGCTATTCATGATGAGGATGATCGCAAATATCGGGACGATGTGAGCGAGGAGTCTCATCCGTGGCGCAATGAAGGGTTACGACGAGGGTCATCGTCGTCTGACACCAGCAGTCGCAGACACAGGCTTGGAGTAAACCTGGAAGAATCACGGCCGGATGAAGCTTGGAGCGTATCGGGAGATCACTGAAAGGGATGTTCAGAAAGCAGCATATTACACAATAGGGTATCATGGCGGTTGTGGGAGTTGGCTTGGTCTAATACCCTTGATTTCCTTAGGGTTGGTGAACGGTTGGGTTTATGGGAGCATGGATTGTCATGGTAATGTAATGTGTATGTATGGGGACATGTTTATTAGGAACGGATGGATGGACCAACGAACGACCGGTGGTCTGGCTCAACATTCAATTATTGAACAGTTTGTTCGTGGTGAAAGGCCCAGGATGTTTGATTATGCCGGTAGCAATGACCTGTATTCCATTCCCGCCATGCTAAGAAAAAAAAACCTGGCAGTCTTGTACTCCACTCGCTATAAACGACGATCATTACGAAACCGCCCTGTACAATCCCTCCCCCAGCGCGTAAAACCCCGGATGCTTCAGTCTTCCTTATCGTCCTTCTCCGCATCCCGAATATCACCCCCAAACAGGCCGAGCAAGAAGTCCAGCCACCACATAAGCTTCCAGAATAGACTTGCCCGGACCCAGTCGAACTCCCCGGTCTCTGTGCGCGGCACCTCGCTGCCAATCATTGCGCCGTTGAACCACCTGAGGAAAGGAATATGGTTCGCGATGCGCTGTGTGAAGGTCGGCGCTGGCAGCAGGGCCTCCTCCATCGGCAAGAGCTTAGCCTTCCGAACGGTGGGAATGACCCTGCAAAACTCGTCGTCCTGTGACTTCTCGGCACCGCCGGCGGCTGCGCCCCCATTAAGGGTATTGGAGGTGCTCGTGCTGATTTCGACTCCCGAGGCTAGGGTGCCAGTGTCGGCTGTGAGCGAAGAGGTGGGCGATGCATCGGGGCCGCCGGCTTCCTGTGTGCCACTGAGAGAGAAGCTGCCCCTGTTGCGCTGGCGCAGGGTTTGTGTCCTGCTCAAGGCTGCGCCGAATGCAGCGACCGAGGGGTCAGGTATCGCTTCGTCTTGTGCGGGGGGACGCCTTTATAGTATTCGGCATAGACGAGATGGCCTTGGATGAGTTGAGGGGAGGAGTAAACGGCTTTGTCGGCAGCTTCGGCCGACTCGAAGGTGACCTTGACCCAGTGCTCGCCGCTCATAGCTCTATTAACTTTGGCCCGTTCTTCGGGGGTTAGGGCGCGCCGGTGTGTGAAGGCTGGGTCGCGAAGCTCGGACTTATACCGCCGGCTCTCAACCGGCGGCTCGCGAGGGTAGTCTTCGCATATCCTGCCGGCGATCTGCTCGTAATGGTTGATGGCGGCATACTGGTGCTGTGCGTTCCGGTATCCGCGCAGGATGACTTCTGTGGGTTCTTGCTTTCTGAAGAAGCGTGTTTGCGACGGGGCTGAGCTTTCGTCATGCCCCTGAGCGAGGTTTTGGGAGGACGAGCTGGGAATCAGGTTTGGCTTTCGTTGCGCCGGGGCTGGTACGCTTGTCTGAGGGGCGCTTTGATTCTGGCTGGCAAGCCAATTGCTGAAGATCTTGTCGGCGGCGGCTATTGTGGGGTCCTCGCGCTTCGCTGGCGTGGCCGCTTTTGACCTCGTGCGCCGCGTCGACTTGCCAAAGGCCCCGGTTTCGAGATTCGCCTTCCTTGAGCGGAGGGACCCGTCTTGTCTAAACATCGTCGCGTTAGTTGTCCGTGTGTTTGCTGATGCAGTGGTGATCCGTGGACATACTGAGGGAACACCATGGCAAAGGGTCTCTGGATGCCGTCGTCTCCAACGTAAAGTTCGTCGTCGGGGACGTTGTGTAGGATCAATGGCGGCATGATTGTGTCGGGCTAAGTCTTGGGTGAGATAGGGCAGCAGCTAAAAGAATGAGATATCGAGGGGACAATAGTAGGGGCCTAAAAGAATTTCAATAACAAAGAAATCATGGCAGGGTCTTTCGTGAGTTCGACGAGGAAGCGTTCCGGCTCTTTTTGGAGCAAAGAAAAAATGGTAACAGAGACAAAATGTCGCCCTTTGGAGTCTTGACCGACGATGGTGATGCGATGCGACGCGATTTTTCGCTTCAACCGAGTGACAAAGCATCGCGCTTGCGACAAAGCATGGGCCGCAGGGACCCGCTTACCCCGGTAGTCGCATTTTCAAAGCACGGGTGCCTTGCACGTGTGACAGTTGCTGACAGGGCACGGTCAGGCACCCGGTATGCAACAAACCGAGCTCTCCCATCCCAAACTTCCCTGCTCGTCACCCCTGTAACCAGCAACTACACAACTGCAACATTCAAACAACCTCTTCTCTCATTCTTATCCAACTATACAGCACGGATCCGTGGCAGCGGAAAGATAATCCCGGCATGGATAGACAAAGGAAGCCTGAACAAGCAGCTGACGACAAGCGGGAGCCGAAGTATCATGTCTACGTCCGGCTGCCCTTTAAACGGGGCAACTTTGTCGAGCCTGGTCCTGTAAGTGTTCGCACTGTGCTGGTACTAAAGCTGCGCTGACGACTTGCCAATCATAAAGATTGACTGGGATGAGAGGAAGTCTGAAACACTTTGGGCTATCATTTCTGACTCTTCACATGCTGATATTGACTGTAAGTCTCCTACAAATTTGCATGAGACCGACAACTGACATGGTTGTCAGGGACGAGATTGTAGGGCTCCAGTTCCCCATGTCAAGTTTCACTGTGTTGACACCGTCCCAGAGCAACTCAGTTCGATGTCTCAGTCGACTTCCTCCTGCAGATGGCCAACTATCTCACCGAGCGTCACACATCTCAACTTAGGGCACAGATGATGAGGGCGGCAGCGATCAGAGGATCTAATGCTCCCTCTCCTGTTCCCGGAGCCGAGCCGACCACCACTGCGTCCAAGAGACGGACAAGTTCAGGGGCAGGTCGTGCTTCTTCGGCGTCGGCGTTCCGTAAGGAGACAGCCACTCCTCAGTTGAGAGCAGCAGATGTCCATGAGAGCAGCAGTTCTGGCACTCCAGGGCCGGGTGGTATCAAGGGTGCTTTGCCGTCACGGCCTGGGACGTCACGCCACTCGTCTGATTCCACCAACACAGCTGTCCCTCCACAGCCTCAGCTTAGTGCTCGACCGGGGACAGCAACTCGCTTGAATGACCCCCAGCGTCGTCGCCCTACCTATCTCTCTGGACAGCAGTATCAGCAACCTGTTATGCAGGAAGAGGAGCCTGAACGCCCAGCTAGTCCCCAGGCGTCAGATGATTCCGATGATTCAACCTCTTCTTCAAGCGCTGTCCAAAGCCGGATCATTCGCCGTCCTCCCAGGTTTGGATCAAAAGGGAATGGCGACGATGATGACGATGACGAGCCCGCTTTCCTTCCATATAACCCCCATCCCCAAGCTCAGCCACACCTAGACTCTTCACATGCCACAGGAAGCAGCAGCAGCACCCATGACCTGGGCGCCACTCTTCGTGGAGATATGCGTGGTTTAATGGAAGCAGGACGGGCAGACACAAACCAGTCGCAGACATCAGACTCGTCGATCGGTTCGGCGGCTGTCATGGTCCAGAGAACAGGAACGACAGGCGGAGCCGTAGCAGCAGGAGGGACTGGGACAGCAGGCACCCGGAGAATACCCAGTGCCTTTGGACAACAAGGGACCATTTCACCTAGGCGGACAATGGAGCTGTCTGGGAGGGGCCCTGGGCCGAGCAAGAGGAAGGGAGCGTCACGAGGGGGGAGCGATGGTACCCCCAGTATGGGTAGCAGCTTCAGTGATTTGGATGGTGAGTACTCTACACACATGCGAAATGGAGAAGGTAGCTAACACTAAGAGCAGACGCTTCTGTGACTCAGTCGGCGCTTGAGGAGGCGCTTGCTAGTCGCATGCAGGACGGAACCATCGGGAGCCGCATGAGCGTCATAGGAGGTACCTTGGGGCATCTGCGAAGTCGGTACCTGCCTAAGTCGAATCGCTAGTTTTACATCACCGGACTTTACATGGAGCTACGTTGCAATTGAGCTACGTTGCAAAGATAGGTTAGGATTGAGTTTGGCTATGGCGTTTTTCAAGAGCGTGGAATATATGTCTGGGTTCTGTGGGATTCACCAGATCATGATCTTCTAACGTAGCGCAAGATGAGCAATAACAAACACTGAGTTTCGGTCAGCTTACTTTATGTTTTCGCAGTTCGTTGATACTTTATGTAACATCATACGCGCGGAAACCGAGCTCTTAGTAAGCTAGCAACCTTGATACCACCTTCCCAAAAAACCTACCAGTGTTCATGACAAAGGATAAGTTATATTCCGTAACACCCTTCAGTGTAGTACAAGTTTCAGGCTGGCGTCACACTAACACGACAGCCGTTCGGGAATGATATCGTAAGATTCACCTTTGCCAGCAATGGTTGGGAGTCGCGAGCTTCAATCGCCTTGAAGACGCGGAAGAATTTGAACAGAGTGTAGGCTATCTGCGTGAGAGCAAACTGCTGACCCAAGCAAATACGTGGGCCACCACTGAAGGGGAGGTATCCCCAGCTACGAGGGTTTCGTTGTTAGTGAGAAGAAACAACAGGAAAAATTAGCATGCACTTACCCAGGCCGGAAATCACCATCCCACCGTTCAGGACGGAACTCTTCAGCATCGGGACCAAAGATATCCTTACTGCGATGCAAGGAATGTAACGAATAACGAATCGGCGTGCCCTTTGGCACCAAGATAGGCTTCGCCCCATCTGGACCCCCTCCTCGAGGAAGAATGGTCTCTTTGATTGCAGACCTGGAGTTTGTCGAGACTGGAGTGAAGAGCCGGAGTGCTGCAACAATCTTCTGTCAGAGATAATCATGGCGATGCCGACAGGAGATCTTACCCTCTTTGATGACATTGTTGAGATACTTCATCTGCTTCAACTTCTCCCACGCTGGCCTTTCCTCGTCGACAGCCATGATCTCGGCCCTCAACTTCTCAACCACATCAGGGTGCCGAGCCAAGAAGTAGAAAACGCCCGTAATCGCTGCAGCGGTAGTATCCCGTCCGGCCACGAGAATCGTCAGGGCCTGGTCAATCAGGTATTCCTCGGGCGGATTGAGCTTGAGTAGTTCGTCGAGGAAGACATAGTTGCGTTCTTTCTCAAGCCCCTTCTTCTCCTCGGCGGCCTTCTTCAGGTAGAATCGGATGTACTCGCGCATCCTCCTGACGGCGGCCTCCAACTCGGGATGCGGCAGTTTGTACAAGATTGGACCGAACCGAGCCTTCTTGGAGCTCTCCCGGCTGGCAAATTCAAAGTCCTCTACGAACTGTCTTGCCTCGGGAGAGGGTGTGGTCAGTTGGTTGGTCGAGTAGCCCATCAGGAAATCTGTTGAGGAGTCCATCGTCATGTCGAGTAGCAGCTCCTGGATATCGAACGCCGAGCCGTCTTTGGGAATAGCAGCCAGGAAGTTCCTGATGTGTCTATCGAAGCATTGGAGATCAGCGACCTGGTCTCTAACAAACGCAGGCTTGATCATCGTTCGGGCGTGCTGCCATGCTGCACCGTTCGTGGAGAAGATGCTGTCAGGTCCTAACACAGGGAGCGTACCGAGGAGTCTGGGACCAGCAATAGGCCAGTCGTCGAACTTGGCAGCTAAGATGGTCTTGATGTTCTCGACGTCATCAGTCATGAGCAGCCAGCTGCCCAGAGTTTTGCTCCAGTAAGTTGAGCCGCATTTTGTGAAGCGACGGAAGTACCAGTTGAGGAGAGTGTGGTCCTTGAAATTGCGTAGTCCTTCGAAAAATGAGTCCAGGCCAAGGATTGGGTCTTTATGAGGATAGACAGGAGCCTTGCCGCATCCCAGGGCTCGGGCTCGAGCTTCGAAGCGATACCTGTTGATGAGGGACAAGTTCAACTTGACAGCTGCTGCTACAAGACCGAGGAGGAGGACATAGGACGAGATTGTTATCCGACTGCTATCAACAATGAGCGAATTGTAGGCTCTCAAAAGACCCAAGACAGACAGCGGCACACTAAGTGCCGCTGCCGGAATGTACTCCATGCTGTTCGACTGTTTTATCCTTGAGCTATTATTTGAACTTAGCTCAAGATGTCTTGTATCGACGATGGAAGGCACGATGACTTTAGATAAACGCTTGTGATCTGTCCGACCTCATAACGATTTAAATTTCCCAACGTCGAATAGCACCGAGCCTGCGATGTTCCACCTTGCCAGTTGCTCCGGATTGTCACGTCTGGACCTCCCACTAATTTCACCGGCGGATGCAAAAGCAACTCGGCTTGTACATTGTATACCGGATACAGATCCCATCAGCGTTACGTTCTAAGGAAACCTTGCATATACGATGTAAGTATTTAGACCCAACAGCTACCAACCACCTCCCAATTACAACCTCCAAATTGCACAACGTGTATATAGCAACCCAAACTAAGTAGCGACCGGTTAGGATGATGCATCGGAAAAGCCGTGTCTATCCAATCGAGGAGGGGTTCGGATACATGGGTGGTATCTGGGACTGGTGACATCACAATTAAGCGCTAGGCTAGTGGCCTCGGTCAACCCGCCGGGCGCCCAGCTAGTAGCTAGGCCCCAGCACATCCACACTGGGTCCATGACCATGCATAGCCGACAGTTAAATTATCGCCGTCTGGTGCAAAGAGATAAGGTTATTGGTGCTGATAAACCCATTCAGTAAGCTGCTAAGTAACACTGAAGAATTTACACAATGCACTTCTCTCTCTCCTCTTTTCATGTTTCAACACCATATGTCCATGCACTCTCAGGATCCCTCACCAAGTTCTCTCTCTTGACCCCCAGTGGGACAGAGAAATGGGGAACAGAATTCCCTCCAGTTCCATTCCCCGACCCCCAATCAGGTTGTTGGATACTGCTCATCGCTTGATTATCTGCATTTACGTTGGCGGCTATCGTCAGCCTTTTCAACCGGGTCCAGAAGCTCAACCTTCCGGGAGGGTTGGCTGCATTGTCAGGTCTCCTGATAATGACAGTCTCGGAACTGCTCCAGTCATCACTGGATTCTTTTGATTTGACACCAGAGGTCGGTAGAAGCTGATCAAAGCTGTTTGACTTTCCACTGGCGAGAACAGAACGCAAGGGTCTGAGTGAGACGCGTTCCTCAATCAAAACATAAAGACACCCAGCAACCAGTCCTATAACTGCCAGTGCTGTAAGGGCGTACGCCGCCGCCTTGCCAGCAGCAGGGATGGGTTGAGACACTTTCTCATTGGCGACAGCATTAATATCACCAGCCGCTGCTCCTCCCAGGCTGGTACCCCTAGAATTTCGAGTCGCGGGAGGGGCTGCTTGGTCGATGAGGTTTGCAAGGACGACCTCCATTGCTGCCATCTGCTGGCCCACGCCAGTTAGGTTATCGTGAACACCCGCTTCGGTCCATTTTAGTCCGCACATCCGGCCATTATCTCCTCCAGTACAAGTCGATACTGCTGCTTTGGCTGATTCCTCGAGCAGTGGCTTAATGATATCGTAAGTCCAAGGAGCCCATTTTGTCGTTGCTGCCATTGCACGGGCTAGGTACGCCTTGAAGCTTTGCTGATCTATGTCACACAAGTCTACGGGCTCGCAGGCGACCTCGCTCATGATGGTTCTCTCCTCGCCCCGGAAGAACACACGAGTGCCCAGTAATAATCCCTGAGTGCGCTCGCGCCAGATTTCTCTAGCAAGTCCCGTGCTGTAATTATACATAGCTGCTGCTCCTAGCAGAAAAGCTCCCGCGTTGTAGGTCCATTGGTAAGGGATGATATCAGAGCAGTTGTCAAGATGTAGTCCGTCGAAGATGTGATAGGTGTCTGGGTCCAGCAGCTTTATGGATACTATCCAAGACCAGGTCCGCTCGGCCCATTTTGCGTATGTGTCGTTTCCGGTGTAGAGGGCCAGGCGAGCAGCAATATTGAAAAAGCAAGCTTGTGATATCGAATTCTTGTAGGTATAGCCACTGTTCCAGGTAAAGATCTGCCATCGAAGCCCTCCTCCACAACCCTGAGCATCCTAACGAGCGGCCTGGGAGTTGAAGACTGCTTGGGCGAGTGCAAGCCATTGTGGTTTGTCCCGTGGCGGGTCCTTGAACTTGTATTCGGCAGCGGATAGTACCGCCATACCCCAAAATCCTTGATCATCGTTTCCTTCTGTTAAGGTCTGGTTTGGCGGCATGTAGTCGTTGTTTGGGCCGACTTGGAAAAGTAAGCCTTCTTCGACAATGTCGTTCCACCGCGTGTCACCTGTGTAATACCTTCAGCATTGTCAGCTTCAAAGCCAATTTGTGCAATCTCCCACCGGTTAGCAGTGGTTATGGTCAGAATGATCAATATATACATACCAGTAATCAATGAGTGAGCCCATCAGAGCACCGCTTTCCCACCCTATATTGTTTCATGGATATTAGATGACTTCGGAAGATCAGTAATGAAGCAGAACAGGTCAAGTTCTTACAGTAATATGGATCGGGAAGAAGACCTGGGACCTCTCCAGGGAGGTTTCCTGTGTAGAAGGTCATCATGTCTTCAGCGATACTTCGTGCGACATCCTTGATTGATTCTAAGAGGATGCGCTTGTGTTAGTACCTTCCATGGCATGGAAGACCTTGAAATCTTTTCGTGCGAAAGCATCCTATTCTGTACCTTTTGAGCTCAAATCGAGCTCGTATGCGTTTGTGAGCTGGGTAGCAGCCAGCCCAGCTACTACCAGCGACCTTCCCCAAGTTCGCATGGCGGCGTTTGTTGAAGAATGCAACTAAACCATAGGGAACTCCTCCTGTTTGACGTCAGACTTGTGATCCATCCTTTTGAAAGATGAGTGGTTAGTGCTAACGCAGATTCTTACTATTAGATACTTTTTGGTAATTTAACAGGTACTTTCAGTTCAGGAGCAGAAGATTGAAATGAAGCTGGCGTCTTGGGGACATTGGACCCCATGGAGGAATTGCAGGCTAAAGAATGGTGGACTGGGGACTGGGAGTCTTTTACAACCCAAAGTCATCTCTTCGAACTTTAAGTTTGATGTTTGTAGAAACATACCAAACGAGAATGGAGCCATTGGAGTCACTTGCAGGAACATTCTGCACTGTGTGGCTGGAGGAAAGAGCTCCTAAGTTCCATTGGCGCGTTGTCTGCTGGTCGTCGGAGTATCATTATGAAGTCGAACCCGGGTTGTCTTTCCCCTCCCTAAGTTCCAACTTGTTCTACGGCCATAGGCCATTCGCTAACATACGATTGCAACACAAAGTATTCTATTAAAGCCCTTCAGTCAGGCTGACGCCGTTGCTGTGCTACAGCGATCCTCCAGGGCTGCCAGCATAGCCCTACTTTCCGGATGGTCTGGACCTCGTGGCTCCGTTATTTGCGGGGTGTAATTCTGCGTAAGCGGACATCCCATCGCTTTTGTAATTCGAATCAACGCATCTAATAGATCCTGAGCTTCAAACATTGAGATCAGACCCTTGTTAAAACTGATGCATGTTGCCCTCTCGCGATATCGGAACCTCAGTCTTCAGCCTAGAGCTTTCACAAGCTCGACTCGCTGAAGTGGAGGATCCCTAGCGTTGAGAATGCTGAAGACCCCGCGCATTGTCTCCGCCCACTCCTCGAAGGACGGGTGAAGTGGAGCGATGTCATGGGGAGATTCGTAACGTTACATCGACGGTGTACAGAAAGATACAGTAACTACACGATACTTACCCAAAAGTTCACCAATGAAATCTCGTGACGATTGTAAATTACCCCTCGATTACGATAAACTGATAACGGAAGACAGCCTGACCCCAACCTTCAATTGGGGATCCCTGTTTACCAGAGACCGCCCCTGGCCACACCTCTCGGTCCCCTTGTCCTTCCTCCATTCAACAACGAGTTCGACAACAGCGACAACACAATCGCTCGAACGCTGCCATTAGCATCGGCGACGTTGCCCACGATGGCCGCGCCGGTCACTATCGACCCTACAAAACCAGGGAGATACCCTATAATTCTCAGCGATGCTCTTCTGGGGAAGCCATCCAAGGAATTATACACTGCCGTTAGATGTAAGTTAGCACATCACCTGAGCGAGGTCGTAGCGCTTCGACTCCCTCTGGCCCAAGACGATTTGAAACCCAGCATATCATCTCCCCGCGATTAATGACTGCAAGATCACAAATTGACGCTTCTTTAACCGCAGACAACTATCGGCCTACATTATCGTCGGAGACTGCCCCCAACGCAGCGCGCATCAAGCAATCCGGTCGGGACGACTCCTACAACCTTGGTTTCGACGATCAAGGCAACAAATACCAGTACAATGGCGTCCGAACCACAGGCGACGGCAACTACATTCTCATCTTTGACCCAGCACGGCAAGCCTTTGTGCTGCACCGGGTTGACTCTACCTTCCACATGAACGTTACGCGCACGCCAACAGAGGGCAATGTCGAAGCTCTGCGAAAACAATTCCCACAGCTTGAAGTCAAGAACGGCAATGAGGTCAAGCAACAGAAGGGCAAGGGCGCAGCGCGAGCCGGTGCTAGCAAGGCTGCCTCTACTAAGGCCAAGGCTGGCGCAGCCGCAGTTGATGAGGCGAAGTCCAAGGAATCTGAGAAGGCCAAACCCGTGACATTGTCCTTCCCGGACCTAAACGCGTCGCCCAAGTCACAACCAGCAACACAAGAACAGCAAGAGAAAACAGAACCCCCACCTCCTCCGAAGCGCAGGGCTGTGTCGCCCATTGAGTCTGAGGAAGAGGATGATGACGACGATGGAGGACTCACGGTCGAATATCCTGATGGCGAACCAGTGAAGTATGTAACAACAAACTATCCCATTACGTTAACAAGACGTTTCTCCGAATTTGCCCGGGATCATGAGAATGAGGAGGACGAGGAGTCCAACAATAGTTACGATCGCGGGGGATATAATATGTATGGCGGATACGATGCCGATGAAGCAGGATACGAAGAAGAGGAAGAAGAAGAAGAGGAAGAAGAAGAGGTACGGCCACCGCCGCCGCCTCCACCAAAGCCCCAGAGCCCGGAGGTGCCCCCTGCGACAGAACCAGAACGCTATACCTTCGACGAAGGGGATGAAGACGGGGAAGGAGAAGAAGATCCGGACTTTGGTGATCTGGAAGCCGATTTGGAGAGAGAATTTAATAAGGTCCAAGCCGAAGTGGACGAGAGCGATGTCAGCGAGGAGGAGTAAAAGGATTGATGACTGCATATGGTTTGCTCTTTTCTTTCTGCTTTTTAACGATCATTCATGGGCAAGCGATTTCGGCGTAGTGGGATGTCAGGGATTGGACGGTGTTATTTGTGTTTTTGGATTGGCCCACTAGGTTTCTAGCACTGGAGCATACGGAGTTCGTCAGAACGCGAGGGCATCTGCTACAACGCCAGGGAGACCGAGTGAGACTTGATTGCTGCGAAGACCTTTTTTTCTAGATGGCAGAGACTCATCCACCGCATGAAGATATCCGCACACTAATTTCATAGTCCTTCAAGTTCCCCATCAAGAATCTTGATGAGCTTCTTAGCTCCCCCTCAGCCACATTAAACATTAACATTTCTTAGGCTAATACGATGGGGTTCTCTTTTGTCCCCTTTCCCAAGTTATTCCAATTACTGTCCCAAATAATCTGTATCTCATCGTCCTTTCCATCAAGCGTATCGGAATCGGTCTCATAGTCGCCGTCCGAATTGTCATTATCATCAATATTTCCAGGCCAGTATAGCCAGTGATTGCCCAGGATGGGACCTGGGCGGGTATCAGGATCAAAACCGTCCTGTTTCAAGAGAAAAGAGACGAGATGCTCATAAAGCACCTTGACAACCCGTGAGGGAAAAGCGTTACCGATTTGTTTCTTGATGTAACTGCCCCGGAACTGGTGATCGGGGAAGAAGCCCTGAAGAAGCGCATACTCGAGCAGTGTGAAGTTTCGCCGACCGCTCCAGTGGTAGTTTTGGCCACCGTTGCAGGTGATGGTCCGCGCAAGTTGTGTTGGATCCCATGCAGGGCGCGGTTGAGCGAGCTTGACTTCTCTTGGTCGGTGAAGTGGATGGTGTCGGTATTGAGCCATGTTGCCGACGACTGACCATGGGGTGTTCCAAGGCTTCAGTCCTCCAGTCCTATTCTTGCTGTGCGTTGGCGGCGGGATGGACGGTAACTTGTCTCCGGGACCGGCGCCGATCATGATGAGCCTTTTGCGCAGCTGCGGAATCCCGTAGTTTGCCAAAGGCACGACCTTCCAGCGGACTGAGTAGTCAAAACTGGTGAATCCGAGGATGAACGCATTGAAATAGGCTGTGAAGTTGGGACTCAGAATCCCAAATGTCTGCTCAACGGTGAAGACGCGCGGGCGAAGCTTCTTGATTAGGTGCTCGCATGAGTAGAGCACGGCGATATTGTCGTCGTCGTTTTTGCCGGCGATGGTGTGAGCCGGCGACCAGAACTGGCAGGGGGGGGAGAGATGGAGCATGTCAACATCATACTGGAGATTTTCGTTGTTAATAAACTCAGTGACGTCCATAAAGTGAATGTTCACACGGTCCCCGAAGTTGGCGTCCAGGGTGTTGGCCGCGGGCCTCCAGTGGTCCAGAGCAAAGAGCAGTTGGACCCCGGCGAGCTCTATTCCACGAGAGGCTCCTCCCGCACCAGCAAACACGTCGCCCGCGGTGTATCTCTGCTCGGGAGCAAGAACAGGTCTGTGCGCGTCTTGCAAGTCAACGTCAGCGTCGATATCGACGACCAGCGGCTGGGGAGCACCGTGCTTCGATGAGCCGCCGGGGACCTTGCCCCCTCGCCAGCGATTCAGGAGCGCTTCGTCACGGATTCTGAAGTCAGGATCCGCCTCATCCTCGGAGAGCCTGATCAACGCCCATTCGCAGGGCTTGTTGTTTGCTGGATTGACTTGGATCTCAAACCTGTATCTGCAAACTAACCGAGAATTCGCAGCTACCCACTCGTGGCCCTGCGCCTTGTAATCCCAGCCGCTGAATCTGTGTTCTGGGAATGGTGTATTTGTGATAATTAATTCTCGCTCACGGAGAATCGCGCCCGTTGGGATCTCCCGTAAAGCTCGTTCCTCCCACGGCCGTTCATCGAAACTGGAGGATTCAACAATAAGCGCAACCTCATTGAGTTTGCACGGAAGGATGCCATTGAGGTGCTTGGTCCGAGTAAAAGCCCAACCTCGGATGATTGGGTTCTGGTTGTTGGGTAGAATGATCTGCTGGACGCGAAAGAACTGAATTTGGTGGTCACCCAGAGGCTCCGCAATCTCAAGAGCCATTCCGGTTTGGATAATCTTTCCGTTATCCAGCCGCCATTCATCAAGGATAATGCCCTCATCGCGGACAATCAAAGCGTCTGGCCCCGATATTGGTAGTTCATTTTCATTGGTTAGGTCGATTACCTCGCCAATTCCGTCAGCGAGGATGTCTTCGATCGCCACCTCCAGTTCAATCGTACCATCATCATCATCGATTGAAATGGGGAAGTCATGGGAGACTCCGGCAATTCTGGCGATTTCCTGTCCTCTTCGAAGCGCCTCATCGATTTCCCTCCTTAAATGGGCATTGATCAAAATCTCTTCCTCATCGTCAATGATGAAGGGCTCTCGCTCCGTTCCAGCCATTGTGCTGCGCCCTTCCTGAACAACTCTCAGAATTACAAACTAGAGACAATCTGCGAAATATTATTAGTCTCATGATGGTTTCGGTGAAGATTTGAGACAATGCTGGGGTTTAATCCCGACGCCATACCTTGTCGAGGATAGACGACTGCCACTGTTTCTCAGAATCTTTAGAAGGTTTCAAGAAACCAATGGCGACGGGTGAGCTTGAAGCTTTGCTCTGAGTAGAAAAGCTGCGAACAACCAAACTCAGATATCTGGGAATCCGAATTGACGTAGTGACGAAGAAAGGATGGGCATACGAGACTGCACCAAGTATGAAGAAATTACTAAGTAGGCAAGCAAAGCAAGTGCCTGACAGGAAAGAAAATGGCGAAAACTCGGAATTTCAACCTTTCGGCAATTTAACACCAGAAAGTGGTCAAAAAGAAGTGAAAGTGAAACCATGGGCTTGTTTTTCTGGGCTGTTTGGAGGAACAAAAGTCAATGGAGAAGGGAACGAAAGAAAGGGAAGCGTTGTGAGGAAGAAAAAAGGTTGCAACAATGTGATTTTTAATATGGTAGCTGGAAAAGTCCTGAATATAATGTTTTTTCCCTACTTTAGATACAAGGAATGTCCCCAATCAGGGGCCCAAGAACCCGCCGTGAAAAGCGGTCATTCCTAGTATTTGTTCAACAACCGGAAGAGTTTATTGCGAAGCATCTGCACAATACTTGAGCCATCGCTCTCATTCCTAGTCCATTGTTTTCAATATTGAAGATCAAAGTTTCTGAAGAGCGCTCTTTGCCCGCTAAGGTTTGGATCAATGAATATGGGAAGAAGCATCTTTCAGGATCGGAAAGATCTTCAATCATGAAACTGCTTCTCTTTTGTAGTAATATCAAAGAGATAATCAAAAACTGCTCAGTCAACACATTACAAAACTACTGCTTCTTGAAAGATAGCAGTGATGAGTTCTAATACTTGTTCTTCCATAAATGTCGCTGGTGATATATGATGTCAGCTTCAGGGGTTCAGCTGGACAGATGTAAACAAATTTCCCAAGCGGGAACGCTACTAAGATAACCAGGGTTAGGGTGGAAAAAGCTATCGGAGAGATCGCGGGTTCCGATCCTAACTCCACTCAAAGTCCTCAGATTCTTCGGAGCGATTCTGGAACTCCGTCGACAAATTTGAGTTTCTACAATAACTCTTCCGAGGATCGTGCAAATTGTTTTAACTTCCACCATCGGTAGGCATTGCTATCATATGACCATATCGACGGAACTGATATCCTTGGTGAGTATTGGACTTTGTTGACTTGCATACTCATCCTTTTCCCTCTCATGATGACTTTTTTTTGACAAAACCTTGACTTCCGAGATTTCTGTGAGGAGATACCCTTGCCTGATGCCATACCAAATTCTTCATCGATCTGTGGATTTGTTGCTTTTATATGTTCGGCTAACAGATATAGAACCAGGTTGACGCCATTGAAATCTGTCAATAAGTGGGGCGAACGACAAACGATCCCTTGACCAACATTGCAAGTCTTGCTCACATTGTTCCTTTAGCCACCTCCATCCACTTTCGTGTTGGTGCTCTATTTTATCAGACTTTTAAGCCCCATGATTGAAATCAATAGGCATTATGATAGTACATCTCCATCACTAAGTAGAAGTCAAAGTGAACTATCCTCCTGATTACCACTCTTTGATTTTCTGATATGTTTGTCCTTAGCTAGTGTGACTCCCTAGCTTTCTAACTTACATTAGTTTAACTCTGAATGCTTCCTTCAACGTGCTGTCGGTTGCACACCGCACTACAAGGCTCTGTCAACTCTGGGGCGTTTGCTGAACTTGCTGTTTTCATTGATGCCCTATAGAAGGATCGCCTGTTGACATCCGTTTCTAGGCACAGCTGAGTACCTGAGGAGATGTGGTACTCCTCATCCTCACAGTGTTAGACTTCAGTCTCAGTGATATCAAGATGTCCCGAGAACCTTGATCTCAGTGGAACTGTCTTGAATTTAAGTAGATTCCTGAGGCAGCACATTACCAAAGATGGTCGACCATGTGTTTGCTTAGGATTTGGGCCATCCCCAGGTCGCTCTTTCTTAAATGAGAATCAATCAGCCTGTTGGTTGCCTTTTTGACTTTCATCGCCTTTTTTTTCCCACCAACTTGAGATCTCCCGCTATGCCTGGACCCTTTTCTCAACAAGTCATGACCTAGAATCTGTGAGAACGGCTTGTAATATTTTCATAGTCGTCGATTGTGGTTTTTTTTCCCGAGAGTTGGTCAGCTCGTTATCACTGAAGCCCTCTGCCAGCCCCACATACATCGATCGTCTGGCATGCAAAGTTGACATCATTCACCTGGAACTCTGGCCAACATCCTCTCAGTCAAATTATTCAAGTGTTCATTGATTGGATGAGGCCTGGCGGTCTGTCTTCATTGTCCTAGACTACTTTTTACTCACGTGATTTGTCATTCTTCTCACCAAACCGTCTACGCCTACAAGGAGACATCTGGAGATATTGTTGACGACTCCCCTCGGCTTCTTCTCGGTGCCATCCTCCTGGCTCAGGACTAAGGGTCTAGACAACACCTACCTTTTGTCCACTCCTTGTCTCAAGCTTCCAGAGCACGGACAACCGACATTTCATTGTTCACTCACAACTCACGTGGCTGGACATCTCAACACCTCATCAACACCCTTTCCTCAAGCTCTTTTCTTTACCTTCCTCTTGATCCAAAAACCGGGTGGTGGACAACAACACCTGATGTTTCATCCGGTCCTTGTCCCTACTGGACGACCAATCTTTTCATTGTCTTTCACGTGACTTGACTCCTCGATATATTATTAAGGACTTCTGGTCCAATCGTCCCTTATATCTTTCTTCCTACCTTCTGTCAATTACTCTCTTTGACCAATTTCCACCTTTCTTCACCCTAGGGGGCTTAGGCCATCAGCAACTGCTGCCCAAAGTACTAGTCATTACAAACACGCATTTGAACCTCAGGACAGGCTGTGAAAGCTACCGACAACTTCTGAACCGAACATGTTGACTCGGGCGGCGTTTAGGAGACTCACAGAGGCTGCTGCTGTAACAAGCAGCGAGCCCACATCAACAGAAGCTTTGTCAGCTGAATCTTCAACGAGTGCGACAGCTATAGATTCTGTGAACGCCGCTAACGTTAATACTAATGCCAAGCGCCCAGCTACTGCTGTTATTGAGAGAGCCGCAGAGCATTCTACACGCAAGAGAGTTAAGAAGGAGCGTAGCAAACCTGTCCAAAGGGAATGGACCCTGCCACATGGTATGGGTGTAGTCCTTTGTCAACCAGCTCCTCGCACCTCGCAGCCAGAGGAGTTTGCCACATCAAGTGCTGTGACGTCTCCGGAAGGCACCTTCACTTCTGCAATCCCAACATTAAGCACCACATCAGTCTCTTTCGTGAAGCAATCTACAAAAGAGAAGGCGGTGATACCGACCAAGCAAACCCACATTTCACTGCGGGTAACGGAAGTCACAGCTGCTCATTCTACAAAGCAGCAAAAGAAACAAGATCCTCCTGTCAAACGAGGAGCATCTGGCCGAAATATCTTACTCTTAGAACAAGGGATACCTCCTGCCAAGCGAACCCGAATCACTGGAGTGAAGTATGAGGATACCTCTTCACAGAATTCAATTGCAGATGTCGCTCCATTGGAAGTCGGCCAAGTCAAGGTCGAAGAAAAGAAAGGACAGCAGCCATCTCCAAGGCTCTTGATCTTCCGAGGGATTGCGATCAAGAATAGCAATGCCATCAAGATATGTGATACAGTCACGGTGGACGCAACCCAAGTCCTTGATCCTGACTTCAGGATCAAGATCAAAAGGGGTAAGGATAACCCTTATGGACTGACCCCTGGCTTCTCGCCATACCCCTACAGACGGGTCCCGACACCTGAAGCCTGTGAGCATGTCTACAGAATCTTGGCAGACTTACACGGTGAAGTGAAACAGCCAGAGAAGATGCCGGCAGCATCTTTAGAGGTCGCTGGTTGTGGAGAGGTACCTTGTGTTCTTGATGCTCTACTGAGAACATTGATCAGTGGAAACACGCTTATGGCGCTGGCCGATGCTGCTGTGAAGAATCTGGTCCAGCACTATGGACTGCGCAAAGTAGGTACCGGTGCTGGCAGCATCGACTGGGATAAAGTTCGTCTGGGTTCCCATCGAGAGCTTGCTGAAACTATCAAGATCGCCGGGAATGGTCCGAAGAAAGCGTCTCATATCAAGCAGATTCTCGACATGGTCTATGCAGAAAACCTTGAACACATTGAAGCACAAACTGTAGACAAGGGAAGTGAGCCAGGGGGGAAACATGGCACAGATAGGCAGGATCTGTTGTCTCTTGACTACATGCACCGTATGACCAAAGACGAGGCGATGGCGAAGCTTGTCACTTACCCTGGCGTTGGTATCAAGACTGCTGCTTGTGTTACCCTTTTCTGCCTTCGTCTGCCTTGCTTCGCTGTTGATACGCATGTTCACAAGTTCTGCCGTTGGCTTGGTTGGGTGCCACCCAATGCTGACCCTGATAACTGTTTCAGACATGGAGATGTCATGGTTCCGGACCACCTCAAGTACGGCTTGCATCAACTGTTCATTCGACATGGCCAGCAGTGCTTCAAGTGTCGCAAGGCAACAAAGCCTGGTACAAAAGAGTGGGACAATGCCGACCCCTGTCCATTGGAGCACCTGCTGGATCGAAGCAAAGACGAAGCTGGGTCAGAGAAGAGCACACAGAAGAGCTCGGACAAGAGCTCAGGAAAGAGTACGAGAGCAAAGAGTGAGAAGAATATCAAGTTTAAGGATGGGAATGAAAGGGCCGAGGAGACACAGTCAGAAAGCGAGGTGGAAAGTAAGAAGGAAACTGAGTCGAAATTGGAGCTGGAGTAGGTGATCTGGAGACCTGATGGTTGTTGTGAGATGCGAGCATCTCGTCTAGCGTTAGTGTTTGGGATGCTGAGTTTTTGCCAGATGTCAACAGGCTGCTTCAATGTTTGCTCTTTAACATTGCTTCTTAATCATGGATATCAAGAACTTAATGCATAGCGCAGCTTTAAATCAATCTGAGCTTTCAGGACCAAACCCATGGAAGTTGCTTGTCTGGTTTCCAGGGCGGCTTATGTAAGCGACAAATCAGAGAAATGGCCATATATGCTGGGGCTCTTAATAGGTGTCCCACTTTTACCCACTTTTATCGCGCTGCCGCGGCCCCACAAGGCACGCCGCCAGACGCGTGCAATGCTACGACCTCTTGATCTTTCGCGACTGCAGAGAAGGCGCATTTTCAGGGGGATTTTCTTCCCATCAAGCTGTGCTGCTGGGTCATACCCGCCCTTACTGTAGAGCTTGCCCAGCACTGTAATTACTATGAACAGTGTTTGGTCCTTTTATTGGTCGCCATAGATATCAGAAATCCGTGCCTTTGTTTTTGCGTCCCTGCCGGTATTTCTTCCCACATGCACACTACTTTCCTGCCTGATCTTCCGATTTTTCACTCTTTAATATTCCTCCCATTCTGGACTTTTTTGCTGATAAAAACCAATCCAACAGTTCAGCGAATGTGCCCAGTTTGGGGGCCTTATCCAGATCATACATGCGGAATGCCCAACATTTAATAAGTTGCCGTGTTCCTCCACAATAACCCTTCGGTTTCTCTCCATTTCCTTTCCATCAGCCGCCACGATGGAAAACAACGACTTGTACCAGGCGGCCATTGGGTGGTATCGGGCCTTTGAGGACTGCCCACCTGAACTCCACCTGTGTTGCCCCAAAGTCGACGACGACGATTATGCGACGTATGACGAGCCAGATGTTGTCGACGACAGCGGCGTCCCGGTTGAAGAGAAGAAGCGCCGAATCTCCGCGTATGAAGAGCGCTTCCAAAATGTTTACAATCTCAGCATCCTGCTTGGCCTCGGGAAAGAAGTAGCAGGTCCATGGCTCGATGAGTGGACCCGAGCCGTGGATTCATTGCTCAAGAAATGCGACACCTGTGTGCGCAATTGGCATCGAAACCGTGATCCTTATCTGAAGGCATTGTATGTTTTTTGCAGTCTTGCAACTTGAATATGTTCTGGAAAACTAATCATACCTGTACACTTTCCAGGCACCTATCTCCGGAACAAGTAACCTATTTGCAGTCTAAGCTCGATGAGTTCGACAGACAACGTATAACTGAGGGCCTTCAGCGGGCCAAGGCCATCCTCGAGCAATATGGGCCGATGTCAACCGTGAAACTGGTCGACCACGATATGTCAGCTGTCCTTGCACTTTATGAGGCTCTTTGCAGCTTGCCATATCTTGCTCGCCCCGAACACCAACCGCTCTTCGACTTCGTCTTTGAGAATACCCAGCGCAAGAAGCCTCTGAGGATGCAAGGCGGTATCATACCTTCCATGACTTTGTTTTTGTTCGATGAATCTCCCGTTAGGCGGAGGTTTGCGGAAACTGCTTGGGAGAATCGGCAGCCTGGATCTATTACCGCTCAGGAGTGGGATTGGGCAATTTCTGGTCGCTTGGCTGATCAGATCGTGTCACTCTCGTTCAACAGGCTTCAAACACTTCCTCCAGGCCAGAAGATCCTTCGATTTTGGAGTGGCTTCCTCTTCATTCTACATGCCTTGAGCGAGAAACAAATCATAAACTCGCTCCGAGCTATGGAGGTGTCTCCAAGCATTTATTTCCTTGCCCTGGAGCATCTGGGTACCAATTCCGACGAAGCGTTGGCAATGGTGCTCAGAGCACTCCAAGAGCTCATGGAGAAGTCTTCTAAGGCCTTTTGGCAGGCTCTTGAACAGGTCCCCCCAAACCAACTAGTTGAAGAGATCTTCAAGAGTGCGGCGTTTCGGCCTTTACTTAACAAGTCCTTAAGGCCAGAGCTGTTGGTCACGGAAGGTGACAGTCAGGTCCCAGCTCTTGCTGCTTGGATGAGGGCCCTGGTTCGATCCTTACCGTCTACGAGTTGGTCCGACCTCTGTGAAACCTCCTTGCGGCATCTTTTCGAGACCTTTCGGTCAGACCAGGCTGTAGACCAGTCTGGTCGGGCTACTTGCACTCTTGCCGGTCTCGTCACCCTCCAGCAGTGTTTGGATGGCTTTTTGCAACAAGACTCGATCGACACCGGAACCGGGCTGATCATGGTTAATCAACTCCTCAATAGGGTTGTTAACTATAGCGAGATCATTATCCGCGCCGCGAGTCTGAAGCCTGGTGATATCTACAATGTTGGTATCTCCAAGGCTGCTATGGCCATCATACACTCTGCCCTTGCGCTAGACGCGAAAGCGACAGAGGTTGAGTGGGCTGCTCTGATTGCAGAGAAGCCAGTTCAAGATGCTGTGAACCGGGATTCGGGCGCGCTTTGGGAAACATTCTTGGAGATGCTCTGGGCTGGCCAGCTGGGACATTTTGAACTTGCAAAAGCAATGCTGATGGCTACATTGCGTCTCAGGAGCATCGAGCAGTTCATCCCCAAGCGGAAAGAACAACTCAAAAGGGAGCTGGATAAGTTTAATAAGAGATACCAACAGCAAACAACAGCCATTGGAAAGATGCTCAACCGCTTGACCGATTTCGAGCCAGAGGTCTTGGACAAATTGTGTTCGGATCCTCGGGGTCAAACCATCCATCCCATCGTCTCGTCGCTAATTCATGGCGAAGATGCAATCCGTGAAGCTGGATTTCAGCTGCTCAAAGCCATCACATCCGAAAGTCAGCCCTCAGACGCGGTAGGCAGGATGCTGGAGGTTTACTTCACCCCTTTCTTAAATGCATTTTCCCAAGCTGTCGACAAGCTCACTGCCACGAAGGATGCAAATAGCCCTTGGAGTCACATGATCCCGATCTTGAAGTGCAGCGACTTCGTCCTTACTGGTTTATGTGACCCTTCATCAGGACAGCTCCGACGTAAGGTTCTCACAACCGAGGAGCATGCTGCCGTTAAACGTTGGTGGGAGTGCGTCTGGCAAGCCGTCGATCATTCGTTTCGGATGATGAGAATCTGGCACATCAAGATCGATAAGAAGGTCATGGAGGACTTTTGCCGCGATGTGATGGAGTTGGGCAACAAGCTGCTTGCTCAGGATGGCGTGATGGCTTCCTCTCTCGCTCAAGAGAGCGGCGAGGACGCGATATCCAAGGCCATGAGAGAAGTCCTGGACCCTCCCAGGAAGTGTTCGTACTCCCTCGCGGACATGCTGCAGCTTCGAGACAAGTATCTCGTCATGGGCATCATCGAGACTATCAAAAAGCTCCTCTCGAGATTGCAAGAGAATGAGATGAACTTGCCTCAGAGAACTCGTGGACATCTGGATAGCATGCTTAAGAAAACGAAGCAGAGGGATGGCCGCATGGACTACCTGACAAAGACGAACTTGACAGATGTTCAGCGTATTGAGCTGCTTAAGGCCCTAGGAGAGGATGCTGTCATCGAAGAGCAGTTTATGGGCACGAAGCCTGGCGACAGGGAAGCTAAAGAGAAGGAACGGGCTCTGAAGCAGAGCAAGCTTGATTTTTCCAAGGCTGGTATCAGCTATTCTGGGGATATCAACGAACACCTCGCCCAAATCACTCCTAACTTTGAGAAGTACCATAAGTCTTCACTTCTCGAGACTTTAAAGAAGGAAGAACCTGCCAAGCCTAAGGCGCCGGCAAAGCTCAGTCAGCAGGCCATTCTTGCCAATCAACAGCAAATCAAGGAGGCTCGCGCTCGGGAAAGGGCCGAGAAGGCGAGGCGGGATGCAGAAGCTATCGCCAAGGCAAAGGCTCTCCGGGCTGGCAAGACGATTCCAGGAGAGGGCTCAGGCTTGCAATCCATTGCCGGAGTTCGCGGAAAAGATCACGCACCCGTGGTCAAAGATGAAATCATGGTCGGCTCCTCGTCCGAAGATGAAGGCGATGATGACGATGACGACGATGTCATCAACAGGGCCAAGACAAAGAGCAAGAAGATTTGGGACGAGGCAGAGCGTCGCCGGCTTGAGTTGGAAGCCGAGAAGCTCCGCGGGCCCGTTAAGAAGATGAAAATCCTGAGATCGGCCAAGGACATGCGAGCACGGTTGATTCCTCCAATGGATGTCTTGCACCAAGCCATATTAGAGTGGGACATCTTTCATGAAGGGAACGACCCTCCTAATGGGTATCGTTGTGGTAATGTGTCGGACACGTACCCAGATCCATACAGTTACAAGCAGACTTTTTTTCCTCTACTTATCAACGAGGCTTGGCGTTCGTTTGTGACAGCCAAAGACGAGACCACGTCGAAACCCTTTGGTATCAAGGTTCTGAGTCGTATGACTGTGGACAAATTCATGGAAGTGACGGCTGCTGTCCCCGCTCAGATTAGCAAAGATCGGGGTCTTACTGAGGGAGACATCGTTATCATCTCCAAGGGAGAGGACCCGCTGAACCAGCCGCAAGAGCTGCACTGTCTTTCTCGGATCTGGAAGACTACCTACAAGAAAGACACCGTCGAGGTCGTCTATCGCCTCAACGCTAAGGGTAACCAGATCCTGCCTGCCCTTACTCCCGGCTCTGAGTTCCAAGTTGTCAAGATCACCAACATGACAACAATTGAGCGCGAGTACGCTGCGCTGGAGAGTCTTCAGTATTATGATCTCATGGATGAAATTCTGAAGGCGCAGCCGTCGCCAATGTTGACCTTTGGTGACGAGGCTATCAAGGCGGTCATGGACAATTACCAGCTCAATCCTGGTCAGGCGCGAGCGATCCTGAACGCGAAGGAGAATGATGGGTTTACGTTGATCCAGGGACCTCCCGGTACTGGAAAGACCAAGACCATTGTTGCGATGGTTGGCTGCTTGCTCACCGGCGTTTTGAAATCATCGAATACTGGTGCTGTGCAGATCAGCCGACCTGGTGCAGGGCCTACCAACGGCACCGCACCGTCCAAGAAGCTTCTCGTGTGTGCTCCCAGCAACGCCGCTGTAGACGAATTGGTACTGCGTTTGAAGGCAGGTGTCAAGACAATGAATGGGACATTTCACAAGATTGAGGTCCTCCGTTTGGGCCGCAGCGATGTCATCAATGCAGCCGTCAAGGATGTTACTCTCGACGAGCTGGTTAAGGCCAGGATGGATGCGGAGCTCAGCAAGAACAGCAGTCCCAGCGAGCGGGATCAGCTACACAAGGAAGCAGGAGAGATCAAAGCCAAACTTGCTGAGATCCGTCCACAGTTGGATGCAGCTAGACTGAGCGATGACCGAGCATCTGCGATGAAACTGCAGCGCGAGTTTGACGAGCTCAAGCGCCGTCAAGCTCACATCGGCGCCAAGATCGACGCTGACAAAGCCAGCGGCAACACTTATGCCCGTGAGACTGAGATCAAGCGCCGGCAGATTCAGCAAGAGATCTTAGATAAGGCTCAAGTTCTTTGTGCTACCTTGAGCGGGAGCGGTCACGAAATGTTCAAGAATCTCAACGTCGAGTTCGAGACTGTCATCATCGACGAGGCTGCTCAGTGTGTGGAACTTAGCGCCCTCATCCCACTGAAGTATGGCTGCAACAAGTGTATCCTTGTCGGTGACCCGAAGCAGCTCCCTCCGACAGTCCTCTCACAATCTGCGGCCAAGTATGGCTACGACCAGAGTTTGTTCGTCCGGATGCAAAAGAATCATCCCAAGGATGTCCATTTGCTGGATATGCAGTACCGCATGCATCCGGAAATCAGCAGGTTCCCCAGCAAGGAGTTCTACGAAGGACTGCTGCAAGATGGCGCTGATATGGCAAGGCTCCGTTTGCAGCCGTGGCATCAGAGCGTCCTGCTGGGCCCTTACCGCTTCTTTGATGTGAAGGGTTCGCAAGAGCGTGGCCCCAAGAACCAGTCTCTGGTCAACGAAGAAGAGGTCAAGGTTGCTATGCAGCTCTATATGCGCTTCCGCTCAGATTATCGGGATATCGACTTGACAGGCAAGATTGGCATCATCACCCCGTACAAGGCCCAGCTGCAACGTCTCCGGCAGAAGTTTGTTGAGAGATATGGCGAGAGCATTACAGAGCAAATTGAGTTCAACACCACGGACGCGTTCCAGGGTCGCGAGTGTGAGATTATCATCTTCTCTTGTGTCCGAGCCAGTCCAACGGGTGGTATCGGTTTCATGACAGATATCCGTCGTATGAATGTCGGTTTGACGCGTGCGAGGTCATCACTGTGGATTTTGGGTGATTCCCGCGCACTCGTTCAGGGTGAATTTTGGGCCAAGCTCATCGAGGATGCTAAACAGCGCGATCGCTACACCAACGGCAACATCATGGCCCTGCTGAGCCAGCCTGGGCCCAGGGTGTCACTTGAATCGCTTGCCAAGCAATATTCCGTGCCAGTTGCTCCTGTCGCTCGGTCCAAGGAGGATGTGGAGATGCATGATACTCCGCGCACCTCTGAGTCGATCCCCCCAGCGATGCCTTACCGTGGTTCTGGCATCGGCGGGCTAAATGAACGGGGCGAAGCTACTACCCCAACTACCCGGGGCGGAGAGCTTCCCATCATTCAATCCACTGATGGATCTGCTGGGAAGAAGCGACCGCGGGATGCCAATGAAGAAAATCGGCGTCCTGCGAAAAAGGTTTGTTCTTTTCCTGTAGCTTCTACCTAAGTGTTCGGCGTACTAATATCATTCCTTCAGCCGCATTCGACCCCGCCAAAGCCTCCTCAGCCTTCTGGTTCACACAAACAACCGGCATCGGCATCGGCATCGATCGATCCTTCTGCGATGGAAGTTTTGGGGCTGGTTCCTCCAACCCGTCCGCCTCCTCGGCCACAGCCACGCCCTCCTCCTCCGGCACCTTCTAGGCCGACTGGCAGTCCTGGCCCTTCTGGACCAAACAATTCTCCAAAAGTAAGCACTTCTCTTGACATTCAGGACCACATGTGATGAGGATCAAAGAGTTAACGTGATGCAACTTCTAGGGACCGGTTGTTATTCCCAAGCGGCCCGCGGCGGATCCGTTTATCAGGAGGAAGCCGGGCAAGCGGTAGATAGGTGGCAACTACATTCACGTCTAGTTTTGATCTCCTGGATTTCAATTCTGTGTTGATTTTACACGCATCATTATCTTTAGCAGGCGCCAAAAAGGTGTGCATAGCATAGATACAGGGCAGGCATTTCGGATGGGGGAGGGGCTTCAAGAGGCTATCTCGCGACACACATGGCAGACAGACAGGTGATTAGTTGTAGATGGGTGCGGGATCTGGTTCTGCATTTTGCTTTGGGGTTCTTGGAGTAAGGGTCTTTCTGCCGACGGAGGAGGATGCCATTACGGTTCAGATGGCGATGAGTTGATTCGTTGCTTGCGTTGTTATGTGCTTTTTTGTGTTTCCGGCATACCTACTCCACAACCGAACAAGGCCTCTAGGCCTTAAGTCGTATACTGCTCGTCGATCATGGGCCAGAACTGCCCAAGCCCCAAGCTGTTGGGGCCGTTCAGTCTCAACGCTCTATTGCGTTTATCTACCTGTTTGGGTGAACAAATGCCAGCCTACCCATGCTTACGCCTAAGGCTCTCGAAGCATTCTCGACTCCTCGAGTCTCATGGATTGACATCCACACCCCATCATAAATCGCTCTGGCTCTCTCTGAATGTCGTCCGTTCAGCATGTGATCATCATCCATCTGGCTTTCGAAATCTCGCACTAGTGGAGGCGGAGTTTGATGCCTTGTTTGGTGGGTCTCCCGATCAAAGCACGTGGTGGTCATGCAACTTCGGTAGCATTCCGAGACGTAGCGAAGTTACCAAGACCTTTCTGGTGTTTAGGTCAAACACTACTCTCGGGTAGTATAAACGTCCTGAAGCAAGCTATGTCGATTTATCGACACTCGCACAGCCTTAACACTAGGAATGAAGCCAGCTTCCGTCGTTTCGCCTTCTGCCAGAGACAACCAGCCACTGTCCAGGTGGTGACACAAGCATCAGATCCACGTGCTAGCCAAGACTGCCAAGTGACGCCGCCGATCTGCTGGCCGTCGATCCCGTTGAGCTTGTCCTGGAAATATGCAACGCTGATTGGACGGAAGTGTTTGTGGGGCTGTGGGGAATCGTATGGTGGATCAGATGTCCTACAGTTTTGCACTCGACGATTTTCCGCGATTTTGCGTGCAGGGAAATTTGGGGATGGGAATATTGGCCTTGGGAAGTCATTTTAACTCCAAGGAACAAGAGTTCCGACTCTAATAGCTTCATATAGCAGCTTTAGTTACTAAAACTTAGATCCTTTGACCTGGAACAGAGTCGTTACCCCTCGGACGAGCCTCGGTCCAAGCTCTTCGAAACTCCGCACATGATGCATGATGCGAAGGACAATCCGTCACCCGTCACATCATCCCCGCCACATGTCCCCCTGTCAATGACTTGCAGCTGCTGACGTTGCAGGACACCCTTACCTGCTCCATCCGCCCGAAGCCGCAATGCGCCAACCGCAGGTAGCCCTTCTTCCCCAAGCTTACTCAGGAGATTGTGAGTCGCGGACGGTTTTGAGGCCAAGGCTTTCTGGGGCGATCCAGGGACTTGGACGACTCGTTTTGCTCAACTCGGGGACTCGGATGCGGCAATGAACGGTAGCTGGTTGGGACCAACTGTACATTTGCTAGCTGGAGTTCTCTATCCATTGTGATTCCATTGCCACAAGAGAATGACGATTGCAGACACGATGCTTCAGCTCGGTCGGCCATCGGGCTAGCCATCTAAGCCAAGCCCTGACACTGCAGGTGCATGCAAGAGGCTCGGGATTTAATGTTGGGAAAACAAAATGCTGCGATGAGTTGATTCCCAGTGTTCGGGATAATGCTTTCTGCGGTATGATAAAAGTATTAAGGGCTTCGATTATAGATCCTTGGGAAATTGAAACACCTTCTGTCAGATATGCTGGAGTCGAAGGGACTGCTAAGCGCAGTTTGCCATGCGTCCACTCAGTTTTCTAGGATATTCCAAGAAGACAGAAACTTCACCGGTGAGCATCCGTAACTGAAGAATAATGAGAAGTACTTTTAACGTTGTAAACAGACGCTTTCCTATTCCAATGAACATGGCCGAAATAGGAACATCTTCACGTTCCTACCATCGTTCGTTATGGACTGTCTCAGTAACAATCGAGGCATTCGGGTCCGTCGTGAAACAGTAACGGTGCACAGCGACGACAGGCCGTCACATCGAAGAACTCCGTCACAAGTCACGACTACGATTCTATCTGGCACAGCGGGGCATCAAACACACCCTAGCTATCATTTCGAGAGTTTCCTCTTAGACGACGCCTCAAGCTCAACCGACAACTTGGTCAACGTCCCCGTTCCCAGAGTTCCCAATCAAAATCAGTCGCGACAATCTATAAAGGGAAGGAAGAGGGATAGCTTGCGCGATCTGATCGACTTTTTTCGCAACACGTCCCGGGCGCCGGAGAATCTGAAGTCCATCCCAGACTTGCCGGCCCAAGCCATGGCGGACCCCGAATGTAACCCCAAACGGAAGTTGTCCCTCTGGCGCGGGCTAGGGCGAAAACCATGGAAATCTGAAAATGGGAATCGGAATCAGAAGCAGCAGCAGCAGCAGCAGCAGCAACGGCGTTGGTCGAAACTCCTTAGACTGCCGGACTCGGCTGTCACGAGCACCACGATCAACGGTCACAAGCACATCGCCATATCGATCCCCATTGAGCATGACAATTTGGATTTGTTGAGACACAATAACAACATCAACACCAAACAGGATCCGGTTAGGCCACGACGGACAATAAAAGTCGATCACAATCACAACGTCACCGTTTCGGTTCCTCCTCGGCGCCGACCACGACCCCTGTCCGAGCCACTGCCCCGGGGTAGCAGCATCAACGGTGCTGACGATCTCTTGAAGCTGGTTTTAGACCCGCACGAAGCGCGACAGCCGCATCAGGCGCCAGCGCCGAGGTTTAGTGCTACTGCTTCTATGGACGACTTTGATGAACAGCAACATTCCCGGAGAGCAGAAGTCTCGGTTCGTGCCCGTGCCCGTGGTGGTGGTCCAGTGCCAGCGCAACATCACGTCTCTTATGATCATCAGCTGACAGATTTGTTGGACCAACAAGGCCCTGTCTTTCCATATACGCTTCCCACTGCTTTGGTAATAGCCCAGTCGGACCCTGCTGCTGATACCAGCTTGGATAATGCCCATCGTCGTCGCTTGCCTTTGCTGCGCCGTCAACGAGGGCTTTGCATACGCCGTCCCCAGTCTGCATATTCCTTAGATGCGTTAGATACCCTACATACGATTATGGACAGAAGCTATCTTTGCAAGTCACCTTCTGTTGCGGACAGCTCCGACTCAGACTCGAGCGAGACGATACTATCAGATACGGTGTCTGTTTCGATTCCGTCGCCGCATCTTTCTGCCGAGTGTCTAGGCGACGACACTCCTGCACAAGACCCTGCTCAACATGGGGCAAACCCTACAGCTACAAAATGCGGGGATTGTTCTTGGATTGCCATCAGCCCGGTGCTAGAAACTACGAGAAATCCAGACGAACTATACCAACGAGATGACGGCCAAGTCCTTCGTCTAGAGAATCGAGAGAGTCATGGTCTACTACTAGGTTCATCATTCCGACCTTCCCGTCCCATCAGCCTGCAATCATTTTCAGCAATCAGCTCCTTAGAATTGCCACCACCACAACAACCACAACAAGCACAACAAGCACAATGCCGGCCAGTTCTACGCATAACTCCCGTCCAAATCATAGCCGATCTCCCGCCAACCCCAGACTCCCTCGACGAGTCACGAAGTACAACACCCGAATTTGCGGCTGCGGCGCCCAGTCCAACGGTACCAAGAATCCTCCGCTCTCCCCGGCGCAAACCACGCACCTTAGACCTCCGTGCCCAAGCCAACGAGTCACCTACCAGCCAACCCTCCCCAACTCATGAAATACAGTCTCTCAAAGACCTTACATTCCCGAGATTATTACCCCCTCCCGACATCGATCCCAACAAACCCATCTCCCCGCACAGAATTCTTGCTACCATACCTCCAAATCACAACCATCAGGACTATTTTTCCCCGTTTGCCCCGTCACCCCTACCTTCGCCCCTTGTTTCGAACGATGGTCTCGCTGTAGACACATCATCACCAAACCGTGATTCCATTGGGGGGGGGCTGCTTGCTGGGGAGAACTTTATGGGTTCGTTGATTACCCGGCTGGACCGGTTGGAGAAGATATTGAGCGGGGATATCCGGTGGGCGGTGGTTAGGGATTGGGATGGCGAGGTTAGGAGGGCGAGGATGAAAGAGCGAGAGAGAATTAGGGAGCAGGAGAGAAAGGAGCAAGAGAGGATCAGAGAACAAGAGAGAATCAGAGAGAAGGAGAGGATCAAGAAACAAGAGAAGCTCAAAGAGGAAGAGAGGGTCAGGGAGCAAGAGAGGCTGAGAGAACAACAGAGGGTCAAAGCACAGAAGAGACTCGAGGAGTATGAAAGACCAAAGCCAGCGAAACCAGGAAACTCGAAGTCAGGGAAGACTATGGCTTGGTGGAAGACAGGAGAGCAAGGTATAATTGGCACTGAAGCTGAAACGAGCTGTGAAGTCGGGGATGATGAGCGAAAAGAAGTCAGGTTTTCACTTGAGCTCCCTGTTGAGCAAAACGGACAGCAAGAAAGTATACCGCGCGAAGGACAAAGGACCCTCCACAGCTGGTATAAAAGTACCTCGACTCTCGGAGTCGAGAGAGATGAGCCACTCATTCAACTCCCAGGCCCTCGAGATTTGCTCTCCTTCCGAGAACACGAAGAACTCAGAAAGAGAGCTGGGTCGCCCATGAAACATGGAGGGTTTGAGGCTTTGTTAGGAGAGAACAATAAAACAGGACAAACGCAAATCGAGGTCGTGATACCCGAAAGGAGATCCAGCCTAGCTGGCCAGCAACAACATGTAGAAGGTAGAAAGCGGGATTTGTCGGACAGAGACGGGTTGGAGAAGATCGCAAAGGTGATGAATGAGTTGGTTTTGGGGTTTGATGAGGTTCACTAAAGGGTTCAAAGAGGCTCTGTCATTTTGAAAGATTGTTAGGGCTTGTTTAACATCATCCTCAAGCTACTAGAGAAGTGGAATAAGTGCGGGTCAATGTCTTAGTCGATGATATGAGGGTAGGCTGAGGGTGGATGATACTAGGATTTAGGGTAAGCCCCCACCTGCAACATATCGCATAAATTCCAAATAAACAACAGATACCCGACTCATTACCATATCCAACCTACCTACCTCTCTCCCTCACATCTAAAATACCCCCAAAGGATATACTTTTGGAACCCTCTCATCCACCCTAACTTCCGGAACCCTCTCATATCTACCCCTTACTGGGACCCGTCCCTCAACCCAAGGCGGCACCCTCACCCCCTCTCCATCCTTTTTCCGTATATACTCGATGCTTTTTGCAATCCCCAATAACCCCCCTTCACTCCACGGCTGCCCCAAAACCTCCATCCCAATTGGCACACCCGCCGGCGCCAAGTCCGTAGGCGGAGAAAACCCTACGGGCACACACACGACCGGAAACCCAGTCAACGCCGCGAGCAGGCCATTCCGTCCGTACTGGTTGGGCGAACCGATAGGCACGACAAGGTTCTGTTGCTCGGGGTAGATCAAGGCATCAAGATCATGAGCCTTGAAGACGCTAAGGAGGTGTTCTCTCAGGCGGGAGATGCCTTGCAGACGGGAGTGATATTCTTCTGAGGAAGGTGAGGACTTGAGGGCAGCGTGGAGGAAGGAGGATTGTGCAGGAAGGACGAGAAAGGCGCGGTTGGGGCGGGCTTGGGTATATAAGGCGCGAAAGGAGGGGGGAACTGAGCCAGGGGGGTTATGGGAAGCGGTGAGTGAGAGGTAGGACGTAAGCATGGGAGGGTATTCGAAAATTTGGACGTCGAGGGACTTTAGGGAGATGGGGTTGAGGAGGGGGTCGGAGATGTTGATTACTGCTGCCCCTGCTGCGGTCAATTTGGATACCATATTTCTCATGGCACCATTGACGGGGTCTGTCTCCGCCGAAGTAGTAAAATTGAAATACCCCTCAGTCAACAACCCAAACCTCCTCCCCCTCACCCCCCTCTTACCCTCTCTCTCTATCTCCCTCCCCGAATCCCTTTCCCACACCTTCCCAGGTACCTCCCACGTCGCATTATCTTGAGGGTCAACCCCCACCCCCATTAACGTCCTCAACCCCACCCCCACATCCTCCACACTCCTCCCCATTATCCCAACCGCATCCTGCCTCCAACTAACCGGCACCACCCCCCTCCTACTCACCGCGCCCCTGGACGGCCTAACCCCCACCAGCCCCCCGGCGCTCGCCGGACTCCTCACCGAATTCATCGTATCCGTCCCCATAGCCAACACCGCAAACCCCGCTGCCACCGCAGCCCCCGAGCCGCCACTGCTCCCCCCCGGGGTACGACTCAGGTCATAAGGATTGCGGGTCTGCCCGGCGAAAGAAGAAACGGTGAGACCTTCAAGGGCCATATCATGCATGTTTGTTTTTCCGAGGATGACGGCGCCTGCGGAGGAGAGGGCTTGCACGGATGGGGCGTCCTCGGAAGGGAAGTTGAGGGCGAGGGCGCGGGAGCCGGCTGTTGTGGGGAGGGGGACGAAGTCGAAGTTGTCTTTGAGGAGGACAGGCACACAAAATAAAGGGAAGCTGGTGGTAAGGGAGGTAATGTTGGACGAGGAAGAGAGGACGGCGTCTAGATGGTCTGCAACGGAGAGGGAGTCAGGGTTAAGGGAGATGATGGCATTGATGACGGGGTTAAAGGCCTCGATGCGGGCGAGAAAGGAGGAGATGATGCCGCGGCAAGTTGTTTGGTTGGTGAAGAGGGTGTGGTGGATGTCTTTGGTGGTTGCTGTTCGTGGGTCGAAGGTATCATCGTTGAGGGTGTAGGCTGCTGTGCGGAGAGGCAGGAGGACAGTCAGCGCCTGGATGAATATCCCTGGCAGCATTATGAGAAGTTTGATGATAACAGGTCATTTTGTTTTGAGTAAACAAGATGACTTTGTGCTCTCCCAATCTTCGAATGAGGGGGAAGAGAAGTGCCGAGGCCACGACAATTGAGACGTCCTTGATAACTTCATAACCATCGGTAATTGATTATCTACACTCCTTACTGCCTTATCGTACCTCTCTATCCGGGAGAACATATATCAACTAATGCCATTGACTGGTTTTTGACGACTTTTTAAGACATGTCATTTCACCCACCACATCCAACACATTCTCAAGATTCATGGCCAAAAGTTCAATTTCCCATTTTTCATGACTAAAAAACAAAAATGAAGACAGGCCCATTCCTATGTGTAAAAGAAGCAGTGATACAATCTCCTGAATGTTAACCGACCCAAGTGAGCAAAAGACCGCTCATTTCAAACCCGGCACTGATATGTAATGCTATAATGGATAAAAGAAAAGTTGAAACGAGACCTTGACCCGACATGACAGCAGCAGCAACGCTCCCTTGCTTGCTTCCTTATAATCCTTCCCTTGAAATCTACATCCACACGAAACCCTAAATGCAAGCCATTTAGAGCTTCGACGCCGGCTTGGGGCTGCCCGCGCTGGTGATCTCGTCGTAGAGCAGCGACGTCAGGAAGTCGGCGTAGTCCTCGCCGGTGACCTGGGTGGCGAAGTACTGAGCGGCCAGCTGGTACTTGTTGCCCTTGGGGGCCTTGGCAGCCAGGTCGGCGGCGATGTCCTTGAGCAGCTTGAGCACGTACGCCTTGTCGACGCGCTTGCCCTCAGCGGTGGTCACGCCGTGGCGCACCCACTGCCACAGCTGGCTGCGAGACACTTCAGCTGTGGCGGCGTCCTCCCTAGGGGTTCGTTAGCATTCTAATGACTTGGAACGTGATACCCGGGGAGAGAAGAACGTACATCAGGTGATTGATAGGCACGCAACCGACACCGCGGATCCAGGCCTCCATGTAGCCAAGACCGATGCTCAGGTTCTTCTTGATGCCGTCCTCGGTGATCTTGCCGGGCACGTTCATGTTAAGCAGGTCGTTGGCGGTGATCTTGACATCCTCGCGACGCACGAAGAGCTGGTTGGGAGTAGGCATGTACTTATTGAAGACCTCAGAGGCGACCGAGGCGAGGGCCGGGTGAGCAACCCAAGTGCCGTCGTGGCCGGCGCGCACCTCACGCAGCTTGTCAGCGCGCACGCCTTCGAGGGCTTTCTCGTTGGCTACGGGGTCATCCTTGATCGGGATTTGAGCAGCCATGCCACCCATGGCGTGGACGCCGCGCTTGTGGCAGGTCTGGATGAGGAGCTTGACCTGTTTTTGGCTGTCAGTAATCAAAATTATTCGCTAAATTTAGAGTTCCAAGCACGCACATAAGCATCCATGAAGGGCACGGTCATGGTGACCTGGCCGCGGTCAGGCAGCACAAAGTTGGGGTTTTGGCGGAACTTCTTGATAACGCTGAAGATGTAGTCCCAACGACCGCAGTTGAGGCCAGCGCTGTGGTCGCGGAGCTCGTAGATGATCTCCTCCATCTCGAAGGCAGCAAGGATGGTCTCGATCAGGACAGTGGCGCGGATGGTGCCGCGGGGGATGCCGATGTAGTCCTGGGCGAGGTTGAAGACGTCGTTCCAGAGACGTGCCTCGAGGTGAGACTCCATCTTGGGCAGGTAGAAGTAGGGGCCGAAGCCGCGCTTGAGGGTCTCCTTGGCGTTGTGGAAGAAGTAGAGACCGAAGTCGAAGAGCGAGCCGCTCATGGGCTCACCGTCGACGGTGACGTGCTTCTCCTCAAGGTGCCAGCCACGAGGGCGCACAATGAGGGTCGGCAGAGTCCGATCGGTGCGGAGCTTGTACTCCTTGTTGCCGAGCTTGAAGTCAATCTGACGGCGAATGGCATCGTAGAGGTTAACCTGGCCGTTAACCATGTTGTCCCAGGTCGGGGCGCTCGAATCTGGCATTCGTCAGCATTCCTGCTTCCCGCTTACACTCCCCGCCCCCCCCCCAAAACCTCATCGTTGAAACGCTGAACGACTCACCCTCAAAGTCGGCCATGTAGGTCCAGACATCAGCGTTCAAGGCGTTGACAACCATCTTGCGGTCCGTAGGGCCGGTGATCTCGACACGGCGGTCGACGAGACCCGGAGCGGGCGGCGCACCCTTCCATGTCGGGTCGTCGCGGATGTGCTTGGTCTCGGGCAGGAAGTCAGGAAGGACGCCCTTGTCGAGTTCAGCCTGGCGAATCTTGCGGCGCTCAAGTAGGGCCTTGCGGCGCGCGTTGAAGGAGCGGTGCAGCAGAGCAAGGAAGGTCAGCGCCTCGGGGGTGAGGATCTTGCGCTGGGTGTCGTTGACAGGGCCGAGGACGTTAACGCCCTGCAGGATAACCTCGGGAGTGGCCATTGTGGATGTGTATGTGATCTGGGTATCAAAAAGAGAATTACTAGGAGAGGGACAATGGAATGGACGTAGAAGAACCCGTGGATAAGGCCGGTCAAGGGGAGGCCAGGAGGGTCAGGCAGGTCAGGCAGGTCAGAAAAGGTCTGTTTCTCTCCGGCTCTAGAGGGCTCGGGGCGGGCAGGGAGTCAGATATATTCGGGGCCAGGAGAAATGAGTCAAAGCAGCGGTCGTGGCCCGTGGGGCAGAGGCTCAGAGGCTGGAACCGGAGCCGAGATGGACCGCGGATAGCTGATCCTGGAATGGGCCAACGGGCGGCAGAGGTACGGGGAAGGTTACGGAGTACTTGTATGGGTTACGGAGCAAGGCCAGTGGAGGATGGAAGATGGAGAATGGATGGAAAGTCTGGTCTGGGGTAGGAACAGATGAAGGAGAATGGATCGGGGCCGGGAAACAAAAGAGGAGGAGAGCTTATCGTATCGGAGCGAGGAAAGAGGACGGGACTGAGACTGGGACTGATTGCCACGGCCACCACCACTGGACAGTCGTGATTACCATCCCTGCTGCGAGTCCAAACTTACAGATTGCCGTCTGATACCGGCCAAGAGACAGAAAAGTGAAATTGGATGGTCAATTGGCCGCTGTGGTCAAGGAAGAGTTCAGCTCGTCAGCAGCGATGCCAATGCCAAACGCACAACCGCATCCGGTGAGCGCACTTTGCACGATGGCGCAGCAGCAAAGATGCATCCGTGATCCGTCGACGCTCATCACCATCACGGGCGTTCGCTGCGAACAGGGGATTCCGACGAAAAAGATCAGGGCGCCGCCCTGGCTCCCGGGACCCGGCCAGGTTCGGCAACAAGGCAAGGCTGCTGCTGCTGCTGCTGCTGCTGGCTGCGTTCTGCTGGTGTCTGCAGCAACATGCGTCCGTTCCATGTTGCTCCATGGACGCTCGCGCCGGCGGCGCTCGTGCCTGTTAGTCCTGAGGCGTGTTCCCGGGCCTGGGCATCGCCGGCAAACGAGGGGCAAATCGCAGGGCAGGTATTACATGTGGTTGGCGGACGAGCCACTGAGAGGGGCCACCACACGTCTAACAAGGCCCCAGACCTCCCCCCAGACGCCCCGGCGATCCCTGCTGCGGTTCGGCCGTTCGGGGCGAGGGGAACTTGAGTGCGCAACGCCATTGGCTGCGACGGCCAGTCATGGTGGGGAGCACGCCCATTACGTTCCAGAATCCAGTCTGTCGCGCATGTGACAAGCGTAAATCTCCATCTTTTTGTGTCAGGAAAAGACGTACTTTTTCGCTTGTACGTAACAAACGAGCCCGGCCCAGCTCGCCCAGCCGTCACGGTGGATTTGATGAGACTCGATTTCGTGCGTTTCGCGACGCGTGATGGTGCCTTGGCTTTGGCAGGCCCGACATCAGCGATTGATTTGATTTGGACACCCCTCTGTGGGCTCTTCGTCAGCGCTGCTGGACTACCAGCCAACTTTTGCCGGCTCGCCGCCGCGGATAGTGAGGTCATCGGTAGGCGGGGCCCCGCCGTTGCCCAGACCCAGCACCATGCCCAGGTGTTGACCGCGATGGACACCGCCGTCGTCCACAGCCCTGGTATCTCGCGGTACCTGCCGAGTTCCCGAGATCGGACTGCCAGCGACGCTCTGCTGCAGCATTGCTGGGGGGCTTCCAGGTGGATTTTGAGCCCTTCAAGTGGCGGAATCGCGCTGCTTAAAAGTGTTGAGCCCATCTATCTTGACCGTCGCTCAACGGCGATCTCCTATCGCCTTCGGGGAGCTCCTCGACCCCTCTTTGGAGCGATAAGAATCCTTCAAAATTGGCATCCCAACCACACAAAAACACACCAACACACACACATCTTCAGCTACACCTGCATCACCGTCTCCCAAAAGGTACTTCCTGCTACTTTCGTCCTCCGACAGCTAGCGAAACTGCCCCGCTTTCTCCCTTTTACGTATCAATGACTCCATTTAGCTCCGGGATTTGCGATGGGCGTGTCCTGGCTCATCGGGTCGCGCCAAGATCTCTGGGGCCCCTCTGGGTTTTCCAGACATACACCCTCCCCAGGTCCAGACAAGCCGCTGTGTCCGTGTCCCAAAGACGCAAAAAGCTCCGATCTGCCGCGGCAGAGCCGAGGTCCTTCCAGCTAAACCAGCCGAGTGGAACCCTTGTGCCGACCTCGACCGCCTTGTGCGGCTTGGACGGCCGTCGACCGTGCCGATACTTCCCGAACCATGGCCTCGATCACGAGCATTTTTTGTGACTGTGATTGTTGGTCTGGAAGATTTGGACATCTGAAAAGGGTTACAGTGCTTCATCAGCAGGACCATGTCGCACGATGGTGCTTCTCATTACGTGTCAAGCAAACTCCTCTTTTATTTTTTTTCTTTTAATTTCTGCCCCTATTGCGCGCACCCGCATGCAACTACCTATTCCCCCCTTAAACTCCGTACCTATCGAAGATAACTCAAACCTGGAAACACTGGATGCTTTTGACAGGGCCTCCGGTCCTTGGACCTAGTAGTGTACATGTTGTACATGTTTGTTGCTGGTTCAGGCAGACTGTGTAGCCCCCCCGTCATCCAGATGATGACGATGAAGAATATGACAGCTGAATCAAGCCAACGAAGGTGAGAACATGGCCGAGGAGCACCCAGTGATCCTCGTTCTCCATCCACCTCTCCCAAGAAAAATTATTTGGGTCCTGCTTCCCCGGTAAGCGGCAGGCTGCAGCAGCTCACCGAGACCAACTCACCCCACGCCCAGTCAAGCAGACATCCTTGGTTTCGGAGGAATGTCCGCTTCACCTAGGTGTGTGCGCCTTCGGAGAGTCACTTTAAGGCTTGTACGGCTTGGGGCCAATCATCAGCTCGGGCCGGACAAGAGTATCAAACTCCTCCTCAGTCAGAGCCTTGAGCTCAAGGGCCGACTCCTTGAGGGTAATGCCCTTCTTGTGGGCGTTCTTGGCGACCTTGCTGGCCATGTCGTAGCCGATCTTGGGGTTGAGGCAGGTGACGAGCATCAGACTGGCAAACAATCAGTATCACTTACGTCCCACTAAGTGCGTGTCAGGGAATACTTACGACTCCTTCATGATGCTGGCAATCTTCTCCTCGTTAGCCTGCAGACCAACAACCAGGTTCTTCTCAAAGCTGCGCATGCCGTCCGCCAGCAGCCGGATGCTGTGCAGCAGGTTGCGGATGATGAGCGGCTTGTACACGTTCAGCTCGAACTGGCCGTTCATGCCACCAATGGTGCAAGCAACGTGGTTGCCCATGACCTGGGCGCACACCATGGTCAGAGCCTCGCACTGGGTCGGGTTGACCTTGCCCGGCATTATAGAGCTGCCCGGTTCGTTCTCCGGCAGCAGAAGCTCGCCCAGACCGCAGCGCGGGCCGCTGCCCAGGTAGCGGATATCCTGGGCGATCTTGGTTAGCGACGCGGCCAGCGTGTTGAGCGCGCCGTGCGCCTGGACCACGGCATCGTGGGCAGCCAGCGCTTCGAACTTATTCGGGGCAGTGTAGAACTGAGTGCCGGTCATCTTGGTGACCTCCTCGGCGATCTGCTCGGCGAAGCCCTCGTACGTGTTGATGCCCGTACCGACGGCCGTGCCACCCTGAGCAAGCAGACGCAGGTCAGGGAGGGCAGACTCGACGCGCTTGATGCCAAAGTCAAGCTGGGCCACGTAGCCGCTGAACTCCTGAGCCAGGGTCAGCGGGGTAGCATCCTGCAGATGGGTGCGGCCGATCTTGATGATGTTCTTGGCGGCGAACTCGTCGACCTTAGCCTGCAGGGCGTTGCGCAGGCTGCGCAGGGCCGGCAGCAATTCGCCTTCAATCTCCAGAACGGCAGCGATATGCATGACAGTCGGGAAGGTATCGTTGGACGAGGCAGAACGGTTGACGTGGTCATTGGGGTGCACCGGCTTCTTGGAGCCCATGACGCCGCCCAGGATCTCGATGGCACGGTTGCTGATGACCTCGTTGGCGTTCATGTTGGACTGAGTGCCCGAGCCGGTCTGCCAGACGACCAGAGGGAAGTGGTCGATCAGCTTGAGGTCGGCGACCTCTTGAGCCGCCTGCTGGATGGCCTTGCCGATGGTAGGGTCTGTGGGACGAGCTGGTCAGCCTCCAATTGCTCTCCTTTTTGCTTTACAGTGCTTCCCAGGGCAACATACCAAGGCCATAGCGCATGTTGACCGTCGCCGCGGCGCCCTTCAGAATGCCAAAGGCACGGATGATAGGCGCGGGCATGCGATCCTGCGGCTGGTTGATCTTAAAGTTGGTCAAGGAGCGCTGGGTCTGCGCGCCCCAGTACTTGTCGGCGGGCACCTCGATCTCACCGAAGGCATCGGTCTCGATTCTGGTCTTGGGCTTCTGCTCCTCCATCCTGGCGATGCTGGCGTGGAACTGTCTGAACTGCTGAGCAGCGGACCGGCCCAGCAGCGCGGGGCGAGCGCCGGCATATGACGCAATGGCCTTGGTCGCAGTGGACGCGCCCGCACATGTGCTCATCAGCGGCCGCAGAACGGTCCTCGGCACGTTGGCAGTCGCAGTGCCGCGGGCTGCGGGCCCGGCAATTCGCACCGAACGAAGCATGGCTGAGAGTCGCCTGACCAAGAAGGGTACGGGCAGGCGTGTGGTGTGGTGGCAGGAGTGGCAGTAGTGCCTTAAGCCTTAGGCTTACACCCCGAGTGTGGCAGGTGGGTGGCTGGTTGGAACGTTCGTCACGTCACTGGCTTGACCGGGTCCCTGCAGACGATGCAAAAAAAGCAGGGAAGTAGCTAAAGGCAGGAGGGGAGACGATCGACTGTCAGCAGTCCAACTGCCGTGGAAGGTGTCCAGGTCGCTGGATAGAAGGATCGCAGGATGGGATATTGGCACTGGAAAGTGCGCAAACACAGCTTCCGTTGCGGCGTTGCGCAAAATATGAACTCGAACTCTCGGCCTCGCTTTTTCCGTTGCGGCCCCTTCGACCCCTCGCAGCCTACTCCCGTCTTTCCCAACAATTGGCTGCCGCTGATGCCGCACATCCATCCGCTGCTCCGGCCCGGAACATCCCGATCGGAAGCTCGGAAGCCCGGCAGCTCTCATCGGAAAAACCCCACCCCCACAGAGCCCCCTCTGCTTGATCTTAGCTGCGGATCTCAAAATAGTGAGCTCTTCATTTCTTCGCTTGTTTCTCGTGGCAACACTTATCCAACATCTCACCACTCATGGAGAAGGGGTAGTAAACATTGACATGGGTATGCTCACCGTCACACTGTACAAGGGTCTGCCTACTTGTCATTGATGGTTTAGTGCCCAATAATAGATGCCAAAATCTATTGAAATGTCTTAAGTCCTGCCCCCTCCCCCCCGGTCCCTAGCCAACATGCGTGCAATCACCAAACTGCAGTATCATCTCTGCCACACGCACCATTCTTCCAATCGCCGATGCAAAGGAAACAGCAAAACACAGCAGCATTCCAACGTTTATATAAAAAGGAAATATTTTAAATCTCACCACTATGAGTGCCATCTAGCACATTAAAATGGTGCTGAGTGCCTTGGCTAACCCTCGCTCCCTTGTCACCTTAACTACCAGCCACCACAAGCCAGTTTTCTCAGCGGATTCCGTCATTATGTGTCGATGTGTCGAGAGGCTTCTGCATCCCGATCGTCAATCATCACTGGTGCCGTTTCACGCAGTTGGATAAGTTTCCGCTTCAGCTCGGTTACTGTACCCAACATCACCATCGTCCATGCTCTAACCAAAATTTGCTCGAGACACGGGCCTGACACAGACCCTAGAACGAACCATGACATTATTCATGCCCTCCGTGTTGTTATTGTGTTCTCCTTAGGATCAAAACCTTGTAAAGATCCCAATGATTGCCACACAGATAGCGATGACGATAATCAAGGGAGAAACAGAGGTGCGACGAAAGATCCTCCGGGGACACTCCAAGGGAGTAGAGTCCCTAGTTCGCATGTGTGATCGCTGATGCATAATATTTGCCTGGATTATGACTCTCTGTGTTGTCGAATAGATACTATTGCAGTCTGTGGGGTCGACATAAATCTCGATCTTAGGACGTTTCCAGAACTCACAGTAGTCGTTTTCCTCAATAGGCTCGTACTTCAGTAACCAGCACAAGTCTTCGGTTGACAAGAGATTACTCTCCACTGACGCCAGTCCATCTTTCGAACCACATAATTCTTAGCCTTAGTTGACAACTCTTTAGGGACCAGTGAGCCAATGACGCTGCCAATGAAACAGTTTCTTCGACACTCCGTCTCATTCATCTCCATTGATCGTACCAAGTAGCAGTTTGGATATGTTGGCGCAAGTACATCAGCTAAGCAGTTGAACAGCGATATGAGCATGTAGGGAGTGACCGTAAGTGCAAAGGCAGCATAGCCGACCTGAATTATCTGGTCCTCTCGCATTTGGTATAAGGTATATGCAGGCGCAACAACTTGTACCATCCCGATAATTGCCTTTGGTAGATTATATATCGCTGAAGACTCAGTGGTCGGCATGCAAGAGACCAGTCGCTAGCATTCGAGGAAGTCGTTAAGGATTGCGGCTGCGGAATATAGCCATCGTTGATAACCCAAGCATCGCTTGGGTCTAGAGTGAGTGTATAACCAACCGAAAGCCGGTAACAATCATGAACAACCCGACTGACCATCCAGGTTGATGGAGATAGAGCCCCCTGAAGGCTTTCAAGTAGCCAGCTTGGGATGATAACCTTATAGCCAGAACGCATAGAGTCATGCCAGTCGTTTTTAGATTCGTACCAAACTTTGTTTGGAGTGTCTTGATAAGGTGTTAGAATAGTATCCCCATTTTCCGGTCTCCATTGCTCATCCCGAGTAACTGTGAGAAGTGCTCCGGCACGGGCTGCTCTTTGTAACTCGTCTTTGCAATCCCGAGCGAATCGAAAGTGTCGGACAATGCCATTTGATGCTCGAGATAAACCGGTGATAGGGAAAGAAAACGCAAGTATTGACCTAAGATCTGGCTGTAGGTCGGCTCTCCTGGCAAGGTCTTGATCGTCATACAATAAGCAACGTGATTGAGGAGGAAGAAGGTCAAGACGGTCCAAATATTGGCTGGTTTGCAAACAAAGGTCAGGATCTCCCATAATTGAAGTATACTCTGCCATTGACGAGAGTTGTGGCATTGGATGTTTTCATTTTTTTTTTTGCTTGTCTTTTACCGCTGCTGGGTCTGTAGGAAACCCAAGCCAGTTTGTGTGGGACGCTGAAAGATGAGTTGACGTCAAGTTGCAAAAATAATAGGCGGATTGGCTTTATGATTTTACATAAGTATCAACCTAAAGCAGCTGTGTCAATATCCTATCTACATTGTTAGCTTCTCCTCTCGACTTGCCCGCCGTCTGGATCTTCCAACATGGCGAGCACATGATGAGTAGAATCAACAACTTTGTCTATGCAGAGTAGATAGTGTGTAAACCCACCTCTGACAAGTCTCTTTTGTATCTTGATTTTTGATATTCACACAAATGTGGAAACTGAAGGTTGTATGAACCATAGGCACTTAGAAGAGTTGTGATTTCCCCATTTAATGCTTGATGCTATTGCCCGGAAATATACTGGCTAGTTCCCCCTCCTCGACATGGTCAAAGAAGAGTTCTCTCTTCATTTGCCACTGATGAACGAATTAGCACCAAACTTCACCTCAAAGAGATCATTTCTGCTTAGCCATCAGGTTATGCTTGATTGTGGACCTCAAGTGAGCACCTTGTATATACTTGCTTCCTGTGATAATCAGTTGTTGATTACTTTCCCCTGAACGTGACATGAACAAAAACAGCACTAACACATGCTAGCTACTTATTTGCAACACTGACAAACTCAATCTTATAGTTGTCCCTGTTAATCCAAATTTTGTAATTGTTCAAGGAAAAATCGCAATCTGTGCAGTTTCTCAGGATCTTAACCTTCGGTTTCTTGGTCAATTCTTTGTTCGAAGAGAAGAGGGAGGACTCGAGTAGCCTAAAGGCCTGGAATGCCCAAAACCGAAGTAACGCTCCTGATAGTTGCATATGATATCAGACCTTTTCTTAGACATCTCTTTCTCTCTTTTCACTCACTCTCCTTCTCACTATCACTTTCTTACACCCCCCCTCCTCTCTCTCTTTCTCATTCACTCTACTGTCACTCTTTGCCCTTCCCTTCCCCAGACAGGTATGTTTCTTAAGGCAAGCTAGCCAGCATGTGTGTTACTTCCAAACTTGAGCATCATCTGTGCCACAACTACCATTGTTCCTATCGCAGATGCGAATCCAGCAGCATTTCACACAATTTCCCCGCATGGGATAACAATAAACACTTGAAGGAGACACCGTCGTTGGTTGGTCACATTCTTGAGAGGTTCTACCCACTTGCTCCACAGGGTTTTGATTGCGCAACGCGACTCGTGTGCTATCCAAGAAAGCCCTAACATGTCTCACCACCTGAATAAGGAGCTGTAGCAAGTGATTGTTCTTGATAAATTGGTCAACAACGTGTTGAGGACTCTGCACATCCTGTTACCAAGTGAAAGAGGAGCCGTAACAAAGAGTGCTCCTGAGTTCCCTTTTCACGGCCTCCAAATGCACCCTGGCTATAATTATGCAACCTTTAACGGCAACTAGCTCTATAAAATGTCCAGCAACTGATCCGAGAACAAGCCATAACATAACCCATGTCCTCTGAGCTCTTGTACTCTCTCCAGCATCGAACTTCATCAAATATCTATCACTACCAAGCAAATAGATACGATGATAACCCATGAAAAAAAAGTTCTCATGTAGGGGCTCATGTGGTCTGAGTTTGAATCCAAAGTATGCAAAATTGTGTGTGCCCGTTGATACTGATAGCACTGTGGAACTCTGATCAGGTTGCTGATTTGGAAGGGGTACTTAAGCTGTTCTAGGAACTCTGCTGCCTTGACATTTGATCCTGCTACATCGATAAGTACAATTGGCCATTGCAGTTGGACCAGCTTCTTGGGACATAATGCGCTCCAGCAGCCAACTTATCTCTGCATCGTGGTATGACACAACAATCCAAGATCTCCAGTTGGCTTGTGAGTTCCCGAGATCTTCAGCCGTTGTCTCTTTTGGAATGAGAGATTCAATAACTGCATCAAAGTAACACCCATCTCGGCTTTCCGCCCCATTCATCTCTTCTGACCGGACAAGATAACAATTTGGATAGCTAGGCGTAAGTAAGTATGTCGGTCAAGCAATTGAAAAGTGTCATAATCAAGTAGATAGTGGCTGTAAGTGTAAAAGCAGCATAGCCAAACCGCTGCCGCAGGTTACCCGTGCTGTGCATAAAGTATAACCAACCGTAAGTTTCTGAGCGATTCCGAGAAGCGCCTTCGGCGGATTATGTACCGTGGCAAGATCGAAGGACTGAGCATCGATTAGGAGAGGCTCTCTAGTACGGCCATGTCAGGTAAGCAAACGAACACACTGTATATTACATCTATCCGGAATGACTGTGCAGTCACCGGGAATCGAAACCAAGCTGTAGTGAGCTGGAAGCATATACGAGCCATGAACACTGTGTCCACTAAAGCGGTGTTTTGTCTGGGACGACCGTTTAGTGCCATCGGTAAACCATCGAGGGAAATGAGACAGATATGGCGACGTAGGAACACCATCCTCGGGAGCATCGGTTTCGGCGTCCGGGAGATCCATATACATCATTTGGACCGTATTTCCAACCTTCGGTCTTCATGGTAATTGTCACAAGAGTTCCAAACCGAGCTGCTCGTTACAGTTCCTCTTTGCAATTTTGAGCAACGCGGGAGTGCCCAATAATACCGTCGATCGCCCGAGACATTTCGGTGGTGGAAAAAGGAATGATATCAAGGCAACAACGAGTCGGCTGCTTGCCGGTTTCCCCGGCAGTGCCCTGACCATAAAACAGTGGGTTGCATAATTAAGCAACAAGAATGTCAAGATTATCCAGCATGTCGCAGGTTTGCAGACCAAGTCGAAGTCTCCATGGTTGAAGAAACCAGTTCCGTTGACTGATGTCGTAGCGTTGAGCGTCGAGTTCATTATCCCAAAGTTGCCGTCGTTGTAGCTTTTCCTGGTCATTGAAGTTGTAAAGAAAGTTAGATGGGATGATGTGCTGTAAGCCGCGACATTGCAAACAAGGTTGATATTATCTCTTTGCATACCCAGTGGTGGCGACAGAGCTCTCTTCATTTTGTCATCCTCCTGCTGACTGTATATCGCAGGATATCGGGAGGAAGGGAGCTTCAGACTTTGCTTTGGCTTCGAAAGCTATGGTGGCTTGCGGTCATGTATTACTACTGTTTGCAGTCACTGCTGAAGATTGGTAGACTAGAATGTTGTATTGGCACGATGGTAACGGCACTATGCTACTCTCACGTCTTATCTTGTCGACCAAACAGCTGTAGAAAATAATCGAGCTGTAATATATTCAGCTCCCGTAGCAGCATAGCGACTAAAAACTTCCCGTTGTGTGCTTGGGGGGCTGGGTTGGGCAAAAAGGATGCACATCTGTCCTCTGCCCTGTTGATTGCCCACCGTAGATTTCACAGGCCCTTCCAGTGCTCTCAAAGCTTTTATGACTTTTTGACTTTTGATTTGGATCTTGAGTTTGGCAGATCTTGAATTGTTTTTGCCCAGTATATTCATCTGGCTTTCGGTCCGTATGCCCATCCGGGCACCCGGAATATACCAAGTCTGTTCCTCTTTCCTATGACCATGCTTCTACCAAAGTTCTAGCCATAATCTCCTTGAGAGTAGAATACAAATTCCCCCCCCCCCCTCTCTCTCTACAATATATATACATATATATTGAAAATAGCAACAAAAAAAACTGTGCCGATGAGTTTCCGTAATATTGCGATCTCAATTTCATATAACGGGTGACTTTGGCCTGGTGCAGAGAGGGATCGACAATGGGTCAAATGGGTTAGATGATGGCTACTGACGATGTGGGGTGCACAGCGAAGTCAATTGCTACGTATAATAATCTTTCTTGGTTCTCAGTGTCCTTGTGTTGGGGAGAGGAAAACTCAGGAGAAATCCTTCATCGTGTCAAAGTAGCTCCCATTGTAAAATCCCTTTTCCCTTGTGAGTACCTCGCGGTCTCCTGCAATCTTCAGGGGTTCTCCTCAGCGTGGCAAGGCTATCTAACTCATTCTTGCCACCCCGTCATATTTTCCGGGCTCTACCAATCAGATATGCCTTTGCCTTCTAAGCTCTTGTGTCGCTGGTGTTCTATATGTCGACTGTCAAGGATATTTTTTCTCCTTGGACTGCCGTGTCCATGTGACAGTTTTGTTATGAAAGGAAGGCGAGAAGAGGACTTCTACAAGGTATTATTAAATGAAATAGCCTACAGAGGAGACTACGTCTATAGTTTCAGGAAACTGCCTCTTTCTAAGACATGGTTTCGAAAGTGACTTTTGTTCATTTATCTATCATTAAGTCATACATTGGGGACAAGGAGGGGAGAATGCCATCCAGTCCATCTGATGTAATGTGGGTATTGCAAAAGCAAATGCCCAAAGCAAAGAAAAGGTACATGCAATCTCAGAAGAAAATGAGCAATGAGAGAGAAGTTATCCTTCTCCTCCATGAACGACCTTGCTCTCCGCGCACGCGCGAGAGAGAAAGAAAACACACCCCTCTTCCGTGCCAAGAACGCCATTACACAATAATCCAACATTCATTCATCCTCATCATCAAAGTTTATAGTGTGGATCAATCCTGTCTTCTGGCTTACACCGGTGCTTTCTTTTTCCGCAGCGGCAAAAACATATCATACCAAGCCTTCATCACCAATCCCTCTGTCAAATGCCAGTCAAGCGTGAGAGCCTGTCAAGACATTCCAAGAGGTTGTATGAGTATTATCAAGCCGCATGAATGAAGCCACGTCCCCGGAAATAACGAAGCTGATTATTAGTAAAGTCCATAATGAAGTTGAAAGAAAGTGCACCAAGCAAGAAAACTGAACAGTAGTAACCAAACACCCTACCACCTTCCGAAAAAAAATTTGCAATGATTGCATCTGTAAGAGCATTTTTTAGCTGAGCTCAAGGCTTGTTTAAGCCCAAAACTGCCTCATAACTTAGAGAGCAGTTGCTGGCCAAAAGTGTCACAATGCACCACGCTCACGAGTTGAGCGTCTTGATCATCATATTGATCTTGCGCTTGTCGACAACAAGAAGACCACGAGAGCTGAAAGAGTCGTAGATGGCCTCAACGACCTTGTAGAAGCTGCTAGCAGCGCCCTTTTCCTGCGTGATGCGAGCAATGCTGAGGAAGCTACGTGTGCCATGCTCGATCACCGTCATGATCTCGATGGCGAAAGTAACCTCCTTGATGTTAAGATCTAAGGGACGGGGACTGTTAGCCTTGAACGAAGGTATGCGAGAAGGGAAAAAAAGGAAAGAGAGAAAAGAAAAAAACAAAAAAGATGGCTTACAGTTTCTCGGCCCCACATGAGCCCAAATGATGTTCCGTTCCTTATCCACATCGACGCTCTTCATACCATACTTGCGCCACTCGCGCAGCAACAGCACCAGCTCCTGACGAGCCCTACGCTTGGAGAGCGTGAAGCACATGTAGCGCATGGCAGGCTTGACGCGGAATAGGCGGGCGAGCCAGTTCTGCTGGACCTCGATCTTGCGATAACCAAGCTCGCTGTCGGACCACAGGCTGGTAAACTGGGGCTCGTCGTCCTGCTTCTTCTTGCCTTTGCCTTTTCCGGGCCTCGTGGTCGCGGCTCTGGGAAGAGGAGGGATGTACTTGGGCTCCTCGACCTCCTCTTCATCTTCCCACTCGGAGTCGTCAACATAATCTAGAAAGTTAGCTATAATCAACATGTTTTTGACCCGGCTTTCAACTTTACCGTCAATGATAGCCATCCTCGGGGCGGCCTGAGTGTTCTTTGACCACTTCCAAAAGGCAAGGTTGAACTTCTTCTTCGGGGCACGGAGGTCTGAGCCAGAATCGGACGAGTGAGAGCCTTGGCGGTCGAATCGAGGAGCATCCAAGTCGGCCAAAGCGTCCTTAGACCGAGTGCTGCTCTCAGTGGCTGCGCCATAGCCGGAATCGTTGGACTCTTCATGCTTCGAAGTACGCTTGAACCAGGAGGAAACCCTCTTCTTGGCATTACTCTCAGTCGGATGGCTGGACACAGAAGGGTGCTTATCCTGAGCGTTGTAGGACACACGCCGCTGAGCACCTTCATGTGACTGGGCGATCGGTGACTTCGCGGCCGTGGAAGCCGGCGACACTTTGCGAATATTGAGGGGCTTTGGAACTTCAACAGTGAAATCAAAGCCGCGAGCCGAGGGCGAGTCCACGACGCGAATGGTGTTCTCAGCCTTGGAGAGGAAATCGTAACTCTTGTTGACACGTGAAGAAGGAGTTCGTAGAGGCTCCGGGACCAGATCTCGACCGGCTTTAAGCTGCTTGATCCAGTCGTTCTTATCTTTCTGGTCTTCGTGAACACATGAAAGATTGCGGACGTTGCTGCTGCTGTTGTTGTTGTTGTTGTGGGAGTCGCAGTATGCAGGCTCAGAGACTACACGACGCTCCGGGGATTGCTGCAATCTCGAATTATAGCCGGAGTAGGTAGAGGCCTTGTTGGCCGGAACAGGAGGGAGCGGGCGAGCGTCCTGAGCGCGTGGGGTAAAATAATTGGCACATCCCGTGGGTTCCAGCAAACCGAAGGACAGGGTGAACGGGCTAGTCTCGCGAGTGTCAACTCCAATGGTGGTCGTTTCCGAGAGGAGAGAATTGCCAAAGGCCTCATCGCACGTCTTGACAAGGCACTGCTGAAGCTCTTCAAGTTCCTCAGTCCAGGCAAAGACAGATGTGGCCGATTCTGGCACGTCTACCATGGAATTGGCAATGTTTACACGGTTTGACGCCTGCTTCTGTGAAGTCGAGGTGACATCGGGCTTGCGCTCGGTCGTATCCCGGTTCTCTTTGTTACTAGCCGGAGCAGAAAGGGCATTATGACGGTTCTTACGGTGACGCTGGCCTTTGTTCCGGATGTTAGAAAAGTCGACACCACGCTTCGAACGGTTGGCGACACGGACGCGGACACTGCTCTGCTGGCTGCGAATAGAAGCCATGGTAGAGTAAGGCGAACGCAAACGGTCAGCAGAGCTCGTCCGACGAGAGCTCGCGGTCGAGTGCAGTTTGAAGGAGCCATTGACGGACTTGTAAGAGCGATAGGAGTGCGAAACAACAGTGGGAGAAGGGTTGAAGCCGGACTCTTGGTTGTTGCGGTGGATGATGATCTTCGCATGACTTGCCTGTGCCGGGTGGATGATTCTTGAAGCATTGAACGGGTCGTAACTCTTAACAGTGCCAGTCTCATCGACATCAGGGACGGTGGAGATGACTGTAAACTTGGAAACAGTCCGGGGGTAACCCTTGCGACCAGGCTCAGTGAACTGGCAAGTAGTAACACGCTTGACCCAGCCCGGAGGCTTTAGATGGTGGTAGTCGCTCTTGGAGATGGGCACATTGTTGTTGTAATTCTCCAACTGAGCCTCACGGTGATTGTAAAGCAACCAGTAGAACATTTTGTAGTCATTAGGCCTGTTGCGGTTAGCTGAAACGTGTTCAAGAAGATCAATGGATCTTCGAGACCTACTTATCTTGCCGAAGCTTCTCAATAAGCTCTTCCTCAGTATAGTTGTGCCACAGAGCGCGGAGTTGGCGCAGGATCTGGATGTCGACCTCCTCAGGGATCGGAGCGGCAGCCATGTTCCGGATACCATAGTGCGGCTGATTATCCCACTTCATATACTCTTCGAGATAGTCGTACTTTTTGATCAGCGAGTGCCGCCACATCTGCTTCATGGTGATACGATGAGCGGGCTGGCTGACAAGAATCCTACCGATGAGATCCTTTGCCTCGGCGGACAGGTGAGGAGGCATCCTGTACTCGGCACGCTTCGCTTTGGCGAGCATGGTTGCCATGTCGTTTTCGTCGAATGGAAGGCGACCAGCCAGCATAGCATAGAGAATGACGCCCATGCTCCAAATGTCAACAGCAGAACCCTTGTAGTACTGGTGACGAAGCAACTCAGGAGCTGCATAATGAGGGCTTCCGCAGGCCGTGCGAAGCTGGTGGTTGGGACCCTGCTGCAGAGCAGCCATGCCAAAGTCGGCAATCTTGATTTGGCCATTCGATTTCAAGAGGATGTTCTCCGGCTTCAGATCGCGATGGCAGATATTGAATGAATGGCAGTAGTCGAGAGCAGTCATGATCTGGCGGAAGTAGAAAATGGCCTCCTCTTCACACAAGGGGCCGGTCCAGTTGATGAACTCAAACAAGTCGCCTTTCTCAACATATTCGGTGACAAGATAGCTAAAGGCAGGTCAGCGTGGAGTCATGCATACCGGGATTGTAGCAATGAAACCTACATTTCGGAGCGGTTCTCCCAAATGTCGAGCAATTCGATGATATTAGGGTGCCGAATCAACTTCAGAATGGCAATTTCACGCTCAATGGCGAGTGGCATGCGACGCAGGCCGCCATCTTCACGGGTCTTGGGATTGCGGTAGTCGATGCGATCCAAGTTGGCCAAACTGCCTGCTTGAGTAATGGCCGCTGTACTCTTGGCGACGATCTTGATGGCGACCAGTTGCTGAGTAACTCGGTGACGAGCCAGGCGAACACGTGCTGAAGAGCCTTTTCCAAGAGTCTTCCCCAATTGCCACGGGCCGATATGGGTCTTGAGTTGTCGAGTAGTGGATGCATTCGAGGAGACATTGGAGAACTGAGAGACGCGCCTTGCCTCGTCACGCGGATCGCGCGTTACGACGGCGAGCTTGGGGTAGGCAGATGTGCCCATTGTCGTCGTGTGGGTCGACGCCTGAACGCGCTGAGGGATACGCTGCTCCGAAGGGTTATAAATGGAGGAGACAACGGGGTTGGTGCGACCTCCAGAGATGTGCTTCGACTTTAAAGAGGCGAAATTCTCGTCGACATCGGTTTGATGACGGCCGACATTTGCGACAGTAGCATAATTGACGCGCTGCGTCGCATCGCTCAGAGGCTTCCGAGAGATGGACCGGCCAGAGCTGCTGTGCAAATCCATCGTGACCGAGTCGACGAGCGAGAATTAGTGCATATTAGGATTGGAAGACTCGAAGAGAAAATGTCAGCAAAAGTGATTGAACACGAAAGGAGGGACAGTGCCGTGCAGGCCGGAGTAGATGATGAGCGCGATGAGTACACAGAAAGTCGCGAAGCGCCACAAAGTGCAGAATCGAGGGCTCGAGACTGTGGAAAATCGGGTAAAATGTAGAATGTACAGCTTGGGATGAATGCGCCAAGGTTGTTGTGGTGATGGTAAGTGAAAAAGGAGTGGCGGAATCAAGGTGCGAGAGAAGATTGAAAAGAAACACAAAAGTCAGCAACGCGCTGGCCGAAGCCTACAAAAGCGAGGAAATCCGGTTGTTTGGAGAAAACCAAGGGCTCAAGAAGAGAGGGAAACGAAGTTTTTTTTTTTTTGTTTTTTTCCCGCGTCGCCCGAGGTGCCAGAGGTGGGGCCTTTTACGCGTAGTGGTGGTCGAGTTGAAGGAATGAAGGAAGGAGGAATAAGAGAGAAGGTGGAAGCTGGAAATTGGGCCGCGTGTAGGAACACAGCGTCTCAGTCCAAGGAGAGGGCAGGTCTGGTGATCAGGATGAAAGCGTTGTGAGTGAGAAAAAAAGCGAGAATGCAGTAGAGTTGTAGGAAAGGAATGTTGTATCAGCTTGGTGGTGCAGCTGCTCAGGTATCCAACTCACCCATTATCAAATGTAGCGGTTTGGCGTTGAGAGCCTGACCAGTAGGGCACCCTTCATATCCGCACACTTTGCTTTCTTTTATGATCAATGTTTGAATTAACATTCTACAAAACGGTTGTCTTGTCAAGTAGGAGGCTGACCGGATAGGCCAACCTACACACATCCCTCTTGAGTCGGTCGGCAGGTAGGATACAAATGAAGGACGTTAGGGGCCCGTTAAAGCCTTCAACTTGATCACCATCTGTTCATCTCAAAAACACTTTGTTGCTACTTCTGTCAGAGCAGTGTAAACGCATTCTAATTACTTTGGTCTCGATTCGTCATGATGTGGTGGTTGGAATGGCGTATGCTATCGAGAGAGTCTCGAGACGTTTCACCAAGTGCCAAAATTCTTTGAAGATGGCCCTCAATTCCAGAGATGACGATTTAGCAAATAATAAAATGATCTAAAAGGGATACCCTACAGAAATATACCGTTACTACTATATGCTAGAGCAGTCATCTTTCACGGACGGGTCCTGAGCAGTTGCAGTGCTGGTCAAGTTAAAGGACGATTGAAGTTGGAAATCAGGTGGGGCACCAAGTGACAACTGACCCACGTTCGCGGAACCGAAGACCAGGGGCGATGCCCCCACAGTATGCCAAGAGATCGTCTGCGGACAAAATATTAGTGAAGTACATGCGAGAAAGGAGCTCTACACACAATTTATAATAAATTTCGAGGTTACAAAACATGAAACAAGATATTTCATAGGAAATTGAACTTCTTGAAATTCCATGTATTGAGTATTTCCCAGGGGATATCTGTATACATCCTTTCCCAAGCATCAAGCTGTGGGCGGGGTAGCTCCCTTCTTATTAATCAAAGGATCCCAGCTCAAGAACGGCCTTTGAAGATCCATCAATTAAAGACGCGTCGCGTTTTCCACCCACCGTGTAACTTTGCCATTCAAGCCAGCAACCGGTTGGATAGTTGTACCCCTAAAGTTGATGCTGATACCCTTTCACCCTTTCAGAGGATGCACGGTATTCCTACATAGGCACAGCGATCTTGTTCCCGGCATTCGCTTCCTCGAGGCGTCCACAAAGCGAAACTTGACCGGAGCCGCCCGACCGTGTCAACATCTGGGACGACATGCCAAGGACTGCATTTCAGGTCGCAGCTCCGCAGGAGCCTGCTAGCAACGAGGATCCCTTCAATTTTCTACGACCCAGAGGCGGCGACAGTTCGTACGGCTTCGGTGAGGATGACGACGCTCCCCCCTCTGCCCAGCCTCAGCCTTTGCGCCGGAGGGCAGCTGCAAACCAGTCCCGCGGTCGCAGTACAAACTCCGAATTCCAGCCCGGAGCCATCGTCCGGGTCAAGATGAAAAACTTTGTGACTTATGAAGAAGCCGAATTTTATCTCGGCCCAAACCTCAATATGATCATCGGCCCCAACGGCACCGGCAAGAGCTCCCTCGTGTGTGCTATCTGCCTAGGATTGGGCTTTCCTCCGAGTGTTCTGGGTAGAGCCACTACTTTCAGCGAGTTTGTCAAACACGGCCACGAAGAAGCAGAAATCGAGATCGAGTTGCAACGAAAACCAGAAGATCCCGAGAATTACGTGGTTGGACTCTGCATTCGCGCAGAAAATAACTCCCGCCAGTTCTCCATCGGTGGCAGAAAGGTGTCTCACAAAGACGTGCAGCAGCTCATGCACTCGCTTAGAATCCAAGTCGATAACCTTTGCCAGTTCCTGCCACAGGACCGAGTTGCTGAGTTTGCCGGCCTTACTCCTGCTGAACTCCTGGAGAAAACCCTCCATGCCACGGCTCCGGAAGAAATGATCGACCAGCAGAAGCAGCTAAAGGAGCTGTTTAAGGCTCAAAAAGAGACTCGAGATCAAGGGGAGAGTGCGCGCACAGAGCTCCGGAAGCTGCAGGCGCGTCAGCAGGTCTTGGAGGCTGACGTGCAGAGGTTGAGGGAACGGGACCAAATTCAAAAAAAGATCAACGATCTTAGCAAGCTGATGCCCCTCGTCAAATACTGGGACGCGCGCCGGAAGTATAAAGAAGCCAACAATATCAGGAAAGAGGCCGAGCGCAAGCTGAAACGTCTCGAACTAAGTGTTGCGCCCGCCCTAGAAGCAGTTAACAAAAAGCAGAAATATTTTTTGCGGATGAAGGAAGTCGTCAAGCATCATCAACATCGCCTGCAGGAAGCGGACAAGTCTGCCAATGAAGCCCTTGAAGACGTCGAAAAGGCTGATACCGCTGTCAAGAATTTCAGTAGACAGCTGGAGGCTGAAGATAAAAAAATGATCACCAAAAAAGAAGAACTGAGAAAAGTTAGGCAGAAGATCAGCCAGCTGGAGGAGAAGTATAAACAACCTCCTCGGCCATTTAATGCCGAGGATTTCAACTTAAGAATTGTAAGCATACACCGTTTGCCAAGTTTAACTGTACGTCTGGCCCTCTGACTAACTGTTCATGTTTATCACAGAGAGAAAAACGACACGAACTTCGGGAGAAGGACGAGGAGGTTGCTGAGGCTAATGACGAATACCAGAAATTTAAAGCTTCCTACACAACAGCAAATGCCGATCTGAGCAAGGCGAAAGCAGATCTCCAGTCCTTGGAATCAAAAGAAGGGCAGGCTCTTAAGCAGCTGTGGAGACTGAACTCGGATGTCGCACGAGTTTGGGAGTGGTTGAAGGACAACCAAAAGGAGTTCTCCCAGGAGGTCTTCGGTCCTCCCTTTCTCACATGCTCGGTGAAGGACCCTCGGTATTCTGACTTGATTCAGGCGGTACTCCAGCAGGACGATTTCTTTTGCTTTACAACACAAAACACGCGAGATCTCAAGAGGTTGAATCATCAGATCTACAAAGAGCTCAAGGTGTCGGCTGCAGTCCGGGCCTCCGAAAGGCCACTGAGTTCCTACCAGCCCCCCATCCCGAGGGAGCAGTTGGCCGAGATGGGATTCGATGGTTATATCCTCGACTTTCTGGAAGGACCCGAGCCGGTCCTCGCCATGTTGTGCGCTAATCGGAACATTCACGCCTCTTTAGTCTCCGTGAAGGATATAACCGACGACCAAGCTGAACAAGCGCGACAAAACCCAAGAATAGGGCAATTTGTCGTTGGACGACGATGTTATAGAACTACCCGCAGACCGGACCTCGGTCCATCGGCCGTATCCACGCGCGTGACGGTGGTACAGAAGGGTAGGTATTGGACGGATCAGCCCGTGGATGAGGGAGAAAAGGCGGGGGTGCAGCGGCGTATCAATGAACTGGAACAACAACTCGCCGAATTCGAAACCCAGACAAAGGCCGCCTTCTCCAAGTTGAAGCAGCTGCGCATCGAGCGCGGCGATATCGACAAGGCGATAGTACGTTCCAGGATCCTCTGCACCGGCATATGTTATGTTGTGTACTGACTAGGATATTAGGAAGAGATTGAGGCGAAAAAGAGAGAGCTACAAGAAGAAACGACACAATGGCAATCGTTGCCAACGCAAATTGGTATGCAACATGCTGCTGAACAGCCCCTCGGAAGGCGATGGTTTTGCTGACGACGTCATCAAGAGAACGAAAAGGTGAACCTCGAGAGGGTAAAACGGGCTCTTGCAGACTGCCGAGATCGCAAGGAGAGCATTCAGAGAGACATCGAGCAAGCCACCCTCAACAGGGCCAAGGCGGTTCTCAAGCACCACGCCAAGCTGTCTGCATTGCGGCAAGCATGGCACGACCTGCTGGAGGCCCGTCTCATCTCGCTCGAGGCAGAATCCGAATTTGCCGCCCTCGACGCGAAGAACGCTGAAATCAAGAAGCGGCTGGAAGAAGAAAGGGAAACTCTCCGCGAGGCGAGGGAAGCAGCAGCAAAGGCTAAAGAGGTCGCTTCTAACCTCTTGGAAGAGGTAAAAAGAGTCATGTCGGAGGGGAACCAGGAGGATCTAGGCCGGAGAGCGGAGGGCGTGACGATCGAACAGCTCGAGAACGCCATCGAGGCCGAGAGGACCAAGCTCGAAGTCATCCAGGCCAGTAACCCGGCCGCGCTTGAAGAGTACCAGGCCTACGAGCAGCGCATCCAGAACATGACCAAGACCCTAGCCACCCAGGAGCAGCGCCTCACCGAGCTTACCCAGCAGATCAAAGACATAATGAGCGAATGGGAACCTCGTCTCGACGAGCTGGTCGGTCGCATCAACGACGCCTTCAGCTACAACTTCGAGCAGATCTCTTGCGCGGGCGAGGTCAGCGTGTACAAGGACGAGGACTTTGATAAATGGGCTATTGATATCAAGGTTCGCTTCCGGCCTGGGGAAACCCTGCAACGCCTGGACCAGCACCGCCAATCCGGCGGCGAGCGCGCAGTCTCAACCATCTTCTACCTCATGGCTTTGCAGTCTATGGCGCAGGCGCCGTTCCGCGTAGTCGATGAGATCAACCAGGGCATGGATCCGCGCAACGAGAGGATGGTGCATGAGCGTATGGTGGAGGTCGCGTGTCGGGAGCATACGAGTCAGTATCTACTTATCACGCCGAAGCTATTATCGGGGTTGCGGTATGATGAACGGATGCGGGTGCATACGATCGTTAGTGGCGAGCATGTGGATGAGAGGGGGACTGAGTTGATGAACTTTGGGAAGTTTGCGGATATTCAGAAGAGGCTGATGAGGCGGTCGTAGATGAGCGGCTATACCCATGGCTTTAAGAGGGTTTGGGTATGTTTGCTAATGCTGATCATGGGATGGGTTAGGCAGTGCTGGATTGTGGGGTCTGGTGTACGAGTTAAATGGTATCATGGTATTGAGACCAAATGGTATTCGGGTTCTCGTCACAAGCCTGAGTCAGCCAAGCTCAACGCCGTGAACTGAGTCCATTCCCAAAATCCTAAGGAGTGTTGTTGAGCAGGTGAGCATAAGCCTTCCGTCTCTTGTCATCTTGCTCTGTCATTACAACCGACTACTTTTGAAGTGTCTATAATAATGATGGCAGAGATGCAGAGATCAAGCTATCAACCTTAACAAAAGAACACCTATCTTCAGTAACCCTAGAAGACCAAAGACATCCAAAATATACTGGTATGAGGGCGTGTATTGCGACAAATTCTCCCATCAAAACCAAAGAAGGGGGCAAGGGGGCCAAAAATCACAAAGCTCACACCAGCCAGCGCACCTTGCCAATCAATGAGCTGACTGACTGATCATCTCCAGCCTTCAAAGAGTAAGAAAAAAAACTTAAATGTCATTAACACACACACACACACACACACACACAAAAGCCCTTCAACACCCCTAGACCGGTCATTGGGATCTCACCTTCGTCAGACTGGACGCTGGACGGTGTGGGGTACCATGTTACTGCTCGAACAAATGGTCAAGCAGGAGGAGCTGGTGGGTTGGGAGAGGGGATATATGGGTTGGGGCTGGAAATTGCAAGGAGAGGAGGTCAGTCGATGGACATGGGAGGTTGAACGACTTGACGAGGACTTCGAACTGAAGTCGAGATCAACGACTGACTGAATTAACTCTTTCAGATGTCCGATCCTATGGCCCAAGTCTACCCCATTTACACCCTCTAACAAACTTTCACCTTTGCCTAAACCATTCACAGCCATTCACATTACTCCTCCTACTTATCAACTGCCCCTGTCCTGCCTCTCATCATCCAGCACGTCCCTCCCAAAAAAACCCTCAATCTGCCTCGCCGCCTCCCTCCCCACAATTTTACTCAGCTCCTCCATCCCCATGTTCGCCACCTCCCGTATATTCTCCGCCTCGACCATCAAATGAACCACATTTTTGGGCGTGACCCCAGGAACAGCCAACAACATCTCCTGCGGCTCGGGATTGAAGACGCTTCTGTGTTCTAACTGCTGAGTGGAGGGGTCGAGCTGCGTGAGATCGTCGCTATCGTCGAGGCCGGCGCGTACCGCGGCGATGGGGTCGGGCTCGGGCTCGTTGGATTTGAGGCGTTCGAAGATCTCGGCTGTTTCGTAAGGGGAGGAGGACCAGATTATTCTTAGTTTGGGGAAGGCGAGGGTGAGCAAGACAAGTTTACTCTGTAGATCCGGAGCTGCCGTCGCGGACGGGAGGGTGACAGCGGACAAATCCGCGAACGGCTCGAGGGTGAAACTCTTGTTCTGGTCGAACTCGATTAGGAGCAAGGGCGTTTTGTAGTGCTGGAACATGGCCTCGCACTGGCTGTACAGCCGGCCGTTATTGAGCGAGGAGATGAGGTCAGAAACAGACTTGCGCTCGACGCACATGTCGCGGGATAGGATGTAATCTCCGACCGTGAGCATGCATGGGACGATGACCACGCCCCGGCCGTGGAGCAGGGAGGGTAAGGAGGAGCGGAATTCGCGGACGTCGACTACGATGCGGGGGGGTTCGGATGTCGCGGTGAGTTTACCGCCGCCCGCGATGCGCGTGTTGATCGTGCGTAGGAAGGCTTCTTGCGGATCGTCTGGAGCTCCATGAGGGTCGGTGGTTAAGGTCAACGACATGGTAGCTCGCTCCTTGATGAGCTTGGTGAAGGCGTCCTTTTCGCGTCTAACACTCGATAGATACCGCTGCTCTTCGACCGACCCGCCATAGTACATGAAGTACACCCGTACGTTGCGGTCGTTATGTGACGAGCGGTAGACTTCTACACGGCGGATGAAGGCTGCGTCGGGCTCATACATGATGATGTAGCGGGGCTTGACCTCTTCCAGGACGTGCTCGTCCTGGTCGCCCTCGTAGGCATGGATGACGACCAGATCGTGCATGTCGTAGAGTTGGTAGTAGTCGTCCATGTTGTCTAGGGGGTCAAAGAGCATCACGTCTTGGTTGTGTTGTGCCTCAGCCTCTTCTTCTGTAAGCTGGACGTTGGCCATCAGCTCGGCGACCTCGTTGGGTTTCTCGAAGTACTGCGCGATGCTGCCGTTCTCGAGACGGCCGGGAGCTGAACCGACAGCGCTGCCGCCGCGGACACGGCGTCGCTTGCTAGCCGGGGCACGGTTCTTCTGTTGTCCGAGACGCGGGTCGACCGCGCCGGAGAGGGCTTTTTGGTTCTCGGCGAAGAGAGTGGCGTTGACCTGGGCGAATTCGCGCTTCCACTTGAGATAGTTGCGGAGCTTGCGCCGGAGGATGAACGCTGCGGAGGGTTTGTCGGTTTCGGGGTCGTAGATCTCTTCGACCTTCTTTTCGGTACGGGGCTTCACATACATGGTTTGGAGGTAGTCTCTTAATTGTCGACAAGTGTTGGTATCGGTACACATGATGAGGATAGTGCCGTTGGAGTCGTCTCGGGCGGGAGGTTCGAAGTAGAGGTCTCGATCGATCTCCCCGAGGATCTCGGCCAGTACAGCCCATTTGGGCTGCTCTTCCAACACAGGCCGCAGAGACTCGATGGTTGAGTTTGGGCCTGCCTTCTGCTTACTTGAATAGACACGGCGTCTGGCCGTCTCAAAGATAGTCTGAGCGGCATCCAGGAACAGCCAGGGAGACTGGGTCTGTCTCGTCGACCCCGGGGCAGGCGAGTGGGCGGCGTGAATGGTATCAAGTTGCTGCAGGAAGGACACGCAGTCCAAAGCCAACACAGACTGTAGCATGCCTCTGAGAACAGACAGATCACTAACGATCTGTTTAGTCTTCCATGATACGCGATGCCAGTTGGGGTCCAGCTGGCGGCGGATCAAGACATCGAAGTTGGCGAGCAAGGCGTTGTCGACATTCCAGTCCTCCATGTCCAGCCCAGGATTGCACTTCTTGAGTTCCTGGATGCTGACCTCGACGCATTCCAGGACAGCGTTCTGGATGTCGCGCATGGCTTCGGTCATGGGGACTTCCAGCTCGATTACCTCAGCCTTCTTCTTCCCTTCCAAGGCCTGGGCGACGTGGACATGGAAGCGAGGCCATAGCGAGGCCTTTCTGAGGAACAAGTTCCTCATCATCGTTGCCAGAGGAGAAAATCCAGTAGAGAACGGCTCCGGGTTGTCAGAGAATGCCTTCAGAAAGCCGACCTTGTTCTTCTGCCGGTAGATTCTGAGGATGAAGGCCTCCAAAGACGTGGCGATGACCTTGTCCGCGTGCAGAACAATCATCCCAGTGATCGTCTCAGGGTTCAGCAAGCCCGTCAACATATCAACGACCAGAATGCGCGAGGTGATGCTGAAGATGCCGCCCGCGGCATACATCTTCTCGCGCGAAGCGACGCTGGTGTAGTCGGTGTTGACCACCGTCAGGCCGCGGGCCAACGGCGACAGGCTAACAGCGGCATGCTCGGCCAGGGCCTCGCCGATCCAGGCATTTTCTCTGTCATCGGCGCCGATGATGACGATCAGGTTGTTACCGGCGGCGTCGTAGGAGTGGAGAAGGTTCGTAACCAGGCGCATGAGGCCTAGGCCGCGGGCTAGGACGACTAGCTCATCTTCTTTGCGGAGCTCTTCGAAGAGTTTTTGCTGGTAGATCTAAGAAGGTGGTGGGTGGGGGGGGGGAGGGGAAAGCATTAGAAATATATATATAATCTATCGAGAGTGGGAACTACAAATAAATGTAAGGCTTACAAGCGGGAGCGAGAGCTTCACGGGCTGTGGCATCTGCGAGGTCCCGGCAGCCGACATTGGGTCAATTGCTCATCGACTGTCACGGCAATACATTTCTGTCAAAAAAAATTGTCATGAATCTCGGTTTGAAGACTGATCAACTATCGTTGGATGGATAGCAACGACGATGATGGATGGAAAGCAATGTAAGAGGAGGAGGGGAGGTAGAAAGTCCACCACTGCCGACCAGCCAGCTGTCGCGGTGCCAGATCTTGTCAGCTGGCATACAGCTGGCATCTAATGCCGCGACAACCCGGAGCTGAGGGTCTGGCCAGGCATGACGACGTCATTGTTCATCTGCGCCAGGGTGACTAGGTTGGGTTCGTCAGGTACCGGGGCGGCCACAACAGCTTTGGTCTGAGTGTATATAAATGGGGAGAGGGATCAAGACAGTCTATTTCCTCTTCTTCCTCTTTTCCTTCAGCATCAAACGTTGATTTTTCTTTCAAGTTACGGTACCAGAAGCAAGCATCACGAGTCTAAAAAAAAAAAAAATCCTAGTGTATTACTGGTCCACATCTTATCGCACCCTTGTCGCCGCAATCAAGAGCGAGCAAGTGCAACAAACATGGACTCGTCCAAGACGAATCAGCAGGAGCAGAAGGACAAGTCGGTGAGTGTTGGTCCATGAGTTGGCATGTCTGTGTGTGTTATTTTCAAACCAATTTGAATCACTAACACATTGTTATTGCTCTGTAGACTCAGAAAAACCCTCTCCAACAGGCGACGGAGAGCGTCCAAGCCTTCTTCTCGGCGCAGGCTGCCAACCCTGGTCCGGCCATTCCCAAGGAGTTCAATGTTCAGGAGGAGGGCACCAAGGAAGAGCGTAGGAAGAGGGCTCAGGAACTGAACCGCGACAAGTAAAGAAGGCTTCAAAGATTTCGCCTGATCCTGTCAAGGAGGGAGTGTGTAGTATGGTGTTGTTTACGAATATGGCCTCGTGCCAGAGGGCTCCAATCCAGGCCCAACTCTACGCAGTAATACAAAATACACATCATCGGTACGGGTTGTGCGGTGATCTGTACCATTTGCATACCATTTGTACGTACCCCCCTAACTATCCTGGAAAACGTCTGCCTGCACTGTGGCAGAGCACTAGCAATACCATAGGACCATGTCTAGGACTGCTGTCGTAAAGCTCTGTAGTAAAACATTTTGGAAAGGACTGGAAGCTTCTTTCTTCTTCTTTTTTTTTTGTTTTTGTTTGTTTCTTTGTTTTTGATTACACCGTAGCATTGTTGAATGATACATTAAAACGTGGTGTTGGTGAGAACAGGGAGAGCGAGATTTGACAGAAAAACCCCATCTCCCATGATACAATATTACACGCCGACCCCGTAAATTACTGCCCCACTGTGTGGGCTCACAGTGGCTGTGTCAAGGGTTCGATACTCTCAACTCGTCAGCGCCAGTGTGTTTGTTCGCTGCATCTCGCTGCAACCTCGAACTGTCCACGCCTGCTGATTACCACTGTTCATAGAAGTGCGCTCTGCATCCCCCTGAGCCACAGCCCTCCTGCAAAAGACCTCGCTTGCATTGGTGTCACCTTAAACGCTGGCGAACTCCCTCCCTGCCGTAGACTACACGCATTCGATCCTAGCGCAGACAAAGGCTGCTTTGTGCGGTCTTGTGCAATTCTCGATTCCAGCTGTTCCAGGTTCTGCCAAAGAACGCCGTCTGATCGGCTACAGCTCTCCCGTCTTCAGGTCACGAGTTTTCCAGGATTCCAGTTAGGACTCAACCTGCTTGAAAAGCAGTAGAAGCAGGCACGCAAACCGAAATCGAATTTCGCCAATAAGAGTATCAGCATCGCTCTCCTCGCCTTAGACCCTTCGCTAGCATTCCATCCTCTCCTCTCTTCTCCTCTCCTCTCCTCTCCTCTCCTGGACTCGACTCGACTCCCAATTCGCGCGCCAGCAGTAGGAGCACTTCTTTCTTCTCTTTGTCGAATCGACTAGCGCCTTTTCCTCGACCTTTGAGAGAGACTCAACTCCCGAGCATCATCTCGCCATCTCCATCATTATCTCCATCGCCGGCGTGCCCGGCCTCTCACCATGCCGTCGATCCTCAGCGACGAGGACCGCGAAACCGTCAAGCGCCATGTGCCCAAGCAGACCAACAAGATCCACGCCGTCGCCGTCGCTAGGCTCTACATAGCCTATCCCAACCGCAACAAATGGACCTACACGGGTTTGCAGGGCGCCGTGGTGCTCGCCAACGATCTCGTCGGCAATACCTACTGGCTCAAGATGGTTGACATTTCGGTACGTTCGTCTCCCTCCCCCCCCCCTTCCTCCCCTCCTCTCTTCCTCTCTTCCTCTCTTCCTCTCTTCCTCTCTTCCTCTCTTCCTCTCTTCCTCTCTTCCTCTCTTCCTCTCTTCCTCCCCTCCCCCTTCTTGCTCTGCCACTTCATGCTTGGCCTTAGTAGTAGCTGACTTCAAGGAGCCCGGAAACCGCGGCGTCATCTGGGATCAGGAGATTTTCGAGAATTGGACCTACAACCAGGATCGCACATTCTTTCACACCTTTGAGCTCGAGGAGTGTCTGGCCGGCCTCTCGTTTGTCGACGAGAAGGAGGCCAAGCAGTTCCTCAAGAAGATGAACGACAGAGAGAAGAATGCGAGCAAGGCGACCCAGAAGACTCCCTTCGGCGGCCCCGCGGCCGGCTCTGCCCAACACCATAAGCATCATCATGGCTTTCTTGGAGGATTGTTCGGAGGCCATCGCCACTCGTCGGCTTCCACGCCCCCCGAGTCGCCTCGTATGCCCCCTGCCACGCGCGACCACCGTTCGGGAAGCATCAACGGCCACAAGTCGCGCTCCTCGTCGATGTCTGGCTTCGAGAAGCTGGATGCCTTTGATCCTCTGTGGAGGGAGCATTTTGGCGAGGATTTGAAGGCCAAGGGTCTGACCGACGACTTTATCCGTGAAAACCAAGATTTCATCATCGACTTCCTCAAGGAAGAGCAAGCCAAGGCGCTCGCCCAAGCGTCCCATCCGGCATCAGCGCCGCCGCCGCCTACTGCCCCGACGAACGGCACGACGTCGGCTATGAGAGCTCCTCCCCCTCCCCCACCGCAAGCTGCGACCCGCGAACCGCCAGCTCCTCCGCCGCCGAGAAGAGGACCGGCTCCCCCGCCCCCGCCTGCAAGGAGGTCAGGAAAAGCCGAGACTGCTGCAGAGCCAGAATCCCCTCCGCCCTCGTCTAGGAACAAATGGGCCGTTCCCCCGCCTCTACCAGATGCCGGCCGGTTTGCACGGTCAGAGTCCACGCGTCCTGTGCCCTCGCCCCCTGTTCCTGGACCTCCTCCTCCGCCACGGCCGCCTAAGATGCCGCTCGAAGAACCCCCAAGGAGCGTTCCTCCCCCGCCCCCGAGTCGCTCGAATCCCCCTCCCCCTCCGCCGCCGCGGGAGCCCGTTCATACGCCAACGCCTCCTCCCGCGCTTCCCCCGAAGGCCCCAGCCTCCTCTGCGCCGCCACCTCCCCCGCCGTCATCGCGCCCTCCTCCGACGTTCCC